AGCGGTAGGAAGTAATCCTAGAGCCTATAGAATTAACCGAAGGTAGAGACGCGACCTTTGCTAACGAAAGCGAGCTAATAGTATATAGCTATGTAATTAATTAATTAAAGAGAAGAAGAGTATCTACGGACGCAATCTATTAAGAACATCCTACTCTACCGAGGCGTTAGGATGCTAAGCTAACCTTATTATCCCCTTACTTGTTGTAGCCTATTATAGACCTATCTATAATAGAACCTTACTATATTACAATAGAGTTGTAACTCCTCTAAGTGTGCTAGGACTGCACTATTTTTAACTGTAAATTTAATTAGTTCCGAATAGGGTAACCCCTAAAGTGTTTAAACGACTATATTAAACTCATTTATTTTCGGACCTTTTAGATAGAGTTACCCTAGCCCTCCGAATTAAGGGTTAAATCATACTAAATTGGCGACGCCAAAATAAATTTAACTAAGTTAAACTCGGCAATTTTTGGATTTTTTAGATAGGGTCGCCCTAGAAATCGTATCCTTAGTAGCGACTACCCCCTAAAATTTTCGTTAACGCGCGGCATAAATTTCCCCCCTAGGACCTCTCTAATATCCGGTAAAAAAAAAAATTACCCCTAAAATACCCCTAAGGCTAGGGCGACCCTGTCCGGAAAATCTTAAAATTTATTTTTCTACGGTTAGGGTCACCCTATATATAGGGTAACCCTATCTAAAAAAAAAAGTTTTTTTTTCTTAAAAGTTCTAATCCGTTAGCTAGAGAGGGGCAAAAAAAAATTATCGTAACTCGCGTTAGGGGGTAGAAAAGGGGGTAGTCAGTATTAGGGATACGATTTCTAGGGCGACCCTATCTAAAAAATCTTCGCTAATTTTTATTTAATAGAGTATAAGCTACTAAGAATCTAATTTATTGATTTAGGAGTCGATTTAGAGCAAATCGGCGTCGCGCTATCTCGCTTAACTCCTCTAGCACATACATTAAAATTTTCGGCATTACTTTACGAAGCGGCTTTAAAATAACAGTATAAGTTAATATCTATCTATATAGCCTCTAATAATGTACTCTCCTCCCTACGACGACGTAAGGTCCTAGTCTTAACTAGTTCTATAGCTTCTATAGTTAACCTATCGCCCTTCTTTTACTTCTAACCTTAAGTCGCTAACTGTTTTAGCTTCGCCTTTACCTTCGCCTTCGCCTTAGCCTTTAGTTTAGTCTTCTAAGGTTGCTTATTCTAAGTATTCTTCTCCTCTTCTAACGTAATAGTACCGTTATTATTATATTCCTCTTATTCGTTATCCTCCTCGATAGAGTAAAGGACTAGACTACGCGCTATCTCTTTTAGTAGTTCTTTTATAGCTAGTACTTAGCGAGTAGGGGCAATAATAATAGACTAGTCGCTAGTAAGGTCGATATACGTAGGGAGTTTAGTAGGATCGTAGGTCTAGATAATAGTTAGCATTACTCTTATTTTAAAGGAGCTCTAAAGACTTACCTTACTCGTCTACTCTAGCTTCTCCCTCTTAATAGGGTATAAGGGGTCCTAAGGGGACTAGGGGAGAGACGGTAGACTAGAGTGCTCTTAGTCGTTAAGCCTTTTATTAACCTTAAGTAGAAAGCAGATATTAATATAGTAACGACTATTGCTATACGGCTTCTAATTAGTAAGCATTACTAGAATGTTGTCTACTCTAGGGTGGAAGCCTATAGATATAAGCTCTAGAGTATAGTCGTCTCCAAACTCGTAGAAGAAAGGTTACTAGATCTCCTAGATCTCGCTATCGCTAAACTGCTTAATTAGCTTCTTGTTCTTAGACTAGTTAATAAGCTAAGTAAGAAGGTATGTTTCCCTTTTACGTTAATTAGAAGGTATAAGACAGTTAAAGATAACATCTAGGATGCTAGTATGCTATCTTTAAATCTTTACTAGTTCTTTGTAGAGCTAGTTCCTCCTACTCTCCTTATTCTATATATAGGTAGAGGAGAATCCTATAATAGTAAAGGCATAGTTCTTTAGAGCTAGGGGCTTCTTTAGGGAGCAGGGGACTAGTAAGACACTTACTACTACTTATTATTGTTAAGTACGGCGGGCAGCTAATAAGTGTATTAGGGAACTAGCGTAAGGTTACGCGTTTATAGCCTACTATAGACGACTTATAGTAAGGCGGTAATTGTTAGTAGTGTTAATAGGATTAAGAGACGTAAAGGAGGTCTAACTACGCTAGATCTAAGAGGGTTATATTCCGAAAGGAAAGCGTCTATTATTATTATTACTCTAGCCTTATTACTAAGATTGTTATAAGTCTTATAGCTGCTACTAGAGCTGCTAGATCTAGTCATCTTATTAAGAGCTCTTAAACATAGTAGAGGCTCGCTCGGTTATACCTCGTAGAGGGCGTAGATTAGTAATACCGTAATAGAAGTAAGCGACGTAGTCTTTCTCGATTATGCTATAGGCAAATCTGCCTTTAGCACATTTTACTAGCTACTCTACGATAGGAGCCTCCGTATCTATAGCTAGTCCTAGAGAAGAGTCTATAGCTAGTTAGATGTTTAGAAATAAAGAAGTATTTAGCACGGAGGAGAGAGCTAGACTTTATAAGACTTAGTATAATAGAGCTAGGCTATATATACCGAATTGCTCCGAATTAGTAGCCGAATCTACTAGTTAAACCTAAGTAGGGGATCTCCCTCCTTTAGCTTACGCTTAGACTTCTTAAAGGTACCTACATATCGTAGCAAAATATAATAGAGGCCGAATCGCTCCGAATTGCTCCGAATTAGGAGTACGTCAATTTTAAATTAGTTTAATAAATCATAGAGTCGTTATTAACCATAAAATCGTCCTAAAGTACAAACTCCGACTATAGAGTAGGTCCTATAGTAGCCTATGCGTTAATTAAGTCCTCTTCGTTCTACTCTAGAGTAGGTAGCTACTATAAGCGACCTCCCTAAGGCTTCTTAGACTTATAAAGAGTAGGCTCGCGCTACTCGTACTTATAGACCGAGATAGTAGCATAAAGGGTATAGTATATATAGGTATAGATACAAAGATTATCCTTAAATGACTAACTATTAATATTGCAAAACTCGTTAAGGTGTTTAGTATATAGTTCGCAAAAGTAAGCCTTATAGAAGTTAAGGACGTAGTAAGGAAGGTACTTATAGATATCGAACCCCTTAAGGTTATTTAGGAAGGGCTCGATAAGCTCGAGAGGAATAGGGGTTCTATATTGCTTACTACTATAAGCTATAGGGAAATCATAGAGAAGGTAAGGGGTGCCGGTAATAGTATATAGTCGGTTCCTCTACTTTCGGAGCTTATAGTAGTTCTAATAGTAAGCAAACTCGCTTACTTCGGTTCTAATTATTAGGAGATATACTATAAGGAAGGCAATCCTATCGATGTATAATTCTTTATTATAGAAGTTAGAAGTAGATAGGTCTTTAAAATGACATCTCTATAAAGTAAGGCTTAACTTTAATGTTTAACCCTACTACACTTTAATGCGCTAGTTCTATTTGCTTATGCCGTAGTAGAAGTAGTCGCTAAAGGTAAGCTCCTCTAGGGTTAGTTTAAAGAGCTTAAGAGATAGCTTATAATAGCCGTCCGTAGTAAGGGTAGTCTCGGCGCCGCGATTAGATCGAAGCTAATATAGCATAAGATTACTATCTACGAGAGTAGACATATATTATTTAAAAATAGAGACTATACTATGTCCTATAATGCCGACATAGATCTAGATAATACATCGTAAGAACTAGTCGATAGTAGCATAAATCTAGATACCCTAGTATTCTAACTTATAATAAGCATCTATAGACTAGACATAGTTTAGGCTAGGCGTAATTATAGTACCCCTTTAAACCTTTAACTTCTTCGTACGGTATATAATCCCTTTAGGGTTTATCTCTTAAGCAATCTTATAGACTCTATCTCTTCTAATAATGTAGTATTAAGGGTACTCGCGCTAGACGAAGTTATAGAGATAGTTCCTTCTAAAGTCGCGTACCTAGCCCTTATTATATTTAAGCTCGAGGACCTTAGTAATACGCTACTCTAGCTAATCTAGATCCTATACCTTTACTCGCTTAAGAAGTTAAAGACGTTATCGAAGCTAGTAGAGGGCCTATTTGCTAATTTGCTAGCTATTAAGGGTAAGTAATTTAGCTATCTCTTCATCTATTAGTCTAACATTAAAGTAGAGAGCAATAATCTGCCCGTAGATGCCGTCGAGTATACTACTTAGGTCTTAGTATTATAGCTTCGGTTAGCGTATACGTACGTCCTATTCTTTAAGTCGTCGTTAAAGGGTACGCGTATTAAGCTACACTTAGTGCTTAGTAAGCAAGAAGCTAATAACGTCGTTAACTATGTGTTTCTCCTTAGAGATCATTTAGATGATTAGCTCTTTCTATAGTTTGTAGTCGGCGCGCGTAGGAGGTATAGGTAAGAGGGGCAGAACGACGGTAGGTAGGTTAGTAGTTTAGTAGGACGGTAGGGTTCAAAATCTGAGATTTACTATGTTAGACATTAATGCGCCTAGAAGGGAGAATCTTACATCGGCGAATTAGCGGCAAATCGCTCCGAATTGAGTGTTAGTGGATTTTGCTAGGAGGGAAGGCTCGTATTATAATGAGGGAACCCCTCAAAATTGGCGTTGTAGCCGTAAGCCTCGTTTAGTCGACCGTCCTTATGGAATTTCTCCCTTACACACTTCTTGCCCCCGTTTCTTCTCCAGACAAGCACCGTTCGCATAATCGGCATGTCTGAACCTTCTCTTGGTTCTAATTTTGAAACGATGTAGGGCCCATCGAGCAGAATGAGGCCTCACCGGGTTCTGGTGGAATAAGACGGCCGCCGTCAGTCAGATCCCGTCGGCAACTGAAGGCGCGTGTCCACACGAGCACATGGCGGGGTCTTTGCCGCTACCCTGTGCCGTCTCCATCTTTCGTGTATGGAGCGGAGCTCCTCTTGTGGCCAGCAGTTTGCTCGGTAACCGACGGGGTATCTGTTTCGGGATTGGTGTCATTGTGATAAGACGTGTATCGTTCTTAAGACTGACAGCTTCGACCAATATCAAAAGAAGAAATCATTTCAACTTCGATTGATCCTGACCAAATAATACAACATGCACACCACAAACGAATATCCTCCCGTCGAAGTCGACAATGAGATCAAGGGACGACTGGCCCTGATTACTGGAGCTTCTGGAGGTATTGGAGCCGCTTGTGCACGACAACTCGCTGCTCAAGGTGTACACCTGGCACTTACCTATTCATCGAATCTGAAGTCATGCCAGAGACTTGTTGATGAGCTGAAGAGTCAACCTGGAAATGCGGACCTGAAGATCACCATCCACAAGGCAGATCTTTCCAGTATTGAGGAGACAACAGCACTGTGTCCGGATGTTGTCAAGCAACATGAGCGAGCAATCGACATCCTTGTCTCTAATGCTGGATATGGAGTCAGGATTCAGAATGTTTGGGAGATCCCTCTGGAGGAATTCGAGCACACTATCAATGTTAACCTCCGTGCAACCTTCCTGCTCGTCAAGGGCGTTGTTGAGGGCATGAGAGATCAGAGATGGGGAAGAATGATCTTCATTTCGAGCATTGCAGCCTATGGTGCTGGTATCAACGGATGTCGTGAGTGGTCCTTTTCTGTGGTGACTGTTGTCAGCGACTGATTAACTGGTTTAGATTATGCTGCTTCCAAGGGCGGATTGCAGTCGATGATGAAGAACCTCTCATCTCGCCTGGCTCCTTACAACATCTCGGTCAACGATGTGAGCCCAGCCATGGTTGGCAGTACCGGCCTTTTGCCATCTGCGGATAGCGTACCCGGGGTGGTTGACAATATTCCATTGCAGCGTTTGTGTGCACCAGAAGAGGTCGCAAACGTTGTCTTGATGTACGCCAAGACTGGATTTGCTACTGTAAGTAAATTGTGCTTCGGTCTTTGTTCTTGTCGTTGCTCACACAAATCAGGGTCAATCTCTTGTCGTCGGTGGCGGGTTGCGTTAACACATGGGCGGTTTACGGTGCATTGTCAAGGCGTTGGGGTCTTTCCAATTGAACTATCTCACAATACTCTATTTTGACCAAGTGAATGTTTTCAAAATTAAATTCATCATGAATCAACCGTGTCTGCTGACCCGCCAAGAGCACGAGCGATCAGGGCGTCTCTGGGTGTGTCCGACAGATTAAAACAAACGCATGGCATGAAATCGAATCAAGAACGTGCTCTCGGCTTTGTCTTTCGAAAGGACCATCAAAAGACAGAATAGTTTTCACATGAAAATAAGGCCCAGAGAGCGCAGGAAGAGATACACACTCTCAGCGGACAGTTACCCGAGCTTTGACAATATCTTGTCTCTTGATAGCTAGTTAGGCACACCATATAAGACCGAGGAGTTCGGCTCAGGTGCGGTTTCTGTTCCCTTATGTCAACATTACTCACAGCCGCTGTGACCGACACCTCATATAGAGACATATGGCATCTGCCATGACTTCGGGAACTTGACAAACCGACAGGAACATCACAATTAATCAATTTGAACTACGGTCAACACGAACGCTTGGAAGGATTCACCATGGACCGGTTCAATGGTTCTGCATGGTCCAGACTGGGCTTTGTCTGGCCTCGTACGATACCACTGAGCCATCATTCGATGGTCTGGAGTTGATGATTTGCATTTCTGCTCAAAGGTCTCGATGCGGATAAGAATACATCAATACCCGCTCACTCCCCCTCGTGCTTGCCGCTGTCAATACCCATGCCTTCCAGCAAAGCCCCTTTGACCGAAGGCGCAATCTTTGCGACCCAAAACTTTGTTTCGTTCAGCAAAAACAATTCCCCACCGCGGCCGAAGCAGAAGTTTGCCACGCCGCCGGGTACCAAGATCTTGCCAATCAGAGTGCCTCCTGCATTCCAGACATTGAGACCATCTCCACAACCTGAATAAACGTTTCCATTCGTATCGCACTTGATGCCGTCTGGAATCCCAGTATCCGCCATGGCGAAAAGTCGGCGATTAGCAAGAAAGTCAGCCCCTGAACGCTGTATGACATCAAACGCGTAACTTGCAGTCCGTCAGCTTCCGTTTTACTTCGCAGAGCTGAACGAAAACTTACATGGAGGATGCACGAGTATCATCTATGGTTCCGTCACCATGAATCCATTCCGTGTCAGTAACATAGAGTGTCTGCTCATCTGGCGAGAAACACAGTCCATTCGGTCGACCGAATCCATCGGCGACTGCTCTGATATTCCCCGTCTTTGTTTCGAATCTGTACAGCTGATTTGGCAGCTGCGGCTTTGGGCAAAAGCCTTGCTCTGAGCCGTATATCGGGTCGGTGAACCAGATAGATCCATCTGATTTGACCACGACATCGTTGACCGAGTTGAACCTTCGCCCGTGATAGCTATTCACCAGAGTCTGGACCTTGTATGGAGGCTTGGCTTCCATGAATACAAGGCCTCCTTTCGTGGATTGGTCACCTTGGGCGCAAAACAAAATGCCGTCCTGGTAATTGATACCGCCGTTGGCCATTGTGATGTCAGCTGGAACCTGCTCCTTCGTCCAGAGGCCGCTGTTTCGGTTTAGTTTGTGGATCAGGATTGATCCTTCGTCCTCTTGTTCGGTCCTGAACCTGTTGCTAGTAACCAACAGCGAGTCTTGTTCTGGGAAGTATACACCAGCTTCATGAGCGAATGGGATATCATCTTCTAAAACACATTTCAGGCCTGCAGACTGGCCAATAATCTCATTGAAGGAGCTGTCGTAGCTGAGAAATCCAGCACCGTGAGCAGATGCAATATCATGCTGTCCTTCTAGAGCTTTCATGGTTGAAGACAACTCCTGTTCGCAATCAGCATGGGTCAAAGACTTCGGGTTTCTCTGTCTCATACCTTCCACTGGGTGATACCTGCCATTACTCTTGATACCGACTGGTCCTTCCAGACTCTTTGGTGATTTTATTTAAGGTATTGAAGAGATCCAATCTCGGCTTTCACGAAGACATCGGCTTCTTCAAGTCGTGTACCGATGATCGAGGTGGTCGGCTTCTGCCACGCGATCGATTTGAACGACACTGGTCGTGGAGACAAAGCTTCTCCTAGCACGCAAGATATCTAAGGTCTGCTGACAGTTGATTGTCAGATACGGGCACGAATAGACGACGGAACAAGACGGTTTCTGCCGGCCTAGAGATTCGTGTAGCCATTAAAGTTTAATGTTCTAGACTCGCTCGGGCTCTGGCGGAATTTAACGGTCTCAAAGCAAGCTCAACGGTGCAAGTTGCGATGCAAAACCTTGCTCGCCATGACCCCAGCTCTCTTTCCCCACGACCCCATACCACGCGTTCATATCTGGGAGGCCCCGCATACGCTCGAGCGGATTACAGAAGAGCCGCAGTAAATAGGGCGTGGTCGGGCTTTGATCTGATCTATATAACCTGACGCTTCGCCATTGAGAGCTACCCCAAGCTTCAGATCGACACTTCGACAACTCAACCGTTCTTCATCATGGCCATTCAACTCGAGGGCAATGCCCTTCTCTACACAGTCACCACCCTGACATGTCTTGGTTTCCTTCTTATTGGCTTCGACAATGGCTTGATGGGCGGCTTCATCAACAGTCCTGCCTTTACTGAAACCTTTGGCATCGACAAAACTACGAACAAAGGCACCAATCTGATTGCCATTATTGTGGCAATCTATGAAATTGGCTGTTTCATTGGAGCTGTCATCACCAGTTTCATTGGTGAGAGCCTTGGTAGACGAAAGTCTATCCTGATCGGTGTTCTCATCATGATCGTTGGTAAGTGACATGAGAACTCACTGTCTGATACTTGAACCGTGGGTTTAACATCATCAGGTGCTCTCTTGCAAGCCACCGCATACCACATCCCTCATATGCTTGTGGGGCGCATTGTGAGCGGAGTTGGAATGGGCTTCATCAACTCGACAGTACCGGTTTTGCAGGCTGAGTTCTCGCCAAAAGCCTCTCGTGGTAGATATGTCTGCGCACAGCTTTCGACTCTGAACTTCGGTAAGGCTTCTTTCGAAACTTCCTTGGCATGGCTTGTCATTCTGACAGATACCAGGAATCATGATGGTATACTGGATTGACTACGCGTTTTCGACACTGGAAAACGGGCGTAGCACTAGCTACATCTGGCGGGTGCCCACCATTCTCCAGTGTGTCTTCCTAATTCCCATGATCTTCATCGTCTTCATTATCCCCGAGACGCCTCGCTGGCTTGCTGCCAGAGATCGTAATGAGGAAGCTCTTGAGATCTTGACCCGCCTTAACAAAGGCAAGATGAGCCATGAGGAGATTCAAAGCATCCACAGCGACATTGTTCGTACTGTGGCCATTGAGAGATCTATCGGCGCTGGAACTTGGGGTGACCTTCTCAAGAACGACAGCATCCAGAGCAGACGCAGATTCCTCATTGCTTGCGGCATTCAGGCTTTCCAGCAACTCGGTGGTATCAACGCATTGATTTGTAAGTTGTTCGATCTTCAGATCATATCATGTTTCGCTCATCTTTTCCAACAGACTACTCTGGCACGATCTTCCAAGACAGCTTGGGCTTCGACGCTCACCTTTCTGGTCTCATGTCAGGATTCTTGAATACCTGGTTCTTCTTGGCTTCTTTCATTCCTTGGTTCTTGATCGACAAGGTCGGACGCCGCCCTCTTTTGCTGTCAATGGTCAGCTTGATGGCAGGTGTAATGGCAGTCCAAGCAGCTCTGGTCTACCAAACTCAGCAAGAAACATCTATTGCTCGTAAGTGTCTAATATTCTCTGATCATAACTTACGCCTAACGTTGTTCAGACTCTGCTGGTATCGGCGCCGCTGCCATGCTGTTCATCTTCCAAGGTGCCTTCACCGTCGGTTTCCAAGCCACCGTCTGGGTCTACCCATCCGAGATCCTTCCCCTTCGTCTCCGCCAGAGAGGTTCTTCAATCTCCACCGGTACCAACTGGATCATGAACTTCTTGATCGTCTACATTACTCCCCCTGCCATCAGAAACATCAAGTGGAGAACCTACATCATCTTCGCTGTGCTCAACGCCACTTGGGTACCCATCATGGTAAGATCTTGTCACTCAAACCCAAGGCCATACATCTTGCTAACACATATATCTAGTACCTCTTCTTCCCAGAAACCAAGGGACTCGCTCTCGAAGATGTTGACAGACTGTTCACCAAGGAGGGTTTTGAAGAGGGCTTCGATGCCGCTATGGATGAGAAGAATGTTTCATACCTCACCGACAGGATTGAGAAGGTCTAAAGATCATTGCTCTGCCTTTGACGTGCTGATTAGTAAGAGTAACTTTTGGGAGGAAATGTATGAGCTACGATATTCATTTACATTTTTTGTTTTTTCACACAAACATCATGCCTTTCTTGTTCAGCCATGTGATCTTTGATGTGTGATTCTTCTTGTCTCGGATGATGGTGCAGTCTTTTCGGAAGGTAGTCAAGCGAAACGCTGACGACACCCCTGAGAAGGCGCGATACCATCACACTCCTCTCCTAACCGACCACCCCTACCTCGGCACTTTCCCAAAGTCAACAAAGGTACCTTTCTCACCACACCTCACCTCTAATCTCGCCTACATAACCACCCACCGACCCGTCACGCACTCTATTATTCCCACCAATCTCAACACACATTGACCGCCTCCCCTTGTTGTATCAAAGCAATCTATCGGCTTCTGTCAACGGAAACCAGGCAACCATTGTTTTTCCACCGAATCTAGATTTTTCTTCCCACAGCGCCTCGAAACCCGGATCTGTGGGTCATATACCGAACAAGAGTCTCATGACAGGCGGGGGGAAGCATCCGTAAACCCACGGTTCGGAAGAATTGAAAGCAGCGACCTGAAATCATGAGCCCCCTGCAAAAGCAGAATCCAAGAAGGCGCGAATGCATGCACGCATAGACACTCTTAGCGTGCTTTTCTTGATTTTCTTGGAGAGGAGAGCAGATGTACTTTCGGTGTTACTGTAGCGTGCGAATTCTGCTGCGGGAAGGTGCAGGGCAATGCGGATGCTCACGCGGGAAATGATGAGGCACTGATCTACTGGTCGGGGAAGGTGGGGAATGCGTTTGTGGTGTCACACGTATCCTGGCTCTCGGGACTCTTTTGGGCCCATTGTTCGGCATTGTTTACGTACGTGGGCGCACGTTGCATTGATGTCGGTAGAGGGGTAAGGCTGGAGTTTGTCTGGAGGTTCAGATTGTAGGGAAGGTCTTATCTTGAGTGTCTATATGAAATTGTGAAACAGCGGCCAGCGGTGGCCGTGTAGAAGGAAAAAGAAGAAGAAAAGGAAAAGGAAAAGGAAAATAGGAAGGCCGTCTGGAGGGGCGGAGGTATGATGAGATAAGATGAGTGACAGAAAGAAAGAAAAAAAAGGATATGAGAAGTGAAGGAATCATGTCAAGAAACGAATCGTCAAGGGGTATCATCGCAAAACCGTCCCATGCAAGAGAAAAGAAAGTTCCAAAAGCGAAGGCTTCCCAACTCTCGTCCTAGAGTCTAGTACAAAGAAAATGTCCCATCGTGCTATCCCTGATGCTATCCTGAATGCCATTGTTGTTGTTGGTGGTGGTGTTGGTACTGGTGCTGGTGCTGGTGTTGCTGACCTTGCTGCGACTGCTGATGATAAGGCTGAGGCTGGGGTTGGTATTGATGTTGGCCCCAAGCCGGATTCACTCCATGCATCGCGAACTGTGGCTGATGAAAGGGCTGAAGATGCGCCATCCGCATTTCACTACCTCGTCGAATCTCCTGAGAGTCTCCGAGGAAAGGCACAGGGGCGTGTATGGTAGTCACAATCTGCTCCTCCTGCTGAGCGGATGGTTCGCCATCGCCCGGCACAAAGACTTGACGCAGCCAACCCTCTTCGATTAGACGATTGCTGCTCAGAGCCCATCGCTGGTTCTTGCCTCGCAAAAGCTCCATCATGTCTTTTCCGAACATGGCAGTGTGCTTCCTCCTGAAATGCTCTGCACCACCATAGCTCGTGCCATACTGATGACCAGTCTTGCATCTCTCGCAGTTGCGCATCAAATGATCAGGACTGAGGTCAAAGCACTTCCATACTTTCTTGTGCTTGGTGTGTTTCTGTGCGTAATGACGAGCAAGTTCGTGCTCGCCGCGAAACCCGCGGGAATAGTCTTTACTATCACGGCAGGCCTCGCAAAATAGACGTGCTCGAGTGCTGTTCACTCTAGTCGGTCTTCTCGATGAGCCTGCCTCAGCCTCTCTGGACTGCCGTGTCCTTCTCGGTCTACCCGAGAGTGAGAGATTGTGAGGCTGTAAAGGACATGGCTGCTGTTCGTGCTCATGTTCCGAGTGAGGTGAATCGTGCATAGCCACATGAGGAGTCGCATCAGAAACCGCAGGAGACGAGATGGGGTCGTTAACTTCGAGGTCGCCGAGCATATATTCGAATTGCTGGAGACTCTCTTCCTGGTTATCATTGACGCAATGAGGTAGCTGAAGAGATAAGAAGCCGCTTCCGATGCTATTGAGTAGCCCACTAGTGGATACAGGAGGCTGGAAAGGCGAGAATGGCATTGAGGGCGGTTCATGATCCCAGACCTCAGAGAAGTCTCCCGAGTCTGATCGGTGGAGACTGGGTGTAGCACTATCATCAAAACCGCTTGCCTCAGAGTTTACATCACTCGGAGACAGCGTTTCTTGCTCAAACCATGCTCCTTGACGAGGGTGGTACTGTAGCGGCCATTGTGCTTCGGTGGGAAGAGGTGGTGCCGTGATCATAGGTACATGGGACCAAGATTGCGGAGCGGTATATACATGTTGGTCGTTTGCCGGGGCGCTGTTGTCCATAGCGTTGGTATATACCACGTCACCAGTATAGGTGTTGTAGTAGCCAGGGTTTATATGGCCTTGGCTCATGCTGACCTTTGATCAATCGAAGACCGGATAAGGATCGAGGGAGAAAGGTTGAGGTGATAGACATCCAAAAGATATTGGACGGGCCGTGAAGAAGAGGCGACAAGTACTCAATATATATACAGCGAGAGGGTCCGTCGTAGGTGCCCCCTCACGGAACCCTTCAGGAAACTACGTCCCGGGGGATGTCGACATGCCAGCACATGTTTTAGCCGAAGTTTGGCGTCGGGGAGTAACCGGCAGGCGCTACCTCCAAGATGGTGTAGAGACAGAAAGACTGGCGGCTGATCTTGGCAGGAACGGTGTTATCGGGTTGCTGCGTAAAAGTCGCGAGAAGCGGCAACGATTGAATTTCCAACGTCGTACGGCATAAAGGAGGAGTATTCAGAAGGTATCGTGGCCAATTCCTGTTCCCCGGCCGAATGATGACTCGAGAGCGAAACATGCAGCGATCATCCGAGTGGCTGTTGATCTGTGTGTTGATTTGTTAGATTATGCGCCCAGCTGATCGCATGCGCAGAAAATGGGCCCCGTCTGTCGGCGTTTGAGACTGCGTATTTCCCTGCTTGCTCACGCGGAGGTTTAATAGTGATATTGTCCCGGGCCCGGGACCATGGAAGCTATCGCAGTCCATGCGTCTGAGTGGACTACCGATCGGATGTCGTAAGAAGCTCCGGTCGCAGTGTATGCAAGCGTGATTATCAGCGTGCGATGGTTAGCCGACAAGATTTCTGCCTTCACTGTCGTTCAACAGATGTCACTGATGGAGAACGCAGAGACTCTAACTAGAATAACAAGGGTAGCATGCGTTATGGGGGGAAGGGATACTCAATTAATCTGTGTATAAGGAAAACGCCACCTTCTGCAGCCCTACCCGATAGCTGCAATGCTTGATTACAACTCTGTGTCGAATTCTTGACCTTTGGCCAAGATCTCTTTCTCCCATTCAAGACTTCTGATGCGAGCTTGGTCGACTTCTCTTTCAGCTTCGAGGCTCGCGATTGTGGCTTGAAGCTCGACAACCTTCGCGTCGCGAGCTTTCAAAGCAAGTCGAGTAATTTCTCTCCCTTGGATCACTCCCTGAGTGCGTAATTCGTGACGTGTCAAGACATCTCGAAGCTTTGAAGATAATTCACCTGGTAGTGTGACTTCTGCGGTGTCAAAAGCGGCTAAAACATCAGCAGTAAGTGTGGATCGGGGAGACGACGCATCTGCTGATGAATCACGAAAGCGTAAGGGACTTGGAGTGACCTGCGGTGTCAAGGCACCTTGTTGTACAGCAGCTAATCTCGAGTGTGATGGTGTAGTCAGTCCAGGCAGAGCAGTGTCTTTGGAGGGTGTCCTTCTCGCTGAGATTGCAGAAGGCAAGTTGGCAGAGTTGTCAATCCATGGCAGCTTCCTATGCACGCTAGTTGCTGGCGTGGCGAGAGCATCGAACTTGACTGCCTTGCGCGGCGTTTCTGGTACATTGAGAATCTCTGCCTCCTCTTGGCCTGATAGCGACCAGGGAAAAGAATCATGGTCATCAGCATCATCAAAACCGGTGTCGGAAAGTGGTCGTTTCAAAGCACTGATGGGATGACTCAAGGTTGAAGTGCTTGATTGCGTTGTCTGAGGCGATTGATGTACAGGGGACAAGGGCTTATTCAGCGTCGTCCTAGGTTCCGTTCTGGAGTTACTCAGGACAGCAGCTGCTTCTCGTGGTTTTGCATCATCATCCCAGAGAAAGAAACCGCATCTACGTCCCTCTCCGTTCTGGCAGGTGTAGAACCATCTGCCTTTACACGAAGTCAGTCATGACCATTTCATCGGCAGGAAAGAGCGTGAATAAGCAACCTTTGTTTGCGCTCTCTTTCTTCACCTGGAAGTGTTCGGCAGGAAGGCGAGGCTCGCAATCGCAGTCGCAATGCCAAATTCCATGTGCAAACAGGCCAGTCAGCTTCTGCCGACCAGGGCGGCGCGTGAATGTGCTACCGCGTCCACGAACGCCTCCGCTATTGCTGCTGCTGTTGTTGGTCGCTGATAAAGTCGTCGCTGTGTCGACTTTGGGCACTCGTTTGAACATTGTGGCCATCTGAGATGTTTAGATAGAGCTCTTGCAGCTCGATCGATATCAAATCTTCAAGCATGCACACGATTCGTGTTACATGATGTTGAAGTGAAAGTGTGATGATGAACGCTGTTTCTTTGCGAATGGTTGATCTCCACGGAAACGGCAGCCGGGACGACGTCACTCACGCGTTCTTTCATCGTTACTTCCTCCCTTCAATGTCCTTTCTTTTCGACCAGCAACTCCCGTCGTTTCTTACACTTGAACAAGTTCCGCACTTGAGCTCTATAACGGGTTGTTGCTTCAACGAGTACGACGGTGGGATCTGTTTCTACAAGCGCTTGGCTGCATGCTCAGCAACATATCCGAGCTGTACACCCCTTTCGTACCATGGATCCCTGATGTTTTTCCTTCGGTTCATAGCATCACAGAGCATACATTCACATGCCGCTTAACAGTATTGACGCGATCTAATCTCGCACAATCGTCCCAAGTGCGCGCTACAACCCATGACAGGACAACCCTTTTCTCACCGGTCGCGATGTGCGCTGCACAGACGCTGTATAGGGTACATGTGAGCACATAGAGAAGAGGAACCCAATCATCACAACACCCGAACGCACGACCCGTATGAGATGCAGCAAGCGAGATGTTGTATCCCACGGCCAGCGGCTTTGATGATATACAACACATACTCACTATACAGGCATACAGATCTATTCGGCTCTGGGTCAATCAGGTTCTATGCATTGCGGGAGCGTACCTTGGTGTGTTCCGGTCGTCTAGCGTGGGCGCCTGATATCTCCAATCTAGGACGGAGAAGGTGTCCCGACGTGATTGGTATTCTTCAGGAAGATCGATACCTGGGGTCAAGGACCGAGAACAGCAGGATCTTGCAGTATGGACATGATTTAGAACGCTTCTCGAAGGCAATTCGAGCTGCCGGCTGTACCGGGAGCAGTCCCGTCAAGCCTTTTCCGCGCGAGCCACCTTGAAGGACGTGTACCATGACGCATAAACGACAGATCTGCACGTGGCATTCTCGATCGTTCATCTCACCGCTGCTTCCCAGCTATTCGGCATGAAGCAAGTGGTGTAAAGCGGTGACAGTCGCGGCGGGTATGCGGCGTTTCGCGGATGGAACGGGGAGTTGGGAGACGTGCATGCGAGTTGTGAGTTTGCGTGTTGGCTTCATGGGGTCAGAGTGGCTGTCTCGGTGCATGTTACGAGTTCATGCGATGTTGACCTCTGCAGTTATCTTATCTTTGCCGAGACATGAGAGGCTTGTCAAGTGATTGATAAGCCTGAATCGAGGGATATCATGATTGGCGAAATGGACATATGATCATGCGATATGTTGCGGCATGACTGCTTGCAGTATGCGATGATACTTTATAAAGCGACCAATTTAGGAAGCTCAAGTTCGAGCAAGACAAATCGTTGGCTCAAGGTGAGCGAATGAAAAACTCGGATACGCGCCGGAAGTTGCTTTGGCTTGCACGACCAAGGATCTCATGTTGCTCGAGCAACCCTGTCTACCCAGCGGAAGTCTCTCGTTTTGCCGCCAAAGCGAGGGACCAATTGGTAGCTTGGACCTTCTCACAGCCTCCATTTCTTCCTATGAGCATAAAGCATTATGCGATCTTTAATGGTATCGTAAAGCGTCCCCGAGTGCTAAACTCTGTCACGCGTGAAGTCGTGGAAATCTACAGCGGTTCCCAAAAGAGAGAACTCTGGGGAGTCGCTCTCTGTGGACGGAGCGGTCTACTCAAAACTATCGTGTCTTCGGACAGGCTATTCAACATGTATCGCTGCAGCTCTCCCGGAACTATGCTCAGTATTGTGTTGACGATAATGACTTTTGATAGCTGCTTGAGTGTACCACGTCACGAGACTGTCGTCTTCGAGAAAAGCGACTCGGATGGTCCAAGCTCGAGCGCCCGAAGTGTTTCTCTCACTGCGCCTGGACCGAGAGAATACCCACCCAGTCTTTGATTTATCGACATTTCCTTCAATATCCCGTAATCATGTGAGTCGTTGACACACATCGATGGTGATTGCGCAAATCTGACAGTTGCAGGTTTCTTCTTCGCCGCGCCGCTGTCCGCAGCTTCACCTCTTCGCCCCTCAAGGCCCGCACAATTGTCACCAAGACTCCCACAGGACTCCGTCAATCACAGAAATGGCAGGTGCCTGCTTTCCAAAGGCGATTCGCCAGCGACGAGGCATCTCCCGTACAGGAGAAGACCACTGGCGAGACTATTCCTACTGAACCCACCGCAAACGAGCAGGCCATGAAGGAGGAGGCCGTCACATCTGAGGCGCAAGCAGAGCAGGAGCCCAACGTGGTAGAGAAGTCGATTCCCGAGGCATCAGACGCCAAGCCTTCGGTGGTCGAGCAGGTCAAGGAGAAGGTCCAGGATGTCGCTTCCAATGTCACCAACGCAGCAGAGTCGCTTCTTGGTGAGAGCGCTCGCAACGCAGCCGTCGGAACACACAAGGACCCCAAGCCCAGCAGAATTCTCTATGTCGGCAACCTGTTCTTCGAAGTCAAGGCACAGGATCTTGAGCGCGAGTTCTCCAGCTTCGGAAAGGTCGTCAATGCTCGTGTGGCTGAGGATGCCCGCGGTCTGAGCAGAGGGTATGTCATGATATATCAACCAGAGTGCTAGTGGGCAAGACTAACAAGTGTCGCAGATTTGGTTTCGTCGAGTACGCGACTCTCCAGGACGCAGAGAAGGCACAGAAGCAGCTCAACCAGAAGGCTCTGGCTGGCCGCAACATGGCCGTTCAGTTCCATCTCCGCCGTGAGCCCCGCAACGTCATGGCCAGTTCTGTCAGAGTCAACAACCCTAGCAAGACTCTGTTCATTGGCAACATGTCTTTCCAGATGTCCGACAAGGACCTGAACGACCTGTTCCGCAACATTACCAATGTTCTGGACGTCAGAGTGGCCGTCGACCGTCGCTCAGGACAGCCCAGAGGTTTCTGCCATGCCGACTTCATCGACATTCCCAGTGCTCAGAAGGCCAAGGAGATGCTTGAGAACAAGGAGATCTATGGCAGACAGTTGCGTGTTGATTACAGCCGCGGCGCCCTTGGCCCCATGGGTGGTAAGCGCGTTGACTAGATGTGGTTTCCCAAAAGCATTGTACCATAGCTGTGGCGTTTGATGGGGACTGCTGGACATAACTTGTATTATTCTATCACTCGTAACTTGACTGTTTTCTCCCTTCACATGACGATTCAACCAAGACGGCGAAGCTTATCGACCTCGGTATCTGGGAGACCCTCGCCAAGGCCGACTTCCCCACAGTGTTTCGCCGCCCTCGGGCCTTGATTGCCGAGCGATATCGTGCATGGTCTATGGACCTTGAATTGTTCTGCCATTGCTGAACAATCAACTTGTTCCTTCTTCGTCACTACCTCTCTTCTCCTCTAACTCTTACTCGCTTGACAAGTCTCACTCGGTTCCAGAGCCTTCACGAACTTCAAGCTCACCTCCAATCAGACCCATTAATAGACAACACGCCATGTCGTTCCTCGGCGGAGCAGAATGCTCGACGGCAGGCAACCCTCTGAGCCAGTTCACAAAGCATGTTCAAGATGACAAGTCGCTACAGAGGGACCGCCTAGTAGGCAGAGGTCCCGGTGGTATGGAAAGCATGCGAAGCCAGATGGGAGCCCCACAAGATGCTGTAAGCACTGAAGTCTGCTTCATACTCGCAGTTGACAGCGATGCTGACCAGAGGAGAAGATGATGGAAGAGTTCATGCAACAACCCGCACACCTAGGTCCAAGTTTCCAAGACTCCCCGTTCGCCATGGAGCAGATGCGCCGTGAGCTCGACCAAGCTGCATCCCCCGCACCTGCCCACTGGGCCGCCGAGTTCGAGCCGCAAATGTCCGACCAGGCTGGCCCTGCATTCGCCCACCAGAACAATGGTGGTTTCAACCCCCAAGACTTTGCTCGTTTCCAGCAAAATTCCGCCGCGAGGACGGCGAGTCCGCTCAACAATGTCCAGCAAACTCCCATGGCTAGATATCAGTCGCCTATGCAGTATGGCGGCATGTACGGCAACGGTATGGGTATGAGGATGGGCATGGGAGGTATGGGAATGGGTGGCATGGGCATGAGTGGCATGCAGACACCGCAAGATCAGCAACAACAATCCAAGGGCAAAGAGCGCATGGTCGAGCTAGATGACAAGGACTGGGAAGCTCAGTTTGCCGAGTTGGACACTACACAAGAGCAACAGAACGACCAACTTGATGCAGAAGCAAATGCGGCCATGGAGGCAGAGCTGAACGCCATGGACAGGTCAGTTGATCAAGAACACTCCGAAACGCTGTTTGGCGATTTCGAGTCGGTATGGCAGGGTATCCAAGCTGAGACGACTCAAAACAGAGACTTTGTCACCCACGAGACCTTCGGCGACGCGGACGACCGCTTCGATCAGTGGGATGGCTTCGACGGCCTCAACACTCACCGCGACCCCTCGCTGGGCGACTACATGTTCGAGGACGACAACCCCTTTACCGAACTCGCCAACCCCTACGATGAAGGCATGAAGATCATGCGCGAAGGCGGCAACCTCTCACTCGCCGCTCTGGCCTTCGAAGCCGCCGTGCAGAAAGACGCAGACCACATGGGTGCTTGGACAGCCCTGGGCCAAGCCCAAGCACAGAATGAAAAGGAATCACCAGCCATTCGCGCTTTAGAGCATGCTCTCAAACTCGACCCCAACAATCTAGAAGCTCTGATGGGCCTGGCCGTGTCATACACAAACGAAGGCTACGACAGTACCGCCTACAGGACCCTCGAACGCTGGGTGGCCACAAAATATCCTTCCCTCATCAATGGTCCTCTCTCCTCCCAGGATGACGAGATCGGCTTTACCGATCGTCATGCTTTGCACGAGAAGGTGACAGACCTGTTCATACAAGCCGCACAACTATCGCCGGACGGGGAGCAGATGGATCCTGACGTTCAAGTCGGTCTTGGTGTCCTCTTCTATGGCGCAGAAGAATACGACAAGGCAGTCGACTGCTTTGGTGCCGCTCTGGCCTCGACAGAAGAAGGCAGCACAAACCGACAAGAAGAGCTGCATCTCTTGTGGAACCGTCTCGGTGCCACGCTCGCAAATTCCGGCAGATCTGAAGAGGCCATCGATGCATATTCTCGTGCTTTGGAGATGCGACCCAACTTCGTCAGAGCGCGCTACAACCTAGGAGTTTCATGTATAAACATCGGTTGCTACGAAGAAGCCGCTCAACACCTCCTAGGCGCATTGGCAATGCACCGCATCACGGAAAAAGAAGGTCTTGAAAAGGCAAGGGAGGTGGTCGGTGACACTAACATGACAGATGCCAAGCTGGAAGCCATGATTACTCAAAACCAGAGCACGAATCTCTACGACACTTTGAGAAGAGTGTTTGCACAGATGGAGCGTAGAGACTTGCAAGAGCTCGTCGGCCCTGGCATGAATCTCGAGGAAATGAGGCAGCATTTCGAGTTCTAGAAGAGTGGTAGAGAGTCCTGGTGCTCGCTAGGAGCTCGTAGTGCAAAGATGTTTTTTCATTGGTCGCACTGGTATGGGTTGAGGGCCATGGACGTTCCCCATGCCCGAGAGTCAAGACTCTGATGGGCTTGGGCTTGTCCTTCTTGAACGAAAGACGACTGTGTAGATACTCTTCACTTCTCATAGACTATCTACCCTCGCTTTACGACGGTCATGAACAAACAATTTTTCTGAGCCTCGTACCGATTACGAAGGTAGCTGTGAGGCACAGACCATGATTACAAGAATAGGCGAACGAAGGCGAGGGTCGAGCAGGGTTACCCCTCGGCTCGAGCTAGCATACATTAGGCAGATGGCTGTCGATGGTGGCAGAAGAACCCCATACGGGGCGGGCGCCCAGCGTCACTGGTCACTGCCTAGAGCGCTGGATTGCGAAAGAGGACATGTTCCTCCCGCCCTCAACCTGCTTGTGTCTGCCCAACTCTTTTTTCTCTCTTGTTCAGCTCGCCATTCGATCAGTTGTGTCCACTGTCCACTGTCCACTGTCAACGGAGGTGCACGTCTTCAACCGAAGCTTATCGGGCGTCTGGACCCTAGTCTGGCCATTTCTTCCCTCTTTCCCCAGAAAGCGCATAACAGTGTCAAGACTCAAGCGCAAGACATTTCGACCTCCGCAGAAGGAGCCCTGCAGATACCCCGCTGCCCGTTTCACTTTCGCATCTGCATCCTCGCACCACTTGATGGACGCAGCAGCCATCCAACTCGTCTGAACCCGCTCCTGCTCCTGCCGACGTCGCCATGAGCAGCAGCGTCCAGCGTTTCTTGGGCAGACGGGACCGCCGATCAAAAGTATTTCTACCCTTTTCTCACTTCCACCTGCCCTCTCCACCCTGGCGTAAAGATGCCGATCCTGGAGCCAGTCCTCTGCCCGACCAAAGACGAAGTCGATCAATCGACTCATCCTTGGATCTCGCCGACCATGTCTCCAATCGACCTTCCAAAAAGCGACCAACTTCCGTCCAATTCACCCCATCCCCCACCATTGCAACCCCCGCTGACCGCGATTGTTCCCTCGCTCTACAGACCCCTCCTGACACCGGCGCATTCGGTGGCTTGTTCGTACCAGAAGAAAGGAAGAAGCTAGAAAAGGAGGACGAGAAGAGGGTGAGCAATCCGTCCTTGTTGGCCAAGTCATCTTGCTGAGGCTAGATGCGCACACAGATCAAGACAATCATCGCTCGACTCCAGACGTACGGAATCACGACCTTCACCGAAGCGAATGTCAACTATGCTCTGCAGGCCACAAACTCCGAGGGCAATGGTGAGGACGCCATGCGACTGCTGCTCCTCTTCGAGGACACATACGAAGGCATCCTCAAGACATATAACCCCTCGACCAAGCTGCTCGGTGCTGAAAACCGCAACGGCGTGACTTGCTACCTCGATGCACTCCTCTTCGCCATGTTCGCGCGTCTCGACAGCTTCGAAGCCATGCTGTATAATAGCTTTGAGGATCTTCCGCGCAAGAAGCTGGCCGGTCTCCTACGCTTGTGGGTCAACATGTTACGCTCCGGCAGACTGATCACTCGAGACATTGTACGTATCATCTTCGGACACAATCCTTCCTCAGTTGCTGACCTCTTGTTTAGACCAAACACTTGCAAGACTCGCTCGCGGAATGCGGTTGGGAATCGGCAGCCGAATTGTGCCAGCAAGACACATCCGAAGCCTTCACCTTCATCACTGGCAAGCTCGAGCTCCCACTGCTCACTCTGAAGATGGACTTGTTCCATACAGGCAAAGAAGATCCTGCTGACGATCACAAATTTGTCAATGAACGCCTGCTCGAAGTCGCCGTAGTCACCGAACCGCCCGAGGGAAGCAGTGTCGTCACGCTGGAAGATTGTCTGGAAAACTATTTCAACAACCGTATCGAGGTTAAACGTCATCTTGACAGACGCAATACACTCCAGTCCGTCAGGTCCAACGAGAGACTTCAACGTTCGAACTCTTGCGAAAAGGGTGGAGCTTTGCATGTCGAAACGGTTGAATACTTTGACCAAGCCGCCACACCCAGGCCGGATCCCAGCACTCCGGTCAAATCGCCATCGTCTGCGCCCGGCACCCCAATCAAGTCGCCTCTCGATAAGATCAGGCCCGGCATGAATCGCAAGCGTGCCGATAGTATTTTCAGCCAGCGAAGAGTGGTGGAAGCCAAGCCAGACGAGAAGAAAGAGCTAGATGATGCCACAAATACTCCCGGCCGACCGCGTAAGAACTCGATCCGGACGGAGGTGTTGATGCCCGCCTGGCAGTTCTTCAAACTGCTTCCATGGTATACCGAGAACATTATCCCTACTAGCGATGCCCAGGTCGCCGCTCATTTCTCCAAGAAGCGACCAGTGCTTGGAATTGCCCTCAAGAGATACCAGTACACCAACACTGGCATCGCAAGTCGTCTCGACACCTTCATCGACATTCCTCTTGAGATTGCGGTACCGAACTTTGTGTCCGACGATGAGATGGAAGATCATAGCCCGCTTGTTGGCAACTTCAAGCTTGTTCTCCAGTCAGTTGTCTGCCATCGAGGCGTATCCGTCAATTCTGGTCACTACGTTTCCCTGGTCCGGGGTCGCGCTGCCAATGCTCAAAGCATCGATGGACGTTCGGATCGCCCGGATACTGCTACCAGTGTCGAAGAAGAAGATCCTTGGATGCTGTTTGACGATCTTGCCAGAGAACGTGTCACCTACGTTGACATCAATCAAAAGCTGAAGGAAGAATGTCCTTACCTTCTCTTCTACCAAGTTCAACCCATCGACGAGGAACTCATCCCTGACGCGCCTCCAACCTATGACGAGGCCATGTCACGACACCCATCAGATTCTTTCGAGTATTCGCCTGAAAAGCTCAAGAAGATCGGCAGTGACGAGAACGACATGGTCCTAGTCGAATCTTCTTCCCCGACTTCGCCTAATGGGCTATCGGGCACCGAGACCGCAGACTGGACAGCATCTAACAGAACCAGTCTGGACATACGCGGGAGGGCCAGTCTAGATGCTCGTCGTGAAAGTGTCGCAGACGATGGCAGCGCTGCTGGCAGTCAAGCCACTATGTCCGTACCATCAACACCGATAGACGAGTCACGAGGTAGCTTCCTTGGCATACCGTCGAGGAGAGGTAGCAAGGTTAGCACCAAGAAGACCAAGTCACGTCCTGGGTCTACAGACGGCGGCTCGCGCTTCAGTCTGAATATGAGTATGAGCAAACTCACAAGTCGTGTGAGCCGGACCGATCTTACAAATCTTGCTGCGGCAGCTGAACAGGACGAGGACCAGGTTCACAGCAAAGATGTGGAAGGTCAGCCGACGGTGAGCGGCAGTGAAGCATCCGTCGAGAGTCTCAAGAATCTTGACGCAAAGATGGCCGAGAAAGCCGAGAAAGAGAGGACCGGCAGGAGCAAAGTCAGGAAAGAGCGAAGTGACAAGGGCCACGAAGGACATTTCCATCGAAAGCGAAAAACGGAGAAACCGGACAGAGAGTGTACCATCATGTGAGGTGGTGGTATTCTCCGCGGTAAATTCGGATCGCTCGTTTCATTCATCTAGTTGCATAGCGTGGGTTTTGTTTGGAAGATCGGCCTTCGTTGGCGAGGAGCATTGAATTTTTATGCATGGCGTTTAGGAGGGAGGAACAGCTCTTTTCCGGAGGAGGCTGCACTGGAGGACAAATCATTGTGGATACCCGGTCTCTATACAATCTCTCTGTACCAAGTCACAGAAGTCTGTTGGCTTCTGCGAACATGTTCATGCGAGGTCTATTGACTAGACCTGATTTGTGCTGACCCCTCCTTCCGCAAAGAGCTGTAGCACCGCCCCACTTGATGTTACGAGGGGCTCCTCGCCCCACAAACATCGTTATGGAGCTTTAACGAAGCATCACCATCAATGTCGCAAGGCCATCGCACACGTCCCATGGAGCCCCACGACCTCATGCCGCCATGATGTGAGAGACCCCGCAGGGTGGCAGTGACTAACCATGACCGACACAAGTGCCGCCTGCTGAGAGCTGGAATAGTTATATGCTCCCGGAGCCCAGCCCTTCGCTCTTTCACATCTACATACAACTTTTGACGTGCTATTCATACTACACTCTACTACTATCGCCACAATGCCTGCCCCTATGAAAGAACGCGAACCCGCCACAGATCCTACCAAGATCTTCCATTACACAGACTTGCAGCGCAAGAAGCCTACCCGCGAGAATGACCCCTACACATATATGCACGGCTGGAACAACAGACACCAGTCAGAGGTGATCCCAGGCACCCTCCCAGTGGCCCAGAACAACCCACAAGAAGTCCGATTTGGCCTTTACACCGAAGGCATTACATACAGTGCATTCGCCGCACCAAGAGCACACAACTACAGCACATACATGTACCGTGTCCGGCCCGCAGCGGCTCACAGTGAGTAGTTCCGGTATGTTCTTCGAGATGGTTCTAACTCTCCCCAGATGGATACAAGAAGATTGAATCAAAGGCTCACATCCAGAACTGCTTCCTCTCGCTGAACCCTGAAGTCGAGACTCTGCCCGAACAAGCAGAATGGGGACCTTTCCCTCTGCCCGAAGACTCGGACAAGATTGACTTTGTGGATGGTTTACATACTTTGGGTGGTTCTGGTGATCCTAACTTGCGTGAGGGCATGGCCTTGTATGTCTACGCCATCAACGCATCTATGGAGAAACGAGCATTCTGCAACACAGATGGTGACTTCCTCATCTGCGCTCAGCAAGGGAACCTGGACGTCCAGACCGAATTCGGTATGATCTTTTTGCAGCCAGGAGAAATTTGCGTCATTCAGAGAGGTGTGAGATTCAGAATTGCTCTTGGACCTGGAGTTGAGAAGGCTAGAGGATACATCACGGAGGTTTGGGGCAGCATGTGGGAGTTGCCTGACCTGGGTCCTTTGGGTGGCCATAGTCTTGCTAACCCCAGAGACTTCTTATATCCCGTTGCACACATTGATGAGGATTTGAGCGGAGACTGGGCTGTTGTGAACAAGAACAATGGAAAGTACAACTGCCTCGAGCAGGATCACAGTCCGTTCGACTTGGTCGCCTGGCACGGAAACGTCGTTCCGTACAAGGTAAGAGCTTCATGTCTCTCTGCGCACATACTAGATTCGTTTCTAACATTGATTGCTCCAGTACGATCTCACCAAGTTCGCCTCCCAAAACGCAACCAGTATTGATCATACCGATCCTTCCGTCAACACCGTCCTCACAGCCAAATCCCGCGATCCCAACACTCCTCTCGCCGACTTCCTCTGGTTCGGTCCAAGATGGGACGTCGCATCAAACACCTTCCGCCTCCCCTACTTCCACCGCAACTCGGCCTCCGAATTCCTCGCCTGCCTCTACGGCGAAGGCTTAGGTAGAAGCGACGACTTCCAACCCGGCGGCGGCAGTTTCGAGGGCGGCCACACCCCCCATGGTGGCTTCTCGGAAGCCTACGTAGATGAGATGCGCATCCAAGAGTCTGAGCCCCGGAAGATTTTGGAAAATCAAATGACTATCATGGTGGAGAGTTCGAGGACTTTCTTGTGGACTGAGTATGCGAGGGTGGGGTGTGGCACTATCAACACTCGTGGTACGGACCCTAAGGTTTGGGATACGCTGCCTGATCGTTTCTCGAATAACCCTGAGGCCAAGGCGTTGTTAAAGAGGGTCAAGGAGGACAAGAAATTGATGGAAGAGAGGAGTAAGGTATACTTCGATGATGGTGCACTTAAGGAGTTGCTTAACAGCAAAACCAACGGATGTTGATTGTACCGATAACAATGGCGCTATTGGTCTGATATAAACAAAGCTGTATTGAAGTCCGGTACAAATTACTCAATTCATTGCTCCAAATGTTCTTCCGGACAGCCAACCAAGTGTTTCAACAAACAAATCGTGCTTTAGATGATTTCTCCCGAGACGGCGTTCGATATTTGAACAATTGAAGTGATCTCCTCGTGAGATGTTCGTCCCCAGCCACATTCGGTGCCAACACCAAAGCCATCAAGAACTTCAGAAGCAGCTTTGATCCTGCGCTGGGTACCCTCCAAGTCATCGGTATGGACAAGACCAAGATAAATGTCCGTCTCTCCTCTGACTGCCTGCAAGTCTTTCAAAGGAGCAAAGTATGCTGCATCCTCTCTATCTTTGGGCACAGGCAGATGGATATAATCAACACGTCTGCTGACATTGCTCAAAAGCTCCTTGGCCATATCGGCCATAAAGCCCGTGTCCTTGGGCTGAGTGAAATGCTGATGTCCAATATCACCATAGCAGAAATGGAAGCCCATGTCAACGGCGGAGTCGACAGCGGCAGTCAGTCTGAGCCAGCGGTCCAGGATCCCTTGCTTGACATCTGAGAACCAAGGTTGCACCCAGACGCCTTCGAGTAGGGCAAACTCGATGGGGACGTCCCACTGGATAGCCAATTCTTCTTTGGGCACGGTCTTGATTATGTTATCCAAAGCTCTAAGGATGGCGCGCTCGTAGACAGGCTCAATAGCAGTCTTGTAGTCGCCAACAATAAACGGCGATACAAATGTCAACGGCGAAGGCAAGCAGACCTGGAATTTGACATGCTTGGGAATCACACCTTCCTCCTTCAGCTTTTTGAAAACAGGCCAAGATTCAATGGCAGCAGTATCGTAATCAGTGTCCATGCCCTCGAGTTTCTCCGCAGCTTCCTTGATCTTTTCCTCTGGCACAGGAGTATCTTCGAATTTGCCGTTCTGACCGAATTGACTGACGACCTCGGGGAAAGCGCCGAATTTGTACATTTGCCATCCTATGAAGTAGTTGCGTTGGCCGGTTTCTCCATCGGGAATGTATTTGAGACGACTGCCGAGGGCTGGTGCCATTCTGCGTAAGACATCCTCAGTGTCTGTTCCAGGCACACTGCCGACGAGCAGAACACCCTTGATAGGAGCCTTTTCTGTGGACATGTTGTTCGATTGTCGTCTTTTGATATGAAAAGAGTTTCGAGAAAGAGAGAGGGTGGGTTGAGGAGGGGTCCCGGCGAAATACTATCTACCTACCGAATGCAAGGTGCTGGGTGTTAACCGAGCTGCATACCGCCAGTGTGGTTCAAGTTGTGATGGTAAATTGAACTTGCAGGTCTTGGCGGCGCTTCGAGGAAGAAGCAGCCGAGCACGATAGCACCTGCTATATCAGATTCACCCTTACAGTACTCGATATCGCATCTCTACAAGTGTCCTCGCAGCGTGAAAAAAGGCTGTATGCTGCCTATAGAGCTCGCATCCTTGTCGACGAGTCAAGTTATGACAATCTCTCCATTCGATTCGATCAGCGTTACGTTGTCAGTGGACGAAGCTTCACCAACACGAGGTCCTGATACGCGACGCGTTCAGTCTACTCTACGGGCTAATCAGGCCGTAAGCATTGCCCATCCCCCGAAGGTCGTTCGTAGACGATTTGGAAAGTCGGGAAGCGAATCAAGAGTAATTGTGTTCTTACGAAAGAGGATAGAGGAGCAAAGAGGACAGGGTCACTTGAAGGCCCCACATTCGGCAGTTCCTCCCTCAGACGTCACCACCACAACTTCTCCACATCCTCGTACGGCAGCGAAGTTCGAGGACTTTAGCCTTGTGACTAACTACCTTCATCCGTTTTCTAGATCTGTATGCTTCTGTTGCCGAGAAATCGTAGACCTCAGTCACTTTTACGTTTTCACCAGATACTAAGATCATTTTGTCTGTCGTACACGCCATCTACATCAACCATCATGAGCACAACTCAACAATTCCCCTGGCCACATGGCAAGCGCGCCTGTATCAGCTTAACAATGGACAATATGGGCGAAGCCGCCGACCTCAACCGTGGACTTTGGCCCAAAGATAAGCCGATAGGCTCGCACTACTCCGTAATCGAAAAGCTTCCTAAGATGCTTGACTTGCTGGACAAATATCACATCCCCGCCACTTACTTCGTTGAAGGCTGGAATTGTCCCATCTACCCGGATACCATCCAACATGTTCAAACCCGAGGCCACGAGATTGGATTCCACGCTTATCAGCACGAGGTCTGGAAGAATCTGGATGCTGAGACAGAGGTTGGGAATTTGGATAAGAGTGTTGAGAATGCGAAAGCGATTGGTGTGCAGTATAAGGGATTCAGGCCACCGGGTGGTCTGGTCACAGATAGGACGTTGAATCTGATGAAGGAAAAAGGGATGACTTATCTTTCTCCAGCCGCAGAACGTCCGGCTTTGGTCGATGGCATTGCAATGGTGCCGTTCCAGTGGGAGAGCATCGATGCCTACTTCTATATGGCCTCAACAGCTGCACTGAGAAAGGGTAAAGGTGACACAGAAGACGTACTTTCACCCCAAGTTCTCAAAGAACGATTGATCAAGAGGATTGACGAGGTTGTCAGAGAGGGAGGATATCTGGCTCTATTGTTCCACCCTTTCCTACAGACCGAGGACGAGAAGCTACAAGTTATGGAGGAGGTAGTGGAACACATAGTAAGCAAGCAAGAAGAGGCATGGATAGCTCAATGCAAGGACGTAGCGGACTGGATCCGCAAGAACCCAGAGGCGTTCGGTAACGATCCGGGATGGGACAAGGCAGAATGGAAGAAGAATTAGGCATGCATGTTCATATGCCGTTTGAAGGAGGAGACTATTTACATTATTGATTCGTGACTACAGATTATGCGATTTCAAATAGATTCCTCCAACACGTCAGACATGATGTGTAAAATTCGTGACAGCGTCCTCGGCTTCCATGTACCAATGCCATCCATTAAGTGCGCGAAATCCAGTAATGTTCGTCTTGCAGTTTGGAACCCGCTAGTAGCCACAACCCCATTGATTGATGCAGGACCACCTGCTTCAATGAAAGTGCGAGTGATGTTTGAAGCATGGGAGGACTCGAACATCATGCCTGGACTGTTCCCAGGCGAAGTTTCTGCCATGCCCGCATTGCCGACTATCGTCCAGTCAACGTCATCCATCAACTCATATGGCGGGCGGGTATTATCGGTTTCCGGGCTTTGTACAGTGAAGAGATAGAGACCAAGAACAAGAGCAGAGCAGAATAGTGCAGACATGGAGTTGAGCGTAACACTCTCCGACACCTTGCGATTGCTGAGGAGCTGGAAAGTATGCGCGGCGTGTATGCAAGCCCTGCGAGCTGAGGAAGTGCGGGCCCAATCCTCCACATCGGCAAGAGCCTTGCCTGCTGGACCCGCGCCTGCACGACCTGCTGCAAGCTCGAAGATCTGCATGTTCGAGTTGAGTGTCAAACACAAGTTGTGCCACAGGACTAGGGAATTGAGATCTGCAGTCTTCACTGAGCCGGTGATAACAGGCGCAAGTGATAGTGTGGTCTGTACCAGGGATCGGGCTCTGAGATCGTCTTGATATGTCTCCCATGGTATCAAGTGATCGTGTCTGTCCCAGTCGTCCGTAGGTAAGAAGTGTCGATGCTGAGCATCACATACACAGAGTTTGATGGCCGAGAGTAGAGTGTACTGTCCTGGGGCATCTAATGGAGGATCGAGCAGTATGACCGAATCCAAGGCTCCTTCGAGGTTGAATGTGCGAGGTTTAATCATTGGCATGGATATTCTTTTGCCCATCTGTTGCAGCTGGGTCCATCGCGCCGTAGACTCTGCACGGAAAAGGACGTCGTCGCAAGGGAGACATAATTGAAGTGTCTCTGGCCGTATCGCGGGACTGACTGAAGAATTTGCAGAAAACCACCAATCAGTGGTAAGTAATGCAACGACAAGTCTGTGGTTCTCATGATTAGTATCGAAATTCCAAGAGAGAACGTTGCAACTCACCTTTTGGCACTCTCAATACGAGCCCACGTTAGCCATCGAGAGTTTTCATCGTTGACCTCAGCAATGGTGTCTTCCACGTCTAGCTCTTCCACAGAGAACACCCCTTGCCTCTGTGCTGTCTAGGATACTGTCAGCCACGTGTCGCAGATACGAGTTCATATTACCTACCGCTATCAGCGCCGCATAAAGAGTCTGAGACTGCGCTAATCGGTCTTTGTCCTACGAGGATATTTAGCATACAGACCATGCCCTGAGACCGATGAACTCACTCCTGACAGAGCAGCTAGACACAATGTCAAGAAACCAGCAGCGAATATGGCCAGACGTGCATGTGGAGCTGAGGGAGTAATTGCATTCAGTGCCAAATCATTGTGCACTTTTCGTAGTAAGATCTGTAAAATGTCAGTGAAGGGCACGTAAGAGAACAGTACCATGAGAACCGCTTACCGTAAAAGCGTTGGAGATGAAGTTTCCACCGTTACTCGATTCAAGAGCACTGAGTCCTAGCATACACATGGCATACAGCAGAGGAAGAGGAGTGTTAGAAGCATCAAACGTCGGAACGTGGATGAAAGGAGCCATTGGATGAAATCGGCGGAAGTAGTGGTCCAAACATATCTCGAGCACTTCTGCCGGAGGAAAGTTTCCGGGCCGTTGCGCAGAGGCACCGGCAGAATGAGGCAAATGGGCGCCAAATTCTGCTTCTAGGCGGGAGCGTAACAGGGCATTAACACCCCATCGGCTATCTGACCTTTCTAAAGTTTGTGAGAGTCCGATCGAAAATAAGTTAGGTCCGGGGCTGTGGACGACATCGGACCAAAGTGATTGGGCAAGGTGGTGAGTACCGTTGTTCTTCGCCAACCAACAGCTTTCGACTCGTGCAAAGCGTTCATTCGGTATGTTCCCGGTCGACGCAGTATCACTGGTCTCTGAGGTTGCGGCTCTCTGTACTGGTAGACGTGCTGGTCGCTGATTGGCTTCTGGTGTATACGGAGTGCTAGCCATATCTGGTAGGGCAAGCGAACCGTAGCCCAGATCATTGTCTGCTTGCGACAACCAAAATTGCAGCATATCTTGAGATTGCCCGGGTGAGTGCACTGGTAGTCCTCCAACCCCAAAGGGTCCGGACATTAAGCCATCCATATGAGTGTGGTCCATTGACACAAGTTGTGGATCGTAAGTATGCGATGGCAATGCAGGTGTCGTCACACTTGGAGGAAACTCCTGTACAGGTGTAAACTCAGGTCCAGTATACGCATGCGACGGCGTCATTTGGGAAAGAGGGCCATGTTGCTGCGGGCTCATGTTATACTGGGGATGGCCCAAAGATAAGTCAGGCATTGACATGTGTCGTGAATGAGCCATATGCGCATCGCCATAGGATTGATCCTGAGCAAAACTCGTCCTCTCCGGACGAGCAAAGGGGCCATTGGGGTTCATGCGTTCCTCTGAGATTGGTATCATGGATCCATTCGGCGGCGATGGCCTAACAGGCCCAAGCAAAGAGCTTGACGCGTCTCCACGTTCCTCGGGTGTTTGTTGACTATGTAGCTTACTGTGTCGAAAGAGCACATCACTGTGGGAACGTGTTAATGTCGCAATGTTGGCTGTGCTGATCATTTACCTACCTCCGCGAGAAGCGCTTCTTGCAGGTCACGCACTCGTAGGGCCGCTCCTTCGTGTCTGGTAGTAGTTAGGTCTACTTTTTCTGAATGAAATCATCTTGCGAACTTACGAGACCTTTGGTGTCGAAGGTAATGCTCGGCCTGCTCAATGTCAGCATCGACACGAATCAAGCATATGGCTGTTCAAACCTTGGTAAAATTCCGGTCGCATATTGAACATCTTCGCAACACCATACCTCGCAGCCTGGGGTTTGCACGTCACGCTCTCAGGCTTCTCGGCCCACAACGAGGGTTATCCTGGGTGGCTTGAGGAGTGATGGACCCCGCCCCCACTTCGATTTCACCTGAGATTGAGATACGGAGCAGATCTGGATTGCTATTACTCGGCACAGTACGCGTTTGGGTACACTGTTCTGAGATGAAGCAAAAGAAATTTCCGCGTAGAATCACAAGTTTGATGGACAACGCAGTAGGGGCAAGAGGTCGAGGCTTGTCAGAAGTTCGAAAGCGGAAGCAACCTCTACGAATCGGTCGGTCCGAATTGCGGAGTAGATCCGCCGAGCTATGATTGGCCAAGTTTAGTTGTAAATTATGCAAGATTATTATACAGTGTAATGTCTACCAAAATATTGAAGTGGCAGACTCAGTCAGTCTATCGCTACGTCGAAATCCTGGAGAACTGCATGTCGTGCGTAATGCTGCCAAATTTCATCTCCCACAAATCTCTCAGATAATGTGAGCGCGGAAGCCAAGGAGCTTTATTTCCGGCTCGAGGCAGACTACCCTCTGCTTTAACGATGTATGTAGAACTGAGATTGAGGACAGATTGGTCCTGCATATCAGAGTTCTTGTCCACCCTGGGCACTGCTTGTGTCATACCGTTCTTGTCCATGTGGTTGATAAGACGAGTGACAAACTGTGCGGTCGCGTCTGAGCCCAGAGTCCAGGATGCGTTCGTGTAGCCAATAACAATGGCAGCATTAGGGACGTCCTCGATCATAGCACCTTTCCAGAGATGCTTCTGCGGCACCTCGAGAGGCTCGTTATCAACAGAGAGCTTGGCTCCTCCCGCCATGATAAGCTTCAACCCAGTGGCGGTAACGATTATGTCAGGGGTCAAGACACGATCGGAGCCTTCAAGGTGAATGCTCTTCTCTGTGACTTGTTTGATTGAAGCAGTGATAACTTCGGCTTGTCCGTCTTTGATGGCTTTATAAAAGTCTCCATCGGGAGACGCGCACAGACGTTGGTCCCATGGTCCATAGTTCGGCTCGAAGTTGGGCTCCAAGGGATACCCTTCCGGTAGCTGAGATGCAGCTCCCTTTTTCAGAAGTCTTCTGGCACGATCAGGGAAAGCCTTGCAGAACTTGAAAAAGAGGAAGGGGAGGATCAAGAACTGTATGCGTCTGAGCTTGTATGTCCAGCTGACAGGGAGAAACTTGGCGGGCCAGTATGAAAGGTTGTCTCGTTGGGGCACCGCGGCAATATATGTCGGGCTCCGCTGGAGCATGATGACTTTATTGGTCTTCTTGGCTATGTTAGGAAGAAGTGTTATAGCAGTAGCGCCACTTCCAACCTGATACCAAACCTTTGTTAGCAAGTATTCAATAGACGCAAAGTACAAACGAAACTCCAGAAGGCTACTTACAATAACGACATCCTTGTTCTCATAGTCCAGATCTTCTGGCCAGAATTGAGGGTGGACAACTTTTCCTTGGAAGTCTTTGATACCGGGAATTGTAGCAGGCATGGCCTCATTGAAGTCGTAATAACCTGTGCAGAAAACAATGAAGCGGGCGCGGAGATTCTGTTCGCCCTGAGGTGTATCGACTTTGAGACTCCAGTTTTGTTGGTCTGTGGACCAATTTGCAGATTGAAGTTTGTGGCGATAACGGATGTGTTTATCGATTCCGAAGTTGTTGGCAGCATCCTTCAAGTACTCTTTGATAGATGCTCCATCTGCCATTGTGCGATACTCTTTCCATGGATAGAATTCGAAGCCGAATGTGTACATGTCCGAATCGCTACGGATTCCAGGATAGCGAAAGAGATCCCATGTGCCACCTAGAGAATCTCTGGCCTCCAAAATTGCATACGATTTGTTGGATGTTTGCTCCTGCAGACGGTATGCTACATTTATACCAGAAATTCCTGCTCCAATAATCAGGCAGTCATAGTAGTTCGACGTGTCGCTCTTGGTGTCCATCTTGAGTGGCTAGTTCGCGGACCAAGTATGATATCAGGTACAGCTGGAACAAATATTTGTTTTCAACGTTGAAGAATTGAGTAGCCTGAAGAGGTCAAGAGACACTACTTATGTTCTAGAGGCCTCTGTACTGTCAAATACTTACAACAAGAAACATACCTCGATGTCGCGGTCATGGGGGTCTGATCGAGGGGTAGCCGTTGCATTCAGAACCTTGTTGACCGTTGACACTTGGATCGTGCCGAGGATCTCGGGGTCGGAAAGGTGACATCCGAAAGAACTTGACAACGAGTAAAGTCGCTCGCATTGATTACCCAATGTAGACTCAAGAATAGTAGGTGAAGTATCGTCCTATGTGAAGTCGGCCAACCAGGGTATCACATAATGAGGCGAGTAGCTAGACAACACACGAGCTCTACCCGAGCAACTTCGCCTGCCTTGGAGTCGTTCAAGCATTCTTAGTGACTTGAACCATGGACACATCAGTATCAAAGTCGAGAGTGGCACTTCGATGATAGAAAAAACACTGAGTACACAGCACAAATGGAAGCAGACCACAGGACGAATGCGAAACTGCGAGCAAAATAAGAGTTTTCCCCGCTCCTGCAGCTCAATCAATCTCGCCGATCCTTGCAGCGATCTATTGCTTGAACCAACTTCCTCCTTGTTCGTGGCGACTCTGCTGCAACCTACTTCACAATGGCCTCGGCAGTCAAGGCATGGACCTTCACTCATGAGGGTTATCCTCACGCCATCCACAAGTCGGCTCTTCCAGCACCATTCCGCCCGTCGGCCACGGAGCTTCATGTCCGGGTCAAAGCAGCAGCACTGAATCCTGTGGATATCCAGCTGATGAACCTCCCTATTTGGAAATATCTTCCTAAATTCTTTGCTCCTCTTGAGAAGGGGATTGCTGAGGATTTTTCTGGCATTGTAGAGTCCGCTGGCAAGGATAGCGGCTACGAAGTCGGGGATGAGGTAGGTTTGAATTTTCCACGCTGGTCCTCTGCTCTTTCGTGTACAATGCTCCACAAGGCATAGTCGTCCGGGCACCTTTGGTCAACGAGGAGTCATGGAGGTAACATATTTAATAGGTCTTTGGTATTACTTTCACACTCACTGGTGGCACACTTCAGAATGTTGCTATAGTAAACACAAAGTCCAGCATTGTAGTCAAGAAGCCGCAAGACATGAGCTGGGAACAGGCTGCCGCTTTGCCCTTGGTCTGGTTGACAGGTATTCTTCACTCGTACAAAGCAGTGACTAGTACGCTGACACACACAGCGCGCACAGCGATCTCCAACGTCGAGCTCTTCATACAGAGCAATAGCCGACTAGCTGTACTAGGTGGAAGCTCGGGTGTGGGTATGTATGTGTTGCAGCTTGCTGCTCAGCGAGGCTGGGAAGTGCTCAGTACCTGTTCTTCCCGCAACGCCGAATTCGTCAAGTCAATGGGTGCAACTCGGGTTGTCGACTACAATACCAGCGATGTGACGCAAGCCGTTGGAGAGTTCGAACCATCGGCCATTATCGACTGCGTCGGTGGCACTTCGTGCATCGGTCTCGCGAATAGGTATGTCACGATCGTAGGTGATAAGACAGGCCGTGACAGCATGGGTGGAGCAGCGACATATCTTTGGAACCCACAGATGGTCGTGAGAACTTTGCTTGGGAAGATTGGTGTAGGTAAAAGCTACGCCTGCGTCAATCTGAAATTTCAGAAAGAATGGCTGGAGGAAACGCTGAGTCTCGATCGTGAAAAGATCATTATTGACAGTACGTGGGAGTTTGATCAGGCAAAAGAGGCCTTTGCAAAATTGAATACTGGACGAGCGACGGGAAAGGTGATAGTAAGAGTGGGCTGAAATTATTTTGAATCACGACCAAATAGCACAATCTATTCAACCTTGATGTTCAAGTCCTCCGGGTCATGATCAACTGTGCCTTCGAGCTTCTTGCCTTGAAGCACGGCTTTCATCAAGGTTTCCAGACGTGAAATGGCTTCTTCGTCGATCTGGTAATGAACGACGAGACGTCCGCCTCCTAGTCTGAGGCCAACTTTTTCTCCAGCTGCAATAAAGTCCGTGACGCTGATGCCAGCAGCGTCAAGATCCAGCCAGCACATGTTTGTCTCGACGGGGTTCGAGGTCTTACCACCAAGCTTTTCCCACATAGCGGCGATCTGACGTGCTCTGTCATGGCTCGCGGTCAACTTGCCACCAAGGTACGTGTCTTCGACAGCAACGCGAGCGGCAGCAGTGACAACACCTGCCTGACGCAAGCCACCACCGATACTCTTCCTGATCCAGCGTGCTCTTTCACGGAACTGCTTTGTTCCGACAAGGATGCTACCAATGGGTGCACCTAGACCTTTGCTAAAGCAGAGTGAGATGGAATCGAAGCATGCACAGTAGTCCTTGAGAGATCCAGCACCAGAGGCAACGGCCTCCCATAACCTGGCACCATCAAGGTGCATCAGGATGCCATTCTCTTTGGCCCAGGCACTGATACGCTGGAACTCGTCGAGAGGGGTCACGATGCCATTGAGAGTGTTTTCCAGACTGAGAAGCTTTGTTGGACAGGCATGGATGTCATTGCTAATGACAGCATACTTCTTGACGTCTTCCAGTGTCAAGTACTTGTCGTTGGCGGGCACAACTGCCTGGATAAGAGCACCACACATACTAGCGACACCACCAGCCTCCCATTGGACAATGTGTGAGCGGTGGTCAGTGAGGACAGCATGAGGCGGGGCCAAGAGCTGGGTACGCAAGGCTACCTGGTTGCCCATTGTGCCCGACAGGACGAACAGGGCAGCCTCCTTGCCTGTCAGGTCTGCAATGAAGCTCTCCAAGTCGTTAGATGTGGGGTCTTCCATAAAGACATCATCTTGAAGCGTTGTTGCAGCAATGGCCTCGAGCATGCGCGTTGTCGGTCGAGTCATGACATCTGAGCGGAAGTCAAAGGCTGCTCCTCCGGGCGCCGACCAGTTGTTGACCTTGGTCTGACCATTGGTCAAGTCCTTGGCTGTTTTCTCAGCTCCTTCTTGTGTGATGGCAGCTGCCATGTTTCTTTGCTTGGTGAGGGGTAACAGACAAGCTCGCGAGCTGTTGTGGATGGCGGGGCGTGTCGTTGTTGGGCGAATTGATCGGACACCGAGTCGTATGCTAGGAATTGTCAAGGGCATCTCGCCCTGAAGGAAGTCGCTCACATCATCGTTGCTTGCTGCTGTTATGTCACTCGACTGTTGCTGATTAGGAAGGTCCCCCGGCTATTCATGCAGTCTTGGCAGTTTTGCGTCTGATTGCGACTCTTTCCAAACTTGGCCACGATTGGGACTCCTACCTTGCTTGCCAACACTGCACAACTATCAAACTGTCCTTTCGACGGCTTCTTGCCTTAAGGTCGAGATGTTAGACCTCCTAATTACTTGACATGGCCAATTGATTGGCGTGGCTCGAACTCATTCAGGTCAACACCTCAGCCCACTTCCTCATGACCGATCATTAATCTGACCACCTGCAATGTTCAGGGCCTTGTGCCCAGCAAATTGCCAAAAGGCATCGTTCGTGTTATTTTGACAGCTCTGAACCACCATCCGGCATAACTGATCAGTTTTTATCAGCCTTCCGGGAAGTGTACAAAGAAATCCAAAGAATGCTTCTCGCCATGTATTTCAAATTGACCCTGATCCTTGTACTACTGAATGTTACAAAACCCTGGGCCACAAAAAGTTTGAGCTCTGCAGAGAATCTGCATCTAGCCAAGTCAGGCGGGTATATGATTAAGGATATGAGCTCCCCTAACTCCGATCTAACGTACAAACGACAGCGAGCCATACAGCTATCTCACCCTCTGTGGTGGACGCTACTAGTGTTTGAGTGTTCGGGACAACCACCTTGTTATCCAGGTTTCATTGTTCCCCTTGCTACACCGCCAGGCTCCTTGCAGCGTACATACTGCGCACGAGCATTCCATTCGTTTGTGCCTTTGCGGACTACGACAGGAGCAACATCTTGCGCTTCATGACGATTTCCGTGGATTGGGGTAAGGTAGGAGCATTCGAGACATAAAAGCCTCGCCCCTGCCTATGGCTTCACACCTTCAGATCATCAGCTCCTCAATCACTCGAGAAGCATTCACGCGAACACGCAATACATCGATTCTTCTGCCAATATCCCTCACCAGCCTCAGCCTATTCTCTCCATCTAAGACTCAATCTCCTATCGTCATCATGCATATCATCGCCTCTGCTACATCCGCCATTCTTGCCTTGGCTGGCTCTGCTTCGGCCGCCTTCGCGACTGTCCAAAACAACTGTCCCGAAACCGTTTGGATCACCATCACGAACTCGACCTGGCAACCCGTCCAGTACCCGATCCCAGTCAACGGAACCTACACGCAGTGGCGTAGCGGTATTGGCAATGCCTACGGCCTGAGCAAGACATCGGCATACTTCTCTCCATCCACCCCCAAGTTCACCCTTGGCTTCTCCGACTCTGCCGACCACTTGCTGTACTGGTCCCTGATAAATGCCAGCGGAGATCCATTTGCCGGCCAACCTTGGCGCATCTCGCTGTCTGAGCCTTCGTGTTCTCCCAATCCCCTCACCGCTTATGACGGAGGCTTGGTTCACGCCTGTGGAGATACTTCCAACCTCACTGTTACTGTCTGCTAGGTGCCAGAAGTTTTGCCTGTCCTCGGAGATTGGCGCTGGTATCATGTCCCGACCGGTTTGTTGAAGACCATCTATTCTACTTTTGGATGGTTGGGCTACCTGTTTGTCTGAGGTGCGGGCGGTGGTCTTATGGGTAATAGCTGTTCTGGCTACAACGACACGATGAGATTTATCCCTGACACTACACTCCCTTGCTCTTCCTATATTGAATCAAGAATATCATACATGCTTGCTGAATTCTCTCTGTATCAGAACCCTCCCAGAAAATGCCATAAATCGCGGTACAGGGTCGACTGGCGTGAGCTTCGAGGTGAGAGCCGCTTATGCGGCATCACATGTGGACATGGCGGCAGTGACACAATGTAACAGGATGCTCTTTTCGAGTGCAATTGACGACATTTTGTTACGCCGAACTAGACTCAGCTATGCACGGCGTAGTGGGATGCATGGTATAGAGTGGAGCTTGTGCGTTGCAAGCTCTGACAACGTTGATAGTGGTGAGGTCGTGCATCATGGAATAAAAAATCAATAAATCAGTGGTATCATGGATGTTACGATGCAATAGGCCAGATCAAAAGCACGCCTCATAGCTCGTCTTTGTACGTCTCCTCAGAACCCTCTGGCTTCTGTTCGTCGTCGGAAGGAACGTCTTTGGTGGGCTTGGACTCATCCTTCTTCGCGCCCGTCGTTTGAGCGGTTTCTTGCTTCGCGGAATCATCCTCATCGTCGCCTAACAGAACACCTCTGTATTCGCGGCCATCGGGAGTGTCAAAGACTTTGAGCTCCCAGCCTTGACCACCTGCAATCTTTTCCAGTTCCTTCTTCAACTTTTCGACGCTCTTCGCATCACCAAGGCCGAGCCTCTTCAATTCCTCTGCAGACATGGCTTTGCCGAAGCTGTCGGCGATGGTCTCGACAAACTTTTCCTTGCCGCCTCCCACGATGGCAGATTTTTCTATCTTGCTGCCTTCAGGGACCCATTTATGTGCACCGACGGTGATACCGCCGATGTTTATAGGCCCCTTGGATTGCGAATCGACGGTTGGGTTGGGAGCGGTGGCTGCAAGGATGTCGGAAGCAGCAGCAATGCCGGCTTCGTATTCAGGCACTTGGTCTTCAGCAAGAATGGGCGAACAGGCAATCTTGTTGGCACGGTCCTTCTGAGGAGGCTGGAAGGCGACGTCGTTGCAGAGACGTGGAGTCTGGATGACCATGAGATAGGCACATGTCGCAACCTCTTTGATGAGGGATATGCGATCCGAAGTGGCAGGGTTGCAGTGGAACTGGACTTCGATGCGTCGCTCTTTAGCCGTCAAGTCGCAGAGGGTGCCACCGGATAGACGCTGTACGAGATACCTGCTCTCTCCGCGGGTCTCGAGCTTGCCAATAGCCTTGTCGTCAGGATGCTTCTCTTGGCTGGTATCATGGGGCTGGTCTTGTACGGCGCCAAGCATGAAGCCGGGCACACCGGGATCTTCGACAGGAGGATAGGCGGGGACGCCTTGGGAGGGAGGCAGTTGATGGAACTGCTTGACGCCCTGGCCGTAGCAATACCTGTAGCTCCACCATCCGCTCCAGAAGTAGATGCAATTGCCTTGCATGCCCTTGAGCAACTCCCAGCCCCTATCGTTTGCGCGAACTAGCTCTTTTTCATGATCCTGCTTCGACAGAGTCTCGTTGGGTTGCGATGCGGGAGGTTGCTCGACTATGCGCGGGATCTGGCACAGGTAGTGTTGGTTTGCTAAAACGACTTCCTCGTAGTCGTATCGCGGCTTGGAAGCTTGTGGCCCATGGTCGGTCGCCGAGGCGAGGGAAAGGTCGTCGGATTGAGCCTTGGGATCGGAGAGTCTCGCCTGAGCCTGCAGGTTTGAGATGTGGCCTTCTGGGAAGTCGACCGAGAACTAAGCCATGTTCAGTTGATTTGACGTCGACGAGTGCATCGGGCAACGTTTGCTTGTACCTGGGGGAAGGCAAGAACATCATCTTGCACACTGAAGGTATTCTGAGCAGCGGCCGCTACTCGCAGCAGAGCGGGCAAGGCCCAAAAACTCCTCATCTTGAAGTGCGTCTGCTTCCTTGTCGAGAGACACAAGTCCAGATCATCACCGTGTCAAGTGCTCACTGCAGGTGCTCATCGACCATCACTTGGAATGCGGAGTCTCACTCGGCCGTGCTTGCCGACATCCGAACTACTGCCACCCGCGAGTCAACTGTCAACATCACACGTCCCTCGTTCCTTCCTAAGAATCCGCCTTGGTGCTTCTTCCCTAATCTAAAGCTCCACTCTCAGGCGCTGCCTGCCAATCCTCTCGGACTACCTTTCTTTTTCCTATTCCCCTGCAGACATGGCATTACCTCACTGTACACGAGCTGCCTCCTGCTTCATGCTTTCGCCAAGGCCGTATGCTTGCCATGACATCTGAAGGATTATGGAACATCACTTCACTGCCTCCTTCCACCGCCATTGGACTTTACCAACGGCCGCTATGGTACCAAGCATCCACGGCATTCTCATCCTGCCTAGTAGATCACATCAGGTAGGTTGAACCATGTCGACTGTCCTAAATTTGGTGTCAAGGCTGTACGCCTGTCTGACTCGATTCTGAAATGACTTTTTTCTTGAATGTGTCCTTTCTTTTCTGCTTCAGTTCTCGCAGCGCCTTCGCAACTTCACTTCCTGCTTTCTCGTGCCTTTTCAACCATGGCCGATCATTCTGCCTTAGCGAACGATGCTACGCTATCTCCTAGGGCGTATACCGACCCAAGTGTACTCAATGACATGACCACTATGCAATTCAACGAATGGGCTTTCAGCCTCGGAGACACCCAGACGGGCTGCTACAACAAAGGCTCGCTACCATTGGCACTCGCCACCAATGATACTTGTTTGCTAGGCTTCTGGTGTAAGTCTTCTGGTCATGTGCATCACAGTTTCATGCTGATACCAGCAGGTCCGAACTCTGACGATGAACACCCACCGCAAATGTGCCCTCCAACCTGGCAATGTGCTGTCCTTCGGGCTAATCAAGCCACATGCCCCTTTGCTCAAGGAGATCTGGAACCTTTGATCTGCCCTGGAGGATCCTATTGTCCACCGGGCGGTAAAACCCGCATTCCATGCGATGCAGGCACATTCTGCCCCCAAGGTAGCTATAAACCGATCAAATGCGACAAAGGCGCGTACTGCCCTTGGGCAAGCGCACACCAAATACCTCTTCTACCGCTATATGTGGTCATCTCCATCGACTCTTTACTGCTATGCCTACTGGTAGCAGGGCTGGCCTACTCCAAATGGCGAAAGCGTAATAAGCCGCGATATTCGAGCATCAATATTAAAGTCACGGAAGATGATACCGAGGCATTGCGAGCCCTCAACATGTCACCCCGTTGTTCCGTGTCGATAGCCGAAGTATCAACCGGAGCACCGTCGCCCAACTCATCGATCACACTGATCTCCACTACCCCCACTATATCTGCTCCCACAACTCGTGACAGACATAGATCGACGGCTTCAGATATCTCGCATCTTTCCCCAGATTCTCAGGATTCTGCGATGAACAAGTTTTTGATCTATCTTTCTCGAGCCACGCACACCAAAGAACTGGGCTTGTCTTTCGACTTTGAAGGGTTGTCTTTCGAGACTTCCAAGAAATTGGAGATTCTACACAACATAACGGGCAGCATTCCCCGAGGAACCATGACCGGCATCATGGGTGGCTCGGGTGCGGGAAAGTCGACCCTGGTAAATGCTCTAATGCGAGGCAAGTCAAGCTCAGGCACTATCAAAATCAATGGAGTGATCAAGGATATGAAAAGGTACAAAAAGCTTGTTGGACGCGTCCCACAGGACGACATTGTCCTAGGCGAACTTACTGTTCGAGAAAACATCTTGCACTCTGCACGGATGAGACTGCCTTCATCGTGGAACGACAGGGCCATTCAGGATTATGTGGATTCGCTAATTGCATGTCTGTCTCTTACTCATGTTCGAAACTCCTTGGTTGGCGATGCAAGAAAGCCAGTCATTTCTGGAGGTCAGCGCAAGCGTGTCAGTGTAGGTATAGAGCTTGCAGCCGCTCCGATGGCCATTTTTCTCGACGAGCCCACTAGTGGATTAGATGCTACCTCAGCAGCTTCTATCATGCGTCTTCTCAAGGCCATCTCCCGACTTGGGGTTACAGTGATCGCGATTATCCATCAACCTCGCGAGGACATCTTTGTGGACTTCGATCAACTTCTGCTGCTGGCAGACGGCAGCCAAGTATACGCTGGTGCAACGGAGGAAGCAGCGCCCTACTTCGAAGATCTGGGATATCAATTTCCCACGCAAAGCAACCCTGCCGACATAATTGTGGACATCATCACTGGAAATGGAAAACAATACTCTTCTGATGCAGAAAAGTTCGGTGGTGACACTGACTCTCTCATTCAATTCTGGTATGAAAACGGTCAATACGGGAAAACGAACAAGCGTCTGTCAGTTGCCGTAAACGCTGCAAGATCTCACAGGTTGTCGGTAAACTCTATGCAGTCTACGGCAGAACACGAACAGTCTCTACATGAAACGATGAAAACCAGAGGGGCTTCGTGGTATGCTCAAGTATACTACTGCTGCAAGCGTGCCCTACTACAACAAGTCCGCAACCGTACAAGCTTCTTTTTTGAAATATTTGTCGCTGCACTAGCCGGACTGGTCATTGGCCTCTCAGCATATTCCTCGGACGGCCATCTCTTCAGCGGAATCTATCATCCTCCCTTTACCATGATGTCTAGTGCTGTAGACTATAAGTCAGCACCGCAACTTGGCCTGCTATCTGCCATGGCAATCGGGTTAGCTTCATCTGCGCCTGGCGTCTGGGTATTCGGCGAGGAAGCACCCATCTTCCACCGTGAATCATCTTCCGGGCACAGCAAGAGTGCATACTATCTCGGCAAAGTTATGAGCACTTTTCCTCGCATCACGATCGCCGCACTGCACTATACAGTCATGATTGGCGTTCTGGCAACCCCACTGATGAGTTTCCAAGACATGTACGCTGCAAATCTGGTTTACTTCTACGCCATCTATGGTTTGGCCAGTATAGTGTCCATGCTGGTTAAGCGTGAAGATGGGCCTTTGTTGGCCGTGTTGCTTAGCTTGATCCTCGGTGTGCTCGGCGGTGTTGCGCCTCCGCTGTCACAGGTGAAAAAATGGCACATGGAATGGTTCTGGCGATTGAGCCCAGGGGTCTGGTTCACTGAAGGCTATTGGACCAAGATGGTAAGTCCTAGAGCCTATCTGTGGGACGTTGATGTCGCGAGTCAGAGCATTGGGCTTACTCTGGGAGAATTCGGGAAGGATCTGGCTCTGATTCTTCTCATCGGCACGGTGTATCGTCTGTTGGCATATGTGCTTATGATTCTGTTCAAGAAGAGGCAGAGATGATGTGTTGATATATGAGACTCAGAAGCTATATTTACTTCCTGTATATACATGCATGACTTTCTTTACTTCCTGAGCCCAGCCTTCTACCGTATGACAAGCAATATCATGTGCTTTCGATATCTCGGGTGCGCTTCCGATGAAACCTGCAAAAAGAGTGAAATTGATGTTGTCAGAAAGATTGCGGGTTCAACCTTCCCCAAAACATTAAAAGTCTCGACTCTGACTGCCAAATTGAGAAAAGGTGGGGAAATCGGCAACTCGTTCTTCTTGCCCTGAAGAAGAGATGTCTCGCGTGCATGGAACTACACAATCCTTGTCAGCAGCAAGAGGGGTTCCTTCTTGTCCGATCACCTCATGTTTTGTTCCGTCCCACTATCCTCATACATGTCCTTCGACTGCGTGGACTGTGTTGTACCGCCGCATTGCTCGTCATTAATTATTCTTCTGCTTGACTCTGACCTTAGCGCTAGCTAAGTGGACGAAGCTTCAGGGCTGGACATCGCAAGCAGCATTTCTACACAATTTTTTGATGAGCTTTTCGAAGACCCTGTCTACACTGAATACTGGAGAAATCGCTTTGAAAACATCGTATGAATATGCAATCTTCATCTCTACCATCCAGGATCAGAGAATCTGCAGCGGGATTGGCCAAAGAACTATTTTCGAACTCTGCTCATGGCGCCTCAGAAACGACAAGCGAGCTTGCAACGCTGAGGAGTGTTCATAAACTTTCTTCTGCGACTTCATCACATGGAACGTCCTCGTCATCGCGGCTACCCAAGGCTTTGAGCAATAGGCACAAAAATGCCACTGACTATTCGCGCTCTTCAAGATATTCTGCCGACCCTGACTCGTCGGAAGCAAACGATGAGTTTTCTGGATTCCTGTTGCAGGAGTGCGATATTGGAGAATCGAGCACATCGAGCTCTCGATCAGGATCTGACCTAGATTTGACTTTGACGATTGAGGATGGCTCTGTGAGAAGGCATGCGAGCCATCTGAAAAGGAATGACAGCTTCGAGCCTGAACTGTCGAGGTCGAGGTCGAAGCAGAAGTCACCAGCACAATCGATTTACAAGGACATCGGGTCATCACAGGAAGGCTACTATCTAAAGACTTCGTCACTATGTCATTACGACCAGAATGACCATTTCGAACAATCTTTCACCAAATTTAGTCGAGACCAACAGCAAGGGCTGCCATTGGGACATTCGGATAAATCGGTTTCTGCCATGTCGTCTTCTGATGCGGACGCAACACGACGAAAGGAGAGAGCGTTGAGCAGGCTGCAGTTGATTTTCTCTCAAATGCCAGCTGTGACGCAAGTTGAAAGACATACAATACTTGATCAAAGAAATGCTTTTGAGTCTTCTTACAACCAGCTCTGTGGAGGCGAAGATGCACAGGAATGGGCCGAGTTTGAGGCGTCTTTGTTTCATGCGTACAGCATGCAAGACAGTGACCAGGTTCACGCTCAAACACAGCAACAAGAGACGTCTGCAGCCACAGGGAGACAAGGCAACATGCATGGGAACGGGTTGATGCAAAATCTGCAACAGCCAAAAGAAGTTGTACGGCATGTGCAGAATCAAGCAGCGGAGAGAAGTCAAGATCAATCAAAGGACAAAGCGCCCTTGCCCGAGTTCCATTGCCCCTGGATTGACTGCCACAGCGTATGTTCCTTCACTTGATGTTTCGGATGAAAGATCGCTGACAAGGCTATGCAGAGATTCCAAATGTGTGCAGACTACATCCGAGACACAGACAACCCAGACTCTCTTCCATGTGTACATAGCGGTTGCGAGCTTGAATTCGCCACGGAAGAGGTCTGGCGTAAGCACGTTTCCATTGCTCACCATAATTTGCTCCCTAGACTTCAGCAGGTCGAGGCGACCAACATGGAGGCGGCCTGGGGGAAGCTACAGGCGTGAAGAAGTGCTGTATATATCACTTGATAATTTGAGAACCAAAACACTTGTTGGGCTTGGGAATAACAGTTGCATTGATGGTATCGAAGGCGTCATCGTCTATGTTGAACGTAAGAAGGTTTCAAGAGAAAAGTAGGTGACATGAATCTTGAGAGGGAGTTTTTGGTGTATCGGATTGTTGCAGAATGTGCGGATCAAGCGGCAGGACCGCCCTTCTTGCCACCGACCGAGTAGTCGGCGAGGAAGTCAGGGTCGTTCTCAAACTCCTCCTTGAGCTGTGCGGAAACAGTGTCAGCGGCGAGAAGACCAAGGAATTTGGCACAGCGATTGTACTTACGATATCAAGACCACCAACAAGCTCGCCACCAACCCAGACCTGAGGGAAGGTAGGCCAGTCGGCAAACTCCTTGAGTCCTTGTCTCACATCGTCGTCGGCCAAGATGTTGAAGAAGCCATAACGGACACCCTTTTCCCTAAGCAGGCTAACCGTCTGGCGCGAGAAACCACACTGCGGGGCCGAAGGAGTACCCTTCATGAACAGCATGACAGGAGCGGCCTTGACCAGCTCGCCGAGTCTGTTGTTCAGCTCCTCCTTGGTCGTCTCAGGGTTGGCCTCGGCGGCCGAGTACTCGGGAGCAGTGGCGGGATCGTTCGGCGATGGTGCGTAGGCCGCCAAGCTCTTTGCACTACCTCCCTCGGGCTTGCTGACAAGCTGTGCTGGAGGCAAGCCTAGGCCGCCGGCGTTGCCACTACCAGCGCCAACGTGCTTCTCTACGGCGGCGCGCACGCGAGAGGCATCGCCGCCAGAGATAGTCTCGAGGACCTTGCCGGCCTTCTGGATAACAATGTAGGGGACTTGGGTGACGTCGTAGTGTTCGCTAACGTCGGACAGCTCTTCGGCATCGAGAGCCAGGAAGGAGATTGTGGGCGGCTGGGTGGCTGTGTAGGTTGAGGCGAGAGTGGACAGGACGGTGGACATCTGCTTGCACGGCTCGGCCCAGGGAGCGTGGAAGTAAATGAGCAGAGTGCTCGACTCTGGGAGGTTGTTGGTGTAGTTGGCGAAGTCGGCATCGGATGCGACCTCGGTCAGCGTGCAGGGATTTGAGGTGGCCATCGTGTGCTGTGTGTTGTGTGCTGTGTCAAGATCGTGTAGCAGGGGAAGATGTCAGTGCGTGTGTCGCTATGCGCTATCGATCCGGTCGTATGTGAAAGTATGGCTGAATCTGTCGTTCGCTTTTGTCGCGCGACCGCGCCCAATCTTTGGTGGGGCTCGCAAAATGGCGTCAGCAAGCCTCATTGCCCATCTTGCTACCATCGTGACCCTGCCCTTGGCATGATTGTCAATTTGACAAGCACAGCCAGTGCTGAGTGCTCTCTACCATGCGAAATATTGTCTAGACCAGCATCTTCTCCTTTGCTCGCTACAACGTAGGCCGCCAGCGTCACGTCTCATTTCATATCTCGTCATCTTCAAAAGTAGCAGCGTAAAGAGAGATTGCTTGGGCTTGACAAGAATAGCACCAAGGAGGCGAGAAGCTCTCTACCTGATACACACAACCATCCATCTGATGCCGTCTACTTCTCCGATTCAATCCAATACAAGCGCATGGCGATCAAGACGCTTCCACGGCCCCATAACCATGCTGTTGCTGAATGCTCAGAGAACTCATGCACCGCTAACATTCGACGCAACTGAACTTCTGTGGTTGGTCGGGGCTTGGACCTATGTTACAAGTCCCAAAGTGCATCGCTACCACGAACGCCGAAGCCAGCACTCCTTCTGTAGACGGCATAACTCTGCAACACGTGGCTTGCTGATGCTTCGATCGAAGGGTGATGAATCGACCGACGAAGAGAGTGTGAGACGACGTGACTAACGTGTCTGCAACTCATGCACTACGCCACCAATGCATCGCAGTAGGACAATGGTTGGGGACCAGGACAACGCCGTTCTCGCAGCTATGGCTAACAGAAGAATGCAAGGACACTATTTCTCAAGACGAGATGGAGATAGCCGTCACACGACGTTGTTGAATATGCCAGGAGCTGCAGCTCGTGGCTGACAGACACAAGGTGTTTTCACATGGGTTTGTCCAACGGGCGTACGCGTAGGCGTTCCTGGACTAGGCGAGATGGCCCGCCTGTCGCGCATTTTTAGCGTCACGACCAGACATCAACTGGCTGTGCTCATCACTTGAACTACCACATCTGGTCAACAAGGACGCGTATCCTGTGCGTGCGCAGCAATAATCGAGCTCAGAGGAAAAACGAAGGGAGATCGAGGCAGAGTCTGTATTTGTTTTAGCCGAAATTTGTTACTCTCAATCATGAAACTGCAATGCAGCATTCGACAGGGTTCCTTGCGTCGGGAGCGGGCCACAGCGATGCTAGAGCTCCCTGGGGAATGAAATATTGGGGAGAAGATGCACCAATTGCGTCTCCGTTGGCCTTTCAACTCGAGTGACCAGCCACGCAACATGCGGCGCCGGGGGCTAGGAAACTTGTTTGGAGCTTGTTTGGGGCCGTCAAGGGGAACGTAAGTGAACCTTCTATTTCCAGTCTAGGCTCTCACATTGCGTGTTTCTCCATCGCAGCCCATAAAACCCCTCGGCCTCACCAGCTCTTGAATATTCACTCATTCCTCAAAATTCATCCTTCGCTTTTGCATTCCTCTTGCAGATTACTTTCGCTACATATCCAAGACTTTCTCAATCACAGCTCTCAACTACACGAAACTCTAATCTCAACGTCTATCAACAACAACAACTACTATCAATATGCGTACCGCCTTCTTTGTCAGCGCATTGGCCAGCACTGCATTTGCTGGTGTTGTCACCCAGATCTCCGACGGTCAGATTCAGGTAATTATCTTTCTGTCCTGATCACCTTCAAAACTGGTGTTTGTCAGCAAGAAACAACAACTGATCATCGTATCATCGTATAGGCTCCTACTACTGAGACTGCTCCCGCTGTTGTTGCATCGTCCGCTGTCGAGTCGGTCTCGAGCGTCATCGCATCCAGCGTTGTTGCCTCCGTCTCTTCAGCCGTCGAGTCCAGCGTTGAGGTCTCTCCTATCGCTACATCCTCTGCACTCTCCACTCGCATGCCCGTTCCCATCGTCAACGCTACTGTGACCTCCGGAGCTTCTCTCACCACCATCCCTGCAGCCGTTGTCCCTTCTGCTGGCCTCAGCACTGTCGTTGCCGGCGGCAACTCGACTGGAAACGCCACCATCTCCTCGCACAGCTTGAAGGCTTCCTCCACCGTCACCTCTTCCACCAAGGGTGGTGCTTCGGGAACCTCTGCTGGATCCTCTGCCAGCGCATCTGCTTCTGGTAACGCCGCCAGCAGCTTCTACCAGTCTAACGCTGGTATGTTCGGTGCTGTCGTCCTGGGTGCTATGGGCTACCTCGCGCTTTAAGCGATGAACCATTCATCACATTGAGCTCCTTCCTACCTATCTGCTGTCACGTTGGTGCAGTGTATAGAAGGACTCTTCTTGTACTTGTTGCTGGGTAATTGGGGCGCGGCGCACATTCAAAGGATCAACATTTACGGTTAATGGCTTTTCTTCCATGTGGAAAGCTGGCGTGGGGCAACTCGTCTTGTCGTCTCTTTCTTCATCCATCCTTCCAGGATTCTTCTTCATTGGGCCTGCGAGCCTGCTACATTAGAGCGATGCACAAACAAAATTGAACACTTGAGCAAGAACTGATCACGCTTTCCTCCACGTTGTGCAATCGATCGTGATGGACCTATCATTCGTTCCTTCAATCTTACTCATGGTGACATTCTGAATCCCTTGAGACCTTACGTCGATCAACGATCGACCTCATCTCTGTCTGCACTAGGTCTGATGAAGGAGCCCCGCTGCTATGTTATTTCCCCGTTTCCTCTCCGTGCCCTTAGTAAGGTCTTTTAAGCTTCATTGACACTGTAGGAACCCATACTCTGGATGAAAGCGATCTTACCGGCACACTACGTACATATGCCCCAATTTACCTCTTTTGTCACAGCAACTGAGAAAGGATCACTTCCATGATTGCTCTTTACAGAATGCAGACTGGACTGCCGCACCATCGAAACAACAGAGCTATGGTTGTGAGGGCCTCCCGATGGGCGTGGAAGTTATACCAGGACCGGGACAACTCTCCCACCCAAATTTCAGCAGGTTCATCTGAGCAATCCTTCTCGTCTGCATGATCCCCGAGAGTCGGCATCCATGTCCCTGCAAAAGCAGCTGTCGGCTTGTTGCCATCGTGTGCCACCACGCTCGATCTCGGAGAAGCGCTGACTTGACCAAAAATCGACGCACGAACTCATTGGTATCGAGCGCGTCGAATTTTGTCCTCCGGTTTCATGCCGGAACTCTCTTGCGAGAGTGGTCAGTCGATACCCACTGTCTTCAAGCTTGAGATAAAGCGCACCGTTCATCATAACCCGGCACGGACTATGGCACGTGATTCCACCGGCTCTCGATCACGTGGACGCGCCACGCTTACTCCTTCTGTCTAGCACTCGCTTGTTTCCCAGAACAGCTCTTTCCGTTCTCGATGTTCAACGCTCTTGCAAAATTCGTCTTGATTCGATTGACGAAAGCTCGTTTAGCCCCCAGAAGACTCGAAGATCTCTCGAGAGGTTGCGTGGCAGTTGCAAGCAAGAGAAGAGCCATCATCTGTACAGAAAACACAATCTCCCCGCTTGCTGATAGATGTGTGTTGATCTAGACTGTGATTGGTGCCCAGGGTCTGACAGTGGATGGAAGCATCTTCGGTTTGCCAGGAAGGCATGGAGTCATGAGTCGCTCAAACATCACCAAGTCGCGGTGTAGACTCAAGATCCAGACGATCTGAACCTTTTTAGAAGTCGTTGCAATATCCCAATAAAGAACATGCCTGCTGTTTGGACTCTTGTGCAGAGAAGCGGTCTTCACATCCTTGAGTTAGGGCGCTCAAAGTGGCGTAGAGCGCTCAAACAGTGCTCCTAATCAGCAGCGACTTCCCTCCGGCCAAATCAGGTGATTGCCTTCCCTGGTACGCTCTTCAGGTGTAGGCTACCACATGTGCATGCCCACGGGTCCTGGCCAGCTCTAGGTCATAAATCAATGCTTACTGCTTGAAGATGCAGTGGACCTGGAGGACATGGACGAGCGAGAGGTTGACGAAAAAAGTGATGCCGACTTGCCGGGATTCCTGGTCGCTGGTACCATGTGCTGTTTGTCACTGGCTTTTGATAAGAATGGTGGTGTCGATGGCTTATTGGCGACCGACTTCTGCCGTGCTCTGGCCTCTTCGAGCGCTACCGCGGATGGTTCCTTGACCAGCAAAGATGCCAGCAGGCCACCCATTCCCGGCTTCTTCTTCTTGCTTTGATCGGTGTCTGGTCTCTTAGTGAGCTCTAGCAAGTCCTCGGGTCGAGTCTTCGTACCGATAGACATCTTGGCTGAGTATCGTGGTTGTGTTTTGTCCGCGTCAACGAGGATGCTTCATGGAACACAGCAGTCGACACTGAGCAAAAGTTTTATACGATGTTGTGGGAGGGGGATCCCCAAGTTCTTCACGAGCCTGGTTCGACAGGTGTCTGACGGGGATCACAAAAGTATAGAAATCCTTCACGGCTGACCCAAGTCACTTTCCGGACGCCTCAGCAAGCCACGACCCACCAATGCTGACTTTCAGCTGTTGAGAAGAATTGCTGAAGCGAGGTCATTCCAGCTTCGACAAGGATACTCGCGGTACGTCAATTGTGTGCTTCCACTTGGCTTTCCTGAAGGAAGACCAACAACAGATCAAGCAAGTTCACGGGCTACATGACGGTATACGATCGATCGACAGCGAGCTCAACCTTGAGACTAGTCATAAATTCACGAAAGCGATTCACGGATACGATTCAACGTTTGTTCAATGCAAGCAGATTGTCAGAGTGGTAGTTGATGCAGCCAAATATTATCTCATGTAAGTCACTGGCATGTCAGTAGGGCAATGTCGACCGTTGCCTTTGCGCTGCACAGGCTTTCATGTAAGCAATGTCGAACCGAAGGAGAAAGTACGGAGAACATGAGTTCATTGATGTTAATATTGTGTGAGAGGAATGGACTCGATATCGACTGCGCATTATAACCCTTCGATGATTTTCCCGATCGCTCAACGTCACGCCTTCGTTGTTGATGCCTGAATAGTTCCATGCCTCTCATCCATCACAAGCATAACGACTTACTCCTGCTGGTGTGATGCGTCATCCCGAAGAGGCAGCTCTGAGACCTTCCAAGTGGTGACAATCGTGAGTGCGGCCCATTCGTTCACACTAGCATCCCAAGCCTCGATATCCTTGTCGAAGCCAAGAGTTTGAAGACCGTCGGTCACGACTGTACCGCCGCTCTTGGTGGTATCGATGAGCTCGTTAAGGCGGTCACGAATCTTGAGGATTGACGGTGTCATTCCTCCAATGGCAGCCAACCCCTCATTGACGGCCGTGAGGGTTTCACCGATGCGGCCTTCCTGAACGAAAGTTGCTGAGATTTCCTCCTGGGAGCGAGCAGACATCATGGCGGAATCGACTATGTCCTTGCATCTGCGCCCTTCACGTTTGACCGGGTCGATTGCAGTTGCTACCGGACCAGTGACTCTGAGGGCCTGGAGCTTGACGTTGAGTTGCTGAAAGGCGGTCTCGATGACCGAAGTCATCTCAAGAGTCTTGACAAGATTGGTACGGAAGATGACCAGATCGTCCTGCGTGAGGTTCCTGTACACGCATCAGAATCTTGCGCACGCTCACATCGACACAGGTGCTAGCGAACTTGTGAAGAGGGCCTACAGGGACCTTAGTTTTAGGTGCCATGCTGAGGATAGATCTTCGTCGGGTGATGTCCAAGACCAAATATGGGAGGTGGTCTATCGAGCCTAGAGTCTGAGGTATCAGCAACTGTGTATCGTACTCAAGTTAAGCGGTCCAATACTTTGCCGAAGATCGATGCTGCGTTGCGGTAAGTCAACAGTTGGGAACTGCTTGAGGTTGTGATAGATATGATGATCACGAGTGATAGAAGAGGGAAGCCGTGTCAGAAAGATTCATGCCATCGGAAAGTGATGATGAATAAAGAAGGATCTATTGAAGTTGTAGATTAAGATGGTCAGAGGATAGCCGATCATTAGTGAAGCTGATAAATTCATCCAGTCACTTCACTCATGTTCGGTCCAGTTGGGTATGTATTGTGAAAATAGCAAAGACAAGTATTGGTAGCCGCGAAAGATCTGAATGATCGAGGCCAAGTTTGGCATGATGAATTCAGTTTCAAGGCGAATTATGTGAAGAAATGTATGCCTCTTGCTGATAAAGGCGAGGTCTTTGATGGTGTAGGCGGAATTTTGAAAACCGGATAGTCGATGGTACCGATGACTTCAAGCTTCTAGACCTTACTTGTGGTTCCTTTCCAAGGCTCCCCGTAGTCAAGTTGCTTTTTGAGATTTGCCAGTCTTTCGCCCTTCTCTACCCACTTGGCTTCGAGCCATTGAGCGAGTTCGGCGTCCGTATGCGGTAGTGAGTTCAACTCAAAGCGTCGAACATGAGCATACATCCGGTAGGTCTGCGCCAGATCGGGTTGAAAGATGGTTTTGAAAAAGGACGGCGCGGCCATGAATTTGTCGTCCTCCGCGTAAGCAATTGTGATGTCGTATACGGCCTTGACATGAGGTGTCTTACGCAGCTGCTGAACAGTAGCGACGAAGCCCTTGGTGCGTGGATGCAATGTGTGCTGCGGTATTGATTTTCCATGGCTCGCACACCACCGGACTGCTTCTGCATGTTTCTTTGGCCTATATCGTGTCCCTTCGCTGAAAGAAACAAGCCCTGTTTGATCGATCAGTCATTGTGGGTCAAAGGAACATGATACCGCTAGGAATACATACACACAGGCCAACGTCCCTCTTTGATGCCGCTAAACAATCGTTCCATTTCCTCCTTGTCCTCAGCCCACCTGCGACTGACTAGTGGCATGCCCATGACCAACAGACCCCATCCTAGCACCGGCACCCACTTGAGCGCCTTCTTCGCAAACCATCGACAGCGACCCAGCATTCCCGAGCGAATTGCCATGGCTTGAATGAGGTAGAAATCAGACCATTCATTGTGATTCGCAACGACGATTGCACTTTCCCCACGAGGCAGCTCATCTCCGGCTATGATGATATCTGCACCATTGTATTCTTCGCAGAGTCGCTGCACACCGCGCCATACGGATTCGGCAATAGCAGACGCCAAATGATAGGTGTGTGTAGGAAAGATGAAAGCAAAGGGTAGCAGGGCTGAGAGCAGGACGTCGGCGATCAACAGATGAACGAACCATGGCCCGAACGTCAGAAAAACAAAGCGCAAGATTAGGAAGAACCAAGCAACGATTTGCCTAGTCGAGGACGCCATTGCCAAGTGCCTTCCTAACACAAGGGCTGGTGCTGCTGCGCGCGCGGTACAGCAGAAGGGTTACGTTGTTGGAGCGTCACCGCTGGCCGCAGAGGATTGTGAAGAGAGTAGAGAAAGATCCGGCGGGACGGCTCGCACAGGCGGCGGGCGCAAGATGGAGGCACGAAAAAGGGCAAACACTAGATCGCATTTGGGTTGGACAATCGTTGGTCGCCGACCACGACTCCACTCTGGCGCAACATGCCCGTCCTCTCATCTCGCTCTCCCATTGCGACCACCCATTTTTCCCTTTTGCGATATCTTTGACAGCTTCTGATTCTGCAAAGCTTTCGCACACAGCCCTTTCCAGGGGATAGTCTGTCCAGCTTCTACAACAACTGCAACGTCTGAGACGTGCTTGTCATTCTGAGACTCTTCTTGTCTCTCCCTGGCCGGTGTCCGACAAAACGGTTGACATTTCCGTTGTCCTCTGACCCATCACCTGCCCTGCCACGGATTCGGCCGAGTCGACAGTTCCTGTGATCGCGTTCGCGTCGCGCAAGAAGAGGAGTTTGCACTTATACCCATCTTGATCCCCAAGCGACAAGACTTTGTTTCGTCCTGTCCTGCCCCACCGATGTTTTGAAGTTGCTGTAAGTCGCACGGGTCCTTTCTTCTACTTCAGCCAAGTCCTACCTGCCATTCTCCCTCCGGCATCCGTGGAAAGCTTCCTCATCTCGCATGACAAATTTACCTAGAGTTTGCGGATGTCTCCGTGCTAGTTCCCAGATCGTCACTCATGTGCTCATAACGACTGACTTCTCCCCAGCGTTCCAGACCGCCGCGATTCGCCAGCGCCTCTTCGATAGTCAAATCTTCTGTACCGACAGTCTTGCGCTAAAGACATGTCGGCACCTAACGTTGGTCCCCGAGCACCGAGTAGTGCTCACGATCTGGGTACGTTTCCACGTTTTATATCATCAACCCTCTCTTCCCATCGACCCCAGTTTTCTTCACTTCCTGCCCCTCCTTGCGTGCCGATTTGACCTGCCTGCATCATGGCTCAGGTCAACATGCAATCCATGTCGCCGGACGAGCCGCTCGCCGACAACAACCCAGCGCTGATGTATACATCTCCAGAGAGCCAGCATTCATCTGACAGGAGTCCTCTCTCCAACTTCGGTTTCTTGAAGAACCTCAGCCTGGACAAGAAACAAACGAAAGGTATGCTGCCTTGAGCAAACATTGCAGCAAACGTTTGTCTCTTACGCCGTCACAGATGGAGCAGCCCCCAAGCGACGCGGGCCTAAGCCCGACAGCAAACCTGCCTTGACCCGCAGACAAGAACTGAACAGACAAGCTCAGAGGTATGCCGATTGATGTTTGCTCTAATCATTCCAACCAGTCTCTGACCGACGTTCAGAACACACCGCGAACGCAAAGAGATGTACATCAAGGCACTCGAGCATGAGGTTCTTCGTCTCAAGGAACTCTACGGATCCAGCATCTCCGATCGCGAAGCTGTCGTCACTGAAAACAAGCGCCTCAAGGAACTTCTGCTAGCCCACGGCATCCCGCTTGACAGCCTGCAATCACTCCCGGCCATGCGCGGTATGCCTGCCTCATACAACGGCAGCTCGAGCGGTAGCATATCTGGCAGCTATCGTCAGGACTCTAGCACTGCTGGCTTCAGTCCCCCTCCCCTTCGCTCTCAAGACTCAAAGCCGCCGATGGCTAGTGCAGGCCAGTTGCCTGGTCAGCATCTGGATTATGACCAGATTGGCATTGACTTCGTTCTGACGTACGACTCCCAAGGCCAGCCCCAGCCCTACAATAGGGCAGCCTATCCCTCACCCCCACCGAACCAATAAGCCAATCGTTACCCCTCTGCCGCTGTTGTATCGTCTCGCGATTGGGCTGACGTCGTCCTTTGCGTAGTCTCGAACGCCCCTGTATGGACCACATGCAATATCTCGTGGTCCGCTCGCACAACCCTGAGGGACAGCCCTTCCACCATCCCATGGAGAGGCCCGACGACACAGAGTACGATCACATGTGCGGTCATGCTCTCATGGCGACCTGTCCCCCGCCGTCGCACATCATGAACAAACCTGGAGACCCATACGGCCACAGAATGCCGGACTTGAAGGCTCCAGACCTCATGAAGCTGTTGGATCTCAGCGCCCAGCTGCCCCTCGAGGGCGAGCTTACACCCGTCATGGCGTGGTTGTTGCTTCTGCAAAACAGCAGAGTGTCCGAGATGACAGCTCAGGACTTTGAGCTTGTCAAGGCTGACCTCGCTGGCAAGGTCAGATGCTACGGGTAAATGACTAGGAAATTCATGGATTCAGGATCATCACAACTAACGAAGCGCAGTTTCGGAGCCGTTCTGGAAGAGTTCGAGGTGCGCGATGCCCTCAGCAATCTCTTCATCGCGAAGGAGAACATGTCGGTTGGTCAGGTTCCTATGGCCCAGGCAATTGAGGCTTACTGATGAGTTACTCGGGATTGGCGTTAGGTTTGTGGGCAAGAAAAGGAGGCAGCCTGTCATTTTGCGTGCAGCAGCGCATGACGATCAATATATATACATATTAGTTTTCTTGGATAATCAGACTTTGGCAATCACAAAGACCAAGCATCAATGTCTATGAGTAGGTGCTAAAAATAATGCGATGATGGAGCTCAGCTCCCTGAAACAAAGTACCCCACACAAGCTACGCGTAATAACGTCAGAGGGAGGACCAGGACCCCTCGAAATAAACACTCCCTCCTCGAGGTACAAAGGACCCGACTTCAGACACGCATCGACATGGCATCAGCACACGACCTAAGCGCATGGGACAAGGATGGCAGAGTGTTCCTCTTCACATCTCTGACAGCCGGATCATCGCACATCATCACGGCGACATCACGTATCGAGACGATCCTCAATGCCAACAGAATTCCGTTCCTGGCTATAGACACAGCAACTAATGAGTCGGCTCGCCGTCTCTGGGGCCGTCGAGCGGCCGGAAAGAAGCTTCCTGGCCTGGTCAAGGAGGGCTTCGTGATAGCTGTATGTGTGTCGACCATGTTGGAGGCTTTGTGATTGCTGACATGGCGTGCTACAGGACCTCGACGAAGTCGAAGAATGGAACGAGTTTGGCGAGATCAAAGAGAACATTGGCGACGTACCACCTGCCTCGTCGGCTCCCGCGCCCGGTGGTGAGGCTGTGACGACGAGAGCCACGATGCATCCTACAACCACCGCCCAGCCCCCAGCTCCGCTTCCAGTCAAGCCCACAGCTACCGCAGCCAACAAATCAGCCAGCGACAAGTCCGACCCGCTGCAGACCCCAATGGCCAATCTGTCCATGAAAGAGGCCGCCACCGAAGCCGCCGCCATTGGTGCCGCGCGCAAGGGTCCCGCACCGGGTATCAACGACACCAAGGTCGCTCCTCTGAAGTCGCCTACTCAGACCTCGAGCCTGGCCGAATCATCCGAAGCACCAGAATCCTCGAAAGCACCAGAGCCCGCACCTCTGTCTGCAGTCGAGTCTAGTGATGACCTCGCCGCTGCAGTGGCTACACCTGCCGGCACTATCCAGCAAAAGCACAGAGGAAGCAGTGTCAGCAACGCCAATCCCGAAGAGATCAAAGAGCTTGAGCAATCTTCTGCTATCCCCGAAGCCGACGACGAGGACGAAGAGCAGCCAAAGACACAAGAGCAAGAGGCCGCCGTCGCCGACAAAGCTTCTGTCAGCGTCCAGGATTAAGCCTAAAACCATCTCACTTTGTGTTTCTTCTTTTGTCTTTAGCATAGCGTCTTGACTTGTTGTATTGCAAAGAACATGGTATGGATATGTACAGATTTGATCCTCCTGAAAAGCATGTCATGTACCACAAGGTCTCTCATTTTTTGACTACAGCAGCATGCAACCTTCGCCCTCGGATACTAAGCGTTCTTCTCCCCATAGTACCGACTTCTTCTCTTTCCGTCTTCGGTGGTCGGCTCGGGAGCAGCTATGATGCCCACATGGAACATTTCGGAAGAGTCGCTAGAGTCTGCAGGTGGGTTGGCGTGCTTCCACCATTGCGTGTGTTCGTTTCGACCATCTCTGATCTCGTGTCCCGCTCTTCTTCCTCGGCTCGAGCAGGTGAAACGGAATAGTATCCATAGAGCCACTGCCAGAGCGACCAGGCTGATTACACTGAAGGTGATGATGATCGCTAGGGCGACTTTGGAGACATGGATAGGCTCAGAAGAGGTACCGAGTTTGAAGGTCTGTGTGGGTGTTGCCATTTCTGCTGTATATGAGCTTGATGGTGGTTATATGCACAGATCGAACGCCACAGTATTGATGGATTTGGGTTTGGCGATATATACCGAGATCGTGTCTGCATGATAAGTACTTGTCGAATACGGGACAGCGCATTGAAGTACAAGTTGCAATACGCCAAGTCGTGGACACAAAGAAGACAAAGAAATGTGGTATACGAGCCTGGTTGGCACATGTTGCAAGCGTGTTCGAGACATGACGACCTGGATCAAATGATGTGTTCTTACATACGGCAAGACTCGACATGTGAAACGAAGGCTCATGGGCAAGCTGTGTGCCGGCCTGGAGCCAGCGCGCTGGGAATTAGAAAATGATAGACGTAAATTTTGATGAGGGATGACGAATGACAAAGGACTTGCATGCCTAGTCAGAAAGCATATTGCCAAGCAGTAGTGACCGGAAACGGATGTTGACGGCGATGTTATAACTAGCATAGAGTGTAGTCTGGCGAGAAGGTGCATAGTTACAGGTAGCAATAAAACATGTGTTATCATAAACTATACATCTTCACGACATGCGGGCATTCGTGCATGGGCAAGCAGCCCTTGATCATGTGCAGACACGCATCAATATCGCCGATATCGACATACTCATCGGCATGTGAATTGAAAACACATCCGTTCCAATGCAAGAAAATCGAAAGCCTGTGCTGGTCGTGCCAACGTCGACGAAGCGAGCTTTTGGGGAAGCTCGAGGAGCAACGGGTGGTGCGATTTGACGAGTGGCAGTGGAAAGTCAGCTACAGCGCGCCCCAAGCAATGTTGGCAGAAAAGGACGCGATTGACCGGAAGGTGGAAAGGCAGGTGGAAAAGAACGCGATCAAAAAGGAAAAGAGCAAGTCGGGAAGAGTGTCTTGGAGGAAGAGCAAGAAGTAAGGACCAAGGCGTGACGTGTGATTGGTCGACGCGGGCTGTACCGGACTTCGCGCGCATGCCTGCTGCTGCTGCGACCGTCAAACGACGACGACGACGATTGAGACGGCGAGCGATTGTATACTACCCACAACCAACCAATCCAAACAAAGCCACCCACACACACACACATCGCCCAAGATGCCGACACCCGAGTCAATCCAGTTCCGCATGCAAAAGCCCAAGGTGCCGCCAACCTTTGAGGGCGTCGACTACGACAACAACCAGCAACTCAAGGCGGCTCAGGATGCCGTCTTGCGCGAGCAATGGGTCCAGAGCATGATGGCACGTCTTCTCAGAGAGGAGATGGGCAAGTGCTACTACCGCGAGGGTGTCAACCACCTCGAGAAGTGCGGTCACCTCAGAGGTCCGTATCCGACCCGTCCTCCTCGAAAGGCCGCCCTGTTCCCCAGCTGACACTGTGCAGAACGCTACCTCGAGCAACTGAAGCATTCCAAGGTCAAGGGCTACCTCTTCGAGCAACAGAACATCACCCCCAGCTCAAGCTCATAATTCCGAACGCCCTACTTTCCTCTCTCTCTCTCTCTCTCTCTCTCCGACTGGCCGACCACTTCTCCCCCGTTCCTGTCTGTCGACCATCGGCCCTTTTCCTACACGCCTCACATACCTTGACACGTTTATCGCGAAGCGAAGCTGCCACACGCCGCTCACACCTTGTACACTTGATACTTCTGGGGAAATGGCAAAAGACAGGCACAAGAAATCAACATCGTTTGCAAATGTATACATGACTCCGAAATTCCCCCTTCCTTTATCCCAATCCTCTGCCTTTCAATATCATGACTCCTTCTTCTCGTCCTCGACGTCTGCCGCCGTCCCCGTTATTTCCTTCTTCTTGGTTTGGAGGAATGAAAAGGCTCCGGAAACCCCGTCCTTGATCTTCTCCCACTTGTTGCGGTTGAGCCTGTTGCTCAGCTGTCGGTAGTTGTACATTTCTCCCCAGCAGTCTCTGCCCCACTCGCAGCCAGCCATGTTGACGACAAAGTCGCGGTCGTGCTCGTGATAGTGGATGTTCATATCCTCGCCGTTGTCGCCGCATGCGCCGGGCGGGAAGCTGTTGACCTTGCGCTGCGGGATAAAGGCAAGATGAGGTCGCACCCAAGGTTGGTTGGTGTACATGTATTCCAATGCATCTTGCTCCTTGTGTTCCCATTCCATGTGTTTTTGTTCATAACCAACAGGATCCCACCAGATGTCTAGCAAGCGATCTGTCCAAGCAGAACGCTTGACGAAGAACGAACCCAGGTTGAAGCCACCACAATCTTGGGGCACGATGAGGTTGATCGAGTCGGGCTTGCCGTCTCCGACCGGTGACAAACTCTCGGGGTCGAGGTGTGCTGCGGTTGGGGGATGAGAGATGTTGAGCGGGTTGTACGTGTTGATGTCGCGATAGACGTTGTCGTTCAGGTTGTTGAAGATGTGCTGCTGCAACGAGTATGAGGGCTCCATGATGAAGGTGTTGAGATCCAGCCACCAGAACCTGCATCAGTCAGTATCCTTGTTCTTCTTCCCTTTGCAGGCGCTATCCAAGACTCACCATTCGGCGTGCGGGTACTTGCGCATGGCGTTGCGGATTGTGTCGACCTTCTCCCAGCTCTCTCGCCACTCGTGCGCATAGCGCTTCTTTGTGCTCATGTCGACAATTTCCAACTCATAGCCCCATCTGTGCACGTAGTTCTTCTTGTTGCGCACGCTGTCGCGCTCAATTGCCCACTCGCGGGGTCCTTTCCACTCCATGACACCTCCTCCCATGTTGGCTGCCAGGATCACGACGAATTTGCTACCGCCGCCGAGCCATGAGCTTCTTCGATACCAGTAGTGTAATGCTGCAGACTTGTGTCAGCTCACTGAAACTTGCGCGCCTTCTGCCAGGTGACGTACGGGTAGTATAAAAACAAAGAATAAGCAACAAGAAGACCAAGACCAAAACAAATCGGGCCTTTGATCTCAGCAAATGACGGCCAAGCATGGCCTTGATGTTTGCAAGATAGCCTCCTCTGGCAGGAGCCCATCTGCCTCTGCCCGCCTTCTCCTTTTCGGCCTGGCGCTCGTCCTTGGGGCCATTGTTAAAGAAGGGCAGACTCGCCGAAATTTTGCGCATGTGCTTTCCGAAGAAGCCCGAGTTGGCTTCTTGGTATGCCGGGTATCCATTGACCTGGTGGCTCCTTGCTTGGGCGGAGGCCCAGGTGACGCTGTGGTTCTGGCTGTACGATGTCACGGGGGTGGTGCTTCTACTCTGGGCGAAGTTGGCATTGAGTCCAGGACTCGCCCAACCACCGCCTCGTTTTGGTGAAGGAGATCGTGAGAGCGACATGGTGCGTGTCTATAAATTTCTGGACGGGCTGTGTGTTGGAAGGCTAGCGCATGGCGGACGATGGGCAGAAAGAAAGATGCCACCGGGTTGACGCTCTTTGGGGGCCGTGGGTCGGAGGATGCAAGTCGGACGGAACGAAGACCAGGTGGGAAAGAAAAGCAGTTCAACGGGCAAACAAAGAGAGTGCCAGGGGCAGCCTGTTCTCGCTGCAGCTACGTTTGGCTTTTGGTCGGTACTTTGGGGGCTTCCTGCCAGATTGGTCGTCTTGGCAGTGCCTGTGCAACAACCGACTATCAAGAGAGCACTCCTTTCTACTCAACCAGTCACCTCTTTCGCGTCCCGTGGCTTCGTTTTCGCCTTGATACACTTGTTCGTTCTTACCTCCCATCGACCGTTTGCTTCTCGCTCATGTGCCGGAGAGAGCATTAGAATCCCATCTCTTCCAGTTGGACCCTGAACTCTCCTCAAACCCCTAGCATCTTGGTATATTGACAGTAATACGAGTCATCCTGTGCCACTCGATACCTACTTATCAGCCCTTTCGTGACCCTGATTCAAGACATCCTACATGTGACAGCGACCAGAAGTACATGCCGGCTCCCAGACAGTTTACCTCGCGACTGCGGCAGCCGCGATACATGTTTTCCATCTCTCGAATCTAGAATCTAGAATCTTCAAGTTGTGTTGACAACAAACAAGTCTTCCAAAGTTATCCAAACACTCAACAAAGTACAACATTGACTCCCCTAATACAATATCTACTCCGTCGATATAGTTTCAAATATGCCGCCTCGTCCTCACGACCCATTCAATGATGCGCCACGCCGTCCTGCATCCCGCACAGCGAGCCATCTACACGACACATACACTTCTGGCGGTCACACCTTGCGGGCCAACTCGGCTGCACGCAACCTCTTTGCTTCAACGCTATCACGACGTCCCACAACAACTGGACCACCATCGAATCACCTCAACGAGCTGGTTCTCGAGGACTCTGATGATGCTGGAGACCGGATGAGCAGGCGCACTGCGGCTGCCGGCAGGGCGACCCGGACCCGACGTGTCAGAGCAGCCACTGAGACGACGACCATCGAGCCCGATGAAGAGAACCAACCCGAGCCCGTCCGCGATATGGTCATAAGGGATGAGAGAGGCAACTACTTGCACGAAGTTTCTGCGCTGGGAGAGCAGATAAATGGAGCAGAAGAGGAAGGTATGAGCTCTAGTGGCTTTGAAATCATGCTTTTGATCAATCGTTAACGCATACCAAGAACTTGAAGACGACAAGCGTCTGACAGCTCTTGTGCAGGAGTATTGGGCTTCTGGAAGTGCTGTCGGTGGCAGGAATAGTAAAAGATGGGACGAGAATGGTTTGTGCCGTCTCCTGGACTTGGAATTCTACCAGCTAATGGCACATGTACAGAACTCGACAGACCCAAAGCAGAAGTCATGACACGACTACGAGACTCTGTGAGCAAAACGCTCGTCAACGAACAATGGAGATACGAGCCCAGTGATTACATGAAGGCACTTCTGGTCGAGAACCATGGTCGTGTCTAATTCTCGCCTCTTGTGTATACCTTAGATAATCCCTAGCCTTGACAAAACGAGTGATGTTATGAGATGACGGTGTTTTGTCGTTCGAATATATTCAGTCAATTGGTTCTATGTCCACAGACTATATCAGGTTACTTATTCAATCATCAATCGCTGAGCTCAAAGGCATCCTCGGCTGTGCCGGTCCCTGCCTTGATGTTGTTACTGGCATTATCAGCGGACAAGCTGTGTGAGTTCGACATGTCGCCATCCGATTCTTCCTCCCCTTCCTCGTCGTAGTCATCGAACTCTTCCCTTTCGATTTCGGACTCTTCTTCGTCGTAAACCTCTTCTCCGTCTTCAAAGTCGTCAGGATTCTGGGCGTAGCCTCCGACAAATTCTTCGCCTTCATCATCGGCATCATCTTCAGCTTCTTCATCCTCACCCTCCTCCTCGTCCTCATCGCCATCGGCGAATGCTTCAGTATCGACTATATCCTTAATTTTAAATGCCTGATCGTGCCCTTGGACTTCATGCAGATCATCGGTTTCATCGTCTGACGCAAGATCTACGTATTCGTTGATGGCACTCTGAGCCACGTCCTCAAGACCATGCCAATTGACATTCAAGCCAGCATCAGAGGATGCAGGATTGATCGAGTTGGCAAAGAAGGACGGGTCGTATTGCCATGCAGGATTTTCAGAAGGTTTAACCAACCCAGCGAACTGAGCCATGCTGTCAGTCGCTTGGGTGCTTTGTCCGTCCAGAGATGCTAAGACTGGCGAAGGTTGAGTGTTTGTTGTAGCCGTTAATCTGTTCTTCACCGTGTGGGAAGGAGAATGAACAGCTCCAGGCGTTGACAATCGAGATGGACTCCGTGACCTAGACTCGATGTTCTGCTTTGCCTTCTCAATTGCGAGGTTGTATTGTGTTCGGGGGACAAATCTGCTTTCTCGTAGTCGATAAGCAGGGACGTCAGGAGATGCTGCACCAGCTTTTGTGGAGCGAAAGCGAGCCGCTTCACGGGCGCGCTCCATCGAGGGCGATGTGAGAGAACGAGCAACTTCTTCCTTGCGTCGAACATCGTCCTTGTGAATTTCCGAACGATACCATGCGCTCGAATCTGCCATGGCTTGCCGGGCTGCTCGCGCACGCGCGAAAAGGTCTTCATCTTCCTGACGTGCCTTTGACAATGATTCAATACCTGCCAAGCTGCTACCGAAAGACTTGGTGACACGACTCTCTCCGATCAGCGGGCGTGTAGAGCTTGATGGACGAGTGTCTATAGCGGCCGGAGGAGTCTGAGATCGTTTGCTAGGAGACGCTTCCGCTTGAGCTTCCTCACTGTCCTCCCTTAAGCGTTTCTTTGCTTGAGTTGTGTTAAGAGTTTCCTCTCCAGGATTGATACCTAGAGCCTTCAAGCGGAAGTAATTCGATCGAGAAGGCGTACTGGAGATGGCAGGCCGATTTTGTGAACCAAGCATGCTGAAACCAAGAAAGTTCGAACGCGGTGTGGCGGCTGGCTGTTTCCTCCTCGGCGTCTCACGATCGATATTTTCCAACGTCCTAGGCCTCTTCTGCTCATGCGAACGACTCGAAGTTTTCTGGTCTGCATCGTTTTCAAGAGATACTTGTACGTCAACGAAGTTCTGCCTGGCTTCAGATTCTCGCATACTGGCTCCCAAGTGGATAGCTGAGCTCGTGGACTTGAGGAACTCATCGACGGCGTCTTTCTCAGCAGCAAGCTTCCTCTTCAATTCGCGTGCGCTCTGATCCTTTTTGGCACGCTTGCGACGTTCTCTACCTTGGCGAGCAAGTCTTCGTCGCCAGCAGATCTCGCGCCACCTTTTGCCAAACCTATAAGAAAGGGTCTCCCTTCTGAAAGTATCCGCAAGTTCACGAAGACTCTCCATATATAACTCGTCATAGACACCCATGACTGTCTGGCGAGCATGATATTCGACAAACTGTCTGATTAGGCCTCTGTCCGTATCGAGAACAACCTCTCGGGCAAGCCGTTCAAGTATCTCGTCTTTGGACCTTATGGGCTTTAGTGGGGCAGCGACAGGAGTTTGTTTCAGTATAGACGCAGAGGGTTTAAGGGCCGACGCAGCTGGAGCAGGTTGTTGCGTTTGGAGAGCTGACACCTGTGGCGATGTGCTCTGAGTTTTGTCGTCGAGAGAAAAGGACTGCGACAAGGGGCTCGGTTTCTTAGGCTGAGATGGCTGGCTGAAATTGAACTGCGGGAGTTTCGACCCGAAAGGCGATGCGTTGAGCACTGCCGCTTCGGGACTGCTATCGTCGGTTGCAGAAGAAGAAGAGGTAAGAGAGAAAGCCGGGGCTTCGTTGGATACGGGAGCGGGTCTGTCGAAGATAGACGTCGAGCTTACGACAGGTTCGGTTGATGCTTGCGTGGGATCTGTGTCTAAGGTCGTAGGAAAGCTGAAAGGGCTCTTCGATGAAGCTGGCGGAGATTGAGAGGGTGGCGCAAGTGTTTGGGCAGTCGAGGAAAAGCTAAATGAAGGCTTTGGTGGCTCCTGATTGCTCGGGGCTTGGAACATGGATGGTGCTGCGGTAACAGAAGACGAGGTTTGCTGATCGTGCATTGATGAAGGAGCAGCGCTCCACAATGAAGGACTGTTCGCAGAACTTGGTGACCTAAATGCTCCTGATTGTGTAGCTATAGGCTTTGGTGGGGCTTCATCATCCTCGGCGGCAGGTTTTGCTACAGAAAATGGACTGGCAAACGGCTTGTTGGAATGTTCATTGTTGACCAAGAGCCCAGGAGTGACAGCGGAGTTCGGGGACGCGAACGTATTTGTGAAAGAATTGACACTTTCACTCTTGGATGGCTGGGCGAATATGGAGGTAGCCGAAGGTGTTGCGCCGAATGCAGTTGCCTCAGAAGGAGTTGGGCTAACAGATGGCTTTCCAAAGCTGAAACCGGTCGACACAGAAGGTTGACCAAAGCCTGAAGTGGCTGACTTTGGTTGGGCAAAAAGCGAAGTTGGTAGGCTTTCTCCTGATAGGGGTTTCGTACCAAAAGTGCTCGTGAAGGGTGAAGATGAAGCGGGTGCTGCTGCTCCAAAAGCCGATCTAGGCGGATCTTCTGGTATAAAGAGTGAATCAGGATCATCTTCAGGCTGGCTTTCCTCTGCTTGGTCTGTCATCTGGTCTTCCATCTGGCTGTCATAACTTTCGTCAATAAGACCAGCGTGTTGTGCTTCTGTTACAGTGTAGCCGCTTATGACGGCGGAGAAATTACGACCCATGCGTTTCGACTCGACCAGATCTTCCGAGAAGGTCTGGTGGTCTAAGCCAGGAGTCTCCGCAGGGAAGGACTTCCCTTGTACCGAGCCCAAATCCAAAAACGACTCGCCCCCGGAAGTGGATTCTTTGAAGACAAAGCCGAAATGCTGGCAGAAGGTCTCGGTTTGTTCAAGGTCATCGAAGCCGAGGATTTGGGTCATTAAAGATAAAGTGAATTCAAATACTTGTCCCTTGAAGCCACGCCAGATGGCATTCAAAGCTGTCCGCCGCACGAGTTTGAAGTAGATTTCCGAGACACAAGCCATAAGATAGGAGACTTTATTGGAGCGGACCAAGTCAAAGAATTGAGACCAATCCTCTCGTGCGACAGGGTAAACAGCGCGAGGCTTCAGAGGGCCCTGAGGATCGACAATGTTTGAAGCTGCCGAGTTGAGATCGAGAGCGATCCTTACGCGTCTGTCGGATTTGACAGAGGTCGGCCAGGTGTTCACTCTCTCGTCCAGATCGGGGGTCGGATCCTGAGCTTGGAAAATGATAAGGTATGCTCGGAACTCTGCCTCGTTCTTGCATTGTACTCGTCCTCTCGAATCGTCGTAGTATTGCATCAGAGACAACAGGGTGCGGTCCAGCTGTTCGCGTTCCTGATACCAATCGTACTTGTCGTAGGGCTTGTCCGGAACGGCGAGTTGATGTAGTGACAAGATGTGAAAGCGGGCGATACGTTCGTAGCATTCGATAGCGATTTCAACATCAGCAGGTTTTGTGATTTGTTGGATAGAGAAGTCGTTACGAATAGCTCGTGTTCGATCCCAGACGAAGTGATGTACACTGCCCAACGATGCGGCATTGGCGACAATGTTGTCGAAGAGGTATTCGACAGTCATTTTGAGAGTACTGGGAGGTCGTAAATCTGATGGCAGTTGCTCATCAATACCAGCAGCGGCGCGCCTGAATTTCTTCACCATGCGAGGTTCTGAAGCAGCTCCTGCATCATCGAGCTCAGGGCCCCATACATCCTTTTGCACAACACGCTCGAGGCGTTCAAACTCTGGACACATGTCCGGACAGGTTCCTACGGGGGTAATGGCTTCGGCCAGAGTGCGCGGCTTGTCGGGGTCGGCCAGGAAGCCTTGGGCAATGGCGTGGGTGCGTTCTTGTTCGCGCTGCTTCTTGAGCTGTACCGTGCGTCAGAGAATATCAGCCATGGAAGTGTGGGAGGAATCGTACAGCCTGGAAGCGGTCGGGAAATGAAGACGAGGCATTGCTCGGTTGTGCTTGTGTCGGAGCAGCAAAGGGCGAGCGTGTTGGCGGAGGTGTTGCCTTTCCACGACCTCTTGCTCCTCCTCGTTGTCCATGTCCAGCACGGAAGGTGCCCCTCCCTCCTCTTTCACCAGTGCCCCTGGACGGCGCATTGAAGCGGACTTGGTTGCTTGCTCGGGCGCGTGGAGCGAAGGACGGACGCGTTGTCTTTGGCGCAGCTGGGGCTCCGAATGGCGATGCGCTGCGACCGCGGCTGATGCCTCCTCTACCGCCCCTGACGGACGACATGGTTGTCGCTGTGTTGGTGTGATTGGCAAAGCATGGAGCGTCGACTGCCAATTCACTCTGCTGTCGACGCAAATCCAGTCCGACTACTGCTGCTGCTGCTTTTGGATGTCGCGACCGGGGCCGTTTGCGTACAAAAGCTCGCGGCCCGTCCATGCATGTCATTGCCAAGCAATGCCCTTCGCATGCGCTTCCCTTCCGCTGAAGGCACCTTCTTTCACACCGTCACCAACTATTAATCCTCACACCATGGGACCGATCGAGATTACAGATGCGCTTTGATCCATTACTGCCTATCTGCTCTGAGCCCATGCCTTTCGTCCGCAGCCGTTTCTCGTTATCCATGCTCCATACTAACCATCAACTGTGTTAAGTCACAATATGTTCAGCCATCCACATCCACAATAAAGAAATTCGTCTCAAAAGAAAAAAAGAGAGAGAGAGAGATGAAACACCGAGATCTTCTGGAAATCAAACACCGCTGTGCGAGCAATTACCATCTTCGTGGCTGGATTTCCCTGGAGCCACATGCAATTTCATCAAAATCGTCGGTCTCGTTGTCGTACTTGTCGTCATCGTTATCGCCATTGTCTTCGTTCTGCTTAGACTCATCACTCTCGTCACTTTTGTATCAAAGCCACCCGCTATACATTCCCTGGTGCTGTGTACCCATGAACCCGGGCTGGCTGTGCTGTTGAAAGGGACCAGGAACATATGGCACTCCGGATCCTTGATATACTGTGTGCTGACTATCGTTGGCCGCTGTTACCACTGGCTGTATAAAAGGAGCTGACATGGTCATCTGGTGCATCCCTCCGAATCCAGTATTGTGTGAGACCGCTGCCTGCGATGCCGCTTTATCTGGAGCCGAAGCTGGCTCGAATGGGACATATCCATGCCGATAATCGTTCCAGCCTTGGTCAGTGACAGCCACGGGTTGCTGGCCACTCGACATCTGACCTTGCTGAGGATGACCCATAGCCGTACCTCCGTACCACTGCGCAGCGGTGCTGACATATTGATGCTGCTGGTAGAGATCTGGCGTTCTCTGTACAGCCGCCGCACTACTACCCCATGGAGAATCGTAGTAGTCCATATCAACAACGCGACTGGGTGGTACGGACCCAAGCGGGACTGTCATAGGCTCATCTGCTGGATCGAACTTCAACTCTGGACCATGACTGGAATCGGGGATGACGACGTCATCCAGGGGAATGAATCCGCTGAAAGGGATCTGCTCAACCTTGGCCTCTCTGAGAACCTCAACTCCAGAGTATGAAGATGCTGATCCGGAGTCGTCTGCGTGTTCCTCCGGCTCTGGCGACATGGCGTAAGTCTCCGAGTGTGAATTTGAACGCGCCATTGTTGAGGAAATCATTGCTGGCGAGTCTGATTCGTCTTCACTATCTGGCTGGTCACTTGGGATCGTGGAACCTGCAGCTTGAGAGCTTGCAGGAACCCAGCCAGCACCAGTAGTATAGGTCCTTTTCTGGTTTGGAGGGCCTGTATTGTCGTTAGTCGCGAAGATTGTGTAGAGGAAGAACGCCTTGACATACAAACTCTGCGTCGCATCATCTGCTCATCCTCGGCAACTCGATAGATCTGGTTGAGATAGTTTCTTCGCATGAACGCCTTGTCTGGGTTGCTTCCTTGGACCTCCTCCAATTTGCTGATTGGAAAGGCATCCTTGAGGAATCCAACCCAGTTGCGATCCTTGATCTTCTGAGGAACCTCGGAGCCGTGGCCATTGGAATCAAGCCAATCTTGCTCAGTCCAGTGCAGCCTAAGCAAATGAACTAAAAGATGAGTGCGCTCTGCGGAACGTTAGCCGATCGTATCGAGTCATTCTCTGGAGAAACGCACCAGTCTTCCTTGTATGGTCAGGCTCTTTGTGACGGCACAATTCGATATCTGGCCAAAATTTGGGAATCCTCGGGGGGCCATCGTGACGTGGTCGACGACGCTTCTGGTTCTGATCGGCCCTGGGGTTGCTGTCCACGTACGGAAAGTTCGCTTGCTTCTTTGGACATATTGCCTTGATCCATGCCTTGGCGATGACTTTGGTTGCCAGCTGCTGAATTTGAGTGAAACGCATCCTTAAGAAATGAACTACCTCATCCTGGTTGGCAATGTGCAGTGTGATCTGCATGTTACCATGATTTCCCCAATCATCATCGTTCTCATCGTCGGAAGAGTCCGCGGAAGCAACGGCTTTGCGCTTCGATGCATTATGTTGAGCGTCCGCTTTACGCTGTGCTGGCTCTTCAATCTGCAAAAGCTCTGGAGCATATTTGTTAGACTCGAGAACTCTATCAGGTCGAGGCAATACAACGTACTTGCTGCTCGAGGATCTACAGCCGCTCTCGAACTGGTCGGTTGTAGGGTTTCGTTGTCGATGCAGACTTGAAAGATGTCCTCAAGAGCATGCGGGGGTAAGTTGTTCAGCTTGCGTGTGATGTTTGTGATGAACTCCTGTTTTGACACAATCGAAGATGCATCGTGTTCCGCAGTGTCCATGGGCTGATTCGACTGAACTTCACGATCTGGCGGCGACGACGACAACAGTACACGAACATTTCTGGACCGAAGCTGGATCGGTTAGTGGCATGAAACATGAAACGCGATGCTGATATAGCTGCTTACAGGAACGCCAGAAGCTGGAGGCTTACCCGGCTGCTTACCAACTCCACCAGCAAATCGATCGTATCTTGCTTGCGAGCTCAAGACCATGTCTGGACCCAAAGAGATCTTTGATAGCAGAGAAGCTCACCCTTGTAAAGCGATGCAAGGGACTGATCAGTTTTCTCCGCAACTAACAAAAGTCAAAACGGACGTTAGCGGGAGCCCCAAGTGATGATCACGGGAAGGGATTAAGCTCACCCTCGTGCGGCCAAAACTGCCAGGTGTTTGGCTTTAGCGCGTGTCGCGCGTGAGCTTGTTCGACTACAACTGGTCAGCAATAGGAAACGAGACGGGCGCTTCTTTCGAAACCAAATCGACGGTGGAGACAAAAAATGTGACGAAAACTTGCAAGACGAGACGTGAGACAGAGGGGGTCCTTTTGGGAAGAGTCGGACTCCCCGAGGCTCGTCAACGCCACCAGGCGATGGTGGTTGATAGGCGCGACAGGCAAAGAACGGAGCACAAGAAAAGTGTCGACTAACCGGAACGATAGGCTGAGAATGCCACGATTTGGTGCGGGGTTCAGGCAAATCAAAGGCTGACCTCGGTGGTGTCTTCACGCGGCGTTACAACAACAGCTGTCACTTGCCTTGTTTGCCGACGGGAGGAATGATTGGCGAAAAAGAGTAGTAAAACAGAGAAACAAGAAATGAGAGAGAGAGAGAGAGAGAAAGACCGATTCAGCATTCGAGCCTCTTCAAAAGAGCGGCTCCAAGGACTTAATAGATTCAACAATACGACAGATCCCAAATCCATCAGTTCGGTTCAGGTTCAAGACCACCCTGGATTCCGTCTTTGAGAGACAGAACGATGCAGTGCATTGTTGCCCTCTGGATCACCCATAGTGTTTTCTGCTTCTTAATTCCACCGTAGATTGGGTGATGCAGGCGAATCGCTTCGCTTTCGTCACGCTTGGTCTCCTTTTGATCGATGCAAAAGTAATGCAGGCCAGTCTTGAAGCCGTCAGCCCCGATCTGCAGACTGAGTTCCGGGCGGGAGCAATTTCCCCGCCTGGATCTGGCTCAAGCCTCGATCTGTCGTTGAGAAACAGTAAAGAGACAGGCAAGTCCGGGACATGATGTTTGCTACATGTCGCACAGCATGAAGATGGCCGGTTGAATTCCATCGAGGACCCTGGATAAACAGACCCCATAAGCCGCGCCGCCCCGGCATGCATACTCCACCAAAGCCATGCTGTTTTGGGGGCGCTAGCGACCAACTTTTGCACTGATAAAAAGATCTATCTCTTGCATCTTTCGAGTAGACCACCGTCTGAACAGTTCTTGAAGGCTTTCGTTTCATGGTCTCGTTGCTTGCCTGGTTGGAAGCTTTGCGGGTCGGGCCATGGCTACGTCCGTTGTTGCGCGACACTTGAGTGCATGTACTTTTTCTGGGATGGTCAGATCTGTGGCTCATCTCGGAAGCCGCCCGGTTAGCACTTCCTTGCAGCAAGTACGGCGCAGTCAATATGGCTCCCAGCATAGCCAACAATGCCCCAACAATGATAACAAAAGTGCCAAAAGTAACAAAAGACTGTCAAGCACGTTTGAAACAGGAAAACAGAAGGTGATGTGGGGCCTGGCGCCGGACACTTGACGTGACAGACACATAACAGCTGTCAATTCTCTGTCTGCATGGGCAATTATCGTCGCAGGTGTACAACGCTTTCTATGCAAGTTCGCTAACTAACTGATTTACTCTGCTGCAATGCCAGCATCAACGACACTACCAAGTAGGCCAGCCTCGCGCACCAACTCGTAAAACAGACCCTTCTTCTTGACAAGTGCGGAAGGCGTGTCGAATTCAGCCACCCGTCCGTGATCAAGTACCACAATGCGGTCACTGTCGAGGATTGTGTTGATACGATGGGCAATCGTAATGATCGTCCGATCCTTGAACATAGCGCTTCTCAGTGTGGTTTGCAACAATGCATCTGTCTCCACATCGACAGCGGCCTAGAATGAAACAAATCAGCAAGTTGAAACATGGCGGTAAGAAAGATCAGAGACTCACAGTTGCTTCATCAAGCACCAAGATGTTGCTTGGTGTAAGTAGCGCTCGCGCCAAAGAAACGAGTTGACGCTGGCCTTGGCTGAGATTTGATCCACCTTCATGGATCTGAGCGTCAAGCCCTCCAGACATACTCGACACGTGATCTCTGAGGCGGGCGTGGTCTGACCACGGTGTTAGCAGATACAAAGCAAGGCATGAGTTTCAACATACCCAGGGCGCTCCAGAGTTCGGTATCATCGTGAACATGACCGGGGTCCAAATTGTCACGGATAGTTCCCTCGAACAGTGCAGCATCTTGTGGGATGATGGCCAGTCTTCTTCTCAAGTCCAATAGACCAATGGAGCTGGTGCTCAGATCATCGATACTAATATCACCTTCAGTGGGCTCAATGATACGGAACAGAGCAAGAGTCAGTGAACTCTTGCCAGCACCTGTCCGACCTACAACACCAATCTTTTCGTGGGACTTGATGCTAAGGTCAACGTTCTTGAGGACCAAGTCTAATCCCTCACGGTATCTGGTGCTGTAATTGTTGAACGATACTGCGCCCTTGGAAGGCCAGCTAACAGGCGGCCTGTGCTTTGAAATGATTTCGGGTGCTTCGCTGGGAAGGCGTGCGTATTCCAAGACACGTTCAACAGAAACGATGTTAGTTTCTACCTCCACGGTTTGTCTTACAATCCAGTTCAGTGATTGGGTGATCTGCAAGGCATAAGACATGGCAAGACCGACGGAACCAGCGGACAAAAGGCTTCCGCTGGAAACCGAGATGATGGCAAGACCTGCGGCAGCAAGGATAATGATAGAGCCGATGAACTCGAGACGAACTGCCAACCAGCGATTTGCGTTGATGGAAGGGAAGTATGCTCTGAGATTTGCATCCACGCGCCATTCACTTTCCATGGCAAAGCGCTTGCTTTGCTGGTAGGCGCGGATTGTGCTGATACCACTCAAGGACTCCTGGAAATGGGCGTACACAGGACTACGACTGATACTGTCCAGACGCTTGAGTTCGCGCGATGTACGAAGGTAGTACCGTTGGATGTAGAGGTAGACACCACCCAGTGGTACAATCAGCGCAATGAAGGCTGGCGTTGACATGGAAATAACAACCAGGGTGAAGAGAGCTGAGATGGTCAGTCAATGTTGCTTGCATTTGCATTGGACCACAACATACCTCGTGCCGAGTTGACAAAGAGCATGTTGAATGTGCGACTATCGAGTCAGGTCAGCTCGCCACTGTCATCAATCTCTGACACATGCCAAACACTTACGCCAAGACTTCATCGATCCGATAAATGTCACTGTGAAGATGCACTGTCAGTACGGAACCCGGTGATTGGAAAAGTGCACGTGCGGAGGGGTGCAACATCGGCACTTGGTCGTGTAACATAACACCGCATCGGCGGCATGCAGGGACATGAAGAAGCCACTTACCTTGAAAAGCGGTTCAGAATGCGTCCGGCGGGGGTGGTCTCGAAGAAAGTCATAGGCGACCTGAAGATAGCATAGGCCATTCGTTCATGAAGCTTACGCGAAGCCTGCAGAAGATGAATTGTTAGCGCGACGGCCCGAGACGCAAGTTGGATGCAGGTACCTCAATCGAGCAGAAGATCCATAGAATGAGCGTTTGGACGACAACCAAGGCAGCGGAGCCAATACCAAGGGCAAAATAAATGCCGATGTATTTTCCTACGTGAGGATTACCGCCATACTTGGCATTTACCTCGGACCAGTGTCTGAGCCAAACGCTGCCACCTTTTTAAGAGTTAGTGATTTGAATCGGAACAGTCAAAACAAGTGCCTACCGATTTGAGCTGTTTGGGCCCCAACCAAGGTGATGATGTAAATGGCGACAGCAACCAGATTGCTAGTCTTGGCGTATTCAGTGTAGACGGACCATTTGACTTTGCCCTGTTCAGAAAATTCCTTGTTCTGCTTGCTCTTGAGACCGGCAGCGCCTTCTTCATCAGTAAGTTTACCACGGGGTCCGGCGAAACTGGCAGTACTCGCGCGACGTAGAGAGACTCCACTTGCTCTTCGGACTGGCCGACCACCACCTGTATTGATAGGCGCAAGTTCAGTCTCGCCTTCTTCTGCTTGCGTAATCTCCAGCTCGCTTTGTGCAGAGTTTGGATCGGTTTCATAGACAGTCGCCGAATCGTCGCTGTCGGGTGAATCACTTTGGGATTCGCTGTTGGATTCCTCGTTGCTGGCAGTCTTGATAAGTTGTGAGATCTCTCCCTTCATGGCCATGAGCTGTTCGTAGGTGCCGCGTTCCAAAATGCGACCTTCACGCAGAAGCACAATGTAGTTGGCTTCCATCAAAACAGGGAGGGAGTTAGTAGCCAAGATTCTGGTTCTGCCATTGAGAAGACCGTTGGGGCCCAGGACGTTGTCAATCAAATGTCTTCCGACATGTGCATCAACAGCAGACAAGACATCATCGAGAAGATAGATGTCTGCTCTAGCGTAAACAGCGCGTGCCAGAGTTAAACGAGCCTTCTGGCCGCCAGAAAGCGAGATACCGCGCTCGCCGACTTCGGTTTGGTCACCATCTGGCAAAGAGGCAAAATCCTCTTTGAGAGCACAGGCAGCTACAGTCTTTTCGTAGAAGTGAGGATCCCAGCGGTAACCAAACACAATATTTTCCTTGACGCTGGCGTTCATGACCCAAGGTGATTGAGCAACGTAAGCTACTTTTCCGCGCAGGACAACCTCACCCCTGATCTTGTAGAGGTCGCCCAAAAGGGTTTGCAGGAAAGAAGACTTGCCAGCTCCAACTCGACCAACAACACAAGAGAGCTCGCCCTTGTGGGCTGAGAAAGAGATGTTCTCCAGAGCGTTGCGGTCATCGCTACTGTTCCAGGTAAAGGTGGCATCACGGATACGGACTGATTCTTCGCCACGCTCAGTTACTGCGTCGTACTTGAGTACTGCATCACGCTGCAACTCAGGAGCAATAAAGAAGTCGGTCAAACGGTTGACTGCAACACTTGCCTCGATGATGGAGGTGATGACCATGGGCAAGATTGCCAGAGGGAAAGTAAGAAGGTTGAAAAGGGTCAAAGCAGGGAAGACGATGTCCGTCGTCAATGCCCGGTTACCAGTGAGAACGAAGACGGCGAAAGTCGAACAAGACACGAAGAAGGGAGTTGTTGACCAAGTGAAATTGGCCAATGCCATGGAAGCACCAATTTTGCGAAGTGTGTTGAGTTCCAAGTCATTACGGATGTAGTTGAGCTTGTTCATGAAAGCAGTGGTCCATGCATAGAGCTTGATGGATTTCATGTTGCTCAGAATCTCGGTCATGAGGCGGGTTCTCGAATCCTTGTTCTTCATCTGCTTCTTCTGCAGGTTCTTGGAGATGCGCGCAATTACGCCGTTGATAGGAATCATCGCAATCATAGCACCAACACCAGCAAACATACTCAGGCCTACGAGCTGGTAAAGCGAAATCATACAAAGCGTGATCTGGAAAGGAGCAGACCACAACTGCATACCATACTGCGCGAGGTCCTGAAGACGCTGGGTGTCCACAGCCATATAGTTGACAATATCGCCAGTAGACTTTGACGATCTGCCCTCATTAGAGAGGCGCATGGACTTGTGGTAGATGGCAGCAGTCAAGGATGAACGTATACGCATGCCAGTTTCGAAGGCCCTCTGGAAGTACTGATGCAGAGCAAGCGTTTGGGAGACGGAAACAGCGAACATCGACAAGGCGATGGCGGCACCACGAATGGGAGGCTGCGGCGAGTCGGTTTGGTATGAGGCAACAAAGGTGATCAGGAGACGCAGGAGTTGAGGTTGGGCAAAGGCCAAAACATCAGAGATGGTCTTGATCATGGCACCACGGACGTACGGAGCACCAAAGGCACGGATCAAGGCGATCCAGAGATTCGGCTTCTTCTTCTCCAGCTCTTGCTCCCAGGCATCGTTGAAGGCCTGGGTTGTTGCAGCGGTTGTATCTCTCTTGCGAAGATTCCATAGCTCATCCTGAGTCAAGAAGTTCTTGTAACCATATTTCATCATTGGAGTCATCCAGGCAAAAGTCAAGATTGAGAAGATGTTGGCGTACTCCATTGGGCATTCGTCTTCATCACCGAGTGCGTCATAGTCGCTCAGGCGTTTGGGCACCAGCCATTCCAGAGCGAACTCGACAGCGGCCAGGGCAACGCTAACGGCGAAGGTGACAAAGTAGGGTAGTTGGGTGCGATATAGCTGTTGCGAGACAAGGGAACGCATTTTGACGGCGTACGCAATGATGAGCAGCAACCAAAAGACCAGAACAACGCCATTGGCTTGACGGGATCGCCAATGTTCGACATATTGGATGTAGGAAATGACGGCGATGGAGGCGAGGTTCAGGACGGTGGTCCAGAAACGGAAATCACCAGCCCAGACGCTGCCGAAGGTGATGATCTGGAAGACAGCCTGAAGGACAGTGGTGGCGCAGAGGGCGGCGAGAACGGACAACTTTGCGTAAAAGTGCCAGTCTTGCTTGACAGGTTGGGGGCTGCATTTTTTGAAGAGATAGTAGATGGCACCTGCTCCGAAGATGAGACCAAAAGCGGCGACCGAGGCTATCCAGACATCGAGGAAGCAGGGAGTAAAATCATAGCGAAAAGGACTGATGGGCCCCCATCCTTCAGCATTGCGGCATAGTGGCTGACGATGGCCGGGGCGGGTCGAAACGCCGAGGTAATGCAAGTCGACCGGGACCGGGGACTGGAACACAGTCTGGTATGCCGCCGAGTCGCGCATTGGGGCTCGAAGGGTGTCGTGTGATGGCGATACAGAGGCACGTCGACCGGTGGATGCTTGAAGAGAAGGAGCGAGGCAGCAGCTGCAATCTGCCGGTGCTGCCGTGCAAGTGGAATCTTATCGAGAGTGTCATCATCGGGAACGGTGGAAAAAGCTTGGCCTTGACGATCTGACCATTTGGCGAGTCATGTCTCCCTCCTCGAACAGACCTTGAGCATTCAAACACTGTCGCAGCTACCTTTGCCTGTCGCATTCAGGAACAACAACCCAACAGCAACATCACAAACATGAGCGGTGCACTGAGAGTCATCGAGCAGTCGCCGAGAGAGAGCGACTACACCACTCTTCAGGCGCACCAAGAGGAGACACCGACGAGCTATTACGAGGGCAAGCCCGTGCTGCACCACAAAGTCCAGAATGCCACCTTGAAGGTGTCGGAGCAGGAGCTGGCCAGCAACTCTGCTCTGCGCGCATTACGCACCTCTGCCGGCCCTGGTGCAGGCCCGCATGCTTCTCCTCACTCACATACCAACGGCGACGGCGAGGAATCAAGAGTTGAAGTTACCATCACACGCATTCAGATCTGGGTATCATCCGAGTACGTTGCTTTGTCCTTTCCCGTCTCTCCTAAATTCGTACTAATAACGGCCAGCATCTTTACCCTCTGGAGTTCTACTGCTGGAACCGGTGTCCAAATTCCCTACCGGACCATCTCGTTACACGCGCGCCAACAGAACGCCCTGTACATTCAACTATGCCTAAGCGACATCTCACAGACCGCCGACGACGACCTTGAGACTGTCGAGCTCCTCTTGACACCCGACCCTACCGTCGACGGCAATGCCACCGAAGCTGCCGAGCAACTCTTCAACGCCGTTTCTGCTTGCGCCGATCTACACCCCGACCCGGATGAGGATGATGAACAAGAGCAAGAGCCGGAACCCGGCACTGGAGGTTGGATTACTGCCGATAACATGCAAGACTTTATGGATGAGAATGGCGAGTTCCGTATGCCCGAGGGCGGAACTCTTGGTGCTGGAGCTGGTTCGGTGAGGACTGCCGATCAATTCGAGGATGCTGATGCTGGCGATGAGGTCGACGGCGAAGACACATCCGATGAGACCAAGTGGCGCCGAACAAGTTGATCGTAACGTGATCATGTAACACCTGCCAACCAATCATGATGACGATGCAGCGGAGCCTTTTGTTATGGCCATACCCTATACGCCTATACCTCTGCGAATTGTGGCCTTCGACGACAAATAAAATGAAACACATATTGTGAGCCAACACGATTCAAGAAGCTCCATTACGTCCCTCGCCTTGCAACTTTAAAGCTCTTCAAGGCTTGGATGTTAAACCACAGGACAAGGAGTTTGTAAGACTTCGCGCATCAGCCTTTGGGTCAAAGAGAGCCTGACCGTGAATACTATGAAGGCTATTAACTGGTGTCACAACAAACGATTGTGGTCGATCCGGTTATTAATAAGAGCCGGTCACACATTCATGCTCCGGTCCGATGGTAACAAAGATGTATAGCTGACGGGGAGTCTTCGGGGATGGTATGTACGCTGATGAATGGAAAAAAGCCATATCTATTTGCTTAAGGAGACCGTGAGCAGATGAACGAGAGCAGTCTCAGTCCAGTGCAGGAGCAGGCGCTGGTGCAGCTTCTACCCTTCTACTTGCAGGTTTCTGGTTTCCTGAGCCGCCTCCTCCCATGAACGAACTCATCATGTCAAACAAGGGATTGCTCTGGCTAGGGATCTTGATGCCGAAATACATTTCTCCAACCTGAGCAAGCGCTTCATCCCAGTTTCCAGCATCCTTGATGTAAGAGGCGTAGTGGCTCTTGAGTTGTTTGAAAACGTCGGCGGATCCTTTCTCGATGGCCAGCAACAAAAGACCCAGGAAATTTAGCAGTGGAAGGCTGGGGTATACGCGTAGGTCGGATGAGGCGGAGCCAACTTCTTGAACACCAAGACCAGGATTTGAGGATGACAGCTTCGATGTGAAGAGCAGAAAGGCCTTGTTTGCAGCACGAAGATTGCCAACCAGGAGATAGGGGAAGACAGCGCGGGCAGCGTAAAGAGGAGCAGTCGAGGGCTCGTCTGAGGTGTACCAGTCGTATTCGAGGGCGGAGAAGGCTGCTGGCGAGTCTGAGGTTCCGAGTGTGAGATGCTTTTCTGCTTCGATGGCCTCACCATCTGTTCGTGTGTCAGCCATTCATTCGTTCCGTTTGATGTCCAATGGAGACGTACCCTGGGCATAAAGTGTGCCTATGACATGGTGAAGCTCGGGGTCTCCAGCAGGATATTCTCCCAACTTCGACGACCATCTGCGGCAAAGTCAGCTAATTGATGCATGAAGCTGAGGCCGACGTTTCTACCCAATGACTTCTCCAGCAAATCTCTTTCTCGTCGGTTCTCCATCGGGAAATTCGCGTAGTAGGCTCAGCAAGCGTGCTTTGTTTGTCGTGTCGGGCTTCAGCTCAGCCTTGCCGTAAACATCCATGAGAAACATGCATAGGTCGCCTCCGGATGCTCCCTGTCCGGCCTTGAGGAGCATAGATGCGCCCGACGAGAGCAGGTCTACTGCGGAGGCCCAGTCGCTCGACTTGGTGTAACGAGATGCGATGACGCGCAGCTGCTGATGAGCTTCATAGAATTGGCCTTCCTTGACCCTAGAGATGGCGTCAGCGTCGTGTGATTTCTGGATGAACCGGACTCTTTACTTTTCTTGCTGTCGCGCAAGCGTCTTCTGGATCTTGGCCGACATCTTGTGAGAGCGATATCGTGTAACGTGGATGTTGTGTACGGATCGTTGTTCAAGAAGGAGGCCGCGAGTCTGATGTCAGTTCTGTCAACGGCAGGCGCGAAGCTTTGAACTTTGAAGTCCAGGCAACCCCGCACTCCTGCAAGTCAGGGTCACCAACCCATTATTGCCCACATGCATCAATCTGCCATTTGCCGTCAAGTACACTAAGGTGGTTCGGTGGTTCACTGGAAATTGTAACCTTTTCATTTTGGACCTACCATTTTTGTCTCCTGCTGCTCAACTAGGGGACAGTCAACGCAAAATACGTGCCCGTCAACCAATGAGTTCATCCAAGATTTATTGACACGGACATGTGGGAAATATGAGCAATGTATGTTTGACTGATATTTATCGAATTCGTAAAAGCATCCTGTTTATTTCTGCTAGAGACCTCTCTGATCGATTTCAAATTCACCACTTGGTTCATTCTTCATGGCTCCATGTCTCTATTCCTTCGAGAAGCTGTAGTTTGGCGTTGATGGTGGGAAGATACCCGTGTATCGGTCCTCTGTTACTGTGGGGCTCATGGCGCTGGGAGTCAGGTCTCTCTCATAAGGTATCGTCTTCGCACTGGCGCAGCTGACGTGTCGTCCAGGGTGACGTCCCTCCATCGTGTCTGATTCCACGAAAGCTGGTTGATGATCTTGTGCCCAACCTTGGTAGGTATCAGAAGCATACTTTGCGCCGTGGAGATCATCTGTGCTGATCGACCATTCGTCCTTGCCATCCGGTGACGAAGCGCGAGAAGGCGTCTGGCCATAGATTTCTGGTTGTGTGCGTACGATCCCTGACCTCCAGAACTTGAACGCATCGATTCCGGAGATGACTGCTGCAGCCAAAAAGAGAATGCTAATACAATCAGCCAGACATTCTTGTCAGCGTCAAGAGAATAGACTAACCAGAGTGTTACTCCGAGGCCCGTCGCGGCTTTCGCTAGGTTGCAGATTGATGTTGACCCAAATGCAAAAGTCGAACAAGATGCAGAACTTGCGCTTAGCTTCTTGTCAGCAGCTCCTTGTTGCATGCCTTTCGCTGTCCAGGCACATGTTGACGCGAACGCCGATATCCAGAAAATCTGTTCTGTCTGTCAGCATCTGGAATCCCAAGTCTGTTGTCAACGAGGTAGCTACGAACAGTAAATACAGAGTCGATTGCGATGAAGATGTAGGGATTAGCCAGGCGCCATAGCCTTGTCCAGCAAGGAACTATGACCTGATACATTAAAGCAGGCATTGTAAGAAAACACTGCGAAGCATTAGTCTATACTTCGATACACATAAGCACACTTGAGACTCACTAAAGCAAAACACCATTGTACGCGACTATCGTGATTTCCTTTCTCCGTCAAAATCGCCAGCGTCATGCATCCTGTGATGAAAGTAAGGATTGCTTGGAGAAGATGAAGAGCAATCTTCAACTTGTGAACGGCATTTTGAGGAATCCACATGGCGGATAGGCACCCGAGCGAGAGAATATATCCAGTCACACGGTATAGAGCTCCTCGACAAGCAAGAAGGAGGGACTTGGGTTGAAGTAGTTGGAAGATAGCACTTTTCCAACACGGCAGACAGAAAACAAGTTTAGGGCTGGCACCATTGACAAGCTGCAGATTCTGGAGGGAACTCGTAATAAAACTATGGTCTCACCGAAAGTACGTCTCAGCTAGTTATATTAATACAGATCTGAGGCTCATGAGTGGATGTCAATCGTGTTGATTGAGCCATGCTAGGCGATCTACGGGCCGTTGGCTAGGGACCACGAGGCGCCACCAGAGCATCCGGCTTGGCCGACCAGCCATTTGTTGCAGCCGACTTGTGCGATCGATTCAATTGCCTTGTTGTTGTGTCGCGCGCATATGGAGACTTCTCGAAACATGGCAAGTTAGCCTTGGGCAAGGGCTATATGATACGGAGCACACAGCATTGATGGCTGCAAGTATCATCCTCCTCAAAGGCGATGTGCAACAGTCGGGATCTCCGTGTTAGGGAGCGGTCCGGGGTTGATCTACACGTCGATTATGTCTCGCATCAGCTCTTATGAAACGCGTTTCAAGATCTCGTCTCGCATGGATACTTTATGGACATCGGTTTCAGCAGTACAAATAGAGGGGGCTGCATCGCAATATACCATTTCTCAATCGCATCTGCAAGGCGCCTCGTGACCTTCCCGGCGGTAAATCGATACGACGACCCATTCTCTGAGATCCTTCACCGAGCCGTGGATTCGAACGACGACTAAACCTATACGAGCACTTTCCTGGTTTGGCTATCATTGCGCTTGGTCCTGTTCCAGGCATGTATATCGCTTTCCAGACAAAGAGTGACTGCGACAACCTCCGTGTTGGAGAAGAGCCTCTGCGCCAAACATACAAACATAACACCAAACTCTTGTATTCATAGTGTAGGGAGTGAGATTGTGGGAGAAGTGGCATGCAAGCATGTAGGAATTTGGGTATCTCTTGAAAGTCGCAGGATGGTTGGCGAATACAGACATTCTTCACATGCCTCGATAGCAGGTGTCCTGATATTTGCCGTGCAAGATGCAGACACAGAGTTGTTGCGTGCCGTTCCCCATATGTCTTTCACCTCTTAAAAACACTTCTCAACGCCTCGAAATGCAAAAGGCTTCTAGCCTCCAATGTTCTGCGCCCCAACGCCATGCATATCCAACAAGCAATCAATCGTCGTAGTACAGGCAACTGTCCTTGACGCAGGTGGTCAGGCAGCGGTCTTCTTCTCCAGGGCGGTCTCGATTTCGTTCAAGAGCTTAGCGAGGGTTTCCACACCCTCCTTGTCTGGACCAGCAGACTCGAAGTCAATAGCCTCTTTGATGACGTCGAGAGCTTCGTCGAGGCGACCCTGTTCCTTGAGAGCAGTCGTGCGTCTGTACCATCCCTTGGTGTTGGCGACCTTCTTGAGTTCGGTGCTGCAAAAGGCGTCGAGGGCGGCTTCGGGCCACATTTGCTGGGCCATGAAGGCTTGAGCACGGTTGTTATACAGTTGACTCAGTTCTTCGCGCACAAGGCCGGCGGGTTCCCAGAGAGGACGCTTTGCAGCCATGTCGATGGCGAGGCCGTACATGCGGACGGCATCTGGGTATGCGCCCTTCTTGAACGATGCGTTACCGGTCTCCTTGAGCTTTGTGATTTGTGCTGATCGCTTGGGGTTGACAGGGACGGGTGGTGGTGGGACGCCCATGGGTCCTTCAAGGTCTACGACGAAGGAGCGGTGGAGCGAGTTGAGAGCGGCCAATTCGGCTTCGAGTGCGCCTGATGATGAGGATGACGAGATGGCCTTGGTGTTGGGGTCGATGGCCAGCGGTAGCTGTACAAAGGTGTCTGGTCCCTCCATTTTCTGTGTCTAGGGCTTGTGGGATTGACTTGGTAAGTATGTTCGAACAAGGGGAAGAGTCCTTGATGTTTGTGGGGGAGCAGCTGCGAGAGGACACCCGTTCACAATCATCTCGGTGCCAAGAGTCGTGTTACATACTCGAGTATATCTTCTTTATTCTTTCTGTCCGTCAAGCGAGCCCATCACATCTCCCGTTTTTACACAAAGCCAGCTTCATGGCGAATTTGCTCAATTTCAACAACACATTTCGTGAACCACATGCTTGCCCGTGGCGGGTTGTTCTACGCACTTCACTCCAGCTTCTATGCTTCTATGCTTCTACTAGCCACCTTTTTCGATGTCATGTTGTGTCGCTTGCCTTGCTGGCTAGCGATCTGGTTTTCCGCCCCCAACCTGACTTGCTGCTGATCAGCGAAAATCTTCTTATCAGCTTTTGTATAGCAATACTTTGACCACACAAATGTCTTGAGGCGAGGCGAAGCCGGCGACATGCTGTGTTTCACCACGTGTCAAAGCTGCATACTTTACAAAAGCGAGGCGATGTCAGGTAGAGTCCGGTGACAGTGAGGTTGAGAATAGTTCGTGGGACCCCTTATGCATCTCAGTCGCCGCCTTGAATCTTCTCGTACGATTCATAGAAGCGCGGAAGGTAGAATTTGGTGTTTTCGTAAACCAGGAAAGTTACGCAAGTGGACGGCAGGACACGTACTATGTTTGGTCCAAGGCTGGAACTTTGAGTCAGCAGCTGACACATCAAGAACAGGCACGAAATGCATACCCCTTGTAGAACCCTTTGATACCCTCTTTGCGGAAGACCTGTTTGACAACATCTCTCACACCCTTGTAACGCGAGTCGGCATCATAGGTCTGCAGACGGGCTCTGACGACCTGATAAGGATATGTGACGCTACCAGCAAACATCTTGCTCGCAGCGCTGAGTAACAGAAAGTCCAGGTTGGTGAGGTTCTCCCTGCCACCACGACTTGTGCTCCAGTGATTCTTGAGTTGTTCATAAGCCATGAACTGAATGGCGCCATGGCTGACTCCAAACAGAGATGGTACCAGCCCGCGATAAAACCCCTTGAGCCCCTCTGTCTTCCACAGGTGTGATGTTCCTTGTCGAATCGACTTGTATGCTCCGGGTGCATCGCGCGAAGTGGATAGCATGCGTGTCTTGATGACCCATATCGGGTTGGTGCAGAGGGCGGTCAGGATGCCTGAGAAGCCCGAGGCAAAGAAGTAGTCGTATGAGGTGAGGACATCTGGATTTCCGCGAGCAGTCTTGATCAAGTCCTTGATGTTGCCATACCTAAAAGGGCGCAATTAGCACATATCAACGAGGGAGGACTCGATGTATCATACCATAGGAAGTATAATGCCCAACTGACAGAGTTGCCGACCATGTTAGGCATGAGGCCGCGGTACAATGCAGAGTAACCACCCTCATTTCTGATTATGTTCTTCACTATCCGCACCGAGTCTCCAAGGTGACTGCTAGTACTTGGATCCACTGTATAGGACCGAATTTAGCAAGCGACCAGACTTCCAGATGCTCGAGGTAAGACACACCCTGTAGGCGCGTTTTGACGACATCGAAAGGATGAACTACCAAAGTAGAAATAATTCCGGCGCTGAAACCAGCAACACTTTCTATGAGCGATGGAGACAAGCCGGAACCGGACTGCCTTCCCTCGATCGGGGGGTAGACACGCGGCATGGTTGATTGCTGTGTCTTTGGATCTGGGTCATCTGCGAAGGAAGGCGGCGGTGCCATGGCCGACTAGCATGCACCTTCTGCAATGCTGCAACAGACGCGCTTTGCGATGCATCAACACCGAGGCTCGTCATTGGAGTGGGGCAGCCGCTAATGACTAGCTTCCGCGATAACATGTCACGATAACGATTCGTGTGTCAGATCGCTCCATAGTGGGCTTGAAAGCAGTGCATACTCAGGTCATTCTGATGGCACTACGAGTATACTCGAGTGTGATTGACGCTTCCAACCAGGCGTGCCAGCAGCGGCAAAGAATTACAGGTACTGATAACATCAAGTCAAGAATCACGGTGCACAAAAAGCAGCCATTGACTACCGTACGTCTGCACACCTAGGTGGACCAATGCTTGACGAGATGATGGTCATCAGAACATCAAGACAAAGCGCGCCCCTTGTAGTCAACAAAATGATTGCTTTGGTAAAGGCCTGGGGATATATGGGTGATGTTGTGCATGACATTTTGGTCAGCGCCTTGTGGGGCCTGGATGATGCTCTATATGTACAGGCAAGCGCTCCCTTTGAGCATTTCCAGAAACTGATCGCAACGGCTCAGATGAGTAGAGCAGGAGTGGAAATCTCGTGGCATGATCGAGCTGGCGCGATTGGATATGATTATGGCAGAGGCAACCAATGTCTTCCTCGTTTCAACATCTTGCGTGTGCCTTGTGGAAAATGCTTGTAAAGTTGATGTCGGATCCCCCTAACGCCCGAATAATAAAGGTGAAAGAGCGAAGGGAAGATCAATGGTGGTCATTGCCGTGAGCATCGCCGTGGGCGTGGGCGTGGTCGTCGTTAAGGAAGACGGCTTCGTAGGCGAGGTATCCGGCAAAGGCGACAGTAGCGATTCCGAGACCGGGGAAAGAGCCCTTGAATCTGTTCCAGCGCGAAAAGGGACCAGTGTATCTCCAGGCCTCGCTGTCGGGACATGGTCAGAGACGGGAGTGGGTGACTGTGGGTGACTGTGGGTGTAGACGTACTATCTGGCCCAGGGGTCGTTTCTAGGCTGGCCCGAGGCGGCAGCAAACTTTTGAGGGTCGAAACCAGTGAGATTGGGACGAGGAGCCATGTTTTGTGGTCGGGCGATGTGTGTTGGTCGAGTCGAGAGTGGATGCGACACAGCTCGCGACGTTCAAGTGGTAGAGCGGCTACTTCCGTGCCCGCGTCGTGATCCTCATCGACGGTCGACCACCTTGGCCCTGAGGTGCAATACCCTGCTCGAGCTACCAGACACATACAATACCCAACGCATTCACTCATTTCCACGCCCTCGAGCCGACTTCTCCACTCCTAGACGAATCCATCACCGTCGGTCAGCAGTGCGCCGTCTACAATGCCGCCAGCAGTTGGGCGCATGAACCATGCGAGCCATCCATCCAATCCCTTCATACAGTTCAACAACCCGGCACACTCGATTCAGCAGCTGCCGCATTATCAACAACAACAGCACTCCCTGCCGCAACCCTTGACGCGGCCCTCAAACTACGCCTCGGCGAACGGTTTCATTCCTCCGACCACCAATGCAGCCGCTCTGCAGAGCGCCCACGCCAGTGCGGGCGCCCTAGCTGGCCCGAATGCTGGAGCTGGAGTAGGCGGAGGTACAGGACTGGGCAGTGAGGCTGCATATCGGGGCTTTGCACATGGCGCTGCCCTCCAACAGCAGCAGGCACATCAGGCTGAGGCCGCTCAACTGGGCATCAAGTCAGGTCTGGCAGGAAGGATACGCGAAGTCTGGGCACACAACCTCGAGCACGAGATGGTACTACTGCGACAGCTCATCACCAAGTATCCCTACGTGAGCATGGTATGTTACCACCTGCTTCCCACCTCTGCCTCCGTTCGTGTCTTGCTAATACCACGTCACGCAGGACGCCGAGTTTCCTGGCATCGTCGCGCGACCCATCGGTAATTTCGAGAACAAGGCCTCGTATCACTACCAAACGCTCCGTTGCAACGTCGATCTCCTCAAACCAATCCAATTGGGCATTACCATCTGGACTGCAGACGGCGAACTTCCTCCTCAGCAACCCGACCCATCCCTCTTTCCCAAGCAGCCTAACAACCTGGTCGTGTGTCCCTGCACCTGGTCTTTCAACTTCCGCTTCTCTCTCGACCATGACATGTACGCAGAAGGCTCCATCGAGCTCCTCAAAAAGGCCGGCCTCGACTTTGCCAAACATCAAGAACAAGGCATCGATCTCAATGCCTTCGGTGCCGCTCTGACTACGTCGGGCTTGACCTTTGTTGACGACGTCAATTGGCTATCCTTCCACTCGGGCTACGACTTCGGCTATCTGATCAAGTTACTGACCAACGCCCCACTGCCTGAGAACGAATCAGAGTTCCGCGATCTCGTCAACATCTACTTCCCCAAGCTATGGGACATCAAATTCCTGTTACGACATGCTCAGCGTACCCTTGCGCCGCAAAACCGTCTCAGTCCTACCGCCTCTACTGTAATCAACACCCTGGGTCAGAAGTCCGGCTTGCAAGACTTGGCAGAAGAGCTTGGATGCGTGCGTCAGGGTGCTCCTCACACTGGTGGCTCTGATGCTTGGTTGACCGGCTCCGTCTTCTGGGCTATGCGCAATAAAATCTTCGACGGTCACGCGCCGCTCGAATTGGCAGATCAAATCTACGGTCTGCATGGCGTTGGTCCCCCAGCAAGTGCTGCTTTTAGGGATGAGTTCCTCCAAAGTCAGGGCCACCAGACCCCACAAACGAATGGCTCTCTCAACTTCCATACAGGCCACACACCCACTACCCACCAAGCACCGAGTACTCCGACTACCTCTCATGCTGCCATATCCGGTACGCCAGGGCCTACCCATTTTTCTCAGCATGGCTCGCTAACTCCAGCAGGCGGTGTCTTCGGCAATTTTCAGTACGCCAAATAGTAAATGTCTATCATAAGCCATCGGTCGGCGAGCTTCGTCTTTAGCGGTTGTTACGGTGTCTAGGCGTATGGCGATACTTGGGGAGGGCTGGCCATTTCGACATGGCCTTTTTGCTATTTTGCTTGCCTAAAAGATTCAGAGGAGGGCGAGGTCAAAGGTTTGGAGCATTGGGAAGTCCATCTTTCTCTAATGCATGACGCGTCTCACGAATTGTAGCCGCAAGGTGACATATTGAACCCCAGTTCTTTTCGTTTCTCGCTTTTCAGTGTCTCCTCTCTCATTACCCAATTACCTCCTTTTACGACGATACGCATTTCTTGTACACCTTTAGATCATAAGCCACATGTTCTGTACACACCATCATCCTCTCGTTTGCATATCAATCCCCGTATCGATATTGATGCTTGGACACTAAGCAATGGTCACACCTGATCGAAGACTCACAAATTCGACAATACTCAAGCGGGTGCGTATGGCAAAATTTGAACATGATAACTCCATCTGCTTTGTAACAAGGTCGAACAAAAAGGATTCGAGAATACAATACACCTTCAATCTTTCGAATCTGTCAATCCTACTTGCCACAGCAATCGTTACTTCCTGCCTTGGTTTTTTCGCCAAATGCCAGCCTGCTAATATTGTCAACGACTCCTTTGATACCACTCTTGCCCGCTGCCATCTGTGTGGGTGTGCTTGAGTAGCTAGGCGGCACATCCATACAAGGATTTTGGGTGAAGAAGTTGCGAGGTCGGAGCAACACGGTCATGGGCTCGGCTGGCATGATGGGATAGTCCTCGGGAGCAGGGAAATGCGTCAGACCAAATGTGTGCCAAAGTACGACATCCTCCTGTTCCAGATTTGCCTCTGGCTCGGCAGAAATCCAGGCAGGAATACCTTGCGAAGGCTCGCCAGACGTTTGGGGAACGTGGCGGCCTGCAGGGTGGATTTGATCATCCGAGTACTTGGTGACGTGGACAGCGTGTCTGGCAAACCCGGCTCTCTTCCAGACAAGACTGTTTTCCTTGGGCAAGAGTGGAGGCACTTCTCTGCTGACCAGCTTGTAAGAAACAGGCTTCTTTGAGTAGGGGTTGATCTTGCTGGTATTTGCCATGTCCCAGGTACGGCTGGTGTTGCCATCATAGTCGCTCATACCAGTGGCAGGGGTTGTCAGCGCCGTCTTTTTGGCGTAGAAAGCGTTGCCGTAGTAGTTCTCTGCGCTACCGACTTCGCCATCTCCACGCACTGCATCGGCTTGGAAAATAGTGTTGCTTGGTCCATCGATATTAGGGTCTAGACGTAAGCAGAACAGGTGCTGGTGGTTGCTATAATTGATATTAGCAATTCGTGCTTGGTCACAGGAGTTATAGAGACTTACTGTGCATTGACTCCGGGGTATACTTCAGTGCCCCAAGGAGCAGCTGACTCGCCAGGGTTGAGAGCGTATGTGTTCAGGATACCGGTCAGCTTGATCTCAAGCTGGATCGTACCGTCCTGCATGAAGATCCAGTAGACACAGTATTCGTAGTTGGCGGCGGTGAAGATTTGCGAGATGATGAGCTTGCGGCCTCGAGTTACCGTGCATGATTCGTCACGGAAGTCGGTGTGCTTGAATAGGATGCCAGCATCCTCTTCATGAATACAGATAGCATTCTTGATGGTCTGAGCATCACCCGCTCTGTTGACGAACTCAGCGTCCATGTAATGGATAGCACCCTTGCAGTCGCAGCCGAGCGACAAGCTGTTGGTCATGTAACCAGCACCATACTCCCCCAGGTCAAATGCATGCTTGCGCTGATGAGGGTGTTCTGGGTTACCATACGGCACTACCATCTCAGCAAGAGACATTCTGTAGAATACGGGTCTGACGTTGCCTCTGTCGTTGAAACTGATGTTGCTCAAGACGAGTCCCTCGCGATAGTTGAATCCAATGTGAACAGACCAGTTTTGCCACTTGATAGTACGTCCATCCATCTCGAAAGACACACCTTGTGGCTGTGTAATCTCGATAGGCTTCACGTCTGTCCTAAGACCAATTTCCTTTTCGATAGCTTCGCCATGGAAATTGCTAGGTGGTGCTTGATTGAGCTGTCTTCTGACCTTAGGGATGTCGATATGGATGATCTCTTGGGTATCCGCGTTGAAAATGGGACAGAAGTCCAGAGGATATGTGTACTGGCTGTCATCGGGGTGAGGGCGGTAGTACATCAATGCTTGTTGAAGACGGACGTTGCTTCCGAATCTCTCGTCGTAGCCAATAGTCCAAGGATCGCAATAGACTTTGTGCATATCTTGAGGAGGAATTCCAATGATGCCGCATTGTTCGATGACCTTAGGATCCGTGCGGACGACTTTCTCTACAGTGTTCAGATCTTCCATAGTAATCTGGGCACTAGTCAGCAATCTGCTTGATTTACCATGATCATGGGCAGCATAAGGTGGCATCAGTGAGATCTCAACTGTGCTGTAGCACTGTGAGAGATTATGCTCGGTCCTGGTGCCCTTGCTGCATACCTGATCACGATATACGTACCAGTGGCTGAACACCCTCCGTGAGATCCCAGCTCAGAACCTTCTTCTCCTCAAGATCGACAGTGCCATCGAAGACCTTGCTTCCTCTGCCGATTGCAACAATATCCGCTACACGATGAGGTCTCTGCACAGTTTCGGGTGATGCCAACCAGGCCATCATTTCCTTCTTTCTGGGCTCCCAAAGAGTAACAGCATTGAAGAAGACATCGTTGTACTCCTTGCGGACGATAGCCACAGCCTCCTTGATCTCACTGCTTGACAGAGGATCCAGGGGATGAGGTGGCGGAAGCTGACCAGTCAACTGTGCCGACATTTGCTTTAGCCTTTCCAAAACCATTGTGTCGAATTTCGAGGATATGTTTGTAGAGATATAGAGGAAGTACGTGCTATGAACAAAAGATGAGCACGAATCCCGGCTCAGGAAGGCTCAGTTATATAGACACGAGATACTTCCTCAGAACAGAGCAGCTGTAGCAGTACAAGGACAGTTTATCAAGGCCATACCATTGCCCCGCGCCTGGCAGCCCACCATGGGTAGGCGATAAGATAGAAGGTTGATAACGGACTGAGTTCCTGTAAACAGCATAGCGTCAAGATAACGTCACCTCCGCGCGCCGACATCGTACAAGTCAGGGTACGGACGGCTAGATTTACCTAAAGAGTTGGGGTGACGGGAACATCGGGTTGACCTGCCTCCACTGCAATTAACAAGTCAACACGCTCCGAGCAACCACTTAAGGACGCTGAGGATATGGTATCTGAGAACGGTGTGGATGGGATAGATATGTAGGGTAGATAGCTGTGGCTCCCTTCCACAGATATCCAACACAGAGTGACAAACCGAAACTTTCGGCGTCTTCGGGTGCGTAAGAAGAGGCACTTCGGCGCGGTTGTCTGCTGCGATGAAATGGGAGATATCGTGATCGATGTTCATATCAACAAGAATGACTCGCTCCTTGCAATAATCAATGTACTCGAGTAGAAGAAGAGGAACGCGACAAGCTCAAGCTGACCCAAGACTGCGATCCATTCGGCCGATCGGTTCGGCCGAATGTTTCCCCTCCCAAAGCGGTTAGGACGACCCTCAGCAGACATCCATCGACGAGATCATGGTGGTTCCAGCCATCTTGATTTCTGTAATCATATCTGTTGACGCGACGAAGTGATGGAGCACGAACGCTCGCCTGAAGGCGATCTTGGGCCTGACAGAAAGCGTCGTCGCAAGGTTCTATCATGTATGGACTGCCGGCGAAGGAAGGTCCAATGCGACAGATCAGTCCCAGTTTGCGGAAGGTGCGAGAAAGCCGGCAAGCCATGCTCATATGAAGACGACAGCCCCTCACAGCAAGCTTCTACCCGATCAAGTCTGCCATACGTCTCACGACAACAATCCGTCACAGTGAGCAGGGACGTTTGGGATGATATGTTCAACAGACTGTTGCATCAAGAACGCGTAATTGAGCGGTTGCAAGCTACTCACGCGAGCCCCGCTACTCCTGCAACAGTTTCCATCGCAACGCCTCAAGTCCATGGAAATCTGGATACGCCAGGCGGTACTAGTGACATCGGCGCGAAGGAGAGAATGTTGTTCAGAGGCAAGGGATTTAAAACGACGTACTTTGGCCCATCTGATGCTAGGAGTGCAATGACTCTTGTAAGCCAATCCTACTTTTCCCTTCCCTGTCATTGGGCAGTTAGATTGTGGGCTGTGAGGACAAAAGACATAATGACGAGTTGGAACTCGTGCTCGGAAACCATTAGTATACTGACTAGATTCTTGTCACAGAATGCCCACAACTTCTTCCGCGAGGAGGTCTCGCGAAACCCAGAACTTGTGCGCTGCAGAAGAGATGTCGCCAAGCTGCGGGCGGTCAAGAAGATACTGGATAAGCAAGAAGTATCTTCGTTACAAGAATCCCTAGTGTCTTACTTGCCTGAGCGAATCAAGGTTGATCTTCTGGTTAGGATGTACTTCGAAAACATCGACTGTACCTGGGGGATACTCCACGCTCCTAGTTTTCAACGGGAGTATGAGATCATGTGGCAGGATCCGCTGAACACAAAACCTGGATTTGTTGCTGTTGTACTCCTGATGATGGCCTGTTGCCAATGTCTTGTTCGAGAGCAACCGCAAACATATAGGGCTGACAGTCCGCTTCCTCGTGAGACTGCTATAAGCCTGATTCACGCTTGCGAAACTTGGATTGCTCAGTCGAGTCGCAAGCACACTGATTTGCAGTGGTATCAGGTTCAGTGTCTCCTTCTGGTGGCTAAACAGACCCATCAAATGAAGATGAAGCGGCGATGGGTTGAATCTGGTAACCTGCTGAGGGTTGCCATATCTGCAGGATTGCACAGGGATCCAGAGTTGTTGCAGAAAAAGACACTCTCGTCTGCGTTTGAGCACGAAATGAGGAGAAGGATATGGGCATTCATTGTTGAGTGGGACCTTCAAACATCCGTTGACAGGGGCATGCCTCCGATCTCATCGGATATCGCAAGCGATTGCGGGCCTCCCTCAAACTTGCACGATACAGAATTCGACGAATCGACAATCATCATGCCGCCTTCCAGACCGCTGACCGAGTCGACGAAGATGACGTATACGTGTCTGTCTTCACGGAATCGAGGTTTGAGAAGGAAGATCATCGCCGTGATAAATCAACCTTTACATCAGGTGTCTTATGACGAAGTGTTGGCATACACACAGGAGCTTGAGTTGAATCTGGCTTCTTTGCCTGACTGGGCTGGTGATAGACTCAGAGATCTGACGGCTCACGATCAAAGTGTTGCACTCCTACACATCCAACTGGAGCAGTTTCTTCTCATCTTACATGGCCATGCGGCTCGCCAGGCTGTGACCAAGACCCATATCACTTTTTCCAAACAGGCTTTCAAGTCTGCTGCGGTCTCTATCTTGGACAAGCTTTCTGAGCTGTCGGCTAAAGGCTTCAAGTTCCTACTCATGGTACGAGCAGACATCCAAAGGGTGTTCACCAGTACCTTGGCGCTGGGTAACACTGAAGACAAAGACATATCGACGCAAGACTTGCGCAATCTGGTCCAGCCTAGTCTTGAGCTTGCAGATAAGGCTCTCAATTTATTCGAGGAGAAGATCCTGACGACTGGAGGTATTCAATGGACTCACACGTTCCTCGTGTACGACATGCTTCTGTGCAAAGTGCATCCACTTGGTCGCAACATGCCATCTCGACCCGGCAGTGGAAGGATCTACAGTATCTGTAAAAAGATCATGGACAACCAAGATTCGGACTTCTCAGCCAAAGTGGTTCCCTTGAAGGACTCCGTGCCAACGCCGAAAAAGAACAAGGGGCAACGGGCTACCAAGATGCATGTGACCACAGAGGACAATACTACTCAACAGCCACCCCCTTCTTTGAACAGCGATGTTGTCCCAAATCTCAGCTTCTCTGATATGCTTGACTGGAACTTCGATGATTGGATGCTGTACACTGATATGTTCTGGTCACCTCAAAATATGTCTCTACCATCATTATCCGAGCAGAATTTGCAGTATTGAATCCACTACATGTATTCTACCACCTAACATCATAATTTACTACACTTTGGCAAGCCTTTTCCTCCATTTGCCACTCCCATCATTCTGCTGAAGGCTTGCTCGAAGCGTGTGCCATGTCAATTACCACAGATCCATTCATGTCCAGCCAAGTCCAGCCAAGTCGATCTTGCTGTGCGGGTGACCCTGTTTCTAAATCTGGTCAACTCTACTGCACTCAATCAAGGCACACATGGTACCGAAGCATACTTCGAGCAATTTGATAGCGGTCTCTCTGGTGCTGGTCTGCCGTAGTGGGTCTGGGTTATCTGTAGCTCGTTGCGAGACAGTAAAGTGACACCTTCAGAGACGTCTATCAACATCTCTGCTGCTGTAAATGTTCATACCGCAGAAGCCGAGCGGTTCCAGCAAACAAACTCCGAAATGCATGCCTGAGTTGGAACACGCGTTCGAGATCATGATTTTCTGACGGCATGTCACAGCTTATACCAAGCTGAACACATGTGTTTAGCAACAGATAAAGATACTGTCCTAGAAACAGGTGAAGCCGGGGAGATATCGGCAATGAAAGCCCGCTGCCTCCAACGCCAGCAACTGCGTGGAAGGATATGCGATACAAACAACTCATTACTTGGCATATGATGCATATTCTGTTATAAGGCTATGGAGATATTCAGAAATGTCCAGTCATAATCTATCTGTTGCTTCAATCAGGCTGCAGCACGAAGTCTGTCCACGGCCAGACCCTGCTCGACCCTGTCTGCTTCACGGGCTCCGACAAAGCGGTAACAAAGCATGTTTGGCTCCAGCACGGTTTAACCAAAAGACCAGTCAGGATACACGCAAGTATACACTGACCGAACAGGTAGGTGGCCTGCCATCGCTGTACACTTGGCCTTCATATGGTATCAGACCGGGACATGGCCTTGGTGAAGGACACTCGCAGCTACAGGCTGTGCTATTGACCTCGAGTAAACAGATGACAGAATTATGACAAGGACTGGCAGGTCGACAAGGCAGACCTGCGTGAGGCGAACAGCGGCAGGACTCGGCCTCGTACATTCTTTCCTGCCTTCGAGCATACCTTTGGACCCAAGCACAGGCACAGCCAAAAGCGCCAAGGCCGGATCGTATCATGGATTTGTTGGCAACTGAAAGCCAACGTTTCCCTGGGCTGATGGATGATCCCAAGAAAGAGAGCCCCCACCCTCTCAGCTTCGACGCGTTTGCCTTTCTATTCCACGACCCAACTTTTGCCAAACCACGACAACAATCTCATAACACGCCAAGACACGCGTAGAACCGGTCGCATTTCATCAAACAACTCAAAAAGACACGCGAAAGGATCATAAAGCAGACATGCCGGGTGGAAAGGGTACGGAAACAGCGTCATCGCATCGCGTGTCCGACGAAAGAGCTCTCCTTTGCTGACGAGAGCTTTCAACGTGCAGGAAAGACTGGCGGCAAGACCGGCGGCAAGGCAGGCGATTCTAGCAAGACGCAAAAGTCGCATTCGGCAAAGGCCGGCCTGCAGGTATGCCTCTCCCTCCTCCTTCCCTACCCATGCATGACGCGTCAACCCCCGAGTCCCGAGTCCAACCACTGACCTCGTATTCTACAGTTCCCCTGCGGTCGTGTCAAGCGTTTTCTCAAGTCGCACTCGCAAAACAAGATGCGCGTCGCCGCAAAGGCGGCCGTCTACGTCACGGCGGTCCTCGAATACCTGACGGCCGAAGTCCTCGAGCTCGCAGGCAACGCCGCAAAGGATCTCAAGGTCAAGCGCATCACGCCCCGTCACTTGCAGCTCGCCATCCGTGGTGACGAGGAGCTCGACACTCTGATCCGTGCCACCATCGCCTTTGGTGGTGTGCTTCCGTCCATCAACCGCGCCCTGCTGCTCAAGGTCGAACAGAAGAAGGGAAAGAAGGATGTCGCATAGACGTCGGCATGGGCTCAGCGACAAAAAATACCTCTTGAACCTTGTGTTGCGCTGTCTGCCTTTTGGGCTTCGGAATTGATGACTGGCTTTTATGGGTTTTATTTTTTTTCATGTTCTGGCTTCTTCCCTCTCTCCAACAACCACCCCTTTCTTTCTATGCCTTTCTGCTGCATTCTTCCGAGATGCCATGGCTAGATTGAATGGCAAGAACATCCTTGTTAGGGTTCCTCTTCTTTACGTTTTATATCTCGGCGCCGGGAGGAGACAGCAGGCACGGTGGCCTGCAGACTTATCAGGGGTTGGATGTAGCACTAGTTGCATTGACTCGACTCCGAAGTATTTTTGATTTTTGTTGTTTCTATACCCTTAATTTCTTTCCACAGACAATCCTTCATTGCTTTTGCTGCAGAGCATTTTCCCAGCTGCCCAGCCACCTCCAAGACCTGACGACCTTGTCTAGACCGCTGAGTGTATCGTCGACGGCGAGCTGGCCTCGCTTGCCTGAGAATTCAACAAAGAACATGTAATGCCATGGTGCCTCTCCGCTTGGTCGGGGATTGATGCTGGTCAGATTGATACCGTGTGATCCAAAAACAGCCAAGGCATTAGCCAGTGCTCCGGCATCGGTGTGAGAAACAGTGAACGAAAGCAGCGACTTGAATGCCCGAGCGTTCTGTTGGTTGTCTGCGTCCTTTCCAGTGGTGACAGACGAGGGAGACGTGTCCTCAAGACTTCTTCTCCGAATAATGAAAAAGCGTGTAGCATTATCCTTTTCGTCCTCGATATCGCGTGCCAGGAAATCCAGACCAGTCATTTGTGCCGCGATCCCACTGCTGATTGCTGCCGATGTGTGTGTATCGTCTGCCGCTACGAGCTCTGCTGCTCGGGAAGTAGACGATACATCCTGTCGCTCGACACCCTTGAGATAGCAGGATAAGAAAGTCTTGCATTGCCCCCAAGCCTGCGGATGCGAATATAGCTTCTTGATATGTGAGAGGGAAGTCAATGGCGCTGCGCGTGAGTTTGTCGGGTTGGGGTTGCCTGGTATAGGCGTAGCATGGCCAGAGCTGCTCGGGCTCTTGGTTTCCTCCTGGAGTACCTTGGCCGGCCCGGTTGCATGTCCCTGCCCAGAAATTGCGGGATGGCCTAGTAGACAGTGGTGTACTTCAACATAGCGTTCGCCACAGACCACAATATCCGGGTGTTTCGCACTCTGGTCTGCAAAGAGATCTAGTGTGAAGACTACAGATCCATTGGTCGAGTTTTCGAATGGGACGACACCATAAGCAGCCTTTCCTGCTTGCACTTGGTAGAAGACATCTTCAATGGTCGTTTGTGGTGAGAAGGTATAGTTGTCGGAATCAAAAGCACTTAGAGTTGCCTGTCAATGTATGAGCTTCCAGTTCTAAGACGGCGTTGTGACTCTTTGAGCCGAATTGATGTCGGAGCCCATTGTATCAACACGTGAGTAGAGTATGATTGCATTCAATGACCCAACCCCATAATTCGCTCTCATGTCCAGAGGCGCGACAGAACAGCAGATGTGGTGTATCGTACCTGATGCGTATATGAAGCCTTTGGACCCAAGTAGGCAATCTGCTCGTGTGACTGCATCTCGATACGCACACACTTGTTCAATCTCAAAGTTGGGTTTCGATTTAACGAAGCATATCCGGGGATGAATAGAAGCTCGGAAAGACAATTGACCCAAGGAACGTAGGTTTGTAGGTGCAACAATAATTGACGATGACCACGCCGAGGTCGGCTTTTGGAAAGTCGCTGTTGGAAGCTTCTTGCCGTTCCGCGATGATCTCTTTCTCAGGCACGCGAAAAAGAGAATGGATACATTGGAATACATTGAAAATTCACGAGAACTTTTGGTATCATCATGTATGGGATTCCCATTGTATGCTATAGTATTACAACGACTGGTCGTGCACTTGGTCCAGGATGCTAAGAAACAAAACTACAGGTAGAGACCCTCTGGTTCGCCCTCGCTCTTGGTCTTGAGCACGCTCTCTCTTGCCTGTCTGAAGTCGGTCATGTTGACTCTCATTCTGCGTTCTCTCAGTGCCATGAGACCAGCTTCACTGCACATGGCACGAATATCGGCACCCGAGAGGTCGTCCTTCTGATTGATGAACTCTTCAAGGTCGACGTCCTCGGCCAAGGACATCTTGGATGTGTGGAGGGTGAAGATCTTGCGCTTGGTGTTTTCTGCATAAAACAGTCAGCTGCTTGTACATGGCTAAATTATAGAGAAAATAAACTCACGGTCGGGGTTCTCGAAGAGAATCTTGCGGTCAATACGACCAGGTCTGATAAGAGCGGGATCCAGTGTTTCAATCTTGTTAGTGGCCATGATGACCTTGACATCACCACGGTCATCGAAACCATCGAGCTGGTTCAGAAGCTCAAGCATGGTACGTTGAATTTCACGCTCGCCACCAGATGTGGACTCGTAACGCTTGGTACCGACAGCATCAATCTCATCAATGAAGACGATACTGGGGGCGTGCTCGGCAGCGACCTGGAAGAGCTGTCTCACGAGTCTAGGACCATCGCCCAAGTATTTTTGGATCAGCTCGCTACCAACGATACGGAGGAATGTAGCGCTGGTTTGGTTTGCAACGGCCTTTGCGAGAAGAGTCTTTCCTGTACCGGGAGCACCGTAGAGAATGACACCCTTTGGGGGCTTGATACCCATCTCCTCGTAAAGCTCAGGGTGGAGCAGAGGCAGCTCGACGGCTTCACGGACTTCCTGGATTTGTTGTTCCAGACCACCAATGTCGGCGTATGATTCGGTAGGGGCCTTGTCGAGCTTCATGACAGAAACGAGAGGGTCGGCATCGTCCGTCAAGACACCAACAACAGAAACGGATTTGTGATGAAGAAGAACACTTGCGCCGGGCTCGAGCAGATCCTTGTCGACAAAGGACATGATGCTGACATAGTATTCGGGGCCGGTAGCAGAGGATACGATGGCGTGGTCATCATCGATGAGCTCCTCGAGGTTTCCGACACCCATGGGGCTGCCTCTCATGTCATCAACACGGCTTCTTTCGTCGGCGTTGCGGTCCAGGGCATCGCTGTCAGCGCCGGCGGAAGCAGGCTGTTGAGCGCTTGCAGCTCTGGCCTTGCGCAGTCTTTCCTGGTTCTCGACGTATTCCTCCTCTAGCAACAAGTGGTCGTGAATGCGCTGCATGCGCAGGTATCGGAGCTTGCATCGGGCGGTAGGGTAGATGGAGGGGAGTTTGGCGGCGGCATTCGGACCGGCTTGCTTTCTCTTCTTGCGGCCGATGCGGGTAGTGGGTTGTGGCGGAGGCTCGTACTTGGGCTTATCCTTCTGGGCAGAGTGAGCACGGAGCTTGACAGGTCAGATGGATTGAGGCAAAGGTACCTTGGGATCCTTCTTATCCTTGTTGTCGCCTCCCTGACCGGGAGGACCACCTCCGAGGCCAGACTGGTTCGCACCCTGTATGATGGTCAGCACGATAGGAAGACGAGGTGAAGTCGGCGGCGACGGCGGCATACCATGATTGATGCGGAGTTTGGATGTGGTGACTAAGGCGCGGCGAAGGGTGGAAGGTGTCTTGAGGAGAAAGTGAAGGGTCGACGGCAGCGTCGGACGTTGGATGGCAGTCCGGGAGAGGACGTCGAGATGGGTTGGTTACAAGAGGTTGGACGTGTGGATGGATGGCGGATGGAGCATGTCGATTGTGTTGGCCATGGGCGATGATGCACGCAGCACAGCGGCGTGGCCCAAGCTCACTCGTCTATGAATGACATGTGCTGTGCCTGTGCCTGTCTCGTCTCTTGTTCACCACCGAATAACTGTGCGACCGTCTTTATTCTCTCTTCCTTGCTTGAACTCGGACGTATCATAGCCAGTGCAAACAAGTCCCATCTTGACTTGTCACCCCGGCAGCTTCACAAAACCTCTGGCTATATAACTTCCTCGAATCCGCCCACCACTCGGCCGCGGACTCGAACTATCACCACTGGTGAAATCACACGACACTTCTCTTTTGTCCATAGCGGACGAGTCTCATAGTCATGGCGGCAAACAGAAATCGCCGCCTGGTCAAAGAAATCCAAGATGTGCAAAAAGATAGCCACTCGGGTGTCTCGCTCGAGCCGCTGAACAAGGCTCAGACCGGCTCCGACACTCTCGATGACCTGACACATTTCAAGGGTGTCTTCCGCGGCCCTCCAGACACTCCCTACCACGGCGCTACTTACCATGTCGACATCAAAATCCCAAACGACTATCCCTTCCAGCCTCCCGTCATGAAGTTCACCACAAAGATCTGGCACCCCAACATCTCCAGTGTTACTGTCCGTCTATTCGCAACCTCCGCACTCCATCATCTCTTGCTAACATGGTGCTCAGGGTGCCATCTGTCTCGATACTCTGGGCTCGGCCTGGTCACCAGTCCTTACCCTCAAGTCCGCTCTCATCTCTCTCCAGTCGCTACTATCCTCGCCTGAACCGAAAGACCCTCAAGACGCAGAGGTCGCCCGCATGCTCATCACAAATCCTGCCGAATTCGCACACGTCGCTCGTGAGTGGGCTATCAAGTATGCTGGTGCTCCAGAAGGTGATCCTGGCTCAGAGACCACTGGTGCAGAGGGAAGCGGAGGTGTAACCGAAGAGACACTTAAGAAGAAGGACGATCAGAAACGGGAAAGGGCAGAAGCCGCAAAGCTCGCACAGTATGCTGCTGTGTACATGTTGTATACGAGGGAAACTTGACTAACACGTGCTGCAGGTATCACGGATACAACAAGCTTCTCGTGGATCGCTTCTCCGCCATGGGCTTTGACGTTCCAACTGTCGTTGCCGCCTTTGAGTTCACTGGCATTGACAAGAACGACGGCGAGGACTACGAGCTCGAGGAGGAGTACATGGGCGACATTACTGCAAGACTTTTCGGCGAGGCGTGATTTGCACTTTTAATTCTATCCCGGCCCTTCTTTCTGATTATCAAGTTACTGTGCAGTGGTAGGTTACGATAACACGACATTATGATGCTGTACCCAGCTCAAGAACCCTTTTTTGGCTCATACGGCCACTGAGCCTTGCTTTTGCCCAACAACTATCAATTAGGTACATACATATCCTTCTACAGATAGCAAAATGAAACGACATACGACCTCACACTTCTCCTTGCTCGATTATCGGCTTAGACAAAAGATGGAAAAGAGGGTTCTGGTGGCCCCCATTAATGTACAAATAGAGCTGTCTAGCTAGCAGGGGGGGATCCTGTCCTCCAGACGATCATCCCGTCCTCCAAGAATGAATTGGCTATCTTCAGCTTGATCGATTCCATGGCCGATTTACGGTGACGCTATCGCGCAAACACCTTGACCACTCCATCGCCTCCTGCGCTAACGACGTATCTTCCGTCCTGGCTCCACACCACACTGCACACACCTTCGCCTCTCATGGGTCGGTGTGATGTAATGTCCTGCGTGCATTGTCTCTTCTCGAGTGACCAGAACCTGATCGATGCGTCATGGCCGGCTGACACTGCCTCCCGACCGTCCTTGGATAACGAGAGTGACGAGATGGCTGAAGGATGTGCAAGCATAGTATACGTGCATTGTCCTGATATCAATTAGCAAACATGACCTTGATCCACCATCTAGATCCAAACACTTACCACTGTTTGCATCGAAGAATCTTATGTATCGATCTTCGTGGCCACTGACAATTACACCCTCGACGCCTTGCGCTGAGCCCGTTGGTCCCGCGCCTACAGATTCCTCTTGATCTGCCCTTTCCATGTATGAGGATCCTGTCTCCAAACCAAGCGATGCGCTGCTGGTAGCAACTACAGCGTTGATACTTGTAGCCAGCGTTCCGTCGTAAGTCTCATTACTGGCCATTCCGATGATTTCCTCGCCGGTTCGTGTGTCGAAAATGAGGACGCTCGAATCGGTGTATGATACGACAAAGTTCTCGCCAGATGGACTTAAAGGAGAAATGCAAGTAGGTGCTGCACCTGAAGCAGACTCCCGTTGAATGCTGTGTACCAGTGTGTAGTGGAAAGGCGTGCTTGTGGCCACGTTAGGCTGTGGAGAACTGGGATGGTTACTTCCAGATGTGACAGAGTGACGACGGCTTCCACCACGTCTCGAGCCTGCTTGCGGCGATACCAACTGCGGGGGAGCGCTGACGGACCAGATCTTGACAGTGCCGTCTGCAGAGCCCGTGGCGAGTAGGATACGGTCTGGGCCGCCGAAGTTTGAGCTTTGAGAGCCGAATACGGATGCAACAGTTCCGGGGAGGAGGCATACGGTCCAGACAGCATCCGTGTGACCTTCCAGAGTAGCCTTCGGATCCACGCGCCCACGCTCCCAGACACGCACCGTCGCGTCTTGACCGCCAGAAAAGATCCAACCATCTCCAGAAACACGGCCTCCAGTGGAAAAGCTAGTCGAGGGGCAAGCAGCAAGGGAAGTCACCACTCCATCGTGACCGCGATGCGTGAAGTAGCAAGCTATGTCGAGGTCGTTGTTGGAATTGTTCTGGAAGTTGGTATAGCTGGCAGGTATGATCCAGCGCTTTATGGTGCCATCATCGCCAGCAGTACAAATCTCGGGCTCGGAGGGGCTGCCACCACCCGTGAAGATGACGGAGCGGACGACATCAAGATGACCACGGAGTGCAAACTTGACCTTGAACTGAGAGGGGTCGGTTTTTGCGGCCAACTCTGAGCCGCTATCGTGGAGGTCGTGGGAGCCGGAGCTTCTTCGTCTAGCCATGCCCTGTGAACCTGACGACCTGCGACGGCCAGAACCGGTACGTGGTGGAGACCTCGAAGGAGGATTTGCTGCACTGGGGAACAAATCGGTGTCGGGCCTTCGGGGAGGCTGAGGTAGTTCGACAAGAGGTTGTTCGGGTAGAGGTTGCTGGTCATCGAAATTCCAGCCATCAGTCGCTGAGTCCTGAGTGACAATTGAACGGGGAGCAGCGTCCTGAGCTGAAGCGACAGGGCGACCGTAAGAATCATAAGAATGCGTGACCTGCTCTACAGGCTCGTCCAGAGACACAGACTGAGATTGCGGTGGCTGAGGCAGGGTCTGAGTAGGAGGTTGTGCAGGAGGCATGGACAGAGCTAAATGACGCTTCTGCTCTTCAGCGGAAAGGTTGACCGGGGGCTGTAACTGGACGTGGTTCGAAGGCGGGTAAGGTCTTTGAGCGCGGCGTAGGTAGAGCTCATCAAGCGAGACAGGAGGGTCGGGTAGACCGGTATAGGAAGCCGAGGGGTTCTGCATGGACATATGGGGCGGCGGAGGGTGCGACGGGGGAGTCAGCAGATACTGGACTTCGTTGAGACATCGGTCAAGGAACTTCTTGGACTTGTCGCGGTATTGTTGCTTGTCTGGCGTTGTATCAAGGAACGAGTTGCGGACTTCATGGGATGCTAGGTGGAACAGATCAGCTTGGAGGCCTTGTGCAACAGGCGAGGGTATAGACTGACGTCTGGCAGATGTCGACGGGGCATTGTCTGGCTGCAGGGGCGCACTGGGGTCGCTGCCCTTCTTCCTCCGCTCCTGCTTGAGGGCACTTTCCAGCATACGCACTTGTCGTTCAAGCTGCTCGTTGATTCTCTTTGCATGGCGAGATTCGCCCTCGTGCTTTGCGATTTTGGCCTTCATCTCGGCTCGTTCAATGTCCCATGCGTTTCGGGCTCGCTCGTGGTTGTGCCATTCGATCTGGAGGAAGCGCATAACGCCTTGTTTGCGAGCGTCAGCCAGGCCACGGTGGCAGAGAGATTCGACATACCCTGCAACGTGTATTCGGCACCCTGAGGCCCATGCTGCTCGTTGGATTGCGCGGCATTCGCAGCATTGTTGAGCATGCCACCTGCTTGTTGGTATGCCATGACGGCCGGTCTCGTGCTGCGTCGGGCGCGCTCTCTCTCTCTCGCTTGCTCTCGCTCTCTCCTGCTCTGTCGGGGATGTCGCGCTTCAGGACGTCTGCAGCATTGGCGACTTGGATACGGTGCCTGGCGAGTGCCTTGGCTTAGCTCAACACGGGCGACGGGGAGCGTCGAGTCTTGTCTCTGTTGTGCAATGTCATGTAGACGCTTAACTTAACACATGCACCCAAACCACCGAGCACGCACGTCCGCCGGCTAAACCCAAGCTTCCCCCTAACCATCGCCTTTAATTTATGACACTTTCCTATCACTTTCTTAAATTCTGTCACATCGACTCTCAAGGCCCAGCGATGCGCATTGTTTAACGCGTCAAAATGCACGATGATATTGAGTAATAGCACGCCGTCCACAGAGAGCGATGCATGGAGGACTTCTCCTTGTTTGTCCCCTGTACCCCCTCCCCATGTGCTAAAATTTGTCATTTCGACTCTCAAGCCGCAGCGATGCGCATTGATTAACGCATCAAAATGCACAATGATATTGAGTAACACCAAGTCGTCCACAGAGAGCGATACTTGGAGGTCCTCTCTTTGGACCTATCTCCACTTTTGAAAACTATCGTGCATTTCTACAGTCGCGACAGTGACAAACTTAAGCACAGGGGGAGGTATGAAATGCCATGCAAGAATTATTTGGCTATTGCTTTATCCTTCGTCATGTCGAGAACGCTTGTTCCAATGCGCTGTAGCATATTGAACCTACACACAGCTGCAGATACGTCCTGTTCTTCTACCTGTTTCGTACATCGCTCGTGCTTCATACTCTCTACTCCTCCTTAGCACCACCACGCCCGGCCTTCTCGGCAGCCTCGATACTCTTCTTGTCGGTCTTGATGTCGCCGGCACCCTGCATGCCCATGAGACCACCAGATGCCTTCCAGGGTCTCTTGAGCTCGCCAACAGCGGGCTGTCCGAAAAGGTGCACCTTGACAAGGTTGCCCTCAAAGGCGCCCTTGAGGGGGATGATAGACTGGATGAGAAGAGGGTTGGTGTACTGGAAGTAGAGGTGCATGACGGCCATCATGCCAACACCCATAACCTGACTCTTGAACAAGCCGCGGAGCTGCTGACTATCGTATGCGTGCACAGTGGTGGTGACGGGCTTGGGCTCCTCGGTCGAACCCATGGGTGCGGGCTCAACGTACTTGATCACGGTAAGATCTGCAACTCGAGTTAGCTCTATGCTTTTTGCTACCACTTTGTTCCGTCGCTACTTACCCTTCTTTGCGTTGATCTGTGCCTGCACATAGAGGTAGATACCGGCAATGATGAGGTTGGATACGATGTAGAGTGCGCGAACTCCCATCAGGACATTGGGGTCCTCAAAAGGCACCTTCTTGGATACCTGCATCATGAAGCTGTCGCCTAGTCAGTCGCACGCCTCACTTGCTCCTAGATGTGTCGCGGGCGTACAGGATGATGACCAGGTTGGTCACTTGAGGGTTGAGAGCCATCTTGTCGGTTTCTTGCTATGTTGCGATTTGACGAACGGACAAGGATCGATTGATGGAGGGCTGGGGAAGAAAGAGCGACAGCGGATTCCTTATGAACACGTCGGCTCCTGCCGCTTTCGTTGTTAGCGGGGCTGGACCCTCTCCAATTTCACTGCCCGGCTCCCGCTTCTAATCACTTCTATTTGTCTCTCTTTTACGCCTTGAGCCTTTTCACATTTGCATGAGCGTATTTCATGAATTCAGTAACGACTTGTTATAATGGTGATATCGACATTGCCTTTGCTGAGTTTGCGACCGTCATGAAACATACGACCCTTGCCCACTACCTATTCCCATCTGTTCAAGATCAGAGCAGGACCATCGCAACCACCATGCCCATGAACAACGACCAGGCCTCTGGACTGCTCACAGTCTTGAAGCCAGTATTCGATGCCATCAAGGATGGTGAGCTTGGTGTTCTCGTGGCTGTGATGGATGCTGTTGCTAGCGAGCTCACTGCTCCCCTTGTTGAGCTAGGTGTAACCGTGGCTGTGGTCGCATTCGACAGCGTTCCGTTAGAAGTACCACTTCCGACCACGCTGGTACCATTAGCGCCGAAGAGGTTGAACTCGGCTACCGTGGCGCCAAACTCATCTCCTGTCGCCTGACAACCACTGATTTCGAGCGTGATGTACTGTCCTGACCAGATGGGAGTCGAGAAAGTGAAGTAAGACATGTTGCCTTGGTACTCCTGAACAACATCATTGGTAGCAGCATCATAAGGCATTGAGATTTCGATGTCCGAGAACGCTGCCGTGTGGATCTCTGTCGAACTGGAGTTGGATCCGCTCGTGGAGTTGTACACCAAAACGCGAGCTCCTGTGGCCGGCCTTCTGCCCCAGTCAAATGATACACCAGTCAATGGCTGGTACTCTACATCCTGCATGTCGATTGTCAAAGATGCAGGTTCGGGGCTGCTGGGCTGCCAACGAGTGCTGGCTGCTCCGTCAACTGCTGCGAGGGGGAATTGACCTGGCTGATATTCTCCTTCTGAAGACACTGGCAAGCACTGAACGAGGTTTCCTGCCGCTGTAAGATTGTCGAAGTAGACGCGATTGTCAACCGTCACTGTTTCGCCAAGTGCTATGCTGATATTACGACCGTCTTGTAGCGAAAATCCGATGGTAATTGGCATTGACTGGTTACCATAGATGTCGGTGCTGTTAGGAGGCAAGTAAGTGGACACATCCATGCGAGTCAGGTTTGTGTGTGTATGATTCATCGTTGCCTTGATGCCTGCTCCGCCGAAGATTACCGTGCGGAGACTGACATAAGGGATCTGAGGCGGTAGAGCTGGCTGAAGGATAAGTTGCTCTTCCACGACTCGAGCGCCGAGCCAGCCCATAGGTCCGACCTGATGCCAGCCACCAGCTCCAGTCATGAAAGGGAACGCTGGGTTCGTGCCTCCGTTGGTGGTGAAGTTATCGACCTGCTGTTCCGAGAACTGGTACCAAGGCGCACGCGCATATGCTTTGAATCCGTTCAATGCGTATGTGAACGAGGAACAGCCGGATGGAGAGAGCGCGTTAGCCGATATCGAGTAGAGACTGTACGTCATTGCAGGTCCATCAGGGGACTGCTTTACAGCATACTGGATCTGATTAGTCTACATGTACGGTTCGTAAAACGAATAGGTACTCACGTAGTCGAGCGAGGCGAGCTTGTCTTCCCTGGTATAGTTTTCGGAGCTGTAATCCAGAGGATAGTTGATCAAATCAACATCGTCTTGCTTGATGACTGCTGTGTTGTTTGCACCGCGGAACTCGGTCAACAAACCTGACGGTGCAAAAGGCAAAGCCACATTTCCTGCGATTGACGACCAGTTTGCTTCGACGTCTAGCGAGAACTCTTCCGAGTAACCCTGAGCCCACTCGATAATTTTGGCAATTGAAGCCAGCGTGAAAGCACCGTCAGGGACCTGGTTTGCGTATTCTGTGTGCTTGTTAGTTCGGTGTCATGCGCTGCTGCACTTCGAACTTACCATCTGGATCAGTAAGATTGGAGATCGAGTAGCCGCCGACAGTCTGGTTGTATTCGACTAACTCGGAGAACATCTGCACAATTGCATCATTGACTGGAATAGTTTGACTTTTAAACCAGCTGTCATCTCCAGTGACTCTCCAGTAAAGCAGGTTATTCAGGAAGATATCACTGTTCAAGTGATACTGGTAATCAACGCAAGGTCCAGTGCCGGTGCAGTTGCCAAAACGCCCGCTGGTCCAAGGATAAATTATAGCCTCGCTTGAGAAGTCATTTTCTTGAGCGTTGATCGCCGCTTGCGGTGCCAGCATCACACGGTACTTGGGGATCTGAGCCGCATACTTGGGGTGTGAGACGGCAATGCCAGGCGACATGAACACATCTGCGTCCCAAAAGACAAGTCCGGCATAAGAGTCAGAACCCAGTCCTCCAACGCTGATAGACCAGTGGTTCAAATCGGATCCGTCTTCAGGAAGCAAGTTCTGAAGGAGATAATGAGCATTGGCTTTCGAGATGATCTGCATGTCGATCACATTCTGGTCATCTGGAAGCGAGCCATCGGGAAGAGTATAATCATCAACCATGTCGTCAGTAAGTATATCGGCCCATGCTTGGGAGCTGCCCCTGAACAGTTCATCGAAGCCGGCTTCGGAAGCTTCCAAGGATGCGTCTCGAGCAATAGACTCAGGGTCGCTGAAGCCATCGGATGAGGCGATACCAATGTACTTCGAGACGGTTACAGCAGAGCCGGCGTTTAGGGCGATGCTCCAAGATTGTCCGTATGTGCTATCATTTGTCGGTAGGTAAAAGCTGTCAGAAGCATTCAACCGGGCCGAAAGGTCCAGATCCACGGTCGAGAAGATCCATGCAGTGATATTTCCTAGCCAATGCGGTGATACCGCAGAGTATATTGTGCTCGAGTTGTCCAGCGCGCCCGTGGCGTGGGGATCAGATCGAACAGCGCCTCTCCCATCAATCAAGTCTGTAACGGTGGCATTGACAGATGACGAAGATGTTACCGATAGTCGTACAGCGGCGACATTGGGCTGAGATCTGTCCATGAACATTTCATAAGAGACGGACAAGCTGGTGTTTGGGCTCGGTGTCCAAGTGTAGTTCCACGTCTGGAGTCCATCCTTCAGAGATCTGGTGGATTTGAAGTCGGAAATGGTAGAACTGTCCACCGATGCATTCAGGGTAGCACCATCCACTTGGAGAATGAGGTTTGGCCAATTCGGAATGCCGGCAATAACACTTTCTCCACCCTTCTCGAGTAGCTCAGCAAAGTTGGTTCTACTAGTATTTTTCTGAGAGTTGAAGAACCCGGACACAGTGCAGAAGGTTTGTCTGGGATTGTCCAGAGGCCAGCCATTGATGGGCAGGTTTCCGCCATCTGGATTTGTTAAATTGACGTCCGCCTCAAAGAAAGGTCCAGCAGCTGCAAGAGCGCAGCCAATGTATCTGTTCAATGATCAGTCACATGTTGCTCTGGCATCAATCCCTTCTCATGGAGCACATGGCTTTACTCACCCATTGCCCATTGGTGCACGAGACTGGTATTGGCCCTGTATCAAACTGCTCGTGCTCAATTCCCAGGCTTCATTGTCCCAACTGGTATATGTTGATGGGATCGAGAAGTCGGTATATTGAGCCGAGCAATATGGCAGGAGCGCCAGCAGGCCAGGTAGTACGAGCCGTATACTAGCCATTTTGAAGAGAAGAATGTGGTATAGATTCAAGTTTCAGAACGCGATCAATCGCTCCTTCTTATACTTCTCGTACTCGATAAACGAGCCTCTCAATGCCACCGACGCCTTTGTACCTTCCTTCACTGTCACTGCGGGGAACCATGATGCAGTCATCTTGGCGTGGAGTTCATGTGGAGAAAAAGCTTCCGTTGATGCCGGTTTGTCTCTGCAACTTGCGCGCATCCTTGCATATGGCATCGGCCATGCCGGTCTTGGGCACGGAGTCATATGATACGAGTACATATCGAGTAACAGTATGTGAACACTCGATTTCGATAGTCCAACTTGGCGTAATTCGCAAGCCACGTTCGGCGAGGGCGCGATAGAAGGTTTCGAAGACGGGCCGGTTCGTGTCAACCCCTCACTCGTCGAGTGGCTGCGAGAAGCTCAGAACCTGGTCTGAGCCCATTGCAACCAGCCTCTTCCGCATGCCGTCTGCCAAAGAACAGAGTTGCTTACCGGCCGCTTGACCTTGGATCTCGCTGAAGTCACAATCCTCTACCCAAGCACCGATTCCGTGCTGTAGTACATTCCTGGCTCTAGCAGGGTCCGCGCCCACAACTCCCATCGATCCATGTAGAGTCATTCGCTCTGCTTCGCTGCGATACACGCCTCTGTGCAGGATGTTGTTGTTGTAGAAGATGATGTCGCCAGGATTCATCTTCACAGCCATCTGACCAGGCATATTGTCGTCAAAAGGATCCGCTTGCCGCTCCTCTTCTGTTCTTGAACGCAGATGCGAACCCGGAACCACAATCAAAGACTCATCGGGATATAACGCGAGGTTCCACTGCGCGTGAAGCATGGGCTCTCGGAGACGGTTCAACTCATCCTGAGGCGACACTTCTGGGCCAATATCGTCTCGATGCCACCTCAGGGCGAAGTCTGCGTCAGGGCGTATTAGAAGATTGTACAATTCGAGCACCAAATCCTCAGAGCTACATTGTAGAATCTCTGTCACGGCAGCGACGATGTAAGGCGCGAAGTACGAGGATGCAAAGGTATCGTGGTGAGGAAGCTCCGGATGCATAAGATGTTGTACACCCCATATGCCCTTCGAGACGTCCGAAGTCCAAGGTGGGAACTGCTTTGGCAGAGTTCTCACATAAGGCCAGCCCCCAGTACGTGCTAAATGAGCGACATGTTGACAAGCACTTCGTAAAGCTTCTACCTGGTCTGCTGAGAGGGCCGAGGGGATACGGACAAAGCCATCTCGTAGCAGCTGGTCACGCAGATCGGACGCCATGGCAGAACGAAGAGCACAAAAGAGAAGAGGAGTAAATAAATATGAAAAGCGGAGGTGTGTAGTAGCGCTTTAAGACTGGAGTGAACACAAGGTCACCTGAATCCCTAGCTACCTATCTAAAGTTGATGATCTTCATGTTGGCCGAAGTCCTTCGCCGAAGCTAGGGCTTTAGCAACCAGCACCTTCAATTGGAGCGGCCTTCATCTGCGTTATGAATAGGTTTCGGTACGGCATGGTGTATGGACATACTTCGAGACGCTACTTGTATAGTCGATGTGACCAGATAGTGTAGGAGCTATGGTTGAAGTTGATTTATTTGATGGATAGTTTGGGGACAGGGTGTTATTACCGACCCCGCCAAAGGAACGAGGGAAGCTTCCACCGTCATACTCCTTTGGTCGCGATAGCGATACAACAAACAGACCACCTGCACTTCCGACAGTGACCCAGACATGCGCAATTGACGACAGCCTGCCTTCCTCACAGAGTACTTGACAACAATCTCAGCCACAGCCCACGGCCTAACCCAACGTCGGTTTCGGCCCTGTAGCAGCCATGGACGCCTTCCAAGCGGTCTCTGGCTATGTCACCAAGATGGTGTCGACTGGAGACGGCGCCACTGGCGCAAATGCTGCCAAGATGAAGATATTGCTCTTGGACAATGATACGGTGAGTTGCGCCATTACAACTGCTGGACAACGACTGACGTTCATTGCAGGTCTCGGTCGTATCATCAGCAACAACGCAATCCGCTCTCCTGAACCACCAGGTCTACCTGACGGATCGCCTGGATAACCACAACCGAGAAAAGATGCGCCATCTCCGCTGTCTCTGCTTTGTGCGCCCCTCTTCCGACAGCATCCAATTCTTGATAGACGAGTTCCGCGATCCAAAATACGGCGAATACCACATTTGTATGCTCCAACTTGCGAGCTCCGTGGAACGATCTTCTGACTGATACAAGGCCAGACTTTAGCAACATAGTCAAAAAGTCCTCCCTCGAACGTCTTGCCGAAGCCGACGATCACGAAGTTGTGAAAGCCGTCCACGAATGTTTCGCTGATTACTTGGTTGTCAACCCGGACTTGACCTCACTCGCCCTCGAACATCGCCTCTGGAGCTCCAGCCCGGACATGTGGAACCAAGACTCGCTCTCCAGGGCCACGGAAGGCGTCATTGCTCTACTCTTGTCTCTCAAGAAACGTCCCATGATCCGTTTTCAGAAAAACAGTCTGCTTGCCAAAAAGCTAGCTACAGAAGTCCGATACCAGATGACCCAAGAGGACCAACTATTCGACTTTCGAAAGACCGATACCGCTCCTATTCTACTCATCGTCGATCGAAGGGATGATCCCGTCACTCCCTTGTTGACCCAATGGACATATCAAGCCATGGTGCATGAGCTTCTGGGCATAAAGAATGGCAGGGTGAATCTTAGCCATGTGCCAGACGTTCGACCAGAGTTCAAGGTGTGTCCTGAGTCTCCTAGAAAATGCTATACTGCATTTGCTAAATCTGCCTAGGAAATATTCATCAGTCAAGACCAGGATCCCTTCTTCAAGAAGAACATGTATCTCAACTTTGGCGATCTTGGTCAGAATGCCAAAGACTATGTCGAGCAATTCGCCTCAAAACAACAGTCAAGCCACAAGCTCGAGTCTATTGAGGACATGAAGCGTTTCGTAGAAGACTATCCAGAATTCCGCCGCCTTTCAGGCAACGTAACCAAGCATGTAACCCTCGTCACAGAACTCAGCCGCAGAGTTGGCGAGGAAAATTTGTTAGATATCAGCGAGCTGGAACAAAGTCTAGCTTGTAACGAGAACCATTCAAACGACCTCAAAACGCTGCAGCGCCTCATACAGGATCCCAAGACACCCCCGGACAACAAACTTCGCTTGGTAGCCATCTACGCCCTACGATACGCCTCGCACCCTTCGAACTCGACGCCAGCACTCATGGATCTCCTTGCAGTAGCCGGTGGCCTCTCTCGCCATCGTATTAACCTAATCCCTAAGCTCATCACGTATGCACACTCCTTGCAGTCTTTGCCGCAGACTGGTACCATTCCGGATCTCTTCCAACCGTCTTCGATATTCCAAGGCGCTCGAGAGCGCTTCAACAGAGGCCTTGGTGGCGTAGAGAACGTCTACACCCAGCACTCACCACGACTGGAGACAACGATACAAGATCTAATTAAGGGCCGCCTCCGAGACAACCAGTATCCTTTCGTGGAGGGCGGAGGCACTACAAGAGACAAACCTCAAGATATCATTGTGTTTATGATCGGTGGTGCAACATATGAGGAAGCGAAGATGGTCGCGCAGGTGAACGCTAGTAGTCCAGGAGTAAGAGTGGTTCTTGGAGGAACTTCGATACACAACAGTGGAAGCTTCCTAGACGAGGTCGAAGAAGCAGTCGACAGCTGGCCAGAAGCACCACCGACCAGCGCAGCGGGCAGACTAAGAAAGGAAGTAGGCAGAGCTTGATGTTCTGCTTGCATGAAAGACCGGGACAAAGACCTAATAATCTTCAGCACTTCCAACTACACAAGACAGTGCTGAGACAGAACATTTTGTCTCGACTCTCCTTCTAAGCATAGGATGGCAATAATATTCCATTACATCTGCTGGATCTATCAACACAAAACTTGTCGAAAGATATCAATTCTCGAATACACCCTTTCTGTGCCTTTCTCAATGCACATAACTTTGGTGCTATGTATGCGCACGAGCGACGGTGCAGTGCATCAAATATGGAAAAGTTCATCTACAGAGCTCTCTTTGCAGCGTGACTTTGTTAAGACATCTTGTACTTGCATTACTTCTTACAGTAATTTTATTGAGGCTCAGCACCTGAGTTGGACTCCTTGGCCGCAGCTTCCATCCTTCTCTGCTCACGCAAAGCGCTGAGCTTGCGGGCAGCTTCATCGATTATGTCCTTGTTCTTCACCATAGCATCCATAGCAGCACGATTGCCTGCTTCGACCTTGTTCTGACCTTCTCCAGAACCAAGAAGTTGCTTTTCATAGCCCCAGCCCGTGAGGAACAGGCTAATATAATATCTCTGCATGTGTTTGGTCTGCTCCATCGGCCTGCTCTCAACATATTCGAGCTTGACATCCTTGCCGACAATCTTCTGCTGCAGCTCCTGTTTTGCGTTTTGGTTGTATTCATTGAAGGTTGCACCTCCGTCTGCGCTTATGGGACCGAATTCTCTGAGCAAGATTGGTGCCCAGAGCTCAGTTAACCAAATCTCCGCCCGCTTGAAGCCGTCAACTGGGTCGGATAGAATGACAGCAGCCACGTAGGCTTCAAACACATCCGCTAGAATCTTTCCAGAGGCTTTTGCAAGTTCGCGCTCACCTTCTCCGGCTTTGAGGCGATCCTGGAATCTGTAGGCCATGCTGAAGTGAGTCAAAGTGTCGTTCTTTACCAAACGTTCGCGTATCTGTGCTTGACGACCAGCGGCAAGGTGGGGGTAGCGAGAGAAAATCAGACGAGTGGCGATGACTTCTAGATAGGCATCTCCAAGGAACTCGAGGCGTTCATATGTCATGTCGCCAATTGCAGAGGTGCGATCGTGTTGGCTGCTAGACTTGTGCACGAAAGGCGCTCTGGAGTAAGGGCCATCAGGAACTTGTGGTAGCGTTGGTAGGGGAAACTGTGTGTGATTCGATGGAAAAGACCGGCCTGAGTTCTGGGAGCTGACTTCGGAGCCTTTGATGGTAGATGGTTGGAACAAGTCCAGCGAGGCAGTGGCAGTATTGACCGAGGACAAAGACTTTGCCAACTTGACGGCGCTTTCGTGCGCATCGTGACCAAGAATTTGTCTAGTCGTGTCCCGTTGATTGACCAGGGCCTTGAGTAGTGATTCCAGATGTTTTGTAGGATCAGGCTGTGAAACGGACTGGTGATTTATTGATGACTGATTTTTTGGGTGTCTGGGCTGAGAGTGGTTCTGCATATTCCGCGGCTGGTAGCCTGAGTTGCCATCGTGACCTAAGCTCTTCTGACGCTTTGCAGATGAATGGTCGTCGTTTGGATATACGCGTTTCATGATACTGATGTGGTTGGAGAAGTGGAAGCCGACAAAAGTTGCATGTGAAAAGAATCATGATCATGATCATTCATGATGATCAGCTGGTCAAAGCGGCGGACCGGCCCGTGGCCCACCTTGACCATGTGTCGGGTAAACCCTAACCTCCGAAACAATTTCCGTTCAACATTTGAACACAGTCGACCAAAGATGTGATTCGTCACTCGAAGCATTGGAGATGCTGGCAACAAGAACATTCGCGCGGTCGCGGCAGGCCTTCTCACCATTCAGCACCCGTTGCTTCTCATCAAGCCCGATCAACGCCAAATTGAAGCTCGCCTACGACTTCTACGAGGCTGAAAAGCCCGAGTCCAAGAAGGACCCGATTGTCTTCATCCATGGCCTCTTTGGTTCAAAGAAGAACAACCGTAGCATGAGCAAGTAGGTAGAGCACAATTGATCTTGTGCGTAGCTAACAGCGGTGCAGAGTGTTCGCTCGTGATCTGAACCGTCCCGTCTACGCCATTGTACGCTCCCTCTTCCCATACATCTGCGACCACCGTCTCTGATAGTACCTCCTCAGGATTTGCGCAACCACGGCGAGTCGCCTCACGACCCAAGACATGACTACACTGCCCTCGCTGAGGATGTCGAAGGCTTCCTGCAAGAGCACAATATTGAGCGCCCTGCTCTGATCGGCCACTCAATGTATGTTCTGCATACCCATACCAAACCCAGATATGACAAATGGATGTTGACGGCCGACAAGGGGTGCTAAGACAGTCATGGCCGTCGCTTTGCGCGGTAAAGTGTCAATCGCCAGCCTCATTCCTGTCGACAATGCACCCGTCGACGCTGCGCTAAAGAGCGATTTTGGAAAATACGTCCAGGGCATGCGCAAGATTGCCGATGCAAATGTGCAGAAGCAGTCCGAGGCAGATGCCATCCTGGCTGAGTTCGAATCACATGTTGGTGTTCGCCAGTTCCTGCTCACCAATCTTGCCCGTGGAAAGGACGGTATCCAGAAATTCCGCATCCCAGTCAAGTACCTGGCAAACGCTCTCGACAACATGGCCGACTTCCCCTTCAAGGACCCCGAAGAGGCACGGTGGGAGGGCCCTACCTTGTTCATCAGAGGCACAAAGAGCCACTACGTGGCCGACGAAACACTGCCTATCATTGGAAGATTTTTCCCAAGGTTTGAGATTGCAGACGTCGACAGCGGACATTGGGTCATCAGCGAGAAGCCCCAAGAATTCAGAGATGGTATGTTGCGGTGCTGGATAGGAATACGTCATGAACTAATTTGTGTGATTAGCCGTGGTCGAGTTCTTGCAGGACAAAGAGTAGAGTTTGTAGATAGTAGCCGAATCAATGTAGCAATAGCACATGTTTCAAATCACATACGAAGCCGTGCAAATAGAGCTGGAGGAGGCGTGATGCGCGTGGTATCATAAAAAGTGAAATTGGAAAATTCGGAAGGCTTTTTGACGAATTCTTTTTTTGCCATGAAAAGTAGCTAACACGAAGATGCCTAAAGCATTCCTTTTCCACGTCGAACGCCGGGCAGCAACGTGTCAAGCAGACCCCAACCCATCTTGTTCCATTCATCAAATGCTTACACGCTCTCGAGAACGGTCTCCTTGAACTCACGCTCAACCTGTGAAGGGTCAGTACTGGACAGAGGGTGCATTGTAGTGTCGGGATGGAGGAACGCACCTTCTGGCCGGACTCGTCGGTGTTGGACTCGCCGTGGAGGTTAAGGAGAGCACCGAGGTCGAACTTGGGCGACTTGAGGAGCTTGACCTTGCGGACGTGGACGTTCTGGAGAGGGTAGATGCCCTGGGTGGACTTCTCGATCTCGCGGCCGATGACCTCGGGGATGAGCTTCTGGGTAAGCTGGGAGAGGGTGCAGCTGCTGGCCTCACGCTGCATGATGTCGGTCATCTTCTTGCGGATTTGTCTGATTTGCGAGCTGCGGGCGTATGTGGTCTTCTTGATCTGGTTGGGGCGTCTCTTGGTGAAGGCGATGCAGAACAGACGGAGGAGGTAGTCGTCGGTGGTCTTGACGACGACGTTGGCCTCGATCAGGGACTGCCACTTGCGGACGAGCGAGCGCAGCTTGTCCGAGGTGAAGTCGAGACCGTGGAAGTTGGTCAGGCAGTTCTTGCCCTGGACCTCGTCGACTCTCAGGCGGACCTTGCGGAAAGAGTGGTCCTCATCCTTCTGGAGATCGGCGAGCGAAACCTCGAAGATACGGCCCTTGAGAGCGTCGTTGGCGTTCTTGAGACCGGTGGTGCGGTTGACCAGGGTCTTGCCGACGCTTGGGTGAGTTAGTAAAGATTTTTATTTTTCGTCCAGTGGCGGGCGAAAGGTCGGATTGGCGATCAAACGTACTCTCTGATGGCGAAGGTGGAGGGAGCCTTCAGGTTGTACCAGTCCTTCTTGGCGAAGCTATAAGCGCAGTCTTGTCAGTCAAGTGCTCGTAGATTGGTATGCGCGCGGGTGACGGGTGTATTGGTGGGCCATGTATGTCGAATGGTGCAGCGAGTCGTCTTCACTCACGGGTCGGTGCGCTTCTTCAAGCCCTTCTTGCCCTTGGACAATCTCTTGTTCTTGCCGACAGCCATGATTGTGTCTTCGGATGGATGTAGAAAAGAATTCCGTCAAAGTAAGAAGAATCTCAATCTGCGCTGGTGTGTCTCCAATTTCGGTGTGCGTCGCTTCGCCTGGGTCGATCACATGACCGTCGCCAAGCCCGAAAGCGCTCGGTCCTTCGGTGCCCTTCTCCATGAATCGTCAACCAGCTAACCACGTTCGACCATCACATTTATTGCGCTGATACCTTATATCATTAGTATGCTGGGCCCGAAGTCCGGATCACTTGGACAACTTGTATTAAGCAGCAATTCAGGTGGTGAAGAGAACCTGGGTGGCACCTGAGAGTTTCTCGTCTGCACAGTCTCCGCAAATACATTGGACCCTGGCACGATTAGTCGTTTGTCTTGTTACGTCTGCTCGCGCCTAGATCTAGACCTTGCCAACACAACATCAATATAACAAGCAGCTCCCAGATTCGACACTCATGCGGTACTCACCCACTGAATACTCAAAATGTCTGTCTGAGAGACACCCTCAAAGGAATTGCTTCTTCTTTATCCACTTAATACGGATATGGAAAAGGTCGTGTTTGGTGAGCATCCTACGCGGGACTTGTCGCTTCCGTCGGTATACAAAACCGTCTCATCATTGAGACACATTTGATTCCGGCGTTCAAGGGAGGAAGCAGTTCAGGCGCTCTTTTGCAGTCCCGCAACAGCAGCCGTGAAACATGACACACCTCACGAGCACATTGCGGTGTTAGATGCCTTTGATAACGGTCAAGATGCAAAGCACATAAAAGCCTGCTTGATCTCAGACTTGTTTCCTCAATCATATCACGCCTCGGTGGTGGTCACATCAGATCAAAGTATCTCGACGTGAGCCTTTGTATATTACCTCGAATTCTCCCAATCCCCATAACCCGACCCCAAGCCAGTAATTGCGCCTATTGAGAACTCCAGTCAAACCATCGCCAGTGAAATGAGAGGCGAATACAAAGAAAGCTCCCTAGCCATGCGTATGCCCAACTTCAATCCCGGCTCCATGTTCCCATGACCTCCCTTCCACATGTAGCTCCGAAGGTGTGGCCCCTCTAGCCTTTCTCGATGTATAAAGATGGTCCAAAGGCAAAGGCGATCCTGCTAGTAGTGCAGTGGCAATGTCTGTCTTTACATGACAACGCAGTTCTTACCCTCCTTGGGCTGCCCAGCTTCCTGGCCCTTCTCAATTTCGGCAACCATACCCTCGAAGGCCTTGCCGACGTTCTCGTTGAATCTGGCGCTTGCTTCGGTCCATCCACAGCTGAGCTCCTCGGCCAGCTTGCGACCATCTTCAGCCTTGACTTGACGTTGTTCGGGTCGAAGATCGGACTTGTTGCCGACGATGATCAATGGCACTGACTCGGCGCCCTAGAAGATACTGTTAAGCGGTGTGACCTGCAAGTGGTGCGGTGGAGGAGCATACCATGTGGTTCAAAATCTTATCACGAATGATTCTGACCATCTCAAAGCTCTGCTTGCTGCCGACGCTGTAGACAATCATGTATCCATGAATACCGATGAAGTGCTTGCTGTTCAGGATGGTATATTCGTCCTTTTGTACTTGATGATCAGCAACGGCCTTCCAATTGCCGAGTTCTCTTCTTCGCGCGTACCTGTCCGGCAGTGTCGATGATCTCTACGGCGAAATCTTGGTTCTTGTGCTTGATGACCTTGGAGAAGGTGTTTTCAATGGTGGGGTAGTATGAATCGACAAAGTGGCCGTCGACGAACTGAACAGTCAGCGAGCTCTTGCCTGCGACATGTCAGTTGGATGCTACAACAGTGGCAGTATCACATTCAGTCACTCACCAACGGATCTGCTGCCGACAATGGCCATCTTGCGCTGCTTCTGTTGTGGAGGCATTGTATCCGAGCTCTTTCTTTACACGCGACGGGGTCTGGTGGCTGTGAGGTGTATCGTGGTCGATTCAGTGATAGATAAGCTTGGTGGTGTCACTGTTGCGATGAACTTGAGGTGATGGAGCTTGTCGTATTGATTGTTGTTCGGAGGGTAAACACTTTGATGGTACGGAGTAAGAGCGCAATGTAGTCGTAATCTAGTGACAAGTGTCTGCTCTGAGTTGCAGGTCGAAGAGAGATCTCGTTGTACGTTAGGTTTGGCTAAGCAGCAGCTTCAGCTAGTGATGGTGATGACCTGCTCGTTTGGAAGAACAAAAGCAGTTTGAGTCCTCGCAGCCGATTGGCGGCGCTATTGGGGAGCGGTGACGGAAGTTTAAACGCTGTAAACGCTGGTTTGACTGGCCGGAACAAGACTCCATTACTCGATCAAAATTGCCCATTCATCTAAAACAACTCCATCGACTCAATACTTCTCAAGATGATTTCACTCGCACTCATTTGATAGACTACTGTGATTTCTCTAATCCATTCCGCAGCATATCCAGGTCGCAGCGAGTTGTTGAGCGGTGGGAGAAGGCGCATACATCATTCAACGTACTTATGCGACGTTTCGATTATCAAATAAAATACATTTTTATGGGTATTATCCTGTCTATCGCCATGTCTCGTGTTCTGTTATTATGCGCCTTCGCGGAGACGAACCACGAGCGCCATAAGCTTCTGAGTGAATCCCGACGATGTTTCTTCCTTCTCCTCCGCTGCCTGACTGTCTACTTGCTGGCTCATGAGAGCGATTCCCTCGACAGCGTCCACAAGGACTGCCTCGCTCTTGCCTGGTAGCAAGCTACGAACCCTTTCCTTCGCGATCCTGTCCAAGCAGATGTAACCCAGGAGGACTGACAACCAACCATACGGTATGTTGGCTTGCATTTCTTCTTCGGACTGAGACTCGGCTGCTTTCTTTTGACCTCGGACGAAGATGTCGACCAGTGCAGCGAGCTTCTTGTCTTCAGCGTGAGCGGCGTATTCACGTGCGACCTCACAAACGCTAGTCAGATTGATCATCAGACCAAGAGCTAGTACTAGAAGGTCGTGGCTAACAGACGCCTCTTCTTCGCTCAATGTCCCACGCGAGCTGAAGCCGTCGATGATCAACGACATGATTAGATGGATGGTCTGATGCTGGGAGAACACGCCACTGTTTTCCTCGTTGTCGTTGGTCACAGAGCAGCAGAAGCGTAGGGCAAGTTCCTGCGAATGAATCGACATCTTGAGAAGGCCAGGTAAGGCAGAAGCAACTCGTGAAAGTGTTTCGACAGACCACACCTCCGAAGATGCGCTTTCAACGTCAAGAGTCGTGGCTGCCTCAAGGGCAGAAAGTGCCCGATTGGTGATGGCCTGCGAGCTACCTCCAGGGTTCGAGACGTGAAGGGTAGCCAGGCCGACGAGCTTGGATGCAGTGTCAGGAGACAGTATGGCGCCACTGTTCTTGTTGCGACGATGGGTGACAAAGATGCAATCCATACTCAACAACGCGAGAGAAGAAGGGGATAGATAATCCGGAGGACAGTTGTCCCAAGCATCAGCAGTCCTTACCTTTTCCATGAATTCAAGGTAGTCAGATTGTGCAACCTTGGACATGTTGCTTTTCCTCTCCCGTGCAATATTGCTTATGTCCTTCATTTCGCCTAGATACGAGGAAAGAAAATCAAGGACACCTCCATGAAGAAGAGAAGCGGAAGCTTGCGCTATCCGTGTGACAACAACGCATAGCAACATGTCAGCCAAGATATCCGTCCTAGCGTACTGGAATTGAGCAATTATATTTGCATCAAATCCATACTCGATGAACCGAGACGCGGATGTGTTTTCGGCAAGTGTGGTGGAGAGCTCCATAAGAGCCATACGTCTTTGAGACCGTGAAGATGGCTTTGGGTGTTTGATATCATCAACAAGGCGTGTGACTTCGTCCAGGAACCTGCTTTTGTTTCCAGCTGCCCTGAGCTCATGTATGCTTCGAATGCCCTGAGCAGTATCATCATCTGATTCATTGTTGAAAGTGACCTTGGCGTTTGACTTGGTCATCGGAGAAGCTTTTGTCCTTCGTGCACTTGCGGCAGGTCGTTCAGGCGCGACCATAGGCAAGTCACCAAAGATCATGTCCTCAAGACTGTCCTGTAGATAAGTTCTCGACCGGGCATATGTTACCTTCTTGGCATTTTGGCTCGTATGTGGTTGCAATGTCTGTGTTCGAGCCTGCGACTGGGAATACTGCGTAGATTCTTGAGGCACAAATTGTGCTGAGGTTGTTGGTCGTCCGTTCATCTGGGAAGACGGTTCCTCCTGGAGCTCATCTGACTCTTCATCGGAGCTCTCATCGCTACTGTGAGTAGAAGTGACCTTCTCCCTCAAGCGATCAACAATGCGTGCTTTGCTTTCACCTGAGGTGGGAGCAATGCGTGATTCAAGAGTTGAAGAATTTGATTGAGCTAGAGAGTGAGTGGAAAGGGGGCGAGAGGTAGTGTTCGGTTCATAAGTATCAGTATCGACAGGGTCTGAAAGAAGCAGATCGTGCCAGAGCTTCTTCTGCTTCGGTGTTGTAGAAGTAGTTGACACCGAGTCTGCAGGACTAATCGGAGAACCTATCACCGGAGATACAGCCACTGGAGACAATGGACATGCAGATCTTGTGAGCGATCGAACAGGATTCCTTGTCGTCGCTGTCTTTTGGTCGACTTTGAAAGATGACGGATTCGAGGTGACAGAAGATTCGGCCGCGATTTGTCTCCTAGAGCGACGTAGTTGCGCAGACTCGCTGACACTGTGGCTGGCTTCTGCTTCAAACTGCTGTGACTTGGCGACTTTCGTATCCTGAGTACTGGAGGCCTGTGTCGTTTGAGACACTGTTCTCTTGCGCTTGCGTGGTGAGGCCGAGTCTAATCCGCCATCTCCTTTACTTTCGCTGCTAGCAGTAGCCAGACCGTTCTTTGGTGAAGCTTTCGCAATTTCCTTTGACTTGGGCGGTACGGACACATGTTCGTCGTCGGACATTGGTACGTCGAATTCGTCATTCGTGATTAGTGTCTTGCGGGCAGTACTGGTAGTGGGCCGCTTGAGCTTAGATGGTGAAGCGATCTTCTTTGAATCGTCATAGAAAGTCTTGACACTGTTTGCTGAGAAGGTCGAGTTACGTGCAGGCCTTCCGTAAGTGACGACAGGCCTCTTGCGACGGTCACCAGTGGCATAGCTTGAAGGTCCTGGAAGCGCTGTCATGCTGGGCGACAGCTGGAGAGGACGGATCCGAATACGTTGAGTCTAGTCCGAAGAAGGTAGGGTAGGTCATTAAATCAAGAGATAGGCCGAGGTGTGAGTGGATGTGACATCTAAGGTGAAGAGGGCGTTTCTGAAACTTTAGTCATCCGCGAGTGAAGCAACGACTGTAAGGATGGTCGGAGGCAGTCAGATGCAGTCCTTCATGGCGAGGAATGTGGTAGCCTGTGATGCGACATAGGCTGTGTGGAGCAAGTTCTTGTGCGATCGAGTGGTCGTCGTTTGTGAGAGATGGCGCAAACGGACATACAACAAAGTCGCAAGTCGCCACGGCAGGCCGAGAGCGGGCACACCGTCTCAGGGCGACCTTTGCACGACCGTCGGCGACAGGGTCCATTCTCAGGCTTCAGACTTCGGCCTTCACTTTCAGCCACGAATTCAAGGCGAGCTCAGTAGATGCGGGGCACGCGACACTCGGACTGATAAGAAAGTTCCTAATTCACTTATCAGCTTGCTTGCTGCTTGCGCCTTCCTCCAACCACTTTGCTCGCCAACTGACCTACTTGTCCTCATCTTGCTTGCTCTTGCTCTTGCTCTCTCTTACTCTTACTCTTACTCTTACTCTTACTCTTACTCTTACTCTTACTCTTGCCTCTTCCTAGCACATCGCCCTCACCATGTCGGACAAATCGAACGCCCCTTCGCAATGCCTCGGACCCAACTACCGCGCCGAAGGTGAAAAGCCCACTGCCACCGTCTCGAAGAAAGTCCGCCATGACAACGTCCACGTCCTACCGCAGACACCTCAGCTCATTGCTCTGCTGACGTAGGTGTGTCCCTGTTGAAGACATTCCGAACCAATCCCCGCCAACTCCTTGAGCAGTATGATCCGCGATCACCGCACCAACCGTGCCGACTTTATCTTCTACTCGAACCGCATCATTCGTCTGCTCGTCGAGGAGGGCTTGAACCACCTGCCAGTCATTCAACAAGAGATCACCACACCCGTTGGCCGTCACTACAATGGTGTCAAGTTCGAGGGCAAGATCTGCGGCGTTAGCATTATGCGCGCTGGCGAGTCAATGGAACAGGGTCTCCGTGATTGCTGCAGAAGCGTACGCATCGGCAAGATCCTGATCCAGAGAGACGAGGAGACGAGTCAGCCTCGTCTCTTCTACGAGAAGCTGCCCGAAGACATCAAGGACAGATGGGTTCTTCTGCTGGATCCCATGCTCGCTACCGGTATGTCTTGCTCACCATATCCTCGTATCGGTTCCTTGTCGGACTAACCTGTTCCAGGCGGCTCTGCTCTGATGGCCGTCGAGGTCCTGAGACAGAAGGGTGTGCCCGAGGATCGCATCCTCTTCCTCAACCTCATCGCCAGCCCTGAGGGCGCCGACAACTTTGCAGAGAAGTTCCCCAAAGTGAGAATTGTCACTGCTTTCATCGACGAAGGCTTGGATGAGAAGAAGTACGTCCATTCTGCTGCTCGTCCTGAGCACATTGCTAACCATGTGAGTAGCTACATCGTCCCTGGTCTCGGAGACTTCGGAGACCGATTCTACACTCTCTAGAGTGATCGCTTGCCTGCTCCTTCTTCCAAGTAGAATAGGCCATGAGTGTCGGCGCTTATCGCCGTCTCATTGAATCCATATTGCGAACCCATGTCGTGCTCGTCTGTCAATCCTCGTATTACGCCAAGCGCCTAGGTGTATCGTGCCGTAAACTCCTTTCCGTATCATGCATAGCTCGGAGCCCCCCGAACCAAACCCGACTCCTCTCATGTAGTAGGGCACCCACACGCTGCTTGATTACCCCTGCTCTTCTTCTTGTTCGATCAAACTCCTACTCATCTGCGTAGTCTGCCTCTGCATCGAGCTCGTCGTCGTCGATGAAGCCGTCATCAGCTGGAACATTGGCAGTTTCGCCACGAGCCGCTTGTGAGCGTGACTGCGACGCAGTGCCACCGTATGTATCTCTTCTTGGTTTGGATGTGCTCTCGGCGGCTTGCTTGGCCACAGCATCACAAGCATCTACCCAATCCGAATAGACATCGATGGGTGCACTGAGATCTGCGAGACATGTGTAAGTGAAAGACCCAAGTACAGCGACTGTGCTTCTCCTGTGACATACAGTTGGTGACAGTCTGGAATGTTTGTCCGCAGACCTTGCACGACAGCTCGCCGGTGCTGGCCTTCTTGTCAATCTTGACTGAGACAGAGTTCTCGTGGTTACAGAACAGGCATTGGAATGTGGTTGGTAGAATCTCGCGCTGTTGCGACATCAGTTGTGTGCTCGTTGTTTAACGGATGTGTATGCGCACCTTCTTCTTGCCCTCTGGCTTGCTTGCCGACTTGCGTTTACCCTAGACTGTGTGAGCACGTACCGTCGTACTGATGGATAGAGCGAGTGGATACCATGGTAGTTGCTTTGTCTGATTTATGCGTGAACAAGTCGCAAGTCCACACGAAGTTTCGCAAGATTTAGAAGAGAAACTGACGTCGTCGGCTACGCGTAGTCCATCGGGGCTTATTAGGCTCGCTCCTGCCGCGATTTCACATGATTCTCAAGTCTGCGGGGCAACACCCGCCACGCCCCGCCTCACATCTAAACAACGCAATTACCTGAGGAATGCTCACTCGAAGAATGTGGGTTGTACAGCAGTAGATCTGAAGATTCTTTTTTCGAAGGTATGGTTGAACTGTCTCTCCCTGATTGTGCTCAACATGTCATGAACGGTTCCAAGAGAATACTCTATCGCTCTGCATCAACTAGTGTCCACAGCCGCGGGGTTGATAAGAGCTTCCTTCGGAGCTGAGCGGTCGGTGTCCTGGATGTGCCTCTCCGGCCGTTGATCCAGCTTCCTTCCATAGCAGGAATCGGTGTGTTATCTACTTGAGCTATCCATTTGTAAACTCGGTCCTTGAACGTCGTATCTAGCGGGCCTTGCCGAGTGCATGATCGCCTATGAAACAAGAAGAAGGCAGGTACCCGAATCCTGTGCCTAGATAGGTAACCTTACCTTATCATAATCACATGTCCAATGATAGCGGGGAACGGTCATTACCTATGAGCAATGCTCCGAAGAGTTGTCGACAGCTGTTGATATCAATGACCCCTTTATACCAAAACACATTCACTCCAACTTCTCACCCTTCATCTTCTCGAGGTTAACTTACTATCGGACAAACATTCGCAACCATTAACGATATACACACATCATGGAGAAGACTAACGGTACAGGCAACGACGCCGCCATACTGCAGGAGATCCTAGCCAGTCTCAAGACTATTCAGCAAGAAAACACACATCTTGCTGCTGCTGTGGATGCCATCAACGGTCGAGTCAACATTCTTGCTGGTGTCAAGCAAGTCAAGGACCTGACGGTCGATCCTGCTGCCGTGGAACGCAACAAGCAGCACCAAGTCGCCCCCGTCATCTCGACCATCACTCAAGATGCTGCTTCGAGCCCCGATCTTCCAGCTGTGCCTGAGTCCGGACGTAGATCGAGCGTGACCTCTAAGATCATTCTCACATCGTACCCGGGTCAGGCTGGTGTGGATCCCCTGCCTATGAATTGGGGCAACAAGGACCCTTCTCTTCGAGGTCCAGTTGTCGTCTCAAGGAACCCAAGTTCCATTCGCAGACGTAATGCTATCGGTGCTCATGGTGGCTCTTATGCTATATGTACGTAAATCAATCCTCCCCGTGTGCTAAGATCTGTCACGTCTAGCCATCTCACGGCCACGCCTAGGGCCGTTTGGACTGTAGAAATGCACAATGTTTTTAAGATCGGTCCAGCCGTCCGTAGAGAGTTCCTGACTCTCACACTCTCAGTGGAGGGCTGCACTGATCTTAATAACATTGTGCATTCCTAGAGCATGCGCATGATAAAGTTCTGCACACGGGGAGGATGCGTTTTCTTTACTTTTATCGGTCGAACGGCCTTGTGGTTTCGCGGATTGCTTCCATTCAGCACCCATGTCTTGTCTGCAAATCCGATTAGAGGAGGGCATGGCCTTCGTGTGTGACGATTTTGTCCAATTGCCTCTCGGAGTTCATACTTGAATCATGGTTGTGGAAGTTGAGAACTTCGTACTACATGTTGTCTTGTTCAATAGAAGCAAAGCTTTTCTAGCCACTTTTCTGTAAATTATGCTAACTCCGCTTTTGTAAGATAATGCTCTTGCTGTGGCAAGCAAGAATCTCAATACCGATCACCGCCCGGACTTCACAAACACCGAGCCAGCTGCCAACATCGGACCCTTCCCTCAGTGGTTCGTATGCTCGGTAGTGCCTACTAGTCACGGTCAAGCTGACACTATCATAGGGCGGACCCTAAGAAGATTGTTGCAATGGATCCTCTGGGCCATCTCGCTCCTTGGCTATTCAAAGATATCATCCAAAACGAGGATGTTGACATCAGACCTACTATTGCTATCACAAAGGCACACATGAAGCTCCCGGAACTCGAGGAGAGTGTCAGAAACGGTAGGCTAGTACCAGATGGCAAGATCTGTCTGAATGAGACTGGTGAGCTCGCGGTCACCAAGTTTGCTGTGGAGCCGGTTTGGTACCTGCCTGGTGTAGCCGAGCGTTTTGGTATTGACGAAGGAACTCTCAGACGTTCCCTCTTCGAGCACACTGGTGGCTCATACCCAGAGCTAATCACTAGAGGAGATATCAAGACTTTCTTGCCTCCCATTGGAGGTCTGACTGTATACTGCTTTGGTGATCCCGCAAAAATGTCCGACCCAAACGTCAAGCTTGCACTACGAATTCAGTAAGCACATTATAGCCTCTCCCTATAGATGATAACCACTAACAAAGGCTTCATTGATGAGTGCAACGGCAGCGACGTGTTCGGTTCAGACATCTGTACTTGCAGACCTTATCTCACCTTCGGTATCGAGGAAGCAGTTAAAGAAGCTCAGAACGGCGGATCGGGCGTTGTCATATATTTCCGCAAGGAGGGCAGGGCTCTCGGAGAGGTAAGCACCCTTCTAACAGTCGTTCCACACTCCAGCATACTGACAGAGAAAGGTTACCAAATATCTGGTATACAACGCAAGAAAACGTGGTGCCGATCGTGCAAGCGAGTACTTCAAACGTACAGAGAACATTGCCGGTGTCAAGGACATGCGTTTCCAGGCTTTGATGCCTGATATTCTGCACTGGCTCGGTATTACCAAGATCGACCGAATGTTTGTGGTCTCCTAATTTTTCCAAATTTTGAAACATTGCTAACGTTTATATCTCAGGTTGAGCATGTCGAAGTAAGTCTATGATACCCTTTCGCTTTGCCTAACTCTTGTCGGAGCCTACTGAACATGATGACGAAAAGTTGCTGACTCACTGTGTAGCATGAAAGTAAGTTCCTTGCTCCTTCGAGTTTCCAACCTGGTCTTGCCTAATAGCCACACCCGCTGGTAAGAAAGGTATGAATACCACAGCTGACGACTATCCTAGCACGATGCCATTGTCGAACAGGGCATTCCGATTCACGAGCGGATCGAACTGCCTGACGAATTGATTCCGGCCGATAGTAGAGTTGAAATCGACGCAAAGGTCCATGCTGGCTATTTTACAAACGGCAAGATCATGACGATGGACGAGCTGTCGAACGTTCAAGGTCGCGCCTGGGAAGATGTTGATGTAAGTGTGGAAAGAACGATTACGACATACTGTAATTCTGACCTCCTCTCTAGCACTGATCCGCGTACGTAGATGTCGTGATTCTTTTTTCTTGTTGGTTTATGCTCTGAATCGACCTAGAAATGCATGCATGACGGAGCATTTTGATCTTTGGGCTGGTCGGATCACTCCTGCATGGGTGGGCGCCTGTCAATCCTGGTTTCTCCCTAGACAGAGTGATTGGCTTGATTCTTTAGAAATACAATATGTCTTTTGACCTGCTTCCTTCGAGATCGCTGCGTGAATTACCGGCTTGGGCAGAAGGAGATGTGCCGTAGGAACGGCCCGTGAACAGGCTCCATGCGAGTCGCAGGTTGCATGGGACGGCGGCCATGTGCAAGAAAGTCAAGATGCATGCTCATCCGATCGATGTTGACCCAATCCAGCGCGGAGTGTGTTGGCACGCTCCTTCAAGCCTCCGACCGTGCCCGAACTCTCGCTCTTTCGTTGCGACGACTCGTGGGAGTATTTATCCATGCGATCAAGCAGTAATATACTGCTTTGCATGATTTAGGCGAGGCTCATGAGGCGGCTACACCGGAGTGTCATCTGCCTGATTGCGACCATCCAAACTCGAGGACGTCGGTGAGCTTGTGGGGTCAATAAAACAAAGCACATAACAACAGCAACGAGCTCAACCATGTTCACCCAGGTGTCCTAGAGCAGCGCGAACACTTGCTAGTAAGCGGACCCGAAATCCCCCCATACGCAGAGACAACGGTCAAGCCACACCGCTGGGCGGAACATCGCGCCCGTCCCTGCAAGTCCTCCCACTGGTCGCCAGGTTCCTGGGTCGATTGGGCACCGTTACTGTGCAGTGGGTTGTTAGCTCAAATTCTAGTGGTGGCCTGTCAGTGCATGTCACAATAATCTTGGTGGGATCAGGACCATATCGATGTACTGTACAGTGCCCTTGCGGGTACTTAACGGTCTGGCCGATGAGGAAGAGCATATTCCGCGAATGAGCTTCCTAGGTTCAGGTCAAAGCCTTCACCCACGCAGCACTGACTAGTAAACGACTATCGACTCGAGGAAAGTTCAAGCAATCGGTGCTGAAGAGGCGTGTATGTATACCTGCTAGGCCCCGCAGGTACGCGAGGCGTCACCATGACTGTGCGGTCCTGGCATCTCGGTCTTCTCTACCGGGCGTATACAAAGCTGACGCCCAGCGCCACCGTCCCCCTCACTTGTTCCCAGCCCAAACCTTGAATTTCTTGTATTTCTCACGCGACCTCGGGCAAGAGACACTTGTTTGATATATTCTCCAGTTCCTCTTGACTGAACTGAACAGAGAGCTCTTTGAGAACAGACCAGCCTCTGAACACCACTACAACTCTTCTCGGCACCTCGTTCGTCTTTCATCATGGCTAGAGAAACTCAGCGTTCATCGTCATCATCATCAGCATCGAATATATTCATGCGTGGACCATTCACTAGATCAACCACTAGCCCGCCTTCACTCAACAGGCAAAATTCACATACCGCCCGTCAGGAGTGCAGTGTATCATCACAAGGCGGAGCCACATCTTTGTTATTCAAAGTGGCTTCTGCTTCCCTCAGGACGTCACCCAGAAATAGTCCACCAGCTTCTCCGAGACAGTGTCCTGTAGACGTGCAAGAAATCCAATGGGACGCATTTGGCCGGCGTTTGTCAGAGAATCGTCATGGTAAGTAGTACCTAAACATCACTGTGTGCGGGGCTGATAATAGACAGATGGATATGTCAGTTTTCCTGATTTCGATCGCTTGTGTGAGCCTCACGACCAGATAACGAAGTCTGGAGAAACTCAACAGGATGGTTGAACGGCAGTCTCGTCATGACGCTGTGAGAAATTGTTAGAGTGATCTATACCACCAAGGGCTCGGTCACAGACGATTTACCAGCATTTTCACGAACGCATTACATGGACTTGCTCGGTGACGGACTGTAAAGCAACACCTTCCTCATCAATAGCTACAGGGTCGAGACCAAGATTGCGTCTGCCCTAGTTGATCCAGCCGGAGACCATTCAGACAAGCTTCCTAGCTTGGAACGTGTCGGAGAGCGTAGCGAACCATGCCAGAAGTGAGGAGGGTGATCAGAGTCAAGCGCCGGGAAAAAAGCGCGCAGAGCGCTGCCGGAGATCAAGTAACGATCAAAGAGGGCTTCGGGGAGGATTGTACAGTCGGAGTGAGGGTTGGAGGGTAATGACGGGTGGCTGTCTGATGTTAAGATATACACACGTAAACACTGTACTCATTAATTGTCGACAAAAAGTTCACTGATGAGCATCAGCTTCACTTGATTGGCAACATCGTGTTGGCAACAATGACTCAAGGGCTTGGCGAAGCATGAGTCGACAATTTATGGATGCCCCTCAGTTAGGCGCAAAGGAAAAGAAACGCTGTCCACTCTTCACAAACACAGAACGCAACCATGTTGGACATCAACGACTTTATCGCCGAGCGCGGTGGCGATGTCAAGAAGATCAAGGAGAGTCAGCGTAGACGTCATGCACCCGAGGAGGTAGTTGACGAGGTCATTGCCATGTTCGAGGACCACAGAAAGTGTAGGCTCTGTCACATCCGGCTTAGTGATTGGCACTGACGCTGAGTGTGTATAGCCCAATATGCTGCAAACCAGATCAAGACCGAGCAGAACGCGCTGCAGAAAGAGATTGGACAGATCAAGAAGGCCAAGGGCAACGCCGATGACCTGCTCAAGAAGAAGGACGAGCTCGCAGCCCGTCACAAGCAGCAGGAGGAAACCACCAAGGAGATGCACGCTGCTCTGCTTAAGAAGGCAAAGTCAATTGGCAACTACGTCCACGAATCCGTGCCTGTCAGCGACAACGAGGACAACAACCAGCTGATTCGCGACTGGAAGCCTGAGGGTGTTGAGGTCACAAAGAAGGACTGCCTTTCCCACCATGAGGTTCTCACCCGTCTGGATGGCTACGACCCCGAGCGTGGTGTCAAGGTTGCCGGCCACAGAGGATACTGCTTGACCGGCTACGGTCTCTTCCTTAACCTTGCTCTCATCAACTATGGTCTTGAGTTTCTGTTCAACAAGGGATACAAGCCCAACATGCCTCCTTTCTTCATGAACCGCGAGGCCATGGCAAAGACTGCCCAGCTTGAGCAATTCGACGAGGAGCTGTACAAGGTCACCGAGGATGGCTCCAAGGACACGGACAAGTACCTGATCGCAACCTCTGAGCAACCTCTGTCCGCTCTCCACGAGTCTGAGTGGCTACAAGACAAGGACCTGCCCATCAAGTACGCTGGCTACAGCACTTGCTTCAGAAAGGAGGCTGGTTCGCACGGAAAGGATGCCTGGGGCATTTTCCGTGTTCACCAGTTCGAAAAGGTATATAGATCTTTAGCGCGGCCCGTTTCCCTCTTACTGACTATGTCTTCAGATCGAGCAGTTCATCTTCTGCAAGCCCGAAGAGTCATGGGAGCACTTTGACCGCATGATCGACACATCCGAAGAGTTCTACAAGTCCCTCGGCCTCCCCTACCGCGTCGTTGCCATCGTCTCCGGCGCTCTCAACAACGCTGCCTCGAAGAAGTACGATCTCGAGGCTTGGTTCCCCTTCCAGGGCGAGTACAAGGAGCTGGTCTCATGCTCCAACTGTCTCGATTACCAGACTCGCGAGCTTGAGATCCGTTACGGCCAGAAGAAGCAGACCGATTCGAGCTACCAAAAGTCCTACGTCCACGCTCTCAACTCCACTCTTTGCGCTACCGAGAGAGCCTTGTGCTGTGTCCTCGAGAACTACCAGACCGAAGAAGGCATCAACGTTCCCAAGGTCCTCCAGAAGTACATTCCCGGTCAGCCTGAGTTCCTGCCCTTCACCAAGGAGCTTCCTAAGGACTCCACCAGCTTGAAGGCCAAGGGCGAGGCAAAGACCAAGGGAGGCGCTGCTCCCAAGCTCCCTGCCACTGGTGAGCTCGCCGACAGAACCAAGAAATAAAGAAGATACCCTACGACAAGCGACGTAATCAACAGCAGTGGTGTTGAGAAAAACAGACGAATGCTTCATCTCGTGTCTTCCCCCGGAGCGGTGTCCAACGGATTCATCAAGGGACTAGTATTGGCCCGTGAGAATGGCGCCGTAGCATAGACAGTTGTATCACGAGCAAAATGACAATGAGCAGAACCGAATACCCTTCAAATTCATGATCCGTCAAACCCATCCTAAAACTTTGCCGATGTGTCTATCCGAAAAACAAAAATGCCATAATTGCCGAGATCTCACGAGAGCTCTGGCGTGACATTCTCGCGAGCATGTTTCTTGCTTCTCGACTCTCCTCGCTCGGCACATGTTTTTGACGCTTTGGGTTAAGGCTTTTCCCGACGCCATCCCGAAACGATCGCCGGCTAGCCCACAAGTGGTCATTGCTGCAACTTTCCCTTTTTCGCACCTTTCAACCACTCGACACAAGTCTTGAGGGAACCTCATCATGTCAAATGATTCTGAGTCAAGAGAGTGGGGGGTCCGCTCTCTTCCTTTACACACACTGTAGCCCTTGTACCAGAGTGAGCATAGACAACCGTCTGCCAGTAACCGCTATCATGTGTCGCAGTCCCGAAAATCCAAAACGCGTGCGATCCGGAGTGGATCCCTACCAAGTCACTGGCAACTTCTATCGAGATGAATGGGAGCACTTCGGTCTTGCTCTCATGAGCTTCAATGCCGGCTTCTGTATAACAAGATCACGGCTGTTGTCGATGGCAGTTGCAAGGCGTCTGGCCTGATAAATATGTTTATCTCTGCGAGTGCTTGCAAGCTCTTTGTTGACTACGTGCCCAGCTTCTTCATCTCAGCAATCTGGTTGATTCTCTGGTAACCAAGCCTAACAATCTTTTACGATGGCATCTCGACAATCGAGCACATCATCGATCAAATCAGAGGTCAAGTCTGAGTTTGACTCTTCACAACTATCCTCGGATCAGGAACAGTATCAGACTGGATCTTCTCCAGAAAATGGCATGCTGGATCACAAAGTCAAACCTCAATCGAAGGAATTCGTACTGGAAAACTCCCCTGCTTCGACGATACCGAATGGCGGATTCACTGCATGGCTACAGGTCTTGTCTGGCTTCATGTGCTTTATGTCAGCGTGGGGTTTTGTGAATGCATTTGGTGTATTCCAGGACTTTTACAGCAGTGCCCTCATACCAGATGTGAGTAACTCGGACATTTCCTGGATCGGATCAATCCAAGCTTTTCTGCTTTGCAGTGCGACTGTGTTTGCCGGACCCGTCTACGACTACGGCCACCCTCGGTTCTTGATCATTCTTGGCACCATCCTTGTAGTCTTCGGTATGATGATGACAAGTTTATGCTCCGAGTACTGGCAGCTCATGTTAGCTCAAGGCATTTGCGTTGGGCTCGGAGCTGGATGCCTCTTCCTACCTTCGATCGCGATCGTTCCTTCCTATTTCACCACCAAGAAGGCCTTTGCTATGGGCATTGCGGCGTCAGGTAGCAGTCTCGGTGGTGTAATTTACCCAATTGTCTTCCATCGTCTCGAGCCTCAAATCGGATTTGAATGGGCTACTCGTGTCCTTGGATTCATTGCTTTTGGAACACTGCTGGTTCCATGTTCCTGCATCAAGGCTCGCACTTTTCCCAAGACACGCAGAAAGCTGCTTGATTTCGCGGCGTTCAAAGAGCCCGCTTATGCCCTGTTCAACCTGGCCAGCTTCGTTGGCTTCACAGGGCTATATATTCCCTTCTTTTACATCTCGGCATACGCTAGCGAAAAGTCGGGCTTGGACGAAACACTTTCCTTCTACCTGTTACCCATCATGAGCGCTGGATCGATTGCTGGTCGGATTGTGCCCGGCCTTGTTGCTGACAGAGTTGGTGCCTTGAACGTACTTGGCTTTTGCACGCTGTGTGCAAGTACGCTTGGATTCTGCTGGATAGCCATACACCACGCGGCTGGTGGTCTGATCATTTGGGCTTTGCTCTACGGTGCACTGTCGGGTGCCTTTGTCAGTCTGCAGCCCACCACCATTGCCTCAATAACCAAAGACCTCGGCACCGTTGGTGGCAGGATGGGAATGAATACATTCTGTGCATCCTTTGGCATTCTCATTGGAACGCCGATCGCGGGTCTCCTCGTGGAGAGCGGTAATTGGGTGGGCATGCAAGTGTTTGCTGGCGCCACTCTTCTGGGCGGCGCACTCCTAGTAATGGCGACTAGAATTGCAGTCACTGGTCTCAGCGTTTCTGTCAAGGCCTGATTCGATCGGTTCTTGTCGAGTTCTTGTAAGCATCACTTGTCGTGTATACCCACCCATGAGTAAATTTTTGAATCAATATTGGATCTCATAGCTCATACCTCGATGCTCCACCAGCCTCCAATATACGATCTCAAGCAGTTCCATTCACCCCGAAAGTACATGCATAATTCGTGCTTTCTCCAAGTAATATTGGTCAGACCTCTTCTACGAGGTGGATGTTAGTTGGGTCACCCTGTCAGTGCCACACACGCACACTTGCAACCTCCATGACCACCAAACATTTTGATACTTGTACACTGATCCGCTCGTAGAAAGGACTTGTTGAGACATAGCATATAAGTCTAGACATTTATTCATCTTTTCAGCAACGATCATCAAAATGATGGTCCGGTCTGCCGGATACATCCCCTCAAAAGACTCACAGTAATTGCTGGATCGCGCCATTACTTTAGAGGTTAATTGACATTTGTGTCTTCCTCGCTCTTACTGGACAGGTACTCTGATACGACAAAGATCCCATACGTTTTTGCAATCATATTATAGGACAAGTTTGACGGTGGAAAGGGGAGGTTCGACGCTGATGCTTCTTTCCACAGCTAAAGACATATCAGATACAGTACAGACTCGATGTGGTATCTTACTGACGAGGAAGTACAAAGCATGGAGCGGGAAGGAGCAGACGACGTCGAAACTGATGAGTCGCGAAGTCCTGATACCCTCTGCCATGACGTCTACCACAATCTCACGACAACGAACACTGAACAGTCACTGTGTCAGGACAGCTCGAACACATGTGCTCGTCCAAAATCGTCCGCTGAACGCTTTGCGCATATGTGTACTCTATACAATGGAACTATAGCCATTCATCTATCTATGAAAGCCTCTGGCTTCGTTTGTCAACCTTAGATGCGCATGCTCTCCGCAATGAGCTTGTACTCCTTTCTCTTCTTCTGGTGGCTTGGTCGTAGTTTGGCATTCGCTTTACCGATCCACTTTGAAAGAGGAGGGAACACGACTCTCTCAGCGAGGTACGAACAGGCGAAGCCTCCGATGGCAAGTACCAAGATGAACACCTGGAAGCTTATTGACATGTCCGTCAGCTCCATCAGATCGACGAGCCATGGAGCAGGGTCGAACAGCATATAGGCAGATACTCCAACAGCTACGACCATAGTAATGACGAACGGCACTGTTGACTTGTTAGCAAGTGATACAAAAGACTTGAGAAACTATTAGACTTACGATTTTGTGTCATAGATTGCCGGAAAGGAGGGCCGACGCTGAGCACAATCGCCGAAAGAATGTACTGGAAGCAAGAAATGAGGAAGAGTGTTGTGTTTTGTGAGTTTTGCGAGTTGGAATGTTCCTTGTCCAGAACTGGTGGCTGATACCAAGGTTGGCGTTGCACGATTTCCCACCCAACGAGTTGAGTCAAGACACAAATGATGATCTGACCGAGAAGAGGAGTAAGGACCTTACGTGAGACCAAGCTGGCGGTAGGCCTCTTCTTAGAGAGAACGGGGTATGGACCAGTCCAACCCATAAAGATGGCAATTGGAAGAATGAGAGCCAAGTCAATGAACAAGAACTGGAAGTCTCCGAGGTTAGATGCAGAAGCATAGAGGAAGCTCACGGAGGTGAACTGAATAGCCGAGTACAAAGACATGTACTTGAAGCAGCTGAAACTTGTGACCAACGCTCCTCTTCCTTCACGGATGACCTCTGGCACGCAAGAGATGTCGAAAATACGACTTGTGAAGGGCGCAGCAACCGAAGCTTCTGCCTCCGAGAGTGAGATGCCCACATCTGCGGCCTTGAGAGCACCACAGTCGTTGGCACCATCTCCGCAGAATCCACAGCAGTAGTCAATGCTCTGAAGTTTCTCCACTAGTTCATGCTTCTCATCAGGGGACATGCGTGCAAACACCTGACCACAGACAAGCATCTCACGAAGGACCTTTGGCGAAGCGAAGTCGACGAGCCAGCGGAAGACATCACCACTGACTGCGATAGAGTAGTTGCGCAGGTTCGAAACGTCATAAGGCAATGAGGAGTCGTGTTCGGCAGGCGGAGGCAATGGCTTAAGAGTATTGTCGTCAAGCTGATAGGCTGGGTTATCCACGCTTTCCCAGCTCAAACGGGATAGCGCTGTCCTCGAGTCGCCTTCGACGAAGTGCGGCACGAAACAATGAGCAGATCTGTCAATCAAGTTACATTCCCTGGCAACACTGATGGCAGTCAGGATATTGTCGCCAGTGCACATCACAGTGCGGATGTTGGCGTCCCGAAGCTCTTCAATGATGCCGGTCGTGGTTGGCTTGAGCTTGTTCTCGAAGATGATGAAACCAACAAACTCGAGGTTTGATTCTGCCTCTTCACGCTTCATTTTCTGCACCTTCAACCAGTTGAGCTTGAAAATATGTTTAGTTGCACAAGCAATAACACGGAAACCACGATGTGTGTAGTAACTAAGCAGCTCTTCGTAGTCCGGAGGGAAGCTGTCAGGACGGCAGATCTCCTTCATACATTCGGGAGCACCCTTGACGTAGACGTTACCACTTGGGTCACCGAATTGACGAACGACAACACTCGCACGTCTCAACTGAGAGACGAACTCAAAGGACTTGAGAACACCGAGTTCAATTGGACGCTTGTTATTAGGGGAGGTTTCGTCTTCATCCAGATCAAGTTCCATTCCAGGTGGGGGGCGGGCTACAGAGGGCGAAAGAGAGTTTTGGTCGTCCTCATCGGTGGCGCCGGGTCGCTCGGAGCCTTCTTCGTATTGCCAGCCAGTGAACTGGAACATCTTGAGGTCCAGAGGGTCACCGACGAACTCGTCATCGACGATCCGTAGAGAATGGCAAGTAGCCATAGTGTACAAGATTGCCTTGTTTGCGTTGTAGTCGACTGTAGGGTCGCGCTCATAAGTGGCTCCAGGAAGAAGGGCGGTAGAGTCGTTGAGGATGTCGCTGAATCTGTTCGCAGGTCGATGTACTACACGAGTTCCGAGTACGTCGAGACCATCCTCGGTTAAAGTGCCAGTCTTGTCAAAGCATACCACGTCGAGTTTGCCGCCAACGTTCACTCTTTGAGGACTGATGCAGAAGATGTACTTCTTCTTCAGTCTAGACAGAGCAAAATTGGTACCGATTGTGAGCGTAGCAGGTAGCGCAGGTGGGACGACAATAGTGATGAGATCCAGTGCTCGGACAACGATGAGATGCCAGGCAAGCCCAAGGCGAACAAAGTTGATGAATGAAGCAACAAAGCCAACCATGGCAATTCCCGCCATGACTGCAATGTAGCGGAAAGAGTCTCGGTAGAATTTGAATCCAGATGGCTTAGGGAAAAGCATGGAGCGAACCAGTGCTCCTTTGGTAGTATTGAAACCTGTGCGAACGACAAGCGCAAGAGCAGCGGCTTCATCACTCTTGTCCTCCTGCGGCCTGCGTGCGCGAATAATTTTAGTACCACTGAACAAGAAGTTTCTCGCAACCTCGGGATGGATAGATGAAGCGCTCAAATCGAGGAGTTCCAGAGATTCGTCAGTCGTCGGAACCTTGGAAACAGGTACGGATTCTCCAGTGAGCATACTCTCGTTGACAATGCAGTCACCAGAAAGTAAAAGACTGTCGCAAGGGAACTGCGAGAGATTCGGGTCTGTAATCTCATAGACGTCTCCTGGAACAAGATCGCAAGACTGAACATAACGCCAGAAACCACTTCTGAGAACACGGATGTCGCATTCGAAACGCGAAATCTCACGGAGACGTGCCATGGTCGCTCTTGTTTCAACCAATGTTGATGCAATACTCACAATCGAGATGACAAAAATGCAGGCAGCATAGTAGTAGTATTCGTCCACAGACCAGAGGAACAGACTGGCAATCTGGAAGATGTAGAAAGGATGCAGAGCTTCATCAACGAGAAGTTGGCCAATCGACTTCTGCTCGATATCGATCATGTTCTTGCCGAAGATACGCTCGCGGTTTTCTTGCTCTTCACCATCGATACCCGCACGGATGGTGACAACATCTGTCCAGGCAGGATCTTGCCAGGTGTTTCCAAGAATGAACTTGTCCTTGAAGGGGTGGAAGCAGAAACGAATGTAGCGGTAGTCCATGATGCGAAGTTCGTCCAGGATAGGATCGTTGTACTCGTCAAATTCGCGCATTTTACCTTTGCCTGGCATACCAAAGACCGAGGACAGAGGCATGTCGAAACTCTGCTTGCTCAATTGCTGGACAACCATCTCATTCCACTGATTCTCAATAACCAACCAATCGCACTTGTGCAGGGCGGTGGGAGAGCCAGTCAAGCGCACGCGCCATCGTGGCAGCCAGCGAAACAACAGAAAACCAAGTCCAAGAGTACAGATGGAAATGCAGAGGTAAATAGCGTAACCAAGAACAGAAGTCTTGAATCCGGCGACGACGATGGTCATATCCTCATTTTGAATATAAATTTTCTGGCTCAACCTTCCGCCCGATCCGTGACCACTGCGGACGCTTCTGTCCGTGTCGGAGGAACGACGGCGCCGCAGAAGTGGGCTGCGTGCAGATGATCTGGAGTAGCCAGAAGATTTACGGCTGTGTAGAGAAGGACGATGATTGGATTCCAGGTCCATGTCGGGCTCCGCAAAGGCATTACCGTCCTCGATATCAGCATGGCCTTCTTCCAGCTCAGCTTCTTCATCGATGATGGCTTCTTCTTGGAGCCACTCTTCGTCGGAGATGTCACGATCCTCATCCTGGTCATCGTAGTAGGTGAAGCTGGTAGTCGAGTCTGCGCGCGAACGACGGTGAGCGAAAGAGCTGTTGGCAGTGGGCACACTCTCAGACATGGGACCTGAGAAGATTTCGTCGTTGGCCATGCCAACATTGCTGAGGAAGCTAACCCTGTTCCTTGTGTGAGCTCAAACGGCATACAGACTGCCCAAGGGCATACTCACTCGCTCATGTTCGACTCGCGCCGGTAAAAGTTATGTCGGCGGCTGGCTGTATCATCGTCTACCGTGACGGACGAGCGCCGGCGACTTCTCGAAGTGTTCCTCTCCATAGCAGGTACAGTCTGTCCAGGGAGCGACAATGGTAACGATTGTCACTATGCAGACGAGAGAATGGCCAGTCGCGAGGAGCAAAAAGAAAGCGTTTCCAGCAAAGTCGCGCGGCGGACGGGTCGGCGGGCCATGACGATAAGCCTGCCTTTTTAGGAAACAGTCCGGGGCTATCTTTTATCCAAACCCGAGAGCCCACGCCCTCCGCATGCCTCTGTGCGTAGTGCGTAGTTTGACACTCGTGGCCCAGCACATATGATTACATGTTAAATAGCGTGTTTTAGTCTGTCCTTTGGTCGTGTTTACTTGAATGTATTCGTGCTGCTTTCATAGCCCATTCTAGCATCCGTTACTCCACTGTACAATCACATTCTTAACCACATCACGCTGAGGCTGTAAATGAATTTGGAACGTGAAAATTTTCGAGACGACGGGACCAGGTTATCTCATCATGGCTATTGCGCCATGCCGGGAGGCTTTTGCGATTCTTTTGTGGACATGAAACTAGTCGGCAGCTTCCCTTCCCAGACTGAGAAAACGCCTCCTTTTGAACCACTGGTTTGTCATAGAGACCAGGTTGACTGCAAACCAACACCGCTGCGACACTTGATCATGCTCGTAATCCCATCGAATCCGTCGTTACCGCACTTATATCGATGAAGGGTAAAGCATGACGCGGACGGTGGCACCGAACGAACGGGGAGGGAGGTTGTTGCGGAACTGAGCGCGGACGACACCAGAGTTGCCTGTGAATATCTGTCAGATTGACTCCTTGACTCTTTCTGCTTTCCAGGAAATATGTACCGTGAGCGCGGGTGACCTTGCCCCACATGACTCTGATCTTGGAGCCGCGGACCTCCTTAGAGGCGCGGTAGACGAAGGCGACCTTCTTTCCGAGGTAGAAGGTGGCGGCCTTGGAGTCGTCGACACCCTCAATCTTGATCAAGCTGGTGTTGGGGTTGGTGTTGCGCTTGCCTCTCTGGTAGCTGAGGTGACGTCCCCTGCGCGATAGAGGTCAATAAATATTCGTTGCGATGCGTCGCCTGTTTTGCTGAGGGGAAAATGTGTATTGTTTTGGACATTGTTCGAGATGTACGGATAGCGATCGGTTCGAGAAGAGCGATAGAGTTGTAGATGAAGAGAAAACAGCGGTTCGGATTCAGTACTCACTTGACGTAGACTGGGAGTGTGTTAGCAGACAATCCTTCATGACATTCAACATTCGTCCAGCAACTGGCGCCTTCGCGAAACCAGACACCAGATCTCAGGGAAACTCACGGCGGTGACCTTGCTCGGATGGCATTTTGTGTCGATTTGGATTGTCCCGGCGAGTGTCGAGTAGGTGTTGTCGGTCGTCTCACGATTAGTCGCTCCGTTCAGTGGAAGGGAATTCGAGCTCGCCGATTTCGTGTGGGCGTCAAAGTGCGCCGAGAACTTAGCCGGCTAGCGTCTTGGCGTCGAGGCCGCAACTCTACAATTCTCAAAGTGAAGCGAGAATCAAGGGACCGCCGTGCAACAACTTCACCGTGTTACTGTTGTTTACGCACTCTACACTACAGTGTCCACAATTACGGTGTCTCACAAGAATTTATGATGGCGCTCACGATGGTTCGCGCTGCTGTTCGATCAACGCTGCGAGACGCAACTGAACTCTGTCGACGTCTTCTGCAGTGACCAAGGTAAAGGACCATCTCCGCATTCACGGTCCATCAACATCAGTTCATGTCATCGCGAAATGGAACTGAACAGAGTCATCACATAATACTGCAAGATGTAACAGAAAAGGCCGTGTTGGTGAGGAAATACTTGCATCGTCATAAAGTAGGTGTCTTTTCTGTGGGCAGTAAGCCACAGTTGCGACTAGAAGGATAAAGAGCCTCTCCAAGAGACTACAGCGTCTTCCTGATGTCTCTACGGTCGGCCTCCACCGTCTCGTATCGTTTCTCGTGCCCGGCAAACACCAGAGTCAGGTAGCCAGCAGACTGCCATATTTCAGGGTTGGATCAGTAGGACGCCGAACCAGTTACGCCAGTCTGAGCGAGTGCATCGAAATCTCTAGACCTCCGAGTCCTCCTCCTCCTGCTTGACGGTCTTGAAGAGCTTCTCATCGTCCTGATCAGGCTCAACTTTGTCAGAAGCGACGTTGATGTTGTGAGCCATGTCCTCCTCAGTTCCAGCCTTGCCGACAGCGGTCTTCTTGGTGGCCTTGACGGGGGTCTTGCGAGGACGACCGGGCTTCTTGGGAGTCTTGACAGAGGCTTCATCATCGTCGTCGTCGTTCTCAGCGCGAGTGGTGTTCTTGGCAGCCTTCTTGCGAAGGGACTTCGGGGCGTCGTCGTCTTCGTCCTCGTCTTCTTCGGCACCGGCAGCGTTCTTGGCGACTTTCTTACGGAGAGACTGGAGAATGCCATCATTCTCATCGTCGTCTGAGCCAGCGCTCTCTGCCTTGCGTTTGCGAGGGCGACCACCTTTGCCCTTAGGGGTCTTGGGAGGAGCGGAACTGTCGCCAGTAGTGGAAGGGGCAGTCACGCCTGTCTTGCCGCCAGCCTTCTCGATCTTCTTGAGAAGATTGCGGTACGAAACCCTCATGCTCTCAATGCTAGCAGCGCCGAAAGCTTGGGTTGCCTTGTCCCAGTCAACCTGATACATGGTTAGTCGACTGTGACGCTTGTGCTGAAGATCTTTCAACATACATTGGCGGCATGATCATCGTTGCTAAGCCACATGGCCAGGATGCGGTCCTTCTCGCCCTCGCTCAGAAGAGCCTTAGCCATGGCGTATGAGTAAGACATGATTGGTAATAGTTGTGTGGTACGTGTGGACGGTAGGTGGCTGACAGAAGAGTTGACAGAGGAAGGTGAGATGTTGAAGGTTTAAATGGAGTACGTGAGAAAGAGAACTGTGCAGCTTGGTGTTGGATCAAATGTTCGAGTGAGGAACACAACTGAAGATGGCAGAATTCGCAGCTTACAACGAAGTGAAGACCACACGATGGAATGCAATGGGCTGTTCTCACACAAAAGTGTTGATTCCGGAACGCCCTATGATCTATGGTCGAGAGCCTCGACCCTCAATTCAACCACTCCAGACTACGATTCACACTTACCAAGCCTTGGTTGTGTGAAGACCAATCTATGTCAAAGAAGTCATACAAGTCTCAGTGAAACAATGTTCAATGCACTCGATCCAAGTCGTCGACATGGGCGCCTTGGGTGCAGATCATCTCGTCTGCGATTCGTCGAAGGCCATAGTTTGACCGAATTGAAAAATGAAGAGAACCAATCCCATTGACGAAGACAAGCCAGCGCATTGAATACACTGGCAGGAATTAGTTACACCGGCTTCTGCTCAAGCAGCGTTTGTAAATTCTGATTTGAATTGCAGGATCTTTCTTTGGTGCCAATCTGAGTATCAGGATATCAAAACGTGGCGAGAGAGAGGGAGTTGGCCTTGATTCTTTGTTTCCGCCATTGTATTCAGACTCTTGAGGGGGGGTTCTTCAATCACGACTGGTTGTGACATGCGGCTTCGAGACAAAGTGACGAGTAGCGAGGTGAAAGTAAGGTCACTCTCGGAAAAGAAATCGATTGAGATGGAAGGGTAGAAGATTTGAACCTTGGGCGTCAGTGGTGAAGTTGATGAGGTCGGATGTGGGGCAGTCGTGAGTTCAGACAGAAGGTCGAAGTGGGCGGGCGCAGCGAGATCGGGGGCGCATGTGCACACCCGATGGGCCTTGTTCAACCGTGACTCAATTTCGCTTTGTAGGACAATACAAACCACCTTCAAGACAATCAGACACCAGCAAACAAGCCTTCCAACCCCCCAACATCCCCACCACCTTCACAATGGCCTACACCAACGGTTTCGAACAGTCAATACCTCACCAGCAGGAAAAGAACCTGCCCGGCGGCGGCAATTGGGTCGTGCAAAAGTTTGGCGGTACCAGCGTCGGCAAGTTTGCTGTCGACATTGCCCAGGACATTGTCATGTACGTCGCATGCCCGCTCTGGACTGAAGCCTAGTACTCATGTTCGAATAGTGCCAGCCTCAAGGAGCACCGCACCGCCATCGTCTGCTCTGCGCGTAGCACCTACACCAAGAGCGAGGGCACCACCAATCGCCTACTTCGCGCTGCCCGCGAGGCCGAACGCATTGGCTCGCGCAAATATGTCGACATAGTCGATGTTATCCGCGTCGACCATATCGTCGTTGCAAAGGATACCATCTCTTCTGCAGAGATCCTGGAAACCTACTCGGAATCTGTTAATGCCGAGTGCGACAGCCTGATCAAGATCCTCGAGTCCGCCCAGCACTTGACCGAGGTCAGCAAGCGTACCGAGGACAAGATTGTCGCTAAGGGCGAGAAGCTGTCTTGTCTGTACATGACTGCCGTCTTGCAGGATCGCGGCTGCAATGCTCAATACGTCGACCTGAGCAATGTCATCGACTTCCCAGTTGGCGAACGTATTGACGACAGCTTCTACCGCAGCCTGGCTGGCTCCCTCGCAAAGGCCGTACACGCCTGCGGCGACGCCGTTCCTGTTATTACTGGCTACTTCGGTGACGTCCCTGGCGGTCTTCTTACTCAAATCGGTCGTGGATACACTGACCTCTGCGCCGCTCTCGTTGCTGTCGGCATTGGTGCCTCGGAACTGCAGATCTGGAAGGAGGTTGATGGCATCTTTACTGCAGACCCCCGCAAAGTGCCCACTGCTCGCCTGTTGCCCTCGGTCACACCCTCCGAGGCTGCCGAATTGACCTTCTATGGGTCCGAAGTCATTCACCCCTTCACCATGGACCAGGTCATCAAAGCCAGCATTCCCATTCGCATCAAGAATGTCAAGAACCCCCGCAACCAGGGCACCATCATCTGGCCCGATCAAGCTGACGATCTGGAGGAGAAGAAGCCTTCTCTTTTCCGCAACCGCAGCCTGGTCAGCCTCAGCACTCACGATGGTCCCAAGCGTCCCACCGCTGTCACCATCAAGCGCGGTATTACCGTGCTTAACGTCCACTCCAAGAAGCGTACTCGTGCCCACGGCTTCCTCATGTCCATCTTTTCTGTTCTTGACAAGTGGCACCTGTCTGTTGACCTCATATCCTCCTCCGAGGTCCACGTCTCCATGGCCTTGCACTCTGAGGTCGCTCTCTTGTCTGGCGCCGGCCCTGATTCTGAGGAGATCCAGATCGAGTCTGCTGCCCTCAAGGGTGCTGTTGACGACCTCAGCGTCTGGGGTGATATCGACCTTGTCCCTGGCTTGGCCGTCATTAGTCTTGTCGGCCGCCAGCTGCGTAGTATGGTTGGTATTAGCGGTCGCTTCTTCAGCGTCCTTGGGGAAAATGGCATCAACATTGAGATGATCTCTCAGGGTGCCAGCGAGATCAACATTTCATGTGTGATCGAAGAGGCAGAGGCCAACAGAGCCCTCAACGTCGTTCACACCAACCTTTTCACTTTCCTCGATTGATTTTAGCGTTTGCATAGCGTTTGCAGTTGGATTTCTCCAACAGGACGAAAAGAGCGAAGGGATTTCAAAAGTTTCGAAGCATTGTCATGAACCCATTTTGCTTGCGTAGACCTGTATAGATGAGCAACCGAGCTATGTCTCTTCTTCTTTAACCATCAATTACACCCATGACCATGTGATATCCACCCAACGATTGCTCTGACATTTGACATCCCGCGGTGACAAATCAAAGTATTCACGCTTGACTGTGATTGACAGTTGTAAGGTTTAACAACATTTTTCTGCTCTGGATATGTCAGGTGACGACTACAGCCGCTAGCTGCTCAAGGCTAGCCCCAAGAAGCGTTTCTCCTTGCCTCTCGCTTTATCCTCAGCTCTCGTTGCTCTTGATCCAATCAATGCGTCGAGAGAAATCTCCACGACTCGATTATTCCGTTCAAATCTTCAGTTCACATCTGACGGATCTATGCTCTTGATCGTGAGGTTCAATTGATGACGGCGTGTTTCTGGTGGTTGCTCGGAACGCGGATTCTAGTGTGTAGATGATCGGAAAAGCATCCCACGTGATCGGAGCAATGATAAGTGTTGTACCACGACCTGTTAATGAGCGGATGTCTTTGTATGTGTGAGATGCACAAGCGAGAGAAACACTGGGAACATGATAGAGCCTCGTGTTCTTGCTCTCGCCCGAATGTTGACCAGACATTGATCCCTGAATTCGGCGACTCTATCAAAGTGCACAAGCACTTCCTTTGGGCCGACTTGGCTCTGGGTTTGCATTGTTTCGAATGTCTCTCTTGTCACAGCATCCAGATATCATGTATCAAGACGGCACATAGTTCCGACTATGGGACCGCCATGTTCTTAGCGCGCTCAGGCCGCCTGCATTTTGAAAACTGAGGAGAACCCTTCCCGAGCACATTCGTGACACCGACAGGACTACAGTCTCAGTTGCTCTGTCAGTATCTCTCGGGTGAGGCGACATGATGCCCGTTGGGCGCAAGGTCATAGGAAGAGGCAATATGTTGTTTGATCCCATGCTTGCGGACGTGGTCATCGACATGGTTCAAACATCGAATGTCCGTATGTTGTATGGTCTGGAGATAGACTGTTGTTTCGAAGTGAAACTTCGTAGCTTACCCTAGTTCAAGTTGCTGCCCATTTTAAATGTGCATATGGCTCAAGGTACATCGAAGACATTGAACATTTGTTGGAGATTATCAAGCGTATCCTCCCCCTATGCAAATTACTGTCACGCGGGGAGGCTTCGGCCACCTCCGCGGCCACCACCCCTGCTTAATTGGAGCTATCTGAGTCGCTATCTGACTGTATATACACGTCGTCGTTGTAATGGTTTGATCCATGAGCGTTTATATAACGTTCACATACAGCTCGCTATGCCTCGCGACGAGTTCGCGCCCGTACGATACGACTGAATTCGTCGCTCTACTACACCGATCTTATGGCCTCCTCGGCTATATCGCGCGTTGGTTTCTGCGCATCTCTGACCTTGAATTTTAATGGTTCAAGCCTTTTGTTTTGATCGTAGTGTAATGCCTCGATAAGGTTAAGATCTAGTAAGTTTGGCCTACAATCTGCGAAGCGAATTCCCTGCTGTTTGATCTCATGTTTAAGTAAGTCCCTAGCCTTAATATAAGACCTGTCGTTATCCTCTACAATAAGTACTTCCTCGTCTGGATTATTCGCCTTAATCTGGTGATAATAAGGGAACAAGTACTGCATGTATATAGTAAGGGTAATCTAGATGAAATCCACGTTCTTAAGACTCTTTTTGGCGTGCTCTTTATTATATAGCTAATGCTGCTCTAGGGTCTTGTTTCTAGGGCCTACCCTCTTGTTTCTAGCCTCTCTCTATTTGTGCTCTCTTATTTGAGTAATCTCTTGATTCTTAGACTTAAGTTTAGCAAATTCTAGAGGTGCTAGGAGTACGTGCCCTTACGCGGACCTTATCTACTTTATCTCTAGCTAGCTTATTTAGCTTTTTGACCTCTTCTAGCTGTATAGAGAGGTCCTATTCATCTGCAGGATAGAAGGCAGCAAATGGCCTTATAATAGAGGTATCATCTCTATAGGCAGCTGCCTATTGCTCTATACCGAAGGCCTTAGGAGCCTGGTTTTTGTAGCCCTTTTTTGAACGTCCTCGGGGCAGATTTCGACGGCTAATTATAGAGCTACCAAACTCGTGCTCCTTCTTATCGCAGCATATAATAATTATCTTATCTAGCTCTGTTTCTAAGTCCTTACAATAGTTATAACGCGCGTGAATAGCAGCTTATGTAAGCTCTATCCTTCGGATCTCCCTCTTACGCTCGATAGGCTTGTTTTGTTATAGATCGGCCTTTAAGTGTTCCTAGCTTCTTATAATGTTGTAGACTTGCTTCGCATCGAAGGGTAGTACCTCTAGATCTACGATTCTAAATGTCTATCGATCGCGAAGATAGAAATCAGCGGCGGCAGGTAGGTAATGCGACGAATAGACCTCTATACCGTGTTAAATCTCTATAGATAGTTGATCTCCTAGGTTTGAACGTCGTTTACGGCCAGTTCGTTGCTTCCTCTTAACACGTATGAAACGAATGAGCGATTCTATAGATTATACGTCGGTGTTTAGGTCGCGGCGCGCGCGCGAAGCTAGCTACCGGATCGCCAATTTTGAGACCCCTGTTGTGGCCTCAACTTCTAACTAAGGTGCGCGATAAATAAGGAACATGATTAGCGCGGCCGCGCGCTTCTTATCGATGTAATCGGAGCCTCGAGGCATAGCGTAGTTGTGTTGTTATCGTGTGTTGAAGTTGAGGTGGTTGGGTTAAAGCTTCGCCCCGCGTGACAGTAATTTGCATAGGGGGAGGATAGAGCCAGACAAACAAGACAAGCTTGTAGCAATGCACGATCTGAGAGCTGCTGGTTCCACAGAAATCACAATCACATTGATCGTTGATCGCTCGTGCGCCAGGATGCGCACTACTGTTGTCAAAGAGTCATCAAGAATGCCTCCTGTGCTAGTCCTGTCAGGCATAGCTCAACTATGCATCTCTCGATGGGCTGAGCATAATGCAGTGTGGAGAGAGTCGAGAAAGAGCAAGCTTGAAGCGACATCATGAGACAAAGTGAGGTTGGCCGATGGTCGGGAGCCGGCGATTCGTGGCCCGAGGCTGGGGAATGGGGAAGTTTCTCGCCCTCGTTCACATGCAAAACTTGGACCAAGGAACATTGTGTTGGAACAGAAAACAAAACCGAAAAAAATGCGCACCTCACCGAACATCATCATTACTGGAACCCCTGGTGTGGGCAAGACAACCCATTGCGAGCAGCTCGCATCAAGCACCGGCCTCACCCACCTCAATGTCAACAAGGTCGTGAAAGAGCGCGATTGCGAGGACGGCTTTGACGATGAGCTCAACAGTGTCATTGTTGACGAGGACAAGGTAAGAACCGGGGGTCTGTTTTACACTGTCGACATGTTGCCTGACCCCTCGATAGCTCCTGGACGCCATTGAACCCGACCTCGAGGCCGGTGGTCAAATCATCGACTGGCACGCTTGCGACATGTTCCCTCAATCCTTGATCGACCTTGTGGTTGTCATTCGCTGCAACAGCACCATTCTCTACGATCGCCTCAAGGGCCGTGGCTACAGCGACAAGAAGCTCGACGAAAACATGGATGCTGAGATCATGGAAGTCCTCTTGCAGGAAGCTCGTGATTCATACGACGAGGAAATCGTTGTCGAGCTACAGAGCGACGATCTCGACCAGATTGACGAGAATCTCGAACGCATTCAAACTTGGATCGAGAACTGGAAGAAGGACCATGCCGACGCATAAACACAGCTCTCGATAAGCCCAGCCTGCTCTACATACTGTCCTGTCCGCGACTCTCGAGGACTCCTTACTCGGTGTGTGCATTGAGCCACTCGGTGAGCTTGGCCAATGCCTTACCGCGGTGCGAGATCTTGTTCTTCTCAACCTTGGCCATCTCAGCATATGTCTGGCCCTCGTACTCGAAGCATGCGTCCCATCCTACGTTGAGTCAGTCTCGTCTTGTCTCACCAAGTACTTGGTAGGCTTACCGAAGTCGGTAGGTCCACGAGCCTCGACAATCTTGCCCTAGCGTACCGGTCAGCACTCTTTGCGGAACGCAATTTGATCGAGGAGACAAACTTTGGTCCTTCCTTGGAAAACAATGGGCTCGTGGCCAGGGCCTTCCGAATATGCAAATGTACACACGGCCTGAGCACCCTTGTCCTCGAAGCCAGCAAGAAGCTTGTGGAATTGCTTGACACCGAGCGACTGCATAAACCATTTACTGAATCGAGATGACTAATCAGTCTCACGAACGACGCAACTTGAGGCGGAGACCATCTTACACGTATGGGCCCGGGAGTTCGTCAAAGGCATCGAAGCAGAGACATGTGTCTTCTACCAGAACCGGACCACCAACCTAGATAAATTCAAGTTTAATATACAAATTCTCACAAATCGCCTTCCAGTGATCTTCGACGTACTGTGTCAGCTGCTCTACGGCACTTGTCCTTGGAAATCTCCTCAATCGTGCCCTGGATCTCGAGCAAGTCCACAGATTGATTTGAGAGGTCGACACCAGTAGGGGCGAGGATTGCTTGCACTTCGGCTAGCTTGTTCTTGTTGCCGGTGATGAAGTTGAGTTGCTTGGGTGCCATTGCTGCGAATTGACTTGAAAAGTGTCGTCTTTGAAAACCGAGCTTGAAAACCCGAAGTGTTGACCTTATTATCATCAAACGTGTGATGGTGTTCCAACGATGTTCGGTCTACGAAATCTTTCCTTGCCAAGAAACCTCTTGAGCCGCAGTCATTTCGAGAAGTGACCGACCTTCAGCAATCCTCTTCTCATCTCCTTTGGATTTTCTTCTCTCCGACTCTGAGGTCGAGCTTCTTTTCTTCTCACAAGCTGATATTGGGAGATATCAATGCTAGCTCTCTCACTCTAGCGCTCTTGTTTGCACGTTCTGGCAACTTGGATCAAGCTTCGGGCAGGGTGACCTCTCAACTACCACTCAAATCTTACCATTGCGTACACGCGACGAGTGAGTATGGATTCAAATGCCACTGTGACGCCAGTCGCCAACCTGCAGATACATCCACCTAGATGGCAGGGCCTGGATACTACCTGGACAACTGCAGCGGTAGCTTTGCTACTTCTAGCAATCACGACCCGATTCATTAGCGGCTTCCTTGGGACATCCAAACCTGCTCAGAATGGTTCCCAGACAGTACCGATGCTGCCTTACTGGATGCCTATCATCGGACACATCCCTCAATTCAGCTTTGCACCACAGAGTCTGCTCAACAAAGCCCGCGATGCGTACAGAAGCGGTATCTTTTCTCTAAATCTAGGCAGCACAACTCACAATATCATCTTTGCACCTCCCATGGGTGGTACTTTGATGAATCAGAAACACTCAATCGCAAACATGGACTCAGTGGGCAAGCATGTCATGACTGCGGTTTTTGGTTTCCCAAAATCAAAGGCATCCATGGAGAGATATGATGCATCCTTAACAGGGCTGAATACCTGCTACAAGCATCTGACCTCTGAGCCTTATCTGGGAGAAATGGTCCAGAGTACCATCGATGTGACGAAACGCAATATCGCCAACCTGGTCACCTTCTCAGAGAGCACAGTTGATCAAGTAGCTTGGGAACGAACCAGCAATGCCGAAACAATTACCAAGCCCCAGGGCGAACAAGTTGTGGAAATCAGCATGATGCCCTTGATTCGAGACTTTATCGCCGCCAGTGCAAACCCATCGCTCATCGGTAGTGATTTCGTCAATAACAACCCAGACTTCTTCCAAGACCTTTGGGACATGGATAGAGGCTTCAAATGGCTGGCCACCGGTCTCCCTGCCTGGTTGCCTATACCTCAAGTCTGGAAAGCAAAAATCGCCCGCAGTCGTGCCTTCAACGCCGTCCGCAACTTCGACGAAGTCATGGAAAAAGCAGCAAACGGAGAAGATCCAGGCCAGGACTGGCAAGATCTTGACAATGTAGGCCCAGTCCTGACCCAAAGATTGAAGCTATATCGTCAACTCAACTTCAACATGGATGAAAGAGCAGCTCTAGATCTATGTCTCTTGTGGGCGATGAATGCTAATGCAAACATGCTGGTCTTCTGGATGCTCAACCACATTTACGCAGACAAATCTCTTCTCGCCCGACTTCGCGAGGAAATAGCTCCTTTCGTCCACGCCGTCCAGCCCAAACAACTTTTCGGTGTACCGGAGCCTCCTCGCATCGACACCTTCGACCACGAAGCCCTCGCGAACAAATGCCCACTGCTGAAAAGCTGCTACATCGAGTCTCTGCGCTTGGATTCGGCAACCTGGAGCTTCAGAGTCATGCAGGAAGATTTGATTCTCGCAGCTTCCAGAGAAAAAGATGCAGAGAAGTTTCTGCTGAAGAAGGGGACATATACTCACATTGCTCATTCTATCCATCATACTGATCCCGCTTATTTTGACGACCCGCAGACTTGGAGGGCAGATAGGCATATCAAGCGTGAGGAGGAAGATGGAGAGGTATCTGTAAACATGGGGACTATTCGTCCATATGGCAAGTTCAAGGCAACCCACATGCTCAAGAAACGCGGCTAATACTTGTGTTGCAGGTGGTGGACATTCGATGTGCAAAGGTCGTGCGTTTGCTCAAAAGGAAGCCTTGGTCTTCACGGCAGCTTTCATCAGTATGTGGGATATGGAGCCTGTTGGAGGCGGTGCTTGGAAGCTACCACGCTTCAAGCCTGCCACTGGAGTATACACCACGAATGACGATATTCGGGTTTCGGTATCACGCCGCAAGGGGCTGCCTGAGGCGTAAATTTATCATTGACACCATCTCCTTGGACTAGACATATTTCACAGCTCATGACATTTTGTTTGGCGGTTTTTGTGATTGTTCTCGCGATATATGATGAATGGGTATCTTTCGTATGAGCATTCTCCTCACGCGTTTCCCAAACCCAAGCTAAGCAATTCTTTTCGAAACTGCCACACCAATGCTCTGTGCTATGGGAAACAGAACCCGACAACGCCTCGCTATATAATCTCAATGTCGTAAGCCAGAGGGGCGTGGTAGTTACGCTTGCTCTGCGCTCTATTTGTGGTTTGTGGTAAGAATAGATTCGTGAGGTTTGACTCCTTCGTGGGACCAGTCTTCTGATGTGCTACCCGCCCTCAGGCTCTTTACCGGCTAGAGTCGAACTGCTGAATTAGGCTGACTGTATCTCTTTCCAGTGTAGCCTCAGCGACGGTACAACTCGCGTTCCCTATCCTGCAACCTTTCGCGACGTTCACGATCTGGACTCCTACTACGAGTCCTTCGATCTCTGTCTCTTGCATTGGGCGGAGGTCGGTCTCTGGGATATCCATGGTCGCGCGAGTTTCTTCTGCCGTTCGGTGGCGCAGCATCGTCTCGACGCGCGGCGGAGTAACTCGGAATATAAGTATCAACGTTTGGACCACCTCTTGGGTTTGGTGGTGGGGCTCGGGGAGCTAGGCGACCATCTGCGGCAGGCGGAGGTGGGCGAGGGGGAAGATGGCCATTGGGAGGAGGTGGAGGTAGATGCGATGAGCCGTTCATGTGTGGAGGTGGTGGTAATGGGGGTCTGCGTGAATCGGGGCCATTTTGCCATGCTGGTCTTCTTGCCAGTGGAGGGGTGTCGTGTGAGGGAGCGCGTGAGTCGTAAGCCCTTGGAGGGGGTGGAGGAACTCTCTGGTCACGAGGGCCTCTGCGATCGTAACCAGTATAACCGTTCGGGGGACCATAGTTGCGACCACCGCCTGCACCCCAAGCCTCATCAGGACCCATACCAACTGTGCCGCCAGCTGGGGCAGGAGGCATAGCGGCGCGCTTTTCGTGGTGCTTTCTGCGATCAAGCTCATGTGATTCTTCGAAGCGTGGAAGGTCCTCGGGACGGGACGGGAGCGGTTGCGAATGGAAGTAGGGATGCTTCAGCGCGTCCCAGGCGTTGATACGTTTCCGCCAGTCCAACTTGAGCAGTTCGGCAAGCAGGTTCTGGGCTTCTGGGTGCAGACTGCAAACGAGTGTCAGCACATAGCTTTTGCGGCTACAGCAGTGGGATAACTTACTTGCGGAACCTGTTGCGAAGATTGCCACGCTGAGGCTCGAACTCTTTGACGCCCTCACAACCAGGGAGTTGCGACCATCCTGGCATATTGTCCTCGTTTGGCGAACCTACCAATTCGAAGATGATCTGCGCCTGGTTAAGGTCTGATTTGCCCTCAAGAATAGGCCGGCCTTCGAACATCTCGGCAAACACACAGCCAGCTCCCCACATGTCTATTGCAGGGGTGTATCGTCTGAGTTGCAAGAGAAGCTCTGGGGGGCGGTACCATCTAGTCACAACAAGTGTCGTGTAGTCGCGGACTGCCTCTCCATTGCCTCTGCCGGGTTGCGGTACAGGGCCGTCGTAGTGACGAGCCAGACCAAAATCGGCAATCTGGAGTAAACCGCGGTTGTTGATGAGGATGTTTGCAGCTATTCGGCATTAGAGGAGGGTATTCATAGCGGAACTAAGAGTGGTGGCTACCTTTCATGTCACGATGCAAGATGTGGCTGTCGTGGAGATAGCGCAAGCCTTCGAGCAGTTGCAGCATGTAGCATTTGATCTGGGCTTCGGTGAAGGTGATGTCGGGGTTTGTGGTCATTCCCGCGAGATCATGATCCATATAAGGGCAGACCATGTAGAGAGTGGCGCGCTTCTTGACGTCTTCTGTGGTCGAGGTTAGAGGGTGCATGCATATCGGGCGGAAGTTGATTGCGCCTACTCTTGTGGCGTTCGACAGCCATCTCCTGGAGGGTCAAGACGTTCGGGTGAGACAGCATCTTGAGCAGCTTGATCTCACGCAGGGCGGTAATGGGAAAGCCATCTTTTTCGTTGTGTATCAAGATCTTTTTGAGAGCGACGATGGTGCCAGAGCGCCTTGATCGGGCTTTGGAGACGACACCGAAAGTGCCCTCGCCCAGTTTTTGGACTATCTCAAAGTCATCGATTCCAGCGCATCCGCGGAAGCGACGTTGGTTGGGATCGGTCGTGGCCATGATTCCAATCTTCAGTCGCTGGTCATCGCTGTCGGATTGCGCGTGGCTGCGAAGGGCGGAGGCTCGGTCGCGTCTTGTCGTCGAGAAGGATCACTCTCCAAGGGGACAGGCGCGGATGGTGTTTTGACGACAAGAAGAGGAAGGAAAGAAGGCGAGTTGGATCAGAGCATGGCGAGAAATCAAGTGAATGGCTATGGCGACTTTGACATGTCTCTCGGATCCTCACGCATTGCTCTCCACAAAGTGAAAGTCGTCGGCGCATGTCAGGTGTCTTGGCATTCAATCCACGCTGCAAGTCCATCGACATCGCCAGCGGCAGCCACGACGGCTCACTCTACGCACCATCCCAACTCACGTACGCATCCTCTCCCGCCTGGTCGCTGTACTTCGACCGAACATCTGACATTTGCCAGACACAATGGCTGGTCCTGGTCCTTCGCGTCCCGCTGGCGCCCACGGTGCCCACCCCATCCACATCCACCCCGTCCGCCCTCTCTACAGATTCGCTGCCACTGGCCTCGGTGCCAGCATGTGGTTCTTCGTAAGCTGCTCTGCGTTCCTTGTATATGCGCCATGTCTGACAGATCCTCCAGTTGATGTACAGAGCCAAGAAGGTATCTCAACTCCCGCACCCCGGCACAACCTCACATATTAACCTCACTCAAAGGACGGCCCTGCTCTCCTCGGCTGGAAGCACCCATGGGACCACTAAAGCACTCGCCCAGTCCGCACTTTTCTTCTTCAATGCTTCAAGAGTTTCGAATGTCTATATCACAATACCAATTCCCCCGTCTATGGCTTTTCAAACAAGTAGTGGCACACGCCCCACTCCTCTCCACCATTATACGCGAACAACTCTGCACACGCAAGGTAGAAGATTTGCCAGCGGTGGAACCATGTCAAGGTCAAATCCTTCCCATATGTCTCCTCCAGATGCGGCCAGAGCACTTGTTTGTTCTTGTTCATGGTTGATAGCCAGTCCTACACTTGTCAGCTTGCTGTCACTTCCTCTCGAGCTGCTCATTCTCTTACCTCGCATGTTTGCGCGTAGTTCTTGCCATTGACCCACCACATACGTTGGCATCTCAGGTCATCCTGGAACCAGAGCAACAAGTCTGCGCTAGGCATAGTACCACCCGTGAAGAAGTGCTCTGTCATCCAACCGTCCTCAAAGTCATAGGGGCTGTCCTTGTGTGCAAAAATATGTACGAACAGCTTGCCACCGGACTTGAGCAGAGTTGATACCTTGCGGAGCAGAAGCTGGTAGTTCTTCATGTGCTCAAACAGCTCTATCGACAAGACACGGTCAAATGACCCTGTCAGCGGGGCTTGGAACTCATATGTAGCAATATCGCCAGTGACAATCGTCAAGTTGTCGAAGCCCTTTGCTCTGGCTTGCGAGTCAATGTACTCCTTCTGCGTGCGCGAGTTGGAGAAGCCAGTGATCTTTGAGTTGGGGAACTTTTCTGCGAGGAACAAACTGAGTGATCCCCATCCACATCTGCTCTCTGTCAGCTCGTAGTTCATGTTTTTGAACAATCTGATAGAAGCTCACCCAAGATCGAACATGGCCATGCCGTCCTTCAAATCGGCCTTCTTGACATAATCCTCCATCATGAGCACTTCTGCCTCTCCAAGGCCTTGTCCAGGTTTGAGACCCTCATAAAGACAGCAGGAGTACTTCATTCTCGGTCCAAGCATGTTGTTAAGCACACCGGTACCTACTTCATAGTGCTGCGTGTTTGCTTTCGACGTCTCAATGGCGATGGGTCTCTCGCGCAGGAGCTCGACATACTTCATCTTGGTATCATAAGCAGACGCGTTGGAAGTCGACGCGATCGAGGTCAACCTTTGGCGTAGCTGCTGGCGAATACCAGCGCGAATGACCGTCGTGGGCAGATAACCGCCATCCAGCAGCTTCTCGAGCATAGTATCTGTATCGGCGGTTAACTTGTGGTCACAATCTTGCAGGCTTCAACACAACACACTGTAATCCATAGCTAGGTATCGTTTAGACTTTTGGTATGACACGACAAGACAGCAATTGTTCGTAGGCAGAAACAGCAGAGACAGCTACAGTAACGTTGCTCCTTCGACCCAGCAACATCCACGCTTGGACCTCACCAAACCATTGAGCTCGATTGGAAGTCGACGTCATTGATATCGTGGCTGCATCGGCTTTCGGAGCGACTCGAAAGCCCGGCTTCCTGACGCGTCAAATGCGGGTATACCATTTTTATGCAATCTTCATCGTGCACATGAGACATTCGAATTGTTCCAGATTCACTTTGATTGCAATCATCGATGCGCTATAACTATGCAAATCCCGTCTGTCTATGCTGTGTTCTTGAATCTTTGGGTTGCGACAGCAGCCGCGACAGAGCAAAACGCTCCAATGAACAAACACACCGCTATGCCGTTGTATCCCTCTGTACTATGATGCTCATCAGGGTGGGCGTCTTTGGCCAGCTCAGGACTCTTTCCGGGCTCGAGTATCGTGAAAACCACCATCGAGATACCAGTAGCGATGAATTGAGGCAGTGTAGTGTAAAGATTAAGGATGCCCAGGTAAATACCAGCAAGCTCGCCGGTGGCAGACTCTTCGGATCTATCGACGTTCCTAGCCTCCGAAGTCATCTCGATTGAACCATCAGATACTCTCTGGTACTGGTGGCTGCCACGTCTTGAGGTAGGTAAGCTACTGCCGAGCTTATTGATCTCAACTCCTATAAATGTGAACGGGGCCCAGCAGGCAAGCGCCCATGGTCTGTATAATATCAGCAGAAGCTCTTTGCAATGCGTACTTGAAGGGACTCACATTCCACAGACCGCGACGAGAACAGTTGCAAAGCGCAGTGATGTGACGAATGGTGCAAACACCATAGATCCTGCAAAGATGAGGTGTGCGACCGTCCACGCAGTCAACAAGCTGGGCTTACGCTCCACGACTGTCTTGACAATGGGTGCAATGCTGGCAGGAGGTCTAGGAGTGAAGTCTGGCTTCTCATCCTCTGGTGATTTGACCATCCACGGAAGTGTGATGGAACCAACAAAGGTCACAATGGAGAACACGATTAATGACATGCTTCCAACACGGCCGATATCCGACAGCGGGTCCTTGGATTGCTTGACCTCGGGTGGCGCGTCGTACCGAAGGTAGATTTCTCCTACCCAAGTAGTGCTGTAGAAGAGGAAGGGGAACCAGCCTGTTGCTGCGTTAGTAACAAGTCTCGAGGAAGGTTGTCTTTCATCACATACCAATCCATGACCAGAATTGAATCCAGCAGATCTACTATTTGTTAGTACGGTGCAGACACTCAGCACTTGGATTAGCTTACCATCTGGATCCGTTTGGGTAGGTTCTTGGTGGTCTTGAAGATTTGCATGAGTACTGCAACCAGTCCTTCATCCTTGACACCCTCTCTAATACATGGTTAGCCTTGATTTTGAACTTGGCACACATGATCCATACCCTTGGGAGATAAGTACACGCTCGTCGACAGCCCAGCACGTAACTCCGATGGCCACTATGAGTGCCACTGCTGCGATGACGGTAAGTTGCTTGAACTGTGTGTCGCCAATAAGTGTGCCGAAGATTGATCCCAGGTCCAAGGCTCCAGCTCCATATCCAATGAGATGACCAATGGCTACCATTCTGCTTGCTTTGGGATGGTCAGACAACGCTCAATAAAGTAGAGTAAATAGAGACTTACCCCAAGCTGAGCCCAGTTGTTGCTTCGGGATGGGCAAAGTGTCCACAATGAGACTGCGGCATGACGATTGTACAGCGTTGATGGCAAAATCAAGAGCGTAGATTGATAATACAGCCAGGAAAATAGTCGCTTCACGTCTCTGCAGAATGTTAAAACCATGCCTCCGAACCAGGTTGATGCTCGGAATTGACCAACCAATTCTCCTTCCTCGACAAATGCAGCAATAATCTCCTTGGTCCAGCCGAGGATCAGTAGACAGATGCTCACGATGACAGTGCCACCAATCATGACAGGTCGCCGGCGACCCCATTTTGAAGTACTCTTATCAGCCATTATGCCGACAATTGGCTGCATGATTAGTCCTGACAATGGTCCAGCTATCCAGACAAGAGAGAGCTTGCTTTTCGTAAGACCAAGTTGAAGCAAATAGGGCGTACAATAGGTCATTTCTGTGCCCCATGTGAATCTGTCAAAGATGTCAGTATTATAGCTCAATCATCATCACAAATTGTAAACATACTGCAAGCCTATCAAGCTGAATGTCAACAACACCATGCGAATAGACTCAGTAGAGCCTTTGACATGAGGTGCTCCCTGCCATTGCGCAGCCTGTGCCATGATTGCTTTGACCAACCTCTATGTTGGCATGGAATCACACAAATAATACAGAGATTGAGTTCTGGGTTGAACAAGTGGTGGCTTGAAGCGCTGACAGGAGAGCACACGACGCGCAACTTGAAAGCAAGCCCCCGAACATCCAAGCCACAGGGTCTTGTCGTGGCGCACGGCCATCAATGATCAACCATGTCGCTGGGCAGCCGCATTTAGGCTAATCTTGGGCAGGCTATCAGGTATTGCAAATCACTGTTTGGGATATCAAAACACTTCGGCAAGTTGTGGAATAATCTTAAGTTTGTTGCTATGAGGGGAAGTGGACGAGTCGTGTCATTAAGTTTCTTTCAGATGCGTTCATGCATGGCCGCCCTTCGTTGCATGAGAATGTAGCATGAAGGACAGCTCTCTACCATTGTTATCCTGCTGTATATGCTTTGCCTTTGCTAGGCACACCAGCATTCATCTTTCTTTCATTTCGGGTATATTTCATTTTGCTTTTTAGAGCTTGTTCTCGGGGAGGTTGCTCCACTGGTAGCCAGCGGCGTCGCTGAACTTGTAGCCGTATGAGGAGGTGAAGTCATCGAGGACGGAGGGACCGCGAGAGCCTGCGAGTTGGGTCAGTGTCTAATTATCGATAGCTCTGTGGTAGAAACAACTTACCGTAGGGGTAGCCCATAGGAACGATCTCCTTGTTGTCGTCAAGGTAGTGCAGGAGAGGAGTGAAGATTCTCCAGCTGGCGTCAAGCTCGTCATCACGGACGAAGTTGGAGTGGTCACCCTTGAGCGCGTCAAGGATCAAAGACTCGTAGGCCTCGGGGATCTTCAGGTCAGAGAAGCGGCGGCGGTAAGTGAGATCCAGCTCGGTAACCACGGTCTGCATGCTCAGGCCAGGAAGCTTGGAGTTCATCTTGATGTACACACTCTCGTTGGGCTGAATGCGGATCACAAGCTCGTTACGGGGGATGTCCTTGAAAATGCCAGATGTGACATCCTTGAACTGAATGCGGACCTCGGTCTTCTGCTCGTTGAGGGCCTTGCCGGCCTTGAGGATGAAGGGAACACCATCCCATCTCTCGTTCTTGATGTAGGCGACCATCGAGGCGAAAGTGGGGCAGCGGGAGCCCTTGGGGACAGACTCGTCCTCCTTGTAGGAAGGCTTGGAGCCGTCGAGCGACTTCTCGTATTGACCGATGATGACGTTCTTAGGCTCAATGGCGGGCATACCGCGAAGAACACGGACCTTCTCGTCGCGGATGTCCTCGGCAGAGAAAGAGATGGGGCGCTCCATAGCGAGCAGGGTCAGGACCTGAAGGAGATGGTTTTGCATAACATCACGGATGATGCCAAACTCGTCGAAGTAACCGCCTCTGCCTTCGGTACCGAAAGGCTCCTTGAAGGTGATCTTTTGGATGTTAATGACATGTATGACTCGATGGGGACAAATCAACATACCTGAACGTTGTCGATGTGGTTGCGGTTCCAGTTGGAGCCGAAGAACTCGTTGCCAAATCTAAGGATCAAGATGTTCTTGACCATCTCCTTACCAAGGTAGTGGTCAATACGGAAGATCTCCTCCTCCTTCCAGTTAGGCTCCAGAGCGTGCTGGAGTTCTCTGGAGCTGCCAAGGTCCTTACCGAAAGGCTTCTCGATCTGCAGAGAAACATGTCAGTGATGCTCCTGATGCTGCGATGACTCGATACTCACAATGATACGGGCAATACCGTTCTTGGGGTAGCAGTGCTTCTTGAGCATCTCAGAGACGGGGATGAAGACACTAGGGGGAAGAGCCATGTAGAAGATGCGGTTAGTCTCTTTCTGACCCTTCTCCAGCCCGGCGAGGTGCTTCTCGAGGCCCTGGAAGTACTTGTCCTCGTCGTATTTTTCACCGTCGAGGTATGTGCAGAAGCCACAGAACTCCTTCAGTTGCTCCTCAATCTCGCTTGTGGGGGTTGCGATGTTCGATCTGACACGCTTGATGAACTCTTCGTGGCTCATCTTGCTTCGTGCATATCCGACGATCTGGATACCCTTAGGGAGGAAGTTGTTCTTGTGCTATAGGATACGGTCAGTCAAGTCCCAACACAAGCTTGCGCTTGATGTAGCTTACCAGGCCGAAGAGAGCAGGGAACTGTAGACTATGTTAGCGATCTGCTCGCGCGAGACAATTGAGGGGCTTGTGAGCTTACAGTCTTCTTCTTTGCAAGATCACCGGAAGCACCGAGAACAACGATGACGGTGTTCTCCTTGAGCTCCATGGTGCCGCTGTACACTCATGTCAGCTTTGCTTGCTCGCAACGGTAAACATGCCTCAAGTGTGATAAAGTGCGCGTTCTAGATGGGCTGCGATTGATCGAGTCTAGGGTCGGGCGGTTGCATTGCCTCATGGATGACGGCAAACAAAGGGATGGGGAATGCCAAAGGCGGCGGAATTCGAGACTTACGCGTTCGACTCGACCTCCGGGGTAATAACAGTGTCAGCCATTGTGTCGAGGATCAGATGTGTAGTGAGGTCCGAGGTTGTGGGTGAAGATGGAACAAAGTGAAGGATAAGTGCAGCTGTTTATCGGTTGAGGAACTTTGGCGGCCGAACTTCTGGAGGGGCAGGTGCGATCGAGAGGACGGACCGAGTCTTCTGACGTAGTGTGCTTTGAAATGGCAGTCGCGTCACAAAACTTATATCGTTCAACAGCTGCTTCCGGCACGCACACAAAGCAAAGGGAGTACGATTCTAGTATCCAAGATCCAAACAAAGAAAGAAACAAATTCCAGAGCTCGCAAGCAGTCGGAGAATTGTTGTATTAAATGCTTCTTGACAATCCCTTGCTTCTTCGAGTCCGAGTCCGGCGACAGCGTCGGTCAATGCACTACCTTCGAAATGTCCGACGGGTAACTATCTCCGCTGATGCCGAAAGCGCGAGCAGGCGGGACTCGCTACAGAGCGGTCGAGGTTCTCTATCCAGGGCAGAGCTCCCATGGCCGCCATCAAACAATCTAGCGATGCTCTATTGCAAGGTCTGCAGAGAAGATACCAAATTTACGGAGTTTCGACCAGCAGAGTTCTGCCATACCCATGGGTGATCAGTCTTCAGGGTACAACGTCTACACAGGTCCAACTTCTTGCGTATGATTCAATGGCATGCGCATTGGAAGCATCTCCGGAGATGCAAACGGCAGGTGCCTCGCATGTGCTGGATAAGATTCTCTATGCGCTTGTCATCAATTTCCTAGCTGGCTTCTAGGCGCGGATTTGTTGACTATTCACTTTCTCCGTCAAGCCATCGCTTCTTCAGCCTGATCTTCTCCTGCCACCGGCCATCCATCTCACTCCATATTTGAGATTCTACCGGCCAACAGGCACAAGTATGCCACAGACCTGGGTGACAGCTTGGCGCGAGATTTCTCCGTGTAGATTAATAATGGATCTTGTACGTGCTTGCCAGTCTAGCGGCGGCCTCACCGTCCATTGCCGGAGGTTTCGGACATCCTAAGAGCATGAGAAAATAGACCGAAGAACCCGCCTCAATCCCCAAGGCAGGCAACGTAAGGGCCTACAGTCGTCAACGACGTCCACGGTTGCTACTGTACTGCTGCGTTCTCGCTCTCCGGGTTATTCTTGGACACCGCGAACCTGACGTCGGTCGTTTCGTCTTCATGCCCAACTGCCTGCCCGTGTGCTAAATTTTGTCACATCAACTCTCTTGCCGTAGGGATATACGATGAAACACCTGCCCGGATGCACGATAATCTTGAATAGAACCGCTTCTTCCACGAGGGCGACTCCCAAAAGCTCTCTCCTTGGACCTAGCATCGATATCAAAGATTATTGTGCATCTCTACATCTGGACGCGTGACAAAGTTTAGCACACGGGGAGGTGTAACAGATGGCTTGTCTCAAGACGTGATCTTCTGGCGGCAAGGCATCTAAAACGTCTAGGCCATGACTTCGCCATGAATAGCTGTCGCAACGTCCAGCTTGCTTGCTCAACAAGGCTGGCTGTGTATCAAAAGACCTATAAAATTTCGAAGCTCTCGTATCATCTGGAGAATTGAGATCTTTAAACGATAGAGCAAACAATCTGATTTCGGCCTCTGTATCATCTCAAGATGACATGGCCATAAAGAACAAGAGAGTCAGTCGGTCAAGAAACGCTTGTTCGTATTGCATCGGTGCTTCGATGATGAAGGTTCTGCCCACAGCGGCAGCCGGCGCGGCGCGAAAAAGAGCACCAAACGAACTCGCATTTCTGTTATCACTTTTCCTCTTCATCGTACTGTCTATTGTACACAGGCCTTAGAAAGTCCAAGTCCGAAGAGGCTGCGGGGGTGCAGTGGTGGTCGTGCGATTCAATTTGATGTAGGAAGAAATCAATCAGAAGTTGTGTATATCAATCTTGAGATATCTACCTGGAAGCAGCACCACACATACCATACTCACAAACCAAGATAACGACCTGCCCTATTAACACTCCAGAGCAACCACGTTACCTTAAATATATATTGTTGTGTGCTAGACGTCTTTTACGACCACGAAAGTGTTGGCGAGGGTATGACCCTGTCAAGACTTCTATACCAAGATCGACCATGACGTTCAGACACTGCAAGTATGGGCAAGCTGATCACTTGTTGTAGAGTATTGTCCAGGTGCGTAGTATTCGTTGTCATTCATGTCAGCTTGCTAAATGCGAAAGTCTCATGCGTACATGTCCTCGTCATCACCAGCCGCATCCCCGAACTGTGCGCCATTTGGAGACTCAGCTCTTGCTTTCCCCTTGCCTTTGCCGTTGCCTTTGCCAGATCCATTCACAGACAAATGATCAGTCCTGATGATAAAATCTTCGTCAACAAGGTCGGTGACTTCCCCATCGATCTCCTTCCCTTTGCCCTTTATGCTGCCCCCAGTTTCCGAGTTGACTCTTTGCATCTGCATACGCAACATCTGTGCAATTTGGCTTCTGGCTACAGCGTTCCTATCTGTGCCGTTCGTCTGTTGTGATGGTTTGTCTTCTTTGTCCTTGCCGCCTTCAAACTCCTGACGCACGCGTTCGTAATGGCCTAGTTCGTCAGCGCTGACACTGGGAACAAGCTCACGCTCAGCTGCCATGAAGTCTTCCTCGGCCACGACAACACTGGTGTCTGTGTCAGTGGCGAAATGATCGAAGAAGTAAGCCACGGAAATAGGAGGCTGAGATGGGGAACGATTTCTCCTCTCATCATTGATCTCAGTCACTCTAGTGTCCACAAGTCGGGCAGAACGAGTAATGGCTTTGAGCATAGCGTCAGAACAGAGAGCATACAAATCGGCACCTGTGTATGTGAACGGTAGCTTCTCGGCCACACGACCGAGATCAAGGTCTGGGTCGAGGGTGAATCTAGCAGGATAGAGTTAGCAAGACGTTTCGACATCAAACACGCAGCCTTGTACTTACTTTCTCGAAAGAGCTTCCAGAATCTTCTGTTGCTTTTCGTGAGTATCACTGATACCCAGATACAGCATTTTGTCGAAACGGCCAGGACGTAGCAATGCTTGGTCAAGCAAATCGGGTCTGTTGGTGGCACCGATGACGAAGACACCACCGCCGCCTTCATCTCCGTCGCTCATGCCATCCAGCTCAGCGAGAAGCTGACTGACAATACGATCCATTACACCGCCACTGTCGCCTTGATTGCCACGCTTCGGGGCGACTGAGTCAAGCTCGTCGAAGAAAACGCAACAAGGTCTGGCATCCCTGGCTCTCTGGAAGACTCGCCTGACGTTGGCTTCAGACTCACCTATATACATGTTGAGTAATTCTGGACCCTTTACGGAGAAGAAATTGAGACTGAACTCAGTTGCAATTGCCTTTGCTAGCAAAGTCTTTCCGGTTCCTGGTGGACCATAGAACAGAATACCACTACGCTTCTTCAGACCCTTAGCGAATAGTTCTGGACGCGAGAGTGGCAACTGGATAGTCTCGATAACGGCCTCCTTTACATTAGCCAGACCTCCAACATCTGACCATTGCACATTAGGAATCTTTGGCGCGCCAATCGAGTCTGCAAAGTTTTTTCTGGCGTCATCAACAGCCTTCTCGAAGTCTGCAGATGTGAGCGACGTGGCTGCATCTCCGCCGGCTAGATGAATATCCCTGACGGAAACAGCCTTTTCGCTAGATACAGAAGAGGAAGCAGCCAGAGACTCAAGGCGGGTGGCTTGGTTGAGGACGGCTCGTTCTACTACGTCAAGAAGGTCACCAGCAACCAGAGCAGCAGTCTTGACAGCAACAGAGCTCAAGTCAACCAAAGGTGAAACAACAAGACCCGAGTTTGCGATGATGGACTGCAGAATGCCTTCTCTCTCCCCTTCATCTGGAGCCGTCATCTCGAGCTCATGTGTAAAAATGCCACGAATGTCATCAGGGATTTTGTCCACTTCTGTCGAGGTGGCGATGAGAACACGACAATCGGCTAGAATCTCCTTCAGAGCTCCAGCCATACGATCTGAGCCGAGGGCTTCGAGATGACGAATCAAGAGTGATGTGTGTTGCGCACCACTGCGCAATCCTCTTTCAGCTCTAGCTCGGAGAACACCTTCAGTCTTGTTGTCTCCAGCAGTCCCTTCTGAAGCTATGTCGTATGCGTCAATCGAGAATACGTGAATACCTAAGTCGTGACAAGCACGAGAAACTGTATATGCTTTGCCGATGTTTCGTTGGGTTGATGTTAAGAGGATAGCAAGGGGTGGAAGTCCAAGGTGAACGGCGCGAGCGCTCGTCGCAGCGGCAACAAGCTCACGTATGCGCCGCTGTAACAGCGGTACATGATCCTTAGGTGGCGCATGCAGGTTGCCGTTGCTATTACTAGCTACCTTTGGGACCTTCTTGATTCCATGATAGAATTCCCATGAATTATTTATCGTTGGTGGAAGCTTTCTCTGCATTACACCTGAGCTGATTCTGGTTTCCGTAGGATCAATGGTCACGACTCCACCCCAGAGTCCGAGTTCTTCAGCGTCCTGGCCTTCGTTGGGCAAAGGCGCACTTACCTCACCAACTTGGAACCATGCGATTGCTAGACCATGTGGTCGTGTCTTGACATGGCTACTGACCGATGAAGACTCAAGATGGTTCAGTATGTCGTTAGCCTCGTCTGCGGCGCCTCCTTCGAAGACCGCTCTTCCCAGTGCTTCGTCGATCGGAATGGCGATGAGGTCACCAGACTTCACAATGCGTTGTTTTCGCTTGAAATAGTCTTGTAAACTGGCGAAAAGACTTGGCTGAGCCGACGCTGCCTCGGAAAGAGGCGTTGAGAGTTTCGAAAGAGCGACTTCCTTAGCTGTGGGTGGCAAAGATGAACCCTGCAGTCTCGATTTCGGTTGTCCAGGACGTAGATAATTAGAGGCATCAGGAACCCGCAAGGAAGATATCCGTACATGACCAGGTTCTCCAAGGTTGGCTAGCAGGACCGGGGATAGGTAGAGGGTGGCAGGAGTAACAGAGATAGGATGAGAAGAAGAAATACTATCGCGTCGACCAGATCTGCTGTTCAGTGGGTACTTCTGTGGTTTCACCGACAAACTCTCGGGCAGTCCGTAGATTCTGACCGGTCTCCATGTTGCGTCTTCATCAATTTCCTGATCCCGAAAGAATGCCATAAATGAATTGCCGTTAGAGGGGTCTTCTGCCACTTGCATTTGAACCCAGTCGCCGGAGAAGCAACCAAGTTTTGCCAAAGCACTTGTATCAACATATACCCGAGCTTCTTCATCGTACTGAGAACCCGGCTTTGGATATAGAGAGTCGTCCGGAATGCGCTCAAGAAGACCTTGTGTCTTGAAGGTCTTTGTTCGGCCACCTTGAGCACCCCTCATAGTTGTAGATGTCATGGAAGAATACACAGAACCAGGGGTGTTGATGCCTCGTGAGTTTCCAAAGAGCTTTGGGGTCGCACTTGATCTGGCGGAAAGGATGCCAGAAGGCTGGGATCCAATAGAAGGTGAGCTCAGAGAGATCATATCATCTGGGTCATCTGACAGGTCACCTAAGTCAGACTGAGCATCATCAGAAGTGAGGTCTGAGTCCAGCGCGGCATCGGTAGGTGGAGAGTTCGAAGATGAAGGTGCGCCATCTTCAGCGGCAGTATAGAATGCTTCGTTGGAAGTGTCGTCGTCAGTCTGTGAGAAAGTCACTGAACGGCTTGATTTCGCACGGCGATCGTTCTGCGAGACGATAACTATCTGTGTTGTCGAAGTCACCAGGCCTTGGGAGACAGGTTCGCAAGCCGTGACAAGAGCAGGAGACTGAGGAGCTCGTGGCTGGGAACGCGACAGGGCAAGAGGCAAGATATCACCAGCCCTCAGAATACGTGCCGCATCTAGAGCGTCTCGCACAGCACGAGTTGCTTGCTCAATGTCGGCTGTCGCTGGCGCCTTCGTTTGTCTTTCTTTTCCACCCTTGGGTATCCGCAGAGAAGGGTTGCCAATATTGTTCTGGTTTCCATTGGCACCATCCAAGGCTGCCATGTCCAAAGAAACGTAAACAACGTCGAGAGGAAGTGCGACAACATCTGTGAGACAGATCTCGAGGGTTGAGCCGGAACGGAGAGAGCGATTGGGCGACTGTATGTGTAGTGATCGTTGAAGAGCTTGTGCGACCTGAGAGAAGACTGAGATTCGCAGGGAAGAACGCGGTAGGTCGGGGTGACCTCGAGGTAGTCTTCGGCATGGTATGATGACCCATTGAGTAGCTGCGTCGGCGATGATGGAAGACGAGGCCCAAGGAGTGATGGCTATGTGATGGATGTCTCCAGAATCTGGAGATGAGGAGGGGAACAAGTCATCGGCCAGATCATGCGAAAGCAGGCCAAGTTCTCCTTTGAGCTTGCTGTCGAGGTGAGCATGTCCAGAAATTGGGGGCTTGTCCGCCCTCCTTCTAGGCCCTCTCTTGCGCTTCAAGGAGCCAGAGCTTGGATCCTTGTAAGCCATAGCCATGCGACAAAGCGACTAGCAGCAGAACAAGCTGGAATGAGCTGTGCAAGTTGTTGTAAAGCACCTACGAGTAACCTGCCGAGTCTCGTGAAGCAGGCTCGGTAACTTCTGGCAATGGGGAAGCTCCCGAACAGCCGAGGTCGGCCAGCCTGATAGCGATAAACATGTGCCCTTATCGCCGCCCACTCTCCTAATCACATGCTCGGTTGGAAGCAGCCGGCACCGTCTTCCCAAAGTGGTTAACTAATTAGCTCCACCTGCGGAGACGGTAAGAACTGGAGATCTTCATGAGATTGATGGACGTTGAGAAAGCATACAGGAAAGCATGAATGCGACAGCAATGGCTTGTTGCTATGTTCCAAGAGCCAGTCTTGTGTGCATCATGTGCGACAAGATGCCGTATCATGACTTCTCTCGTAGGCCAAGCAAAGTACTGTATTGTTGATCGGCTGGAGTCGACAGCATCTCGGGTGCATCAGTGGCTGTGACTTGCGTCATGAATCGAAAAGCGCGCCGTGTTTTGAAATTCAACGGAGACAACAACTACCTAGTCACATATCGGTACATAGATGATGGCGACCTGCTTTTTCCCGCCCAGAGCCTCCTATCCTTAAACCGTCCCTCCTGATTTCTGTATACGCCTCTATATACGCCGCGCCGCTTCCTGCTTTCGCCTGATGTTTATCTCTGGACACGACTGTCCGCCTGTATATTCTTTCTCTCGCCATGCCACATGTCTCGTCGCACGTACATGACACCAAGCTAAACGCTGCCGGCGACTCGACCCAGTCGACGTCCAAGGCCGAGCCAGCCATCGAGTTCGCACACCAGTCCGAGCGTCTTGCCCAATACACACCCGACCAAGAACGAAAACGCAATTCCGATCCCACCCAGGCTGTCGAAGCCAAATTCGTGACAGCTCAGGATCCTGTCATTGTTACGGCCAACGGCAGTCGACTACCAGCGGTGCCCATCGACGAGGCTCTAAAACTCAATAGACTGAAAGATCGACTCGAAGACCGTCAGACAGATGGACGCATCCCTGTCAAATACAGCACCCGCCAGGCCAGAGATGGTACCACCCATGGTATCCTCGAGAGTGAATCTGGATGCCAGAGCAGCGAGCCGAGCGCGCCCCTGAGAGAAGCTGTGCCCCCTTCACGGACGAATCCAATGTTCCCGCCTCTGCCTACTTATGGCCCTCCGAGTTTTCTAAGAACGCTTCACTGCTGTTTCTTTAGAACCACAAGCTCTGTGCTGTCTTTCCTATTTCTCCTGATCATTGTCCTAGGTGCAGCCTTCACGAGCATCCCACTCGCTTTCGAACACGTTCGACTGCGTCTTCAATTCAAAAATCCGGACAAGAGACGGCCATTCTTCGCAGAAGAGCAACGACGCAAGAAAGCGCGTGCAGACGCCAATCGTGATTGGGCAAGAGTCAAACCGCCAACGAGTCCGGCTGAATTAGAGACATCTCCTCCGCAGGATGGTGAATTTGTCCCTACCGAGGGTGGTCCGGACCCGTTAGTCTGTGACGTTAGATATTATGCTCGACGCGTAGGTCTGGATGTTGAGATGTTTGATGTTGAGACTGAAGACGGTTTCATTATCGAGCTATGGCACGTCTACAACCCAAGAGAGTACCGCCAACCGTCACCGGCTGCACATGGACCTCACGGGCCTGATATCTTTACAACCACGCCTTCAGACCCGGAATTTGGCGAGGCCGAACGCGCCTTTCCACCAGGAAGCAAAAAGTACCCGATCCTCATGATTCACGGTCTTCTACAGTCAGCCGGTGCATACTGCTGCACTGATGATGATAGCCTTGCTTTCTATCTCGCCAAAAGTGGCTACGACGTCTGGCTTGGTAACAACAGGTGCGGCTTCAACCCTCGACACACCTTGCTCGAGTACGCCGATCCGCGCATGTGGTCATGGAATATTCGTCAGATGGGCGTCTTGGATCTTCCTGCTCTCATCTCACGTGTACTTGCGGAGACCGGTTTCCCCAAATTAGGTTTGGTATGTCACAGTCAAGGTACAACGCAGACTCTTGTCGCACTTGCGAAAGAGCAGCGTCCAGACATTGGCGAGAAGATCTCAGTCTTTTGCGCATTGGCCCCAGCCGCCTATGCTGGGCCATTGATTGGAAAAGCATACTTCAAGTTCATGCGAGTCATCAACCCCAACTTCTTCCGCTGCATCTTTGGCATCCACGCTTTCATTCCGTTTATGATGCGGATGCACACAATACTTCCAGCGAAATTCTATGGTGCAATGGGCTACCGTGTCTTCGCCTTCCTCTTTAACTGGACTGACACTCGGTGGGAGATGGACCTGCGCGATCGCATGTTTCAATTTGCACCCGTCTACGTCAGTGCCGAGAGCATGCGTTGGTGGCTTGGAAGGGAGTGCTTTGCGAAGCAGAAATGCATTCTCGCTACCAGGGAGGAGGGCCGCATGGAAGATGAAGAAGACGAGGAAGAGGACGAAGTCATTCGCCGGTATTACGATGGAGAACATACTGAAACGGAAAAGTCCCCTGACCGAAGTGGCGAGGAACGACCTACAAGAGATCAACTCGGTCTCCCTCACCAAGATCGAGACAAGAGCGAAGAGCGAGGCAAGTATGCCTGGTACAACGAACAGTTCCCACCTCTTGCCATGTGGGTTGCCGGTAATGATGATCTGGTCGATGGTCGTCGTCTCCTGCGACGCTTCGATCGTGGCCGTGAGCCTCATGTCAATGTCGTACATAAGAAGATCATCGAAGGGTACGAGCATCTCGATGTCATCTGGGCTATGGACGTGATCGAAAAGGTGGGCAAAGAAGTTAAAGACGTCATTTGGGCCACAGCATCAGAGGAAGCACGCAGGCAGTGTCGGACACCAATCGGCTGTGAAGAACAAATCTCACATGACCAGGAAAAGGCAAACGGTGACCTAGCAGACAGCTTCCACGACGAAAGGAGCCCACGTGAGATGGGCGTGGACGTCAGCAAAGCGAACACCGAAACCAGGAACCATGGCCCAGTGAGCCCTACTCAAGTCGACACAACCGCCGGAGAATGGAGCAACGACTTGAAGCATGACAGAAGGGAGGCCAAGACCAACTCACAGGAGTAAAACTAGACTGCTATTCTTTATTTGGCTAGAACGGCTCTGCATTGGAAGGATTGTTAATGGGTTGTGTTTTGCATTGCTGATGTTCTTGTTGTTGGTTTGTTGCATTTTTAAAGATATCCCCATCGTTCACTATACCACCACTAGTTAAATGATCATATAATGTTTCTGCCTCATCAAGAGAATGTTTTCTGAGCATAGTCACTTAAAAGATTCCGCGGATGTAACACGCATTCACCCTTGAAAGAGGGACTGTGTCATACTTGGACACTGAAATGGAGGATCCGTGAACTGAAGCAGCACACCGAGAACATCGAGTTTCAAAAGGTTGCTTTGCACAACACATGGTGTACTCGAGTCTGATCATGATCACCTATACGCTGTCAAGAGTCTGTAGGAGCGTATCTCGGACAAATAGTGATCGCACAGGTCTTGAGACGACCCATTACCATCAGGATGGGTTTCGAAGACTAAAGAGCTCTCATCGTTTCACTTTGTCGGTGAACTGTACTTGTCTTTCCAGATCCAGCTGTTTCCCACACTTTTGCGACCAGCGCCTTCGGCCAGCCGTAGATACTGTGCTGCTTTGAACTGTTATATCGTATAAGCGTAACCCATTTCAGCTACGTGGGACAGAAAAACAACTCACCTTGTCTTTGGGCCCGCCAAAACCTTCCATATGGCACCAAGCTGCTTCTTCCAAAGCGTCCGGATCACCAAGATTTGCAGCGACTTCGTAGTAGTTCCTCGCGGCGACTTTGTCCACTTTGATACCCCATCCATAGCGGAAACAGTTTGCAAGCTCAAAGATGGCGAGAACCAGCTCGCCTTTGGCTTCGCCACCTGTTTTCGATCCCGAAGAAAGCGCTGCTGATTCGATGGCCGCGCTGTTCGAAGCTGCTAGACTCAAGTAATGTATAGCAGCGTCTGCAGAGGGAGCGATACCCCAACCATGCCGTAGAGCAAGACCATAGAGTACCTGACATAGCGGATTATTCGCGCCGTTTGGATCTGCCAATTTCCCGAAGATCAGTGTCGATTTCTCCAAGTCGCCTGCCTCGTGCAGACGAATGGCTTCCTGGATATCTTCTTCGCCTTCTTCCAGCGAAGTACTCCTTCGATGACCTTTCTTTTCACTGGCTTCTGACCGCTCCCCATCCAGGATTGGGTTCTTCAACGCCATCATGGTGGCTCGCTTCTCCCATTGTGCTTCTCGCTGCATCTTGTTTTCCTTGGTCTCGGTCTCTTTTACTCTGCCCTTGGCGTCTGGAGGGTCCAGCGGTGCTGGTGTGTTCTGAGGAGCATCTCCTAGGTCGGTAGGCAAATGCGAGCTACTGTCGCTCTTGGAGAGACCTCGCGATCTACCAAAGTGTAGTCTTTCTGAAAGCTTGCGCTCATTCTTTGGTCGCACAGGAAGAGCACTAGGGATCTCCTTTTCCTCTGAATGTGACGAGAGAGTGCTGTTACTGCCGATGGTGGATACAAAGTTCGAGCTGCTCTTGCGAAAGATGTTGCGACGCTTCTTCTCGGTGGGCACTTGTTCGGATGCTACGGGCTCTTCGTCGCCCGGATATGACGGTGGTATGATGACTTCCTGCTCGTGTGTGGTCGTGCGCATAAAGGTGAACTCGGGTATCGGGTTGGGAAGACTCGGGAGTGAATTGGCACTAGTGCTGCGTGTGCTGATGGCATCGCCTTGTATGTTAGACCGCTTCTTGAGCACGTCTCTTAGTGGCATGGTGGGGATGATGATGATGATGATGATGGGGTTGCTGGATAGATGCGATGTGGGCTCGAGACGCGTGTCAGCGTATCCTCAGGAAATGTCGAAACAGTCGGAAGATTCGAGGTTTCGTCTGTACAGGAGCCATGGGCAGGTCAGACGGGTAATGCTGGCCATACTCCTGGTGACTTGTTAAGAGGGCAGCGCTTGCGGCTGTGCCGATCCGGCCAAGCCTTCCTTCAGGTATTCTTTCGTTTCACTCTCTGAAATGAACCAGTAGGCGCTTACCTTGACTAACCAATTGTCCCAAAATACTTCAAGCTACCCTCACGGGACATTGCACAAGCACGTAAATTCAGTTCGGTTCAAAATCTACTTCCGAGGCTGAACATGCGCCTCTCATCGTCGTTGGCTCACGACTCGCAACACATGCAACATGGAGGATGGAGGAACTTGGGTTGAATCAATCGGGTTTCCATTCTTGCTTATTACTATCTTTCTGCTCGAGTGATGCTTCTTTCTGTCTTTCTTGGTATCTTTTTCTCTTTTCGTCTTCCTTGCAACCTCGTGCGTGTCTCTACGAATAGTGCCAAATGGCTTCCATGCATAATCGTGCTGTATTCAACGCGCCAGAGACATTAATAGTATGCCGCTTGATGTCATCTGCCTGTCGAGCATCAAGAAAATCCAACATAGTCCTGTTGTTGAGCGAGTTCATGGTCGCGCTCCTCGGTGCCTCCCATGACTTCATTGTCACTGAAGTTGTCCGAATCTACATCGTCGTAGTCGATTCCATCATAGCTCTCCTCATCACTAGAGAGATCCGAGGTGTTCCCCTCTTCTGTTTTAGCTTCTGCCAACTTAGCCTTGCGCAGATTGCCCGCAGTATCGACATGTGGAAGTCGGCACTTTTTGTTACGGCAGACACCTGTGTTAGCATAATCGGGACATTCAAACATGTGACGCTCAGTGCAGTCAGCACCCTTTTCGCAGTAGCCAATCGTGCCAAAGGCCCGACAAACAGGTGCAGAAGGATTGACAGCGACGTGAGCATAGCGACAGTCTGGGTTGGTGCAATTGCCACGGAGGAAATGAGTGCAAGCAGGAACACGATGAGGGGTGGATTCATGGGAGAGGTTGCAAGCTTCACCAGCAACGCAACGGCCAGTTCGGAGGAAATCTTTGCAGATGGCGGTCTTGTTCGGATCATGCGTGTAGTGACAGCGATTGCCGTTGGCACACATACCTATAAGCAAAAGTCAGCAAGGATACACAAGGCCTACCAACGGACATGGTGAGATGGGCCGTCTCGTTCAGATCCGTCGCGCAAGGACCGGCTTGATAGCGATTGGAGTATTCGGTACCCGTAGAAGTGAACATTGAACACAGTTCCGAGCTCTTTTTGATGTTGTTATCCCTGTTGTCACCCAATCAATCAACAATTGTTCTTCCCAAAGCTCTTGACTCTTTTTCCAGTACCTCAAAGATTTCTTTACCAGACCAGCACGGTATAGGTTACCGTTCTTGCTCCTGTGGAAGGTGACACCAGCGACTTTGGCAGATTTTGGTGTAGCTCCAGGATCTGTATTTGAATCGTCTGTGCAGGTGAGAAAGTGAGTGAAGGAGTCGACGCTGGTGTACTCACCGAACATGCGAATAAGCTTGCTTCCATCGGCGGCGACGCGGAAGCGGAGGTTGTTGATCTGGATGTCGTGGACGGCGGCTGTTGATGCAGACGACGCAGCGCCGTAGGGAGTAGAACCAGTGGAGTGAGCCTGGAAGGCCTTGATGACTTTGGCCTTCTCTTTCACGTCGCGAAGACGCTGTCTTTCTTGCTCAGTGGCCTCTATCTCTAGTTGACGCTGTTGCGTCTTCTGATCGTAAACAGCAGTGTTGATGAGCTGCATGTGGCGGTCGCGCTTCGAGACCCACTGACTGGACGAGGGGGTAACAGCGGGCGTTGCTGGAGAGGACTGTTGGCTGGCAGGGGCGCCAACGGAGCTGTTAACTACGAGGGTGCGGTTGCGGTGCACAGGTTTGTGAGGGTAGGCGCGAGGTTGGTGATACGGCGCGTATCGATCAGGCACGTACTGGCCAGCCCATCCAGCTCCACGGCCTGTCGGATAGTAGCCCGATCCACGTCCAGCTGGCGGAGGGTAGGTGGGAGTAGGCGGCGCACTACCAACTTGTCGTTGCTGATTGATCCGTCCTGCGGCGACGTCAGAGCCATGTTGAGGATCGATGCGACTGCTTTGATACCTGAGAGTGCCGCGATTTTGGCGCGAAGTTCTGCCTCTTCGCTCATCTTGATTCGCTAAAGGTTAGAAACACGGTAATGCTAGTTTGCGACTGGGTGGTCGTCTTGTGGTTTAAGAATCCCGAAGTGTTGTTATGTTGTTGAGTTGGTGAAGAAAGGAAGAAAGTGGTAGGCGCGTGTGACGCTGAGCTTCCGCTTTCGGGTCGACTTCTCTCTGATTGGCTGTGCCTGCTGCCTACCGACTTTTGTTGCCACGCCTGTTGTTTTTGGAGCACGAGAAATTTCGAAAGCACTCGACCTGCTCACTTCTGACTCCGAGTGATTGTGGTTCGGAAATTATCTGCTGGAAGATTGTGGGTGGGCGAGCTGTATTCACTCCATCATGACGGCTGAAATCTCGATTACCTCATCGTCCAAGGCTAAGTGAAGTAGATTGTTTTTCTTCGATACTTGATGACCTTGAGATTGAACAACATTGCCATACCAACCGACAGACCCGATTGGAGATTACAACAGCGTCGGACCTAGCAGCACTCATGACACAGGCTCATTGGCTCGATCAGTACGCCTCAAACTATCATGAATGGCATAAGGCGCAGAATGAAGGCAAATACTGCTTCTATCGACCTCTTGGGACTGTAGAAACCGCCTTTGATTCCGATGGCATCTACTTTCAAGGTCGGGCAGATGTGAGCGCCCTCCTCGAACTCGAGGTCAAACATTGCTTGCCACAGGAGCAGCTTCGAAGAAGGATAACTCTAGCATGGACTGTCCTGCGGTTATACCACGTTCTCCTTCTGGCGCGTGCTGTGGATCGGCAGCCGTACATGACTGCTGGAAATGCTGCACAGAGGCGTTTCTTCCTTATCCACCCTCCCGAGAAGCCTGGAGATGCCGTCAAGGACGCGACCAAATCGTTATCTTTCGTCCAGGAAGCACTAGATGAGCATGAGCTTGCAAAGTTCTACCGCCATGCCCAGAATACAGCTCGTGTAGTCAATGCAGACGAGTTCCTCGCCAAATTGTTCATTTTTCCGGAAGAGGGCACCACAGGGGCAAAGGCATATTTAAAGTTCTTGTTCGTCAAAAGTCACCAGATCACGGATGGACTGACCAATTTCACGTGGCTGAACCATTTCGTTAAACTTCTGAACACACCTGTAGCACAGCTCGAAAAAGCTGTCAGTGGCCTATCTCCTCAAGCCTCGATACGAACTCGACTTCCATTACCACAAGAAGATTTGTATCCTCGCATCTCGGGCTCGAGAGCAAAGAAGCGCTGGTTCTGGCTCTTAACGCTTGTCCTTCGGCATGTAAAGAAGCCTATGCCTGCGGCATTCCCCAATCCGCTGCGACGCACTGCTCCTCTGCAGGAAGCCATTGCAATGCCCTCAACCTTCAGATCATATCTGGACTACAACGAGAAGCCACCCTTGAACACCTTCACATGCATGGCCAAAGTACCACGATGTGCTACCAAGCGACTTCATCGATGGTGCCGAGAAGCGGGTACCAGTATTGGCGCCGGAGCCTTTGTCCTAGTCGCTATGGTGATGATGTCTCTACACGAGGATTTATATCCCAAAGAGGCTTCAGAATCGCGCCGGCCCTTTATTGGCAGCTTCCCGATTAACCCTAGACCATTCTTCAAGCATCATGAGGCTCCCAACTCTATGATGTTAGCGTTCTCTGACGGTGTCGTACTTCCCTTCCTACCTTCCTATCTTGACCTTGAGACTCGTTTCAAGGTGCTGGTAAGACAAGCCCACAAACAACTTGGTCTATACCAAAAGCGCATCAAAGACGAAGAGACCGACACGGTTGCTTACATGGGTAGCAGAGGAGCAGGCAGGGTGATTGCAATGAACTATATTGGTGCTACAGAAAGACTGAGAGCAAAGCTTCCTGAACATCTTCGAGATAGCTTGGGAAACCACAGCCCTCAGGGTGAGCTACTTGCAACTCAGAACGGGAGCATGGCTACATGTGGTGTGAGCTCGGTTGGCCGGTCGGGGTGGCGTAAGGGAGAGTATGATGTTGAAGGAGAGCTTGGAGAAGGCGAAGATGCCTTTACTGCAGACTATCGATCCTCCAAGCAGAATGTTCGTGCTCGAGATGGCGAGTTTCTTGTTGGAGTCTGGGGCGACGATGACGGTATTGCTGCCAATGTCTCGTACGACGGTAATGCTATCGAAGAAGACAAGGTGAAAGAATGGCAGTACAGAATGGAGAATATTCTGATGACGAAGGTCACTCAGGCCAAATTGTAGAGGAGTAGTAAATGAGAACGAATCCCGATCTTTCTGACCACTATTTCATCCCAAGATTCCATCGTTCAAACCGACCCATATGTACTGCAGTCAAACTGCAATGTAGAGTGTTTGTCAAAATGCAATGTAGAGTGTTTGTCGAAAGTGCTATTCGAGAGTGCTATTCGAGAGTGCAAACCAAGTTGTTGAGAATGTGTGCTCCCATGACGTTCTCAACGCTCTCCACGCGCATTTTTCTGTCTTCCTCTTCCGGTTTCTAGTCGTCAGTCAAGAAGACACTACATTTACGTTTTGGTGGATCTGTCCATGGCAGCTTCCCAAGTTCTGTGCAGTCCTGAACTACTGCACTCTATATTCTACTACTGCCGAGACTCGCGCTCCACTTTGGCAGCTGCGGCCTGCGTAAATTCAGCCTGGTCTGAAGAAGCTCTCAATGTCCTTTGGGGCAATCGAGATTTTGGCGAAAACCCTCCTGTGCACGAAGGCAGAGTCTTGATCGACCTATCAACAGGACGCCGTCAATACTATGCATCAAAGATACGTATGCTGCACATAGAGCATCGAGCCGATGTAGTACACGCTTCGCTCAAGGATCTAAACTTCCCAAGACTGCAACATCTGTTGTTGAATCGCAATTATACATCTGGAGCTATCGGAGACGCCCCGTCTCAATACTTGCAACCCAATCTAGAAGGACTGGAATGGTATAGCTGGGACTCAGATCTTACTAAAGAGTTCCTGGACCAGATCAATGCCAGGTGCACTCGTCTAAAAGAGTTGACCCTTGGAGATGATGATAATCTGCGTACCACTCCAGAAGAATTCTTCGATTTCCTGGCCAAAAACCGCTCTATCAGCGAACTCACGATCGCATGTCCGGATCTAGTACAGAACGACTTGATGTTCTATCTCTCTGAAAGAAAAGGATTAGAGTGTCTTGCGCTATGGGATAGACCTTGGGATGAAGACATCTTCCAGAAGATCTCGAGTGAGCAACCGCATCCCTTCGACGACCTCCGAGATATAACTCTATGTCTGAAGCCCCCAGCCATACCTTTTGCTCTCCCTCTGCTGAAAAATATAACACGAATCAACCTTGAAATCGAAGGAGACGGTGGGGCTGCTCCAGAACATCTAGCCACGATGATATCTCTGCAAGATATGTGTATTCGATTCTGCGATGCAACCGAATTGCCAGTCGATGGTTTGCTAGCTATGCGATCCCTCACCAACCTCACCCGTTTCTGTTTCATGGGTCATGAACTGCAATCGCACTTCAGTAACGACAACCTGAAAAGCTTGCTTTCTGCTTTGCGCCAACTGGAAACTTTCGACTTCCCTGTACAATGTCCACTTTCTTTCTCGGCCCTTTTAAGTATCTCAAAGAACTGCCGGTCGATCGGAGCCATCACTTTGCGAGGAGCTTATGATCCACAACGTCTTGCAGAAGAAGCAGAGCCGATGTTTCCTGAGCTCCAGGTACTGGTCATCAAAGGTGATGGTTCTGAGGAGATACCTCCACGACGACTGGATGCAACAGAAATCGCTCGACTGATATGTTGCCATGCGCCTAAACTCGACGATCTTGAGCTTACAGATCCGAGACTACAGGATGTCGTTGAGGCTTATGATTGATCCTCTTGATCGTCGTAACCAGCTATAAAAACAAGCTCCATAGAGAGGGGCTCCGATCAACGAAGCACGACCCATTGCTCGAAGATGCCGGCCACCTCACGCACTTCTCCTTACTCAGAACTGAACCGGATAACTCGGGCCTTCGACAGCCGTGAGATCCAGACCCGTCATCGCAATCCTGGCGTGCTTGCCAAAAACACCCTTAAACATCCCCACAGTGCTCCCCGCAATGGGGTGGAGGGCGGAGAAACAACCTTAAAACCATCCGAACGGCAACTCCACAATCCGAGCATTAGTCTTCTGTACCAACTTCACCGAGTGCAGTAGATAGAGCTACATATATAAGAACACAAGGTCAGTACTCGTGTGTATAATCATTGCAATCATTTCTGCGCTCTGAAGATGAAATCGGTCGCTCATCTACCTCTGACCATTCAAGTTGGGACAGTTTTATTCGGCATCTTCTTGGTCCTGACCCTCGTCCAAAGGCTTCAACGATACAAACATGAAAGAAATCTACTACCACTACCGCCCCAGCCACGTGGCTCTTTTCTGATAGGAAACATGGCTGATGTGATTGCTGCCTCTAAAGTTGGTCAGCAGCATCTGCTCTTTCAACGCTGGGCCCAAGAACATGGAGAAATTTTCCGCGTTCGTGTCGGTCCCTTCACCGAATACTTCATCAACTCCGATAAAGCAGTCAAGGAGATATTTGACAAGGCGTCTGCTCAGACAGCTGAACGGCCTCGCTGGATAGTGTCTAACGAGCAGATATGCAACCAGCTCAATGTATTATTGCTCAACGCCAGTGACCCCCGCTGGAAACACCAACGCAAGGTCATCCACTCAGGACTCACAAGTATACCAAGAGCCGACGCTGGTCTCCCGTTCCTGCACTACGAGACTGCAAAGTTCATGGAAGAGCTTGCCAACAATCCAACCATCGGCCGCGAAAGCAAGGAACTCTTCAGTGCGATTGGAAGATACACCTACAGCACGTTTGCTTCTCAGACCTTTGGCATGGATATACAGGATCCGAATGACCCAACCATCGACTACATCTTTGAGACTGGTCTGGCGCAAATCCAAGGCACACTACCGGGCAACCACATTGTTGACATACTGCCGTGGTTGGACAATCTTCCACTGTTCCTCAAGCCATGGGAAAGTGATGCCAGAAGAAGGTTCAAGCGCGACATGGACTGGTGTGTCGAACGTCTCATGCGAATCAAGAAGGGTAGAACTCGCAACGTGTTGCAAGATGCCTTCTTGCCGCGTGTCTTGGAAGACGAAAAGAACCTCGGCTTCGGCAGTCTGGAAGAAGCAGCATACCTATCTCTCCAACTCATCATCGGCGCTGCAGATACCAGCAAAATGTCCACCTGGTCTTTCCTGGAAGCCATGATGACCTATCCAGATGTTCAGGAGAAGGGTCATCAAGAAATTGTCAAAGTCGTTGGAGATCGTCTCCCTGTCTTCGAGGACCTTGACAAGATACCGTACGTACGCTGCCTGATGAAGGAGACCTGGAGATGGCGTCCTCCGGTCGCTCTCGGTCATCCTCACACCACGACTCGCGAACTCGAATACAACGGCTACCGCATTCCCAAGGGCGCACGACTCCACCTGAACGCGTGGGCTATCCAACACGATCCCGACCGTCACGAGGACCCCGATCGTTTCTGGCCCGAGCGCTACTCTGAAGACCACACAAACACCATGCAAAGTATCAATTCGAGTGACGTACGCAATAGAGACCATTTCGCCTTTGGCTCGGGCCGCCGCGTTTGTCCTGGCTACCATGTCGCAGAACGTTCTCTTGCTGTCGCCATAATGCGCTTGCTATGGGGCTTCAAGATCTCGCCTGCCCCTGGCGCGAAATTTCCTCTTGATCCGCGTGATTTCGCCGGAGAAATGCCTGGTAATCCTGGAGAACATATGCCGGTCACTCTTGTGGTCCGTGATGAGAAGGCACGCAGTGTTATCAGCCAGGCATTCAAGAAAGCAGCTTCCACGCGCGTCCAGCTGGTAAGCTTACCCCCCTCGGAAATCCTGACGCTGCAACTTACTGATCTGTTGCAATAGGAGTCGCTTTCTTGAAAGCCATCGTCGGTCAACATGATGGTAAATATTGGTTTCTCAGATATTGATACATCAATATGATATGAGAATGAGCACGGGCAGTCACCGGATGCGCTTGTTTGGAATTGCGCTTCGAGTAGTCGACACTAAAAGGTAGCTTCTTGATCGATATGTTCGTCCCCATTGCCTTACATAACGCCACTTCCCTAACAACTCTCATATCGAGTGTTTAATTCTCATGGGTGTAGTTGACAACGTGTTGCGTGGACCTATCAGGGACAAGATTGCTTAAGCAGATACTATGTCCTTCTTGTCCTCGTCTTACCACAGCTGCATTGCTTGCTCGATAAGTGCCTGGTGACGTTAACCAACGGCAACTACTACGTTTTCCACTTCCGTAAAATCTTCATCATTGGCAGCTCTGATGCGGGCCACACTCCTTACATAACTCGCAACGTCGGCGAAGGTGTTAAGATGACTAAGCGTGGGAACGAGATTGTCGGTATGATGGCGACGCTTAGCTGCCTACTGGTATTATATTCCATGAGAGCGAGTTTGTACCGTGTCCAAAAAGTAATCGGCATGATATAGAGAACCTCTGGCTACTGCGAGATAGAAGATCCTGTCGCGAATCTCGAGGGGCAGTTTGTTCAGTGTACCGAGTCTAGGATATACCATGTGGGAGTCCACAGGCGCGGTTTCCGGGAATTGCTGAGCTAAAAAGTCCATGAATGATAAAAGTGCGACGAAGATGGCCAATGGCTCGGTAGAGGGAAGACTTCCGGAATTATTAAAAAGAAGAAAAGGATTCAAGTGCATACATAAGTGAGTTTGTTTGCAATCGTTCTAACACAATCGCTTGGTGATCCCGCAAAAATGTCCGACCCAAACGTCAAGCTTGCACTACGAATTCAGTAAGCACATTATAGCCTCTCCCTATAGATGATAACCACTAACAAAGGCTTCATTGATGAGTGCAATGGGTAGAGGTGTTTGGCTCTAGCATTTGTACTTATAGGCCTTATTTAACCTTTGGTATCGAGGAAGCAGTTAAAGAAGCTCACAACGACGGTTCGGGTGTTGTCATATTATTCCGCAAGGAGGTCAGAGATCTGGGTTAGTGCGACCCTGCAAACATCTCTACCTCATCAAAGTCCGAATGACGACAGCTGCTGTACTAATCCAAGCGAAATTCACCATAGTGGAGGTCGCCTCCTCACTTTGATTCTCGTTCTTGTTGTTTTTCTCCTCTTCGTGCCATATTACGGGAACAGGATATTGAATAATTCAAGCAGGCATTCTGCATTCTCATTTTGGAGGGTTTGGCTGTGACTGTAATGAGCACCCTCGTTGATAATCCTTGCGCATATCGTTCTGGGATAACTTTCGCAAGAAGTGACCGGTCCCTCCTCGCAACTATTCGATCAAAGCTTCGCAAAAACCATCTCCTCCCGGGACCCGCCACTTACGGAACCAATCTGGCTGTCACATCGGCCAAGATTTCTCCACCAGATAGATTGCCAGCATGAATCCAGGAGAAATGCTTCTGACCAACGAGGGGTTTCAACTCAGCGTACTATTTCAATTGTAGAATCCCGAAGTATCGTCGTGCTGCATCAATGAGCTGAACCGTTGGCAGAGCCGTTGGTCTCGGCCTTGCCCTTACCCTTCGACGTCTTTGAGGCCTTGAACTTGGCAACCTCCTTGGCGACTGACTGATCGAGTCTGGCCTTGAGTTCGGGACGGTAACCCAAGAAGAATAGGACTTCAAGCCAGACGAAGAAGGGAGCCAGGAAGAGTGCCTGGACTAGATTATCGAGAAGAGCAGGAGCACGGCCTTCGAAGATACCATGACCAACGAACTGAGCAAGCCAAGCAAATATGTGGAGACCGAGAGCATAGTAGTTGGCGGTCATGCCGTAGGTCGAGGTAAGGTGATTGGCGTAGGCAGTGGCGGAGAGCAGAAGGGGTGCCAGCAATCCTCCAGCGACCGGCTCCATAAGAATGTAGAGAGTAGCGTAGAGCGAAGCCACAATGGTACCTAGATTGGCAGGCAAGTTGGGGATAGTGATGGCATCGGGGAGAGGAATGGCGGGAGTGTTGGTGCACTGAGATGGTTAGCAGAAGTGTCTCAATTTTTGTATGATAGCGGGACTTACAAAGAGGAAAGCGGTCAAGAGGATCAGAGGAACACAAGTAATGTGGATAGCGACATTGATCTTGTTGAGACGTCAATAAACGATGTTTTCTTGGAGAGATGGTTGGATTCTTACAGGGTTATGGTGGTAAGAACCATACTGGAAGAGATCGTCAGTAAGAATTCTTGATAAAGATGGTATGGTTGGTAAAACATACGAAGAGAAGTTGCTTTTCAAGATTGAGAGACATGGTATCGTTACGGGGTGCCGAGAGATGTGATGATCGAGTAAGGTTGGCGGTGGACGGAAGAAGGTAAGAAAGTCTCGACGAGATGGTTAGATGGTCAAGGAATATCAATGAGCTGGGTCGCACGCCTCGAATAGACAAAGTGAAAGAAGCGCGAGTGAATCTGACAGCGGAAGTTGCGAGAAGCGGGTTCACACGGAAGCAATTCCTGTTTAATAGATTGTTGCCAGATGGCCAAGCAGCTGACACCGATCAAAGATTCGAGAGTCGGTTGAGATGACGATAATGCGACGGTGATGGTATAGCAGGCCGTCTTACGCAGCAATAGTGCTAACATGCATGAGTGATGAACATGGTCTTTAATTATGCTGTTGTTGATTGACATGTGCTAGACCGAGGTACAGTAGACCAAAAGGTGGCATTTGAGCCAGCCACAATTCCACGGCGACCAAGATATTTGGCACAGCGTGACAACAAGCCTCCACTTTTGCATGGTAGCCACGCGATCTAGTAGATGTTGGATATCATCACTTGTGCTCCACATTCACCAGTCAATTCCGCTACAATGTCACACCGCAAGCATATAACACGGCCATTGAGGATTACTTGTACCGCGTTGGGGGTTGAATAGAAGTCTGTGCCAAAAGACGTGACAAAGATGCAGGCACCGTTGTGGCTGACGCGCTTGTCTGGGGTCGCGATAGGAGGCTCGATGCGACAAGTCAAGACCAGACAAAGGTCCGCTTTCTCGTACATGCATTTATACTAATGAATTGATGTCGCTGTAACCAAGTCTACATATTCATCAGGTGTTGCATGTGAATTAGGCGGTTCCGAATACATAATAGCCCGTCATGGCCTTCCGCGACGACGAAGAAGCGCTACCTCTGACCAGGCACGATGCCAACCAGACAGACGACAGTGACCAACCTAGACCGTCGGCTTCTTCCATATCCACCACTTCACTCGTACTCGAGCACTTGTCAGGCCATCCAAACTCGTTCGAGGCCAAAGAAGCGCTATATTCGCAACCACAATCCGAACAGTTCGACTTCGATGACAGAGCAGCATGGCAACACAAGACCCACGGCATCGACACCAAGGCTCGTCGCATATTGTACATCATTGCTTCGATAGCCGCTGTAGGATGGCTTGCTGCCCTTGCCCTCTTCCTCAGCTCCGGCTCGTACAAATCGTCTGCCAGTCACCCTCACGATCCTCACGCTACAAAGACGGCTCGCCATGGTCAGAAAATCTCACTGGAACAAGTCATGACGGGTCAGTTCTACCCCAAGAACCACGGCATCTCGTGGATTGAAGGTGCTCAGGGAGAAGATGGTCTGTTGTTGCAGTGGGGAGGAGAAGGAGGTAGAGATTATCTCGTTGTCGAAGAAGTCAGATACATGCAAAATGCCGAAGCTTCAAAGCAACACAGCAAGACGCTTATGAAGAATGGAGCCATCTACTACAAGGATGAGTTCATCACTCCGAGCAACGTCTGGCCCAGCGCAGATCACAAGCACGTCCTTGTTCAATCACACATTCAGAAGAACTGGAGACACTCGAACACCGGCAGGTACTGGATTTTCGATGTCGAAAGTCAGTCTGCCGAACCTCTCGATCCTGCTGAGCCCAACAAGAGAATACAATACGCCTCATGGTCTCCCAACAGCGATGCCGTTGTCTTCACAAGAGATAACAACATGTACATCCGCAACCTCTCTGACAAGAAAGTAAAATCCATCACGACGGATGGCGGTGCTCAACTATTCTATGGTGTTCCTGACTGGGTCTATGAAGAGGAGGTTTTCGCGAGTAACCAGGCTACATGGTGGTCCGGCGATGGCAAGTACCTCGCCTTCCTCCGCACCGATGAGGCCGCCGTTCCCGAATATCCCGTTCAATACTTCTTCTCGAGACCGAGCGGTAAACAGCCCAAAGAGGGAGAGGAAAACTATCCGGAAGTCCGCAAGATCAAGTACCCCAAGGCCGGTGCACCCATGTCCGTCGTTACCCTGCAGCTATACGATGTCGCCGAAGGCCAAGTTTTCACTGTCCCTATCCAAGGCGACTTCAAGGATAAGGACCGCTTGATTACCGAAGTCACATGGGCTGGACGTAGTGGCAAGGTCATCATTCGTGAGACAAACCGTGAGAGTGATGTTCTGAAGGTTGTTCTGATCGACGCCGAGCGAAGAGAAGGCAAGACCATCAGAGAAGTCGATGTGAACGCTCTTGATGGTGGCTGGTTCGAAGTCTCGCAAACCACAACATACATCCCCTCCGATCCCGCCAACGGAAGAGAGCACGAGGGCTATATTGACACTGTCATCCACGATGGCTTCGATCACCTTGCTTACTTTACACCCCTGGACAATCCAGAGCCGATCATGCTTACTAAAGGTAAGTGGGAAGTGGTTGAGGCTCCATCAGCACTGGATCTCAAGAACAATTTGGTGTACTTTGTAGCCACCAAAAAATCATCTATCGAGCGTCATATCTACAGCGTCAAGCTTGATGCGTCAGATCTCAAGGCTGTGACGGACGATAGCGAAGTTGGATACTACTCTGGCTCTTTTTCCAAGGGAGGTGGCTACCTGTTGTTGACCAACAAAGGTCCAGGCATTCCATGGCAGAAAGTCATCAATACTCCAAGCAACAGCGACAAGCTGGAGATGAGTATCGAAGACAACAAGGCCCTGAGGGAGCTTGTCACTAAGACTGAACTCCCCATCGAGATCTACCAAACCATCAATGTCGACGGCTTCGACCTGAACCTCGTCGAGCGCCGTCCTCCCCACTTCGACGAGAAGAAAAAGTACCCCGTCCTGTTCTATCTCTACAATGGCCCCGGTTCTCAACAAGTCGACCGCACCTTCCAACTCAACTTCCAATCCTACATCGCCTCCTCCCTCGGCTATATTGTCGTTACCCTCGACGGTCGCGGCACCGGCCACCTCGGTCGCGCTGCCCGCTGCATTGTCCGCGGCAATCTTGGTCACTACGAAGCCCACGACCAAATCGCCGCCGCCAAAATGTGGGCGGCCAAAAAATACGTCGACGCCGAACGCATCGCCATCTGGGGCTGGAGCTACGGCGGCTTCATGACACTAAAAACCCTCGAGCAAGATGCCGGTCAAACGTTCAAATACGGCATGGCCGTCGCCCCAGTCACGGATTGGAGATACTATGATAGCATTTATACTGAGCGCTACATGCACACCCCTCAGCACAATCCTACAGGTTACGACAACTCCACCATCAGCGATGTTAATGCTTTGTCCAAGAATGTCAGGTTCTTGGTCATGCATGGTGTTGCAGACGATAATGTGCATTTCCAAAACACATTGAGTTTGCTGGATAAATTGGATCTGGCCAACGTGCAGAATTACGACGTGCACTTTTTCCCGGACTCGGATCATAGTATCTATTTCCACAATGCTAACAGGGTGGTTTACGAGAGTAAGTTTTTGACTTCCTGCTTGCAGATGATTTGGATGATATACTGACTGATTGTCTCGCAGAGCTCAGCAATTGGCTTATCAATGCTTTCAATGGCGAGTGGTTGAGGACGCCTAATCCCACGCCACTGGCGCAGATTGAGAAGTAGTTTACATAGAGTGCATCATCTCATTCAGCATAGGTAGTGGCGTTATCTCAAATTCATCTTTCTTATCCTCATGGTGAAGTTGTAGATATTGGTGAGAAGTCTGGTTCGCTTCTTCCACAACATTCAGACTGTGACCCAATGGTAAGATTGCTCAAGTTCATTCAGTGAATATGTAATTGCAGCATTTACAAAAGCCCATGCTCTACCGCGTTCGAAAATTGACAAAGAAAACGATCTCGAAAATACAAATGCTATGATAACTGCCTCCCATTCCTTTTCTCGTCTTGTAAGTCATGATGTGTCCCCATTTCCTCCTTCCCTTCCGTCATAAGATACATATACATGCCGTGTGCTAGCCTTCTTTATTCATGACCCATCTTCTCAATCTCGAAACCTGGTCCATCGGCCGGTCGCTGGTCTTTGGCTTCACCATGATTAAAGACGCAAGTAAATCTCAGCAAATTGGCCTTCGTGTGTCCCTGACAGACTGTGATTTCGTCGCCAGTGTGGACTCTACCGTAGAGCTGCTTGCCCTTTGCATCTTTGGCATTCAGCTTCACACCATTGATAAAGATGCCATTGCTGCTGTCTGTGGCGACAAGACAGTGCAAGCCGAGCAGTTTCGTCCAGTCTCCGCCCATCCCCACTACTTTGTCGATGCCTTTGGCGTGGAAGTAGATCATGATACCGCGTTTGGGCACGCGGGTGTCCAATGGATCTGGGAAGACAATTGTGTTTAAGGGGCTTCGTCCCCAAGTCGTGATACGAGAACCCAGGTCGAGCGTGACGGCACAGAACGAGTCCGGAGTGGTCGTCAGACGTCCCAGTCGAGGTGCAGGACGGATAAACTCGGGCTGTGTTTGCGCGACCGTGTGTAGCGGTCGATCGAACTCGAAGTCAACGCCGGAATTGGCAGTCGTTGGTGGCAGTGAGTGGAAACTTGCTCCAGGTAGAAGATTGTGACTAGTGAAGTCATGACCGCTGACTGAGGAAGCATATTCAAGAGAATGGGTGCTGGGGTCAGCAGGATCATAGAAGGAGGAAGCAGAAAGCGGGAGGCTGATTTGTCGATTGAAAGAGAGTTTTCTTTCTGTTGGTTGGATTGGACGAGGCGTCTCCTCCATACTTCCACGAGTCTGGCCGACTGACGCTTGTGGTGGGTCATTTGGCGTAGTAGGAGTGGTAGGCTCACTCTCATCGGCGGTTGCCGAGAATGCGGACTGTGAAGAGTCCATGTTAAGGTCTCGCATATCTGATTCAGCCCCTACAAGGCTCGCGAAATTGGATGCATGCATGTCGCTTTCAGGTGGAGTCCTCACCCTGGTATTCCGCTGATCATCATCCGGTTGGTGACTAGCCGCAGACGTGAACAACTCATCCTGAGCATGCTGTGCCTTGGATGCATCAACATTTGCATGTTCTGATGCAAATACAGGCTGCTGGAGTTGTGTACCAAAGATACCAGAACTCCGCACCAAGGACGCCTGAACCTCGCCGAAAAGGCGTGGAGGTTGTGAGTTCACTGCAAGCTCCCGAACGCCAGGGTCCTCGGCAGCGTGGGTTGGTCGTAAAGGATGTGTTGGCGGCTGAGAAGGTGCGGGTAGTTGAGAAGCGATTTTTCCACTCTTGAAGCGTTTAGACTGTCGAGGGTCCAGAATATCAGAGTCACCGGAATCGACACTGGCTCCTTGAGTCTTGTTCCACTTTCCGTGAATGCTCAATTGAGATAAGTCGTGCGCTGCGCCCGCCTCAGCATCTTCCTCTTCAATTGTCAGAAGGCCTGACGGGGGCTCGTCTTCAATCTGACTCGCCTCTCCACCTAGCCAAGGATATGAAAGACATTGAAGGGCAGAGGGTCTGACAGCAGGATCGGTGTTTAACATATCCTCAAGCAGATCAATAGCGTCGTCAGAGATATTGTGCTTTTCAAGGACAGTCGTGTCAAGGCTGGTGCTGACAATACGTTCAAACATGGCTCTGCCTGTCTGGTCTGCGATGCCTTCAAATGGTGGTTTTGTACTCATGGCATACCACAGCACTCCACCAAAGGACCAAATGTCGACACACGAGCTGTAGGAATGGTACTTTCCTCGTTGCTGCGATGCGCCTTTACGATCACGCTTTCGTCCCTTGGCATTGAAGTGAGCATCATAGTGGGGGAAGACTTCTGGCGCACAGTATAGCAGTGTGCCGCAGAATGTTTTGAGGAAGGTTTCGTTGTCGGAAATGACTTTGGAGAGACCAAAGTCAGAGAGCTTGACTGTGAAGGAGTTGGGGTTGGTGTCGGCGATCAGTATATTGTCCGGCTTGATGTCTCTATGAGTGATCATGTTACGGTGTAGGTAAGCGAGGGCGTCGAAGACTTGTATTGCCATAGGTTTGGCAAGAGCTTCTGGTAGAGGGCCATTCGCCCCTAGCCATTGTTGAAGATCGCCAAACGGAACCAGCTCCATGATGATGTACAGATGATTCTTGACATCGTGGCAGTCGATGTATTGCACGACATGTGGATGGTTGATACCCTTCATGATGCGCAGCTCATTGTCGAGCTTCTTGTCGATGACACCGTTCTTCATGAATCTTCTCTTCTCCAACTCTTTTGCAGCGAACATGTGACCGTTGCTCTTACTATTTAGGCGGTAGACAGTGGCAAAGGCTCCCTTTCCAAGGTGGCCGGTGACATTATATTTGTCGCCACCACTCCAGTGCATGCCAAAGGGATTCCCTTGCAGTAGCATGGGTTTGACGCTGGTCTTAGCTTGGCTCTTTGCGCCAGGTCTTACGGCCTGAGTCTGGCCGTTCTGTGCTGCCTTTTCTCTCAGGAGGTTGACATGGTCCAGGTAGGCAGCGAATCGCTTGCCATACTCCTCGTAGTGATTGTCTCTCGATGGGATGCGGAAAATGAACTTCAAGCTCTCGTCTCTCTTAGTCGACAAGATTTGAATGACAGAGCCTGCGGTAAGCATCATGGTAGCGGCATTGTTATTGCCCCTGCCTCTGAGAAGCTTCCCATCGACTATGGTACCATTGGTTGACGTGTCATGAAGCATGCAGACGCCGGCGTCAGTCATGTAGATTCTAAAATGCATGTTACTGACTCTTTTGACGGTATCAGTATCAATGACTATGTCGCAAGCATTCTCGTTGCGCCCGAAGACGAAACCCATGACAGGATTGTGCAGCTTGGCTGACATACGGAGCGCAAGATCTAGAGGATGTCTCTGATCTTCTCCCGGAGCGGGAAAAGTCTCCTCCTTCTCAAGATCTGCCATGCTTAAGCCATCGCTGTAGGTGCTAGGTGTAACATTTTGTAGAACGTGTTGCGGAGATCTCAGTGCTGTGTTGACGACGACCTGGTAGGCAGCAAGCGAGCATGGATGTAAGATGCAGACAACATCGGCAACCTCGACTTCATCGAGTTCTGGTTCGTCTTGCTGAGTAGCCTGCTGGGTGGCCTGCTGGGTGGCTTGCTGGGTCGATTGTGTCTCTTGGTGCGTGCTTTGACGCTGGGCCGGTGTGCGATCCGGATTCGCATTCGCTCTTGTGGCAACCATGGCGCTTGGCGGAATGAGATGGATATGGAACAAGGAGAGAAAGTACGGAAGGTTTAAAGAACCCCAGCCGTAGCCCACAAGCGGCCAGGGCCGGGGCTTAGATTGTGAAGACTCGGGAGTATTGTGGAGAAGCGAACGATACGCTCCTGATGGAATGCCTGGCTCTTTCTGTTCTCTTTATGGCGACTACAATGGTATGGATCTCTCGCGATGGTCTCGGAACGACTCGAATGTTTCGGTATCCCCAGATTCTGGCGAGGCTGGTCTGTCGCGGGAGTTGCGAGACACTAGGGTGGCAGGCGACGACGACTCCAGCGGTTGTGAAGTACGGGACAGATTCCGTAAGATTGAAGTCGGCGCAATTGAAGCGACTTGTGTCAACAGATGATGAGGAAAAAGAGTCTGTCGCGGCCATGTCGCGAGCGAACGCGTGTGGTGCAACCAGCAACGCAAGGACTCCCGCTTGTTCTTGCCGCTTGTCAAGCCGCTCTCTATCCCCGATAGAGTATAAGATCTGCGTCTCGCTGCCTATAACCTCCTGAAACCTCCACCAGTTCGTGCCCACCTTGCACTATATCTGACGAACACCATATAAATGAGTCAGACTATACCAATAGTCATTGTGTGTATGTGCAAATAGTTGCAACGGAATTCGAGTCTCAGGCAAGCTCACTCTCAGCTTCAAAAGAGGCTTCTTAAATATCTGTCGAAATGCACAGTGTCTAAAATTTGGTCAAGTAGTCGGTTGAGAGCCTCGCTGTTTTCGACCTCTCATTGGAAAGAGACTCGAATCTCAAAAGCACTGTGCATTGCGTAGTTCGAGTTGGGCTGGTCGCGACTGCCGCAACAAGCCAACTCCTGCGCCTGTCGTCCTGCTACCTAACTTTTCTTCGCCGCTGACCACTGACTGTTCCTTGAGCCGTCACCCCAACATGGACGAACACTCACTTTCTCTGCCGCAGCCTCCGCCGGCCAAGCGCATCAGACTGGACGACGACAATACGTTGGCTGATGAAGATGAAGGTCCAGGAGATGCAGCTCGGCCTGAGACCTTCTTTGATTGCTACAACATGGGCGACAGAAAGACTGCTGGTTACCTGGGCTTCTCAAACACATCAGAATTACATGTCTGCTCAGTCTCCTGGCCATTACTGCGTGCTACGGCTGCGATACACCCCATCGCGCACAAGCTCAACAAGGAGCTGGCACTCGGTCTGATCCGCGATGCTCCACGTTCTGCAACCTCGGCTGTTATCCTCAAAAGTTGGTCCCTACTCGATTCTGATGGCAAAGGTCTCTCGAATCTTCGAAAAGCTGAGCATCTCGCCATCGTACTGATCAATCTGAAATCCGATCTGGCCCGCATGGTCGCCGCTTCAGATAATACCAACCAATTGCAGCACGCACATGATTGTCAAAAGTTCCGCACAGTCTACCCCTCGCATCTTTGTCCCCCTCAGATCAGCTACCCTGTCAAATCTCCCTTGTTGGCACCCTCGGATGGAGAGGACTTCCTCGAGTCCTACAATAGGTGCTTCTCCCTCCTCCGACACATGCGAAACATCCTCAAGAGTTCCGTCTACGACACCAGATACAATACCGATAAATTCAAGTCTGGTCAATACGTCGACGAAAAGCATAAACCAGCATGGATGCGCGCACAAGGCTCCGGTGCGCCTCCCATCACACAGCCACAGCATGGTCTCGATTCGCCGCCGCAATCGCGGCGCCCTTCCGCCGTCAACGAAACTCACAAACCATGGATACCTACTCGTCCACGAGGGCTTAGCAAGTCCCCCACCTCACAGTACGCCCTTGGGTCGGCGTCGCAGCCGAGCCCTGCCGCCGTCAAAGAACGCGAGCCATCCGCGAACTACCAATTCAGCTTCTCTGCGATTCACAGCATTGAGATCAACCCAAGCTGCGAGCCCCCGCCGATCTCTAGGTCTTTTGCTATCTTGTGGGATCACACGATTGAGCCTGACTACCTAAAGCCCGGACTCAAGCGTGCTATGGATCGAGCTAAGGCTACCGGTGCCCATCTGCCCTCCAAACTCCAAAAGCTGAAGAAGGATCCATGCGACATGAACAGGGAGACACTGTTTTACGAACAAATCCGTGCTCAATTCGAGTGCCGTGCTCTGGGTATCGATTTGGGCAAGCTTTTGTTACAGTACAATAGCTCTACGTTCGGTGAAAGCATTCTTGTGACGCAAAACCTGGAGGATGAGGCATGGTCGGATACACAGGCTGCTCTCGCAGATTCTGATAATGACAAATTCGTCTTCAGAGTCGGATTCTTCGCTCTGAACAACGACGACGACGACGGATGAATTCTCACTGGTCGACCCGGGGGTTTGAACGAATCCGTGCCTTGCAACAGACATGCTCATATTAGGAGATTAGATAGCTTCGATACACAGGTCCTCCAATCGAGCGCTTATTGAAGCAGTATCTCACATCACTGGTGTCCACTTGAGAGCCCCAAGACTCTTTGCTGCCTGTGTGACCCTGTTCCTACTTTTGCCCATGTTAATATGTTCCACCTGCACCTTGTTGGGCACTATAAATCACACTCACATGCTTTTCGATCCTGTTATCATACGTCATACCAAAGCATCTGATATTCATATGTAATGCTGTTGTTGCTACATTTATCATGTCGAAATCTCGAATCCAGTATTCACAAGTGACCTCGACCTTTGCTTTCTCCATCGTTGACGAAAGTTGGGACTCTCCTTGGCATCGATGACATAGGCGAGGACAGCTATATAAGTCCTTCTCGAGTCTCTGTACATTTATGAGAACAAGCCAGTACCGTAACTTGACCATAACCCGAGACAAACTCCTTCCAATCTCACAGGTGTGGGTGAAGCATTCTCCAACTCTACCATTACCAGTTCATATAAACTTGCAACGCCACGAACACGCGAGTAATATCAAATGCTGATGTGGTAAGAAGCTTTCAATTTCATATTTCTGCATACCAAAAACCCTCTGATCAGATATATCATTTCTCCCTTACCCATTCGCATTCGCACTCAAAAAAAAAAAAACAGTGGTATTATGCCCTCCGTTGAAGGAAACGCCCTTGTCCCGATACGCCAATAGTCCCGAGAAACATCATCCCATGGTGTTCAGATTCATTCATCCATCTTTCCATAATCACGTAAAACACAATGACAGAGGCTCAGCCATGCCTAAGTCCTTCAGGCTTGATCTTCAGAAGCATAGCATCAGCAAGGTGCCACTCAATCAAGCACCAACGCCTACGGTGCTGGCCCATCTGATCTTCCGGACCAGACCGCTCTTGCCGGCTTCGCGTGCGCAAGCTGTGGCCCCTTCGCCGGTGCCGGTCATGCCGGCTTCCAATCGTCCTGCTGCCTTGCCCGTTGTGTAGCCGGCGGTGAAGCTCATGGCGCTGACGAAGACCACAACACCTACACCGACAATCCAGGTGAACATTGTAGGATTGACGTCGTCAATACTGTAAACTGCGCCGGAGTCGCGGCGTTTCTTGATTGCTCTGCGTTCCTTGGAAGAGCCTCTGGTTGTTATTCCTTTTCGCTTAGCCTCGGACTTTGTGGAGCGGACGTCGGCAGAAGCAGAGGTGGATGTGGAGGCACGGCGGATGGTTGGCTTGAAGGTGGGCTCGTTGACTTGAGCTGTGAGAGGTGAGTTGTTCTCGAGAGCAGAGGCAGGTACCATTCTCAGTGTGTTTGGCTGGATCCTGTTCGAAGCTGGACTTGATGCATCAGTTGTAGGGCGCGTGTTGGACTTGGGCAGTCCGCGAGCGGCGGCGGCAAACGACTGCAAGGTGGAGAGACTGGCGCGTAAAGCGGCTTCATGGTCAGCAGCTGCGTTGTGGTTTGGCGAGAGCAGGTTGTAAGGCGAGTGTTGAACTCTGGCCTCGTAACGAGAAGGGTATGAGTGTCTGGCCGAGTGACGACGCTCAGGCTGAGCAGGGAAGTATGAGCCTGGGACAGGCTGACTGGCGTGCCTGACAGAGTGGCCTGAGGGGTGAGAGAAGGCATTCGGTTGAGGTGTAAAGGCATTATCATTGTTGATAGGGTAGTTGACAGCAGTTCTGTTCTCATCGTCGTCGGAAGACTCGACCATGGCGCTTCTAGTATGGGTGGCAGGAAGCGTGAGTCCTTCGCTTGAAGATGTTATGACATGGTCGTCATCACTTTCGCTCTCTTCATATTCCTCTTGACTGCTTGCAGCTCCGACACTGCCTGCACGACTGGCGATGTTGAGCCGAGAGGGTCGACCGGGTCTTTGGCGTCTTCGGCGAGAAGAGGCTGGCGGTTGATGGACACGGAGACCGGTGGTGACAATCTCATCGGCAGCGGAAGAGAGCGACGACGACGAAGGCTGTGAGGAGATCTCGACCCATGAATCTAGATGATGGTTGCTGTCAGCGCTGCCTTCATGCTTTCTTTTCAGCGCAGCCATGGAAGAAGAGCAGGAGGCGGGTCGAGGCAATGAGCAAACACGCGCAGAAACATGAAATAGGTACAGAGACGCAGTCAAGTCACACGCTTGTTTCTTACCTTCTGATCGAGTCCGGCCTGCATCTGTGGACGGTCCAAGACCTCTGCTTCCGGTATTCAGGTAGTTGGACATGATGGCGCTTTTGGGATGGATCTCGAGTCGTGATACTATGTGGTCCGCGATACCAGACAGCAAGTGGTACAAGGAGAGGGGTGCGTGGCTGGACAAGGAGAGTCCGCAGAGTGAGAAGGATAGAGAGGGGTGGCAGTCTAGTCTTTACAGGCACTGACGAATCATGCGGCAGAAACAACTGGATTCGTCAAGGCCGACAAGGAGACGAAAGCGACAGGAAAGTGGTGTGAGTTAGCAGGAGACACAGCGACGGCGTGCTCGGTCGTCGTCGATGATGCGAGTGAGGAAGTCGGTGAATGATGTATAGCGCATGCGGGGCTCGCTGATCACGCAACGGCCTCGAAGCCTTGGTCCCCGTGGGCTCTCCTTAAGCTTTGCTCCCTTTGTCCTTCCTTCGTTTCGAAGACTTTCTGCTCTTTGAGCACTGCCTGCTTGATTGCTGCGACTCGATAAAACAACAGGACGCGTGATTGGTCTGGCCCTGCTTGGCTGCAGAAGAATGTTCACATGTATTCCTGCCACCCTGACCGCTGCCCAACCACCTGCGATCTGGATATAGCACCTGCATGCCACGTGACCATCATCTTGCACTTGTGACTGATATTGGACGATCGATTCTTGTTGAGGTATGGGTATATCTTTTGATCATAACATCTATGAAACTACTTCTACTACGGTATCGAATAAGCTACAACTCACCTTAGCGCCGTGATTGTACAGGAACCACCCATTCCCAGCTATGATGTCCTCGCTGCCTTGTATTGACCGAATGATCATGCTATCCCAGGGATCCGTGAACGCCAAACTTTTTGATAATGACATGAACCGATTAATGATGATTGAGCGAAACGCTTAGTCGACTAGATGAAGGTACAGTTAGCAAAGTCCTCTAGAGAAATTGAGATGCGGTACTTGTTCAACAAGCCAGCTCACAAACTGAGTTCGACATCAACGAGACGGCGTCCTGGACCCTCTCATCAATGCTAGTCAATCATGCAATACCAGCTCGCTGAGTCTGTACCGTTAGCTTACTTACAAGACATGCGGTTGCCCTGGAAGTCACCGAAGCCACCACGGTTGGTAGAGCCACCACGGCCACCACCGCGGCCACCACGACCACCACGGTCACCGAAACCGCCACGGCCACGACCACCACCACGGCCGCCACGGTCGCCGAAGCCACCGCGACCACCACCGCGGCCACCACCGAAACCACCGCCGCCACGGCCACCGCCGAAGCCACCACCGCCACCGTTGTTATCACGGGGAGCAGCAAAGTCCAGGCGGATGTTGCGGCCATCGACGTCAGCGCCGTTCAAGCCCTCAAGAGCAGCCTTGGCCTCGTCAACGGAGCCGAACTCGACGTAACCGAAGCCCTTAGGGGCGCCAGTCTCGCGGTCGGTGGGGAGACGGATGCTGTTGATGGAACCGAACTCGGAGAAGTAGCCAGTAAGGCTGTCGGTGGTAGTGTTGAATGAAACGTTACCAACGAAGAGGGTGGTGGAAGGAGCACCCTGCTGCTTGTCGCCGAAGGTGTTGGCGCGAGCACCGACCTGGTTCTTGTCGTAGCTGCGGTTGCTGTTGTCTCTGGGAGTGCTGAAGTCGCACTTGAGGGTTCTGCCATCAAGGTCGGTACCGTGCTTGGCGTTGAGAGCCTCAGTGGCGGCATCGATGTCGGCGAACTCGACATATGAGAAACCCTTGGAGCGACCAGAGTCGGCGTGGGTGATGACTCTGACGGAGACGGGAGAGAACTCCTCGAACTCCTTGGAGAGCCAGTCCTCATCGACGTTCCATGAGAGACCACCGACGAAGAGAACCTTGCTAGGCTCGCCGAAGGTGCCCTCGGCCTTGACCTTCTTGGAGGCAGCAGCGGGAGCCTCCTCGGCCTTGCGCTTCTTGCTGGGCTCCTCAACCTTCTTAACCTCCTCCTCGGAGTCGGAGTCAGAGTCGGACGAGTCGGAGTCGGAAGAGTCGGCCTGAGAGAGATTATGTTAGCAAGGTCGATGGAGAGACAGATGTGTGTGATCGAAACGTACCTTGGCAGCGGGCTTCTCAGCCTCAGACTCGGAGTCAGAGCTGTCAGAGTCGGAAGAGTCGGCCTTCTTTGCTGCGGGCTTAGCGTCAGACTCGTCGTCGCTGCTATCGGAGTCAGAGTCAGAAGTCTCGGCGGCGACGGCCTTAGCGGCGGGCTTCTCGTCCTCAGAGCTGTCAGAGTCGGAAGAGTCAGAGGACTCCTCCTTCTTGGCGGCCTTCTTAGAGACGGGCTTGGCCTCGGCCTCAGACTCGGAGTCGGAAGAGCTGTCGGAGTCCATCTCCTCGTCGGAGTCGGAAGAGCTGGAGGGCTCGGGGGTAGGCTCCTTCTTGCTCTTCTTGGACTTCTTGGTGGCGTCGGCGACCTTCTTTGCGACGTCCTTGCTGTTGACCTTGGGGGCCTCGGCCTTGGAGACACGGCCAGACTTGACCTTGGTGGTCTCGACCTTGGGGGCGGCGGCCTTCTTGGTGCTCTTGTCCTTTGCCATTGTGATGTGTTGGTATTCTGGTGGTCGAGGTCAGTAAGGTTCGGAACCTTGACGAGGTGGTGGGTAAGGCGGTTCGCGTGGTGGTTGGTGTGCATAGTCGATCGGTCAAGCTGTCGCGGATTGCAACAGCGACAGCAGATACGACGAGCATGGTGTGAGCGACCAGTGATGGTCGCTGTGTGCGGCAAAGCCCTCAGTACCCATGATCACACGAAGTGATGGAAGCCAACAAGCCCTCTAGCCCACTGCTCTCGCGGCATGTCATGGCAATGTGTTCCCACAAGAAGCCATGGATCTGCGCGCGAGATGAACTGATGAGAAAAGCCGTCCTGATTGCGCATGTGCCCACTACCCAAGTTAAAGAGATGGTGACATCTCAGTCTGCCTCACGCAAAACCAACAACGCGAAGAGAAGACCTGAACCCACTATTGAGAGACGAACCCACTGATGTGATAAAAAAGTCGAATATAAAGAGTTGATGAAAATTCCACGAAGATGACGAGGAAAATTCTGGTGAAGGAGGATGCAAAAGAAAAAGCAGAGGCAGGCGATGGGCTTGAAATACCTCTGGCTGGCAGCTTTGATCAGCAGCGGCGCTAAGAATTTCTGCCAGTCGAAAAAAATATATACGCGTCCGTGCCCGACCAGAACGGTCCTCGGGCGACGGGCCGCGTTCACCGCCCACGAGAGCCAAGGGTCCTGTCCCGCATCTGAGGGACTTCTAGCGGCTGCTTGGCTTAACATCGCAGTTGCCAACGTGGACAGTGGAATGGTTGATTGAGGTAAAACATGGCTCCTACATCACATCGTCCCCGCAAGAAGAGAAGAGACGACCAAGTCTCGGGTCCTCGCAGTAATGCTCTGATCGTTACCGATGCAGAGACGAAACAACAAAAGCCAGCTTTCCCTCTGGTGGCTTTCTTACTGCCTGCCAAGGGGACAGTGTCACAATGGATTGTGATGCCGCTCATCCTTATGGCTGTGGGACTCTTCAGATGGGCTACTGGCTTCTGGGGCTATTCTGGTTAGTCCACGACTTGATGCACAATCACAAGTTCTAAGACTCATTCTTGTCCAGGTCTCCAAAAACCACCGATGCATGGTGACTTCGAGGCACAGCGACATTGGATGGAACTGACTATCAATTTACCTGTCTCTCATTGGTATTTTCACGATTTACAGTGGTGGGGACTGGACTATCCGCCCTTGACAGCTTATCACAGTTGGGCACTTGGTAAAGTGTGAGTATACACACACCCATCTCTTTCAACCATAGACATACTGACCAGCTCAGGGGCAACTTTATCAACCCAGCATGGTTTGCTCTAAAAAGTTCTCGTGGTCTCGATGACCACGATCTAAAGATCTTCATGCGCGCCACAGTAATCGTTTCCGAATACCTCATCTTGGTGCCGGCAGCTGTTATCTTCATCCGTCATATGAGCAAGCTGTGTGGAATTACTACGTGGGAGTCTTCTGTTGCCCTCACAGCTGCTCTCATGCAACCGGCTACAATGCTCATCGACCATGGACACTTTCAATACAACACCGTCATGCTTGGTTTGATGCTTGCATCCATGTCAAGTATGCTTGCAGGCCGCCATCTTTGGAGCTGTGTGTACTTTGTTGCCGCGCTTGGCTTCAAGCAGATGGCACTGTTCTACGCACCGGCTGTATTTGCTTACCTGCTTGGAATTTGCGTCTTTCCTCGGATCAACATTGGTAGACTGTTGAGTATAGCTGTGGTCACGACCGTCTCTTTTGTGGCTCTTTTCTTGCCCTTTCTACTTGGCGTTGCACATGATTCGTGGAAAGGAGTATTTCTACCTTTTGAAGCATCAACTCCTCCCCTGCTTCAGAGTCTTCCCGTCCAGCTTTCAACCAAGGCCTGGTACTACCCGCTTGTGTTCCAGCTTGCGCAGTCTATCCACCGCATCTTCCCATTTGCACGTGGACTCTTCGAGGATAAGGTGGCGAATATTTGGTGCGCCGTGCACGCATCTGGAGTTCACAAACTTCACCAATACGACTCAAGTCTACTTTCTCGAGCAGCACTGGGACTCACCAGTCTTTCAATCCTGCCACCATGCATGGTTATCTTTTTCAAGCCGAGAAAAGAGCTTGTACCATGGGCGCTAGCAACAACGGCATGGGGCTTCTTCCTCTGCAGCTATCAAGTGCACGAGAAGAATGTTTTGCTGCCGTTGCTGCCAATGACTATGCTTGTCGCTGGACATGGCGGACTAAGACCCGATCTTCGCGCTTGGATCGGATTTGCCAACACCCTGGCCTGCTGGACCATGTTCCCTCTGCTGAAGAGAGACGAACTCAGAATGCCTTATTTCGTCTTGACTTTCCTCTGGACGTACCTCATGGGTCTCCCGCCAACTTCGCTTTCAGCTTACTTCGGCGAGCAAGGCATTTGGCTGTCGCTGCCCGTCAAAGCAATGCATATCTTGTTCTATGCAGCAATGATTGGCTGGCATTTCGCCGAGGCGTTTGTGCAGGCACCCGCCAACATGCCCGATCTGTGGGTAGTAGGCAATGTATGTGTTGGTGCAGTGGGTTTCGGCCTATGCTATCTTTGGTGTTTGTGGCATCTCGTGGCTGAGAGTGGAATCTTGCAATTCGGCAAGCAAGCAGACGACAAGCAAAAAACGCTGTGATGGACAGACACAGAGAGTTGAGAGAAGTGGTGGTATTGTACACTAGTTATACATAGATCTAAAAGTCTAGAGATTTTGCCCGTATCCTTGTAACGCCGGTCGCAATGCAGAATAGGAAAGAAGGTGGTGTGTGTTTATGGCAAGTTGAAGCCGTAGCCCTGCATGCAAGCTCTGTACTTCTGAATCATGTTCTGGCAGTCGGCTTGCGGGTCGGCGGCGTTGGAGAAGAGCATGCATTCGTCGCGGGCAGCCTTCTCATCCTTGCAGACACAGCATGGCTGTGGCGAATGGTCAGATTGTGGATTTGTATATGGGTGTGCGAGGTGATGTCGTACCTTGACCTTTGCGGCGGCTTCGCCTTGGGGCTTGAGGTCGGCAGCGAGGTTGTTGGTGCTTACGACTGTGGAAGATGCTGGAACAGGTCAGAGACTGGACGGAAGCAGTCGCATGGTGCAGGAAACATACGCTGAGACATGTTGACTGGATTGAATGCGTGGCAAGAGCAGAAAATGGTATGCGACAAGACAAGTCGAAATATGCTGGCATATGAGGCAATCGCGAACAATATGTCAGCAACGGATTGGCATTCCGGGGGCAATTGCGGCGAGGCGAGTCATTGCTTGGCACCAAAGAAGTTCTGGAAGGAAAGCAACATAAACACAGGTGCGACTGCTTGTTTCAGCAATTTCCCTCTGTCGCAAAACACGCTGCCTTCCTCTGCTCGTCCGCATACCGCACACTCTCCTTCCTCACTCTTCCACCCAACTTTTACAACATCGTCATGGTCAACACATTTTCGCTCGAGGGCAAGGCCCTGAAACTCGACTCGGCTGCCGACATGGACAAACACATCGCGGAGCTCAAGGCTAACAAGGACGTCGAGGAGGTCATCCTCGTGGGAAACACTTTGGGTGTGGACGCCTGCGAAGCCCTGGCCAAGGTGCTCGAGACTAAGAAGAAGCTTAAGGTAGGCCGGCATATTGCATAACGGACATCGTAAATGCCAACGGTCCAATCTGACGCTCTCCAGGTCGTCAATTTCGCCGACATCTTTACAGCACGTACATATGATGAGATCCCCCCAGCTGTGACACACCTACTCACCGCTTTGCTCGCCCTCCCCGAATTGCATACTGTCAATCTATCCGACAATGCTTTCGGCGTCAGGACGGTCGCTCCCTTGCAGCCCTTCCTCTCTCAGCACGTGCCCCTGCAACATCTCATCTTGAACAACAACGGTCTTGGTCCTGCTGCTGGAACCCTCGTCGCCGAGGCCCTTACAACTCTCGCCGGAAAGAAAGAGCAAGCTCGCAAGGATGGCAAGACGGTACCCGACCTCGAGACTGTCATCTGCGGTCGCAACAGACTTGAGGCCGACTCTATGGAGGCTTGGGGCCACGCATACTCGGCCAACAACAAGGTCAAGACCATCCGCATGACTCAGAATGGTATCCGTAAGGAAGGTATCTCCACCCTGTTGCAGAACGGTCTGAGCAAGTGCACTGCTTTGGAAGTTATAGACTTGCAAGACAACACTTTCACCGCCATGGGTGGTCGCGCTCTCGCCGATGTCATCGCAAACTGGTCCGTCATCAAGGAAATTGGCGTGGGCGACTGCTTGCTCAGCGCTCGCGGCGCCGTCATGCTCGCAGACGCCCTTAAGTCTGGCAAGAACAAGACTCTCAAAACACTTCGCCTACAGTACAACGAGATCGATGCCAAGGGTATTGCTGCTCTTTGCAAAGTCGCCCAGACCGACGCCCTTCCTGCTCTGCAGCGTATTGAACTGAACGGCAACAAGTTCTCAGAGGAAGATGCCAACGTTGAAGCTCTTAAGACTCTCCTTGATGAGCGCAGGGAAGAAAATGCCCCTGACGTCGACGCAGACGATGAGACTTGGGGCGTTGATGAGCTTGACGACCTGGAAGAGGATAGTGACGACGATGATGAGGACATTGACGATGACGAAGATGCCGAGGAAGAACAAGTCCTCAAGCAGGCCGATCAAGCCGAATCAGAGAATGTCGCCCAAGAGAAAGACAACTCTGTCGATGAGCTCGCAGACCTTATGGGTAAGACGGAGCTCAAGTAACACCTTTCTTTCCTTACACATGCATTGGGTTTCTGGATTAGCGATTTGCCCCTCTTTCACTTTCAATTTGGATCGACCACCATTCCCTCTCCCCCTTTCTCTACGCCCTACTACCAAAATAAATGATACCACACACGAACACGTTGCACACTTCTACATTTCCACTTACCAATCTATTACATGCTACTACCGAAGACTAGAGACAGCACTTTGAAATTTTGAACCCTTTGCCACGTTAGATCTATGCAACAAACACCGTCACACTCCCAAACCCCAAATTTCACAAAACGCCCACTGCACAATCCTAACATCCAACATGATCAGAAAGCACTAAATTCCTTGAATGATATCCATGAACGAAAATGACAAAGACCGACAGCATATTCTGCAGTTCTACACCTATTCTCCTCTTGTCCGTCCTTTCCGTCCACATGTCACGCTCTGATCGATCCCCCATAGCCTTGACAATCTTCACCAGCTCCTCGAAAATACCGCCCAAACGTCTCTACTGACTCGCCCCCTCCCCTGACCTCCCATCCTTGCTTGACAGCTATATGACGATCGAACACTCCAGACTCAACTAATGAAGTTCCGTGTCAAGAAAAACCCAGCCTGATCAGCGACATCTATCACCAACTGCTGTCCATCGATTGGATATGGTATGTCGTGTTCCTTTTCGGCGTACACCTCTGGTTGAGCACTGGATATTTGGGTTTGGGCATCGAAGTGTGGGCTATCATGTTACTTGAGCTTGTCAGGTAGAGATGAGGTAGAGAGAGATGGAGAGGTGTAGAAGTCCTCGGAGGGTGTTGGAGCGAGAAGGGGGGGCAGAGATTGGGATAGGCGTTCTGGAGTTTTCGTGTTTGCAGGCACAACAAGCAATATACTTGCTGAAATGTTCTTCCGTGTCTTCCTGGACCATAAAAGTGATGTCGAGAGAAAATGATCAACGTCAGTGTCTCCGATCATCTTCCAAGAAACAGCGCATTTGAAAAGGTGGCGAACACAACTTTGCTAGCAGCTTCATGTTATGGAACCCCTTCACTTGACGTTGTTGGCGAATGAATGCTAGGCTTGGTCAAGGTCATAGTGAATATCGCCAGGGCTTTCTCGACATGAGATTGAGGTTAAAAACCGCAGTTTACACGTCGACAGCCCTTCAATCCAAGTGGTGGGAAAAACGACTCAAAGCTATATCCGCAGTTATCGAAAGCGCGAGAACATTTGTTTCCCAAAGACACCGTGAATCCAGACCCAAGAGGCGTTCCATCCCCTTTTGCACCGACATAGGACTCCCTGGCAGCAATGAGAAACACTCAAGCAGCAATCGTGTAGAGTAAGCGAATATAGCCCAGACAGAACTTCGGCAGCTAGTGCTACTTGTCGCTATATCATTTCCAATCTGCCTTTTTACGGCTTCGAGACATGGTCTTTCAAGAACTATATAGGATACGGATTGCATTAGCTCTAGAGTCGCCCGGGCAGAACCCAAGAGCATCGCCCAGCTTGAAATGCTACCAGTCTACCACTTCGATTGAAAACCTGATAAGATTGGAATAGTAAGATCAGAAAGAAAGTGTCGCTGCGGGAGAACGTTTGTTCCTGTGGACTTCTCGGACATTAGATGACCATGTAAGTTGACCTGCCTTTGAGAGAAGTGGCCAAGTTCTGCACCAGACAAGACTGGTACATATCAAGTCGTCGTTGGGATGGACTCAAAGGTCAACCTATGCTCTGACAGTTCCCGCCACAACAAGCATAGTGTCGTTCGATACAGCCTGGCTTGATATTTGCCTTCTGGGTATAGTTGGGTCGGAATGACGTACTGTGTTGCCTCGGATGTCTGTGTAGCTGTAGCTGTGTTGATCGTTCAGGTGGTAGCGATGTAAAACTGAGCGGTGCGCTTGTTGCTGATGATGTCCTTTTCTCAGCCTCTTGACCTGCTCCCAAAGAGGGGCTGCTAAACGGCAGGATGTTGTTTGAGTCCGAGAGGATGCCCAGTCAGAGCGCCGGGATAGGTTACTCGCACAGGAGAGTACCGGTAGTGTAGATGGCATCGTGCCATTCGATAGCCAGGCCATGGGTGTTCTGCGACAGGGACGCTCGATGGTGATTCATCAAGGCAGTGCCTTCCGTGGTTGCCGTCTTCATAGCGGTGGCGAATCTGAATTGGTCTGTAAGCAGAATATACATTGAATGCGATTTCTGGCAGGAACGATTAAGCAAACGCGATCACAGCTTGTACGAAAACAGAAGATTATACACTTTGTCATTGTGTCATTGAAAGATTTGGAAGAAAAACTCAATGAGACGCTACTTTCGCTCTACTATACACACGGCTTTTTCGGCCTGCCCGCAATTTTCCCCGTTATAAATTTTTAATAAGAAATTTACGAGAAGTTGGCGGTGAAGCTCTTGATGACATCCTTGAGCTTAGCCTCGAGCTCCTTGCTGAGGGCACCCTCCTTGTCAATCTGGTCAAGGATGGTCTTCTCGTTGGTGCGGAGGTGGTTGAGGAAGTCAGACTCCCACTGGAGGATCTTGGCGACGGGGACGTTGTCGAGGTGACCGTTGATACCAGCGTAGATGAGGGGAACCATCTCGTTGACGGCCATGGGGCTGTACTGCTTCTGCTTGAGGAGCTCGGTAAGACGCTCACCACGAGACAGGGTCTGCTTGGTGGCGGCATCGAGATCGGAACCGAACTGGGCGAAGGCGGCAACCTCACGGTACTGGGCCAAGAAGAGCTTGAGCGAACCAGCGACTTGCTTCATGGCCTTGAGCTGAGCGGCGGAACCGACACGCGAGACGGAAAGACCGACGTTAATGGCGGGGCGGATACCCTTGTAGAAGAGCTCGGCCTCCAAGAAGATTTGACCGTCAGTGATGGAAATGACGTTGGTGGGAATGTAAGCGGAGACATCACCACCCTGGGTCTCAATGATGGGCAGAGCAGTGAGCGAACCACCACCAAGCTTGTCGTTCATCTTGGCGGAACGCTCAAGGAGACGAGAGTGGAGGTAGAAAACGTCACCGGGGTAGGCCTCACGACCGGGAGGACGACGGAGAAGCAGAGACATTTGACGGTAAGCAACGGCCTAGGGGGGTCGAGTTAGTACCTGATGCAATGCACGATGTTTTTGGAGATTCCCAACCTGCTTGGAGAGATCGTCGTAGATGATGACGGCGTGCTTGCCGTTGTCACGGAAGTACTCTCCCATGGCTATTGCAGGTCCGTTAGTATGCTGACTGAAGGCACGAAGTTATTCGTTTGACTTACCGGTACCGGTGAACGGTGCAATATATTGAAGGGGCTTTTGGGGAATCGGTTAGTAAAGATGATCAAACAGTGTGCTGAGAAAAGAATTATGACTTACAGCAGCCTCGGAAGCGGTGGCAGCAACGATGATGGAGTACTTCATGGCGTCGTTCTCCTCAAGGGTCTGGACGAGCTGAGCGACGGTGGAACGCTTCTGACCGACGGCAACGTAGACACAGTAAAGCTTCTTGGCCTCGTCGGCGCCAGCGGCGTTGTTCCAACGCTTCTGGTTGAGCATGGCGTCAAGAGCGACGGCAGTCTTACCAGTCTGACGATCACCAATGATCAACTCACGCTGACCACGACCGATGGGAACCATGGCGTCGACGGACTTGAGACCGGTCTGGACGGGCTGCGAGACGGACTGACGGGGGAGAATACCGGGAGCCTTGAGCTGGGCACGGGATCTCTTGGAGGACTTAATGGGGCCCTTGCCATCGATGGGGTTACCGAGAGCGTCGACGACACGGCCGAGAAGCTCCATACCGACGGGAACGTCGACAATCTCACCGGTACGCTTGACGGTCTCACCCTCCTTGACGAGACGGTCAGAACCGAAAAGAACGACACCGACCTGGCCGGCCTCGAGGTTCATGCACATGCCCTTGACACCGGAGGCGAACTCGACGAGCTCCTCAGCCTGGACGTTGGCCATACCGTGAACACGGGCGATACCATCACTGTTGAATATGCGTCAGTTCCCGTTGTCTTCTTTCCAGATATTGTGGTCGTTGTAGACGTACCCGACGGAGAGGACACGGCCGGTCTCGGCGAGACCGGACTCCTCCTGGACACCGCGGATTCTCTGCTCGAGGATGGAAGAGACCTCGGTGGGGGAGGCCTTGTCGGCGTAGCCACGGAAAGAGTTGGCGACGGGGGCGACAGCGCGAGCCTGAAGATGGAGACTTGTCAGTGATGTGTTGCAAGACTTGGCAAAGGCGAGCAGCAAGCTTCGACGTCGCCAGCGACAGCTCCAGCGCGCAACCGGCCAACACGTCGCGCAGACAATGCCCAATGAGGGTGGCGACAGGTCCAATGATGGTTGTCGGACCCATTGTTGGCCCGGTATAGCGTATTTTTCGAGCTCGAGGTCGCAGGCGAGGTGTCGGCGAGTGGTTGGAGCTTGTTGAAACGTACCGCTGAAATTCTCGACGAAGCGGCGGCGACGGTGGCCACGCGGGCGCTCTGGCGAAGAGCGCTTCTGAACATGATGACGGAAATTTCCTAGAAGCCCGATGGGTGTGACGGGTCCCAATGAAATGTAGGATGGAGTGGAGATAGAGGGTGATGGGAGGTCGTTCTAGGAGGAGGGTGAGGTTGAACGAAAACCGCACGTCGAAGCACTGGGAATGAGGGTCAAAGCGCCCACTGGCCACTCCTTTTGGCAGCTTTTTGAATTTCGTAGCTTTGCGAGCCCTGCTTGTATCACCACATTGCACACATCTACATGCTTTTGCACTTTCAGAAACCAGGCAGTCTTGCTCTTTCAATATCACTGCAGCTCACTCGAGTTGCAGCGTTGTTCAATTCAGCTCGCTCCTTCCTGCGTACCACAGCCTGCCATTCGTTTTGTCACTCCAGACAGAAGTGACGACCGAGTCTTCCCGATCCCGGCAACCACCGCCCCCCATCTTCCGGCGGCTCCTCTCCACGATTCACATTTCTGATCTCTCGTTCTCGACTCCATACATTCTGAGAATCAAAGCATTTCATCTTCGCATGCTTGTTGTGTATTATCATAAAGGGCCGTGTGTATATCTAAGTCATTACCTACTTGCTCATCAATGAAATCACTCTCCTTCGCTCCAATGCACGCTATCATCATCGCTAAAATGGTCTAGTAGATCATCTCCCACTGACTGTGAAGCTTCATCCACTTTTGCCTTCTCTTCGGCCGCTTTTGATTCCCTGCGGATATTGGCAGCATCCAGCCTATCCATGTTGTTCCTCACCCAGTCTTTGAGGAAGTGGCTGATCTCAAACCTGACTGCTCGCAACTCATCCGACCAGAAAGCTTCTTGTGCTAGCTTCGCGGCAAGCTCATCCACACACAGGCTGTCCTCCACATCTCTCCGTGATGTACTGGCTCCAGCCCAGAGCAGACTTTTGACTGTGTCAATGTTACCCGCTGCCACTGCTGAGTGTAATGGCGTCTTGTGCATTCCATCGGAGAGGTCGACTGTAGCTCCCTTCTTGCACAGCAGGTTGATCATGTCGCCGTCTCCATGCATCGCGGCCCAGTGCAACATGCTTTTCCCGCCATCCCATTCCTTTCGGTCGATTTTGAACTCGGGAGTAGAGTTCTCCAAGGATAGCACAATTTCTGGCAGGCATCCTGTTTGAGCTGCCAATTCGAGGGTAGAGATGCCTTGTCGATTCACCCAAGGGTCTGCCCCACTCTCTATGAGCATACGAATGATAGGTAGGTCCCCCGAGCGTACAGCCATTGAGAGAGCACAGTCTCGTAACGATTCAGTGCCAAATGGACATCCTAATTCTTCATACTGTTCTTCCCTCGGCGTTTGTGTCTTTTGATCAGAGCCATAGAAGCTCAGAAGCCTTTTGGTGGGTTTGTAAGAGCACCATTCGTTGATGTCGGTCTCCTCGTGGTTGATCAGCGCTCTAGCCCATTGCTCGTTTCGTGATTTTGCTGCCATGATGAGTGGGCTGGGTATGGGATTATAGACTTTCGACTCCCACGCAACGGTCTTTTCGGCGATCGTCTGCACGCTGCTCAGATCGATTGTCTCTTCTGTTTCTCCCGCGGACTGATTGCGCATAATGGGGAATTCGAGTAAGAGATCCACCATGGCGTCCTGTTGGTGGTAGATAGCCAGACTGATCAAGTATGCGTCGGGCAGGGTGTCCACCGTCGTATACTTGGCATTGTTGTGTAATAGCTCCACGCCATATTGATTTTGAGTGAGAATCATCATCTCTAGTAGACGGCAGTAATAAAGCTCAGAAAGTCGACCACCTGCTGCTAAGAGAACCTCGACGATGCGCCTTCGTGACACTTCGCGAGATTTGAGAACTTCCGGTACTGTCGTCGGCGGCTCAATGCCGTCGTTTGTGCTTTTGGATGAGAAACTTGAAGCCCTCGAGAGATATGGTCTCGAAGTCTGCACAGGTCGCAACCAAATGAACATGGCCTTCTCCAAAGCCTTTGATAGCTCAGCCTGGGTAGGTGAAAGATCTCGTATCAAAAGCTCGGTTGCTGAGAGATGACTTCTCTGGACTGCGACGATCAACGCACCAGAACCTCGAGCACCCCTCTGAATGAGCATATCCATGACGTTTGTATCGGCTGTGCGTGCGGCTGCCGAGAGAGCTGTAGACAGCTTGTCTGTTGTGTATCTGAAGGTGTTAAGGAAATGCTGTGCGGCCTCTGTGTGAGAGAACTTTGCAGTCTTGGACAATGCTGCGCCTGATTCATCTTCCGCCCCATGTTCGATGAGCAAAAGGATTGAGTCCATGTCTCCACTGACAGCCGCCGAGATCAGAGGATCGCCAAGGTCCTCGGGCTCGAAAGAATAATTTTCCAGGAAGTACTGTAGAGGTTCGAACTGATGGTACTCGGCGGCGGTAGATAGAGCTTCGACTTTGTTTCCAGCACCAAGTCCGACGAAGTATCTGACAGAGCGCATATCACCAGCGGCACACGCTGCAAGTAGTCCGGCATCGACAGATTTGTCAAAATCGTCAATTCGGGTACGGAAGACTTTCAGAGCTTCTGCCGTCTCGCTACGACCCCTTCTAGTGGTGCCCACCAAGATTGAAGCAAGATCTCCACGCCATTTTCTGGACATGCCCGAAGTCGTCAGATGTGCTTTGATTGGTTCGAGCAGAAGCTGCAACATTGGCAGATCCCCTCCGAAGGCAGCTATGCGCAAAGCACCGGCATTGACAGGAGCGCCGCCTTGCTCGAGCAGGAAGCGCACCAAAGGGACAGATCCAGTCTTTGTCGCATGGTTCAAGCAATAATCCAGCTGGCCAGGAGGGCCTATGATTTTGTCGACTTGCGCATTCTGTTCTTGTATCAGAAGTTTAACCTGCGCCAAGTCTTCGGCGATGCAAGCTCGATACAGTGAGTCGTCCAGTTCTGTGGTATCCATGGAAAGGTTGAAGGTTCGTGAAGATTACGTTCAAGAAGCGTTGTGAAGAGAGAAATACACGATGCTAGCTAGGCATGTGCAATAATTGGCACTGCTTACCTCCATTGTGCAGAGCCGCGATCGAGAACATCCTGTTTCTCTCCCTTGTCAACCGATTTTGGAGTCTGGCCCAGATCCACGCACCCGCGGCAGCAAACCTCACTACCCCGGCCTGCATGAATCGAGGAAAGAAGCAAGTCTAGCCTACCTGCTGTTAAACGGGTATTCTACCGGTGTCTCTCATCTCGAAGCTATGAATCGACGCTCATAATGTTGGGCGTCAGTTTGGCCTCGTTTATGTGAGCTAAGAGCTTTGAAAGACTGGAGTTGGGGTTAGAGATTGGAAGAGTCTAAAAATTGACACTGTTCTGGTCCGGCAGTTGGTCGGCATGAAAATGTTGCCCTGTGCGTCCTTATTGCCGGGTCCATCACCTTGACCTCTCGTCCTTGGCTGTTGACAAAAGATCATCACTCTTCCAAGCCCTAACGTAGCCATGAGGGCATCCTCGCAGCAGCAGTGGCCCAGTGGGTAAGTACATGAAGCCACCATGACAGACCGGAACAATCGAACAAAGGAGGTGGCTGTCAAATGTATCACTGGAAACTCATGTCGCCGAACAGGCGGATAGGCGGCTCTGCGGAGAGGGTTGGTACCGGAAGCATAAGACCGAGGAGACGGTCTCGACTACCTGGGCAAATTAATACTACATGGTTCGACCACTGGCTACACACAAACAGTCATCAACCCTCAAGATCCCAGTCTGGGCTTCAGGTAGGAATTCAGCAGCTTCCCAATCACACGGCCTGAAAGAATGCCTTCTGGTTCCTCCCTTCCACCACACTCGATTTCCCCATCATCTCCCAGCTTCGTCCGAGCCGAGCACTTGAATGACACGCAGAAAATTCTACCAGATTTACACTTTTCGTGAGCCTTGAACACCTCCTTTGCACATTCGGCGATTTCGCGCAATGGCTTGTCATGAGTGATCAACCTGTGGCCCCAAAGTGTCGTGGCGGTTCCGGTGCGTGGGCCACGATCGCCATGGAAATTCTCCAGAATGTAACGACACTCACAATCGACCCAGGCCTTCCACTTGATAGTCTCCGGCATGTCAGGAAGCTTCATGTCTGCCCAGCTGCCTGCGATGTCGAAATCGTTAGGTCCATGGCCGTCATGACCAAAGTAGATGTCGATGAAGATGTGATGTGCAAGCTGCCCGGTATTACTGCGCCGACCGATCTCTTTGGTGATCAGCATGGGACATCCACGATTCTCTGGGAATGGAAGGCAGCATGTGTCTGCGCGGTGAAGCTCGCCGGCAGGCTCAAAGGGCAAGATTGAAAGATGCGCCTGAGCAGTTGGGGACGTTTGCACTGCACGGCGCAGCATTCGGGTGGCTTGCAAACAGCTCATGAGGTCTTTACGTCTGAGGTTGCCGAGAATTTTATCGGCCAGTTCGTTGATATGGAGGACACGACTCAGAGTAGTAATTGAAGGTAGGTCCCAGTGGTGAGGAGGATCCCAGTACGTGGCGAGCAGTTCCAGGAAGGTGGTCTTGGGGAGGATCTGGCAGACAGGTTCCTTGACTCGATCCCATAACCACTCAGGCTGGTACCGGTTGTGTTGCAATTGCCGGAATCTGTTTCGCATAGGCCGGTCGTTTTGTTCACGGGATAGATCGCCTCTTGAAACGACCTGTTTTCTTGCTGCTGTCTCGAAGCAGAGATCCACAGGACCAGGCGACATTGTGTCGGCTGTTACGTGGTCGTCTTTCGGCTGAGGGATTGAAGAAGATTTCTCGTCTGTAGAGGTAGACTCCGACATCCTCGCTGTGCACACAGATGGTCAGCTGGAGAGTCTTGAGCAAAAGCATGAGCTAGGTAAGGCCGGACGTTACCTACGTATACGCTGCTGACGATGAAGACGAGGGTGAGAGTATCGTGTGATGGATTGAGAATGAGGTTGGAAGGTTCAAGTTCAAAATTGTCGTTTCGTTTGTGAGAGCTCCCCCGTGCCAACACACAGAGGCTGCCTGCATATATGAGACAAGCATCATGTCACCCTCTCTCGTCTGTCTATACGATTCGATATCAAAGGACTCCACTGAACCGATTCGAACAATACACCAACAGGTCCATCCTTTTTACACCTCGTGTGAGCATGTACCTCTCCAACGAATGAAGCAATGTCCCTCAAAAGCTTCTTCCTGGTGACAATCTCAAAACCAAGGCAATCAAAATTCTCTCTTGCGTCCATCACCAAACACAAACCCACACTCACAATCAACCTAAACGCCCCATCTTATCTCCTCGGACTCTAATGTATCTGGCAGTCTCATATACGCCCAAGCACCCAGTGGCTCAAAGTCACCCGCAACATGCCCGTCAGCAGAAAGGAAACATCCATTACATACTCAAAACCCAAAGGCTTCGAGACGAATATACAGTTAGAGCCTTTATCAAACGCCATCTGAGCCGGTGAATACTGCCCATACCCAACGTACTTCGTAACGAGCATTGGACCAGGGCAGTTACTCGGAAAACAGATGATGCTGAGATTGTTGATTCCCAAGTAGCCCGCAGATCCGAAAGGAAGGGTGGAGAAACAGATTTTAGCGGCGACAGAGTGCTGTAGAGTATGGCGTAGAATACTGTTGACTCCTAGACAGATTTTGATCGATTGAACGAACGAACGCCGACTTCTGGATAACGGAAGCGGTCGCGTGCATGAGATGAAACCACCAAGGATAGAATCAACTCAAGATATGATCAGTTCGTGTCAACAAGGCAGTCTAGGTGCCTGCAGATTTCATCCGTCAATTCTACACTCTTAAGTCATTACTGAACGATATACGAAAGCCAGAGAAGTGGAAGAAGAAATATATCTTGTACAAATTTGGTGATTTACAGAACGGCCTGGTTGCTGATCCCTGGCCAAATTCTGGGCGACATCAGTCCAACCCAAACCCAGGTGTTCCCTTGTCATAAACTCACATGTCCAACAACAATAACCTAAGCATCGACACCACTCTCAACCTCGTCCAGCCCCTTTATCCTGAGCTCCTTGATCTTGAGAACAGTAAATCGGTGCTTGCTCTTGACAGTCTTGACCCTCCTTTGTCTACGCTTTGTCTTCTCCTTGATACGCATGGGCTCAGCCTCGGTGCCCATGACAGTGGCTCTGCACACAAACAGCCTGTCGTCGATGTAGATATGCTTGCCCTTTGCCAAGTGCGGCACAAAGTGGCCTCCCTCGGGCATCTTTCTACCCTCGCTGGTCAAAACACTGCCGGGTGTGGGGTCAACGACAGAGATGGTGGAGGCGGTGGGTGAGCGAGAAGAGCCAGGTTGGGCGCCGGCCTTGAGAGTCAGGTCCCGTGAGCCGAGTGATGAGGCGTGGGTCAAGCGCAAGATGTCGCCGGGTTGGACGCCGTGCATGAGAAAAGGTACGCGGAGGGTATCGCCCTCGGTGAGGAGGTAGGGGCGGTCATAGATGTGTGCGGTGATGTAGTGAGGACCTTGAGCGCGGAGGACGGGCAATAGTTCGCGGACGGAATCGCTCAAGGCTGGGGGCGATTGAGACGGTGTGGGTAGCTTGGGTGCTGATGCTGGAGCATTGCTGGCTGCAGGAGAAGCGGATGTGGTAGTTGTCGACTTGGGGGGAGTATCGACTTTTGCGGCGGAAGAGTTGAGTAGCACTTCGGGAGTGTTTGATGCGTCGGTAGTGTGTGAGACGCTGCTCAATTGCGCTGTGAAGGGGAGCAAGAAGGTCGGCGGCAGAAGGCGCGAGTCCAGACAGCAGGCCCGCTTGGCTGCGCGAGAGAGGAACATGATGACTTGTGTGTGGAATGGCTATCGCTATTCGGGAATGTCGTATCACGCTCCGCAGAAGAATATCGACTTCGGGCGTCTCCAATGCCAAGCCCTGGACTTTCGGCGCAGAGGCAGGGACTTTGCCTCTCGCGCTCCCCGCAAAAGTCCATCTTTTTTCTGGACTCAATCCTTCCCCATCACCAACTCACCCAATCCACGACATAATCAACCGCCGCCATGCCTCAGAATGAGTATATGGAACGCTTTGCCAAGCAGCATGGCAAGCGTCTCGATCACGATGAGCGCAAGCGCAAGAGACAGGCCAGAGAGGGCCACGCCGGTTCCGAGAAGGCTCAGAACTACCGCGGTCTGCGCGCAAAGCTGTACCAGGAGAAGCGCCGCAAGGAGAAGATCCAGATGAAGAAGCAGATCAGAGCCCACGAGGAGCGCAACGTCAAGTCCAGCGAGCCCGCAGAGCCCTCCAACACTCCCTTGCCCGCCTACCTGCTCGACCGCAGCAACGAGAAAAATGCAAAGGCTCTTTCCTCGGCCATCAAGAACAAGAGAGCCGAGAAGGCCGCCAAGTTCAGTGTGCCGCTGCCCAAGGTCAGAGGTATTGCCGAGGAGGAGATGTTCAAGGTCGTCAAGACCGGAAAGAAGACTGCAAAGAAGAGCTGGAAGAGAATGATCACCAAGCCCACTTTCGTCGGCCCCGACTTCACTCGTCGCCCTGTGAAATACGAGAGGTTTGTTTCTTCTCTGCCCTCCAATTCCCCTGGCACATTTGTACTCACACAATTCGCAGATTCATCCGTCCCATGGGTCTCCGTTACAAGAAGGCCAACGTCACCCACCCCGAACTCGGTGTCACCGTCCAACTCCCCATCATTTCCGTCAAGAAGAACCCTCAAAACCCCATGTACACCCAGCTCGGTGTTTTGACCAAGGGTACCATCATCGAAGTCAACGTTTCCGAGCTCGGTCTGGTCACAGCTGGTGGAAAGGTCGTCTGGGGTCGTTGGGCCCAGGTCACAAACAACCCCGAGAACGACGGATGCCTGAACGCTGTCTTGCTAGTTTAAGTGTGTTTCGACCTTCGGATGACTTTTTTGTGTTTCTTTGTGCATGGCGCCGGTGTTGGCGGAGTTGTATCAATCTGACTGGGAGAGACGGGGGAAATTTACTTGTGTTTTAATCGTTTTCGTCAGATGGCCCGGACAAGAGGAAAATGAGCAAAGGTCTGGCTGGCCTCAAGAATACCCTGGGATCAAGAAGAGAGAATCAAAAATAGAATAGCATAGTATTCAAAGCAAAATGATCGAAATCAGTCATGAGCAAATCAGATCTCAATCTCGAAAATGTGTATAATAGAAGAAGCTACCGACCAACGCCATGCCTTTTGGTATGCAAGAAATCAAAATATCTCGGAACGCAAGCCTACAATGCCTCAACAGCCGTTTGCAACAAGCCACCCAAATCATTCAAACCACCCTCCTCAACCGTGATGATCCTCTTGGGGATCTCAAACTCGACAACCGGCGTCTTCTTCATCTCCTTGCCCAACTCTGCATCAATCAGACCTTGGTAATTATGATCCAAGAAATCTTCCATGTTGTAATTCTTCTTTGTGAATTGCTCCTGGATGATCCTCGCCAATGTAGCGACGTTGGGGTGATAATGCGAGGCCAAAGTCTCAAGCTCCCAGAGCGAAGAGTCGATGGCGTTGGTTTCCATAGGGTCGAGTTGGTCCATGGAAAAGGGGTCGTCCATACCTTCGGCTTCGAGTTTCTTGAGTTGTGCGGCACCGCGGACTTCGCGGTGGATCATGAATGTGCAGGTGCGATGACGGAGTAGCATGTTGTAGACCCAGGGGATTACTACCACGATAGCGGCAGGAGGGGCGTGCAGCGCTAGTCTTGACAATCTCTTGATGAAACTAGCGACCATAGCTGAAGGTAAATGGGTTGAGCTCATGAAGGTTTCGAGGAGGCGGAAGAAGCGACTGCGGTGTTTGGAGTGCAGTAGTGTGTCGTCGAGCAGAGAGTAGAGTTTTGTGTAGAAGGCAGGGTAGTCGAGGTTCTTCTCGGCGATCAGATAGAAAAGACCAGATAGGGCGAGCAGAGAAGTGGCACCACCGGCATCGTAGCTGTCGGTAAGGAAATCCATGAGCGATTCGGGCTTGGTGAACCAGGGGACAATGCGGGTGGTCAAGTGGTGAAGGATAGATTTACGCTCATCCTTGGTCATGGCTGAGCGGAAGATTGCGAGCCATGCCTCTTGTGCTGTCTTGCGATGCGAGGACAGAGATAAGAGGGCGTGCTTGCGACCTTCGGGCGTTTGACCATACCAGTCTTCCAGTTGCGAGTCCGAGTCGGGAGCGTTCTCAATGAGCAGAAGTAGCGAGAGGGCGTTGGATACGAGTGTCTGGCGGTCGTAGCCTTCAGGCGAGCGAGCGAGGATGTTTGCAACAGCATAGAAGGTAAAGTAGCGGACATCGTCGTGCTCCTCGACAAAGTTCTCCATGAACTCCTCGCGCGCACCAGCAGCATCGGCTGATGCCACGAGTCCCAGAACCAAGTCGGCAAAGATACCAGTTCTCCAAGCTTGCTCAGCACGACGACCGTCCTGAGATGTCTCTTCCTTGACCAGGCGCATCAACAGAGTCAGGGAAGTGCTCTGAAGCTCCTCGCTTGCCAATAGACGACCCAACTGACGTCCGTATTCCTTGTATTGCGTCTTGAGCCAATCGACCTGCTCAATCTCCTCCTCGTCCATAGTCTTCTGCTTGACCATTCTCTCAGCAGCCATCAAGCGGCAGAAGACGCGGCATAGTGCCACAGCAGCCGTGACTTTTTGGGTTGCATCCTTGGACTTGAGGAATTTGAGTAGGCTGGTGATATTCGGGTAGTTGGACGGCGACTCGAGGATTTGTTGCTCTAGCAGCAGCATTTGCGCTTGGGGGTCGTTCTCGCCATCGTCCTTGCTGGCGGCCTTTACTTTTTTCGATTTTGTAGGTTTTGCGACGGCGGCGGCATCAGTGCGCTTGCGCTTCTTTTCGACGAGTCCTGGCATATTGAAGTCTTGTGTCTGACAAGAGCCGTATTTCACAGCTTTTGCGAGGTCGTAGAATGAAGCAGTTGTTCCTGCCTCGTACAAAATAAAATCTTTGGCAATTACGCAGTACCCGACTTTCTCTCGGCGTCGGAACAGCACTGAGCAGGACGCGGGCGGCAAATGCCGTTCTCAGAGAAGCTTGACGAAGCCTGTCCGACGACCAACGACAGCGCTATCGCAGGGTAGTCCAAAGAGTCCAGTCAATTGCTTCTAGCACATCTCTCCGCTCTCTCCACCACTCACACTCCAACACAATGGCCTCTCGTGTCGCTCGCAGTGTCATGGGTGCGCATTCTCCCCCTCCCGAGTCTTCAGTCTGGCATGCGAGAAACACAGACTAACCAGTACTTTCCCCCCAACAGGCGCCGCCCGCGCGCGTCCCACCGCCGCCGTCTCCTCCCTGCACAAGGCCGCCGTGCCCGCCGTCCAAGCGCGCCTGCAAAGCAACCAGCCCACACCCGAGAAGAAGGCCCAGAGCATCATCGACTCCCTCCCCGGCAGCAACCTCTTGAGCAAGACCGCCATCCTCTCCGCCGGCGCCGGTGTCTCGATCGCCGCCATCAGTAACGAGCTCTACGTCGTCAACGAGGAGTCTATTGTCATGCTGTGTCTGCTCTCCGTCTACACCGGTATCGCCGTCTACGGTGGCCCCGCTTACAAGGAGTGGGCCGAGAACCAGACCAACAAGATCAAGAACATCCTCAACGCCGCTCGCAAGGACCACACCGATGCCGTCCAGAAGCGCATCACCAGCGTCCAGGACCTCGGCGGTGTCGTTGACATCACCAAGTCCCTTTTCGCCGTTTCCAAGGTAACATTTACCCTACTTCCGACTCTCAATTCTACCCGGCCAAACAATGCCATAAACTCGTTTGCGGAACACAACTGACCACTCTCAACAACAGGAAACCGCCCAGCTCGAGGCCCAAGCCTACGAGCTCGAGCAAAAGGTCAACCTCGCCCACGAGGCAAAGACCGTCCTCGACTCCTGGGTCCGCTACGAGGGTGCCGTCAAGGCCCGCCAGCAAAAGGAGCTCGCCGACTCCATCATCTCCAAGATCGACAAGGAGCTCGAGAACCCCAAGGTCCTCAAGCAGATCCTCGACCAGGCCGTTGCCGACGTCGACCGCATCGTCTCCAAGGCTTAGATTTCCTTCAGACATCCCCACCAAAACTCATTGATTTGAGCTTTTGAGGGTGTTGTGTTTTTGTTGTAAGCTGAGAAGTCATGACGATGATGGAGAGGTGCAGGGAAGACGTAGTAGGATTCGAGGAAAAATCAAAAGATACTCAAAAAGCACACATTGAGACTTCCTCTTCTCGTCTTTTTTTCGCGAAGAAAGTTCTCCTCAGAGCCTGTGTAAATAGATCTATCTGTGCTATAGCGGAAACCACCATTTTCTTTTCTTTCTCCTGCTTCCTATTTCCCGATGCTGCTAAATCGTATTGCCAAGACCTTGTGTCACACGTGCTTGGAAAGATAATACGTTGGATACGTTGTATTCGTACGACCACGATGTATTACAAGACACTATCCACTACATACATGCAGACATGCGATGAACTCAAAACGGACAAAGGGGGTGGCCCAGAAGAAGAGTCAAGGAGACCATGACATACACCAAAAAGAAAAGGAGAAAATGAGATAAGATAAGAACGAAAGAAGACTATATACACACTCGCCCGGGCTTTGATCGACTCTTTATACTCAAAAAAAAACAATGAGCCTGATTAAAGTGAGTGATACCAATGAAAAGGCAACAAGGCCACGCTTGACCCACCCAACATGCTCCCCAAGACGCTTAACCTCTTCTCGACGCCCACGAATCCGACCTTGACCGATCCTAGAAGCCAAAGGGGTTTTGTGGTGTGGCCTTTGACAAGTTGGCCCTGCCAGTGGGTTGAGGTGTAAGTCTAGCAGCAGGCTGAACACCAAAGCGGACTGGTGGAGGAGGTCCAGTCTTTTGAGGGACCAGAGGCTGCAGACCAGTGGGTTGAGCGGGCATGGGGGGCATGGGAGGCATAGGCGGTGCCTGTTGTCCATATCCGCCGAAGCCAGTCTGTTGTTGTTGGGCATAGTTCTGACCAAATTGGCTCTGGGGTGTGAAGCCTGTGCGCTGGGGTTGGAGAGCCGGTGGGAGGCCGGTTTGTTGGGGTTGCATGGGAGGAGGCATGCCGAAGCCCGTTTGCTGGGGTTGCATGCCTGGGGTGTAAGATTGAGCCATGCCCGTGGGCTGGGACTGGAAGATGGGGCGAGGGGAAGGATCGGCGAAAGGTGAGCCTGTAGCTTGACCATTGAGGTAAGGTTGTTGCTGGCCAAAGCCTGTGGCCTGAGGCATCTGGTATTGCGCTGGGAAACCGCTCTGCTGTGGCGACTGCATATATCCTGTTGCTTGTGGCATGAGCCCTTGGAAGCCGGGTTGCTGGGGGAATCCGGTCATCTGCTGTTGCTGGAACTGCTGCTGTTGTTGCAAGTTCTGTAGGCTCTGGCCAGGAGGAGCTTGGTAGCCGGTCATCTGGGGCTGAAGTGCTGGGGGAGCAAAGCCCTGTTGGGGAAGACCAGGAGCTGAAGCCGCACGCTGCGGTGGAGGTGCGATCATGGAGTTGCCTGTCTGCATTTGTGTTGGAGCTGCGGGACGCTGTCTCATGCCTGTCATTTGTGACTGCAGAGGAGATGGGGCAGCAAGCTTGTCGAAGAAAGAAGGGTCAGCTCCAGTCCTTGCTGGTTGTTGTGGAGGTGCAGGGGGAGCCTGAGGTACGGCTTGAGGAGCAGGTGTTGGTTGTAATGCTGGCGAGAGCAATGACAAATCTGACATATTTTGTGTAAGCTTCGGTGGCTCGGGAGCAGCAGGAGCGGGTGGAGGCGATGGAGCCTTTGCGGGCGCCGGGGTAGGAGCCTCAGAAGCAGATACATTCTTCGATGGCTTGACATCCCAAGCATCATCATCAAATCCTGACGAGGCTGCAGCTCTGGCAGGTGCAGAGGCAAGAGGAGTCTCGACCTTGGGCGTCTCAGACTTTTGCTTGAAGGCATCAGGGTCGACCACGTCGTTGGTTTGAACAGCAGGAGCTGGTCTTCCCTTGCGTGTGTTGTTTCTCAATGCGCCACCAGGTCCAGAGAAGAGACCGCCTTCTCCGTTGGTTGCATCAGCATCGTCCTCGCCGAAGCTAACACTCTTTTTCTGGCCAGTGCGACCAAACTTGTTATCCAGATACTTCATGACACGAAGAATGTCTCCTTCCTTCAGCCCAAGTGTGCGCAGCAACTGTGTATCAACGTCAGGGAGAATCTCTTCACCCATTTGATCGCGACTGAAGGCAGCGGCATATCGCTCGCAAATCTGAGGGTTGACACCAGCTCCAAGGAAGAAATCGAACCAATCGTAGTCAGGCTTCTGTTCGACGACAGCACCTGATGACGCGCCAGATTGCTGTAGTCTCTCTGGTCGCTCCTTTCTCTTCTCGGTGCTTCTACGCTTGATTTCTGAAAGCGGCTTGTCTTCGTCGAGGGATACGCCGGTAGCTCTCTCAACATATTCCAGGTCTTCAATCGCCATCTTGTTAACGGGCACAGCGATCTTGACACCATTTTGCTTGTGAAGGTGAATCTTGCCATCCTTCAAGCCAATGAATTCAGCCTCGACCTTGAAAGAACCTGATCTGTCTGTCCAGGTGCGGACCTTCGCGGCGTTCGGTTCTATATGCTGTTAGAATTATGGACAATCAGCAAGACTCAATACACTTACTGGGCTTGTCACTCTTGTCGCTCTTGCTGTGTCTGCTCTTGCGGTGATCGTCCTTAGCCAGACTGCTGTGGCGCTCTGGTCTACTGCCATCATCTGAGTCTCGCACTGAAGATCTAGCCACTTCCCTCGTAAGGCGCTGTTCTTCAAGTCTGTTCTGCTCGACAGTGGAACGTGCAGCGTTGAGGCCAGTGTATGCTGATGATGGCTCAGGGAGAGTTCCAGTAATCTCGACGTAACTGCTGGGCACAACTCCTTCTTTGCCGTTCTTGAGACGTTTGACCATCCACCATTCCTCGCTCTTTGTGTCGTCTAGAATGACGACCTCGTCATCAATGGCAACCGTCACTTCGTCGTCACCTTGAGCCATGAAATCGTAAAGTATCGTACCCTTCTTCTTGCCACCAGCACCAGTGCCAGAGCTAGCTGCCCAGACCTCACGGAGGCCCTCGGCTTTGGAAGCACCGGCGAGCTCGCTAAGGATGCCAATAATTTCCTGGGCAGTGTCTTTTGCACCTGCGTGGAGATCCACACTCTTACTAGGACGGACCAGGTCAAGGAAGACATGTTTGCCCTCAATGGAATAGTTGGACAATCTATCCGCAGTCCATTCCTGGGAAGGGCCATCCTTTGCCTTGGCGGGAGAAAGCGATACTAGTCCCTTGGCGAGGTTAATACCCAAGGTGATGGGCATCTTCTTGTTCTTGCCCATGTGTGAAACAACCTCGGAAATGTTGTATAGACGGAAGCCACCAGGTGACCTAAGAGCAGCCTCCTCATCCTCGATATTCATTGCTCTGTTGTAGGGAAGAGAAGCGCTAACACCCTGGGGCTCGCGTTCGACGGGAGAGTACATGGGAGAGCGTACAGGCTCGCGAGAGACAGATGAGGTGGGTCGTGGAGGCATGCTGGGAGTGGGCTCATCTTCCGACTCGTCTGGGGTGTATTGTGGTCGCGAGGGCAGAGGTGGCGAAGCAAGACCGCGACTCATTGGTGCCTCATATGATCTGGGTTGAGTTTGTGATTGACCAGTCTTTTGCGCAATAATGCCAGCGAGAGCAGCGGCGGGATTCTGTACCGGACTCTCTGGTGGAGACTCGTTCCATTCCGCCTCTTCGGGCTCGGGTTCGGCGATTTGTGGTCGTGCAGGCATTGCAGGTGCAGCGGGAGCGGGAGCGACAGCTGAGGCGGCAGCTGCTGAAGCCTTCTCAATATAGATAGCAGGAGCAAAACCATACTCGCCGTTCAAGCCGACGAGCGTCCAATCTTCATCTGACGTGTCGTAGACATCCAGGCGCGCGTCTTCGGGAAACGAGAGCTCTTCGTCGGTCTGCTTGGTGTAATCGTACAAAGCTCTTGCTGAATATAATGGATGCGCCTGAGGAAAGGTCAGTAAGAGCTAGTGGAATAGACCAAGCATAGTGACAGACTTCTTCAATGTAGTTGTTCGGAATCAAGCCTTCTGGCTCGTCTTCCTCATCAGACATGGCCTTCTTCTTCGCTTTCCACCAATCATCATCCGAGTTGTTGTCCAAAACAAAAAGCAAGTCTCCTTCAGTCAAGGTCAATTCACCCTCGCTTTGGGGAACGTAGTCGTAGATGGCCCGGTATACACCTAGAAATGCCATGGTAGGTGATAGGCCACGATGGCGGAATAATTGGGAAAAGTGTTGGAACCAAGTCGCGGTAGCTTAAGAGGCGCAATGACTTGACGGCGTGTCAAGGAGCGATTAAGGGAGAGATTGGGGGAGTCCAGGACGCAGGACGACAAATAAGCGACGTGAATGTGAGATGAGTTTCGCGCGTCCGAAGCAATCGAGGGCGTCTGTAGGGAATGGGCAATCACGGCAAAGCCTCGTTCTGGCGTGGAAACAGAGATGTCGTAGAAGGTTGGCTAACCTGCAACTGCCACGACGTAATTAGACCTTCCGCGGCCGTCCACGAGAGTTCATAACAGCCGCACGGGCTTTCTCAAACAACACCTGCCAAGCATCCATCTACTCAGCACTTTGGCAAATGATCGTGATTATTGTTATGATACACCGGATGCGAGAGTAGAAAGACATATGGCATCATCGAAAGTGGACTAAGATCTTGAATGAACATTCGTATGCTCTATGCGTGGTTGAAGCTAACTCGACCATCCGAAGCATTGAAAGGTGGATGCGATGGATCAGAGAAGCCCAACGTTCTCTAGCACTGGCTCATCCGTGCACTGCCATCGTTACCGGCAGCTTCAACCGATCCTCGCGTGCTTCTGCTCGCTCTTTCCAATCCTTGATGTTAATCTTGAACACTTTCTGTGCCACACTGCATGTTAGAGGAGCCATCTGCAGCCCTGACGAATCTCTCGACTGTGCCATGTTCCTTTTCCAAACTTCCAATGCGAGCTTGAAATGTCGACAACGTATCGTCAACCCGAGCTGGTCTCGCCGGACGTCCATCCGATGAAGCTCACACCTCGCAACCAGCTCCTTGCTGAAACCATGTTGAGGACGACAAGATTATATGTCAGGCGCCGAATTCGACAATCTTTGCAGCAAGCCTCGAAAAAATCCACCTTGTGTTCGCTTGAACAGAAGAAACCTTGTGCAGCGGGGTCAGACTTTGTCCATGTCCAATCTGCCTGCGATCAAGTCTTTGCCATACAGGAGCTTGCGGACGCTATTCTCGCCCACCTCGGCGACTTTCACGATGTATCTTGTTGTTTGGCCGTCAATCGAACCTTCCGCCATGCCGTCCAACAATCAATCGCTTGTAAACTCACGGCACTGCCTTTCAAAGCGTGTGAGGACCCACATCTGTTCCATATGGAGAAACAGCTCGATCTTGTGCGCTCGGCATCCTACTGGTGGAGCCATGCGCAACGATTCTCTATGAACTCAGGGAATATCTTCTATCCTCGTAATGCTCCATGGCCAATGCTAGTCTCCGTATACGATGTATACAATTCCATTGGCGAACATCGAAAATCTCGTGTCACTGTCGACATGGGGTTCTCTTCTGATGGGCACACTCCCGGAGACTTCAGACTACATGGAAGCTGGCTCGAGCTATCCTTGCCGCTGCCCGATACCGTTGTCTGGGTAGTCAGTATAGCATGTGACTGTCACAGAACCAACTCCTTTCTCGACCGACTAGAAACTAGCGATCAAGTAGACCGGAACATCTACAACAAAGGCACACCGCTAGTCTTCCCCTACAAGATCATCACGCAACGCGGCGACCACTTGAAACAGATCGCTATATATGCAAGGAAAGCATATAGGATGCATCGCCATTGTCGGAACGATGCAGGCGATCGACCCGCCGGACTATCCTCGATTACTTTCAAGACGCTCGAAGAGAAAGAGTCGCGTTCTGATTTAGTAGCCCTGGATTTATTTTCAAGCTCTCGCGCATATTCAGCGTCTTACTCGACTTCTCCCTCACCTAAGTTCCGGTCAACGCCATCGAGCTCATGGGCTTCCTGGTCTCCAGCTGTGCCGCGAGAGAAGACGAGAGGAGAAGTCTTGGAAGAGATTATCCTAGAACTTGCTGATTTCTCGTCAAATGCAACATGGGATGAGGCTTCTGAAGATGTTTCGTCAGACGATGATGAAAATATTCTGCCTAGATCACAGAGTATTCCGTCTGAGGAGCTTGCTTACACGTTACGTAAACTCAGTCGACTATCGGCTTGGGACAAGTTGATGGGACGTACTGAGATGAGGCTAGGCTACTAAACATAGTTGCTAATGAGTCGACTTTCACGATCGATATTCAGCTTTACACACCTCGGACACAGACCTTTTCGGAACGAGCTCTACTCGCAGCTACTTGAGATAGCATTCAGAGTTTGTAGCTCTACAAGGACAATCGAGGGCAGTAATGATACCAGGCACGCACGATAGCTCCATACATACCCTTTGTCTCGTGCGGCCTCACCAAACATTCTTTTGCTCAAGATAGGCTCAAGCTCGATCAGATCACTTCTCCTCTTGGTGTACACATCATCCCTCCTCTCTTCTGGATCTCAGAAAAACTACTGTCGTCGTACTAACAAAGGTGGCCCGGTGAACAGGATAGACAACAACTCTCGTCCTTCCAGCCTGTTAACAGTAATCTCGAAAAAGTTGCTCCCGATTGAGCTAAGTAGAGGACAGCACGGGCACCGGTCTCTAGGCAGCAAGCCTATCAACCCACTCAGAATTCCCTCAATCAAGCTCAACTTCGTACAAATACCCTTGTCATCCTCTATGCTCATCAACCTTTATATTTCAAAATATTCTTGCCTCTTTTAACAAGCCATGGTGGTGTAGTGGTAGCATATCTGGTTACGTTTGGGCACGTGCGCATTCTTTCATTCAAGCGTGGTCCCGATAAATCAGGAGGTCGCAGGTTCGATCCCTGCCCATGGTGCTTTTCTTTTTGTCCATGATGTGGTATATGTATTCACGAAGACATAATCTCTTTTGCTCTTTCAATGCCGGAGGTTTGCAAAAAAGATTCGAACGACAAATGTACAAGATGAATATGCGATGACTGTAGTCATATTCAATTGCTCTGCAGCTATTAATCTAACCCAAAACTCCTGATACATGTTTTGCTACTACTGTACGACTTCCTCCTCGCTTTCCTGAGTTTTGGGCTCATCCTCCACACCCTTCCACCCAGTAGCTGCTTGAACAAGCACCATGAGCACTGCGAGACCAGCGGCGGCTAAGAACAAGCCTCTCAACGCATCCTCATATCCCGCAATAGCCTTGGTCTTGTTGGCTCCCTTCAACAGGCTGACCATGGCGGGACTGCCCAAAAGGCGACGCACAAGATCCGCGTCGCCTTTGTCAAACTTCTCCTCCAAGGACTTTCGTAGAAGACGAGTGAAAAGACCGCCGCCGATGGCTGAGCCGAAAGAGCCAGCGAAACCTCTGAATGTGGCGATGAGAGATGTGGCGATGTAGTGAGTGGAAGCCGGTGTAAGATGCAGCAGATGAGCAAGAGTATAGTTCATAGCTGCACCAACAGTAAGACCATTCAAGAACAGCAACAAGATGTACAACCACGAAGATGCTTTCGCAGTCGAGAGCATAGCGATGCCGACCAGTGTGATAGGGAACAGCATATACACAATCACACAGGCAATGTAGAAACTGCCCTGGCGGCGAATGTGGAAGACACCGACCAGGATGCCTCCGAGTGCAAAACCGCCGTTCGTGGCGATCAGAATGCTGCCGGCTGCTGCGGGCGCCCAGCCACGAACGGCGAGTGTGTAGGTTGGTGTGAAGAAGAGGACGCTCCAGCGTGCCATCATGAAGCCTACAGTGCCTAGGCAAGTGAAAGCCATACCGCGGGATTTGAGAAGGGTGACTGGGATGATAGGATCCTTGGCCAGATACATCTCATTGAGGATGAAAGTCGCCAACGCGACGATGCTGAAGATGATCGGAAGAATTGGAATGCGGCGAGGATTTGAGAGGGCTGCAAGTAGCAGGACAATGCCGACAGTCAAGGTAAAGGCGCCCAGATAGTCCAATGTCGACAGCTTCTTCCAGACACTCTCTTTGCTGTTGCCTCTAGCAGCGGAGAATTGAGTAGGGATAGCCAGATAGAGAGCTCCACCAGCTACAACAGCAAGTGGAGTCTGCATCCAGAACAGGGCTCTCCAGCCAACACTGTTGACCAATGCACCTGCCACAGTCGCTCCAACAGCTACACCAACTGTGAAGCCAGAGTTTAACAGACCAATGACAGCACCGCGTTTGGTAGGTCCGCTGAGCTCCAGCACAACAATGATCGAGACGGTAAAGACTCCAGCAGCTCCAATACCGGTGATTATACGTCCGAGGATGAAGCTGGCGAAAGTCTGGGCAAAACTGGTGAGGAGGGCTCCCAATCCCAGGATCATAGCACTCGCACTGATACAGTTTCGCGGGCTGAATAACTGGCTGAGCTTGCCAGTCAAGGGAGAAGTCGATGATACTGCAATGAGATATGCAGAGGTAAACCAGCTGGTCTTCTCGAAAGCATCAAGATCAGCTGCAATGGTAGATTGTGTCGTGGTTAGTAGTGAAATGTTTGTGGCTACGAGTAGTTCTTGTCAGTATGAACTTTCAGACTTCGAGCCAATGCTGGCCTTCGATATTGATTGCATACCTTGCAGGAAAATCAACGACCCCAATGCAACAACACATATCGCCGCCCTTGATACTGAGATGCGGCCCGAGTCATCCTCGATCTCGCTATCGGGCAAGTACTCATTGCCAGCATCTACGGTACTCGGCTGCGGTCCAAGCAGCGGCGCCCTTTCGTCCGCTACCTTCGTGTTTGGACTCATCCAGATTTGATGTCCTGGTGTTGTTCCTGATTATTGACGCGAGAGTTTGGCGAATATCGATGACGCAAGGCAACGTGGGAATTTATCCGCAAGCAGTTTCAAGCAATTGTGAGTAATCGATGCACAACTTGTAAATCAGTCAATCTTTTTGTGGTAGCCTCGACAATGGTCCGAGCAAGCAAGTAAAGCAGACAGTATCAAGTCAGGAGAGGTACCTGTGGCTAGATAGGCATGTCCTACAGGTTGATTTGTCAGATTAGGAAGGCGCTGGCGGAAGCGGAGGATTCGTCGGGCCGACGCAGCCGACACAGATCTGATTGACTTCACCTCACTTCTAGGTTCTTCCTGCCATCTTGCTTGATGGTTTCCATATCGTGATGTCCGCGTTTTCATTTCTGCAAATCGATGAGAGGCCGTCCATTATATTGCAATATACATTAGGTGAAAATGAGCGAGATGGATGTCCTTGACGGTCTCAGTCCTGATCCCGGGTGTCTGGACATATTGTTCAAAATGTGGGTGGATGTCTTGGTTTACTGTCAATGACCATTGGATGCCAATGTCTCTCCAACTCATTCCCTCCCATGTGTATTCAGATACGCCTCTCCCCTTCTTGATTCCATTCTCCCATTAGTCTGCCAACACCCGTAACTATCTCTCAATCGACCAAAGTACTGGTAACCAGAGCCTCCCGTGGTGACTGAACTGTAGTCCAGTATAAGAACGCCCTCTAGAGAACACTCATCTGGAATGGGAAATATTTTGATTGGATCACCGAGGCTGGGATCGTCCTGGAGAAGGTGTTAAAAACGGCAGACATTTTCCTCGTTGCTGACGACAGCCATAATGTCTAAGGTGACCTAAGCTTTGAGGACTGTGTCGCTAGTAAATTCCTCCAAGTTTCTGTAGGCGACGAGCTAGTCAAGCACGTGAAGATTAGTGCTGATGCGTGTGAAGTTTAGCTTAATTGCCGTCTTAGGTTACTAGACCTCGAACTTCTTGGCGAGAACATGGCGAGGTAGGTAAGTGTTTCCTTACGCTTAATTAAGTTAACGGAAGTATCCTAGCTTTCCTTTCTCTCCCTATTAAAGTCTGCATATCGAGCTCCTTAATCTCATTCTAAACGATTAAGACAGATCCCTACTTAAACGATAGTCGAAGATCGTAGGATAGTGTTAACATTGTAAGATGAAAACAAATGTAAAGTAAAGATTAAAAACAAATCACCAAATCCTTCACTTCTAAACTAACGCTTATAATAAATCAAACTCCGCTTAACTCTAAGAAGATAGGAGGCTTAGCCTAATGGGAACTAATGATTGCTTCTATTAACCTCTCTAAATCCGAGCATAAATAGAATCTAGAGGTTATAAGTTCGACTTATAGCCTTAGTTAGTCGCGTTAACAATTTGGTTAAAAAGATGTTTCCTAAGAGATTAGTTTTTTTGCTGTTTTATTATGATAGATGTGCGTAGCTTGTTTTTGCCTCTATACTTTTGATCGTACTTAGGAGCCCTCTATAGAACTCGTCTCTATTATAAGTGCTTACGTAGGCTACGGAGGGTACTAGTACTGCCGTACTTAAGCAGGTCTAGAGCGGCAAGTTTCTTTATTATCGAAGGATCTTGTCGATAACCCCCGGCCCGATGTGCAGTCTAACTATAGTAATATTAACACGATTCCTAAGGCGGCTAAAATTAGACCTATAGTTATAGGAGCACGCTGCTAAAGGTGCAGGTAAAGTTAGTTAGGGATAGCCTATTTGATGTCGGAAGTTAATTTGCTTAGGTATGCTAACTTCTATAGACCGCTCTCGAGGCGCATAGAACAATACATTATACGTATAGTAGAAAATAGTTAGAGCTAAAAGTAGGCGATGCGGAAATTGTATATCATCTATAGCTACGAGGAATATTAAAGGAAGAAGATACTACTTCCTAAATGCTAAACAGTAATCTTTCCTTCGACTTAAAAGCGAGAAAAGACAGTCTTAGAATAACAAAAAATTGTATGTTCGATAAGAGAAAATGTATGTAGACTAAGGCAGCTAAAAGTTTAAGGTCTTTCGAGAAAGGAGAGCTAGACATATGCTTCCTTCGGTTATATATACGAACGCATAAAGGCTCTTCGACTCTCTGTTAAACTAGCACGTACTCCTCGAGTGTCTCTACGTTTAAATACCTCTACCCTATATTAGCAAGACGTGTGCTGCTAGCTCTAGAATTTCTTTAATCTAGCCTCTAAACCTGCCGCTAGTATGTTTTAGTTACCTATCCGTATTAACGTAAAGAGCATCGGTAGCGAAGCATCTCCTAGCGTTTATATCGGCGAGGATAGTAGCAAGTACGAGCTATAATCCTTAGACATCGAAGATTTCGTTATTAGGATTAGCATAGACGTAGCGGAGAGTCTAGTCGAAGTCGAAGCACATATAGTCGTATATAGTAGTGCTCTCGCCGAAGGCGTTAGCGATTAACTCGAAGAGCGTAGTAGCGTACTTCTTTAATTCGTCGATAAAGTACTTATCTACGATAGTATAGATTCGAGCTAAGAATAACAAGTCGTAGGCTTTCGGTGTTGTTTTAACCTTATTAATCTCTAAAAATTCTAGGTAGTAAAAGAAGTGTATCATTTCGCGCACGATCTCGGGATCGTTACCTTTATTAGGGTCGTAGTCTTTAGCCTAATATAGATTAGGATGCAGTATAAGCCGTCCGGTCTCGCCTTCCTAAATCGAGTTAGAAATGAATTAAGTAAGTGAAGTTAGTAAAGTGGCCTACTTTAAATGATATGTTGTCTATAGCTCGAGCAAGCGCGTCGGAATAGATGCGAAGGACTAGCTTATAGACCTTAAAGTTGTATGTACTACAGACGATCTCGAAGTCTACGTTAATGCGATTATGCTAGAGTCTAATAGAAATGTCAATATAGGACGGTTGCATCCATAAATTAAATACCTACGTCTTAAGCAATGTAGTAGAGGTTTTAAGCTTTAGATTAGTAGAAAGCATTGCTTGTATCGTACCGATGTCGTTATCCCGGCTCTTTAGATTTAGCGCGTATTAGTAGTATAGAGTCATAATGTAAGGTATAAAGATGTTCGCGCTAGTCGATGCTAATGTAAGATAGGACGCGTTAGTAGTCGGGATTACGGCGCTTACGTTTCTAGAAAGGGAAGATGCGCTTATCGAGGAAGGAGCGGATTAAGTTAGGGAAGTAAACAAGCTAATGCCGAATCTAAAGAGATACAAGATAGATCGCGCATGTATCATTTTTAGAGGCTTAACTAACTAATTATAGTAGGCAAGAAGAAGGGAAGATAAAACTTAATTAAGAATATAATAGGATAGTTCATTTCTATAGGATGCTCGACCGGCCGCGCTCTTCCTCTATAGAATATGTAAGTAAAAAAGCAGTATCATTTAACGACTTCCACTAAGGTACGAGCTAACTATACTAGGCTTAGCCTCCGAAAAACAAGCTAAGTGACATTAATTACTAGCTAGGACCCGGGGCCGTAGTCCGCAGTACTATAATATAGCCCTCTCCGAAGTAGTAGCTATAGCGGTAAGGAGAATCGAGGAGCTCTTTTAGCACTCGGAAAGCTAGCTCCGGTATTTCTTAAAGCAGCTTATCGTGCTCTCTAGATTTTTTGCTTATGCTCTAGTTACAGGCAAGGGCCTTTACTACTATAGTCCTTAATCCGTGCTTGCTAGCCGGTTCGATAGTCTTCTTATAGATAATGTAATAAGCCTCTACAAGCTCTAGATAAATAGGGTATCTTATTATGTAGGAGAAGTAATGTAGTACTTTTGCCTTTAATGCTTCGATAAAGTATTTCTTAGCGAGAACGTAGATTCTAGCTAAAAGAATGAGCGAGTGTCTAGAAAGCTCTTTATCTGTCGTATAGCGGTACATGCCGCGAGCTTTAGGGGATAGTTTAAGGTAGTAGAAGAAGTAGACTATCTCTTCGACTATGTTAGGATCGTCTCCGTTACCGAGGTTATTAAGGTTATTATTATAGGGATACGCCTTAAGATCGAGGATACCTAATAGCGCTTCCTAATTTTATATAAGCAAAGGCCTCTAGCTAGCTAACTAGGATATAAGGGACTTGCCTCGAATGAACGATTGTCGCATGCCTTAGTAAGCACATTAGAGTAAGCGCGAATGATCGTCTTATAGATCTTAAACTTCTTATTGCCGCATCGAATTTCGAAATTAGCATTGCTACGGTCGTCCTATATTCTAAAGAGTCAATTAGTAGCGTTATGCGCAAGCCGTTAAGGAAGACTTGCTCTTTAAGGACTAACATGCCGAAGTAGGCCTAGAATCTTTCGGACTCCTAGGATAACAGGTCGGCAGCTAATATATTAGACTGCTACTAGTTATCCGGTTAGGGAGATACGCTGCGAGAGCTCGGCGGTAAAGTGTTAGCTATAATAGTTGCTACTAGCAGTTAATACACAGTTATAGTTTGACGGAAGAGGTCTAAGCCTAGGAGACGGAGCGTAATGTATAGGAAGAGAAGCGGAGTACAATATAAAAGATAGAAGGTCGAGAGACTAAAGGGATAAAGGAGCAGATAAGAGTAAACAGAAAGCAAGAGCTAGACTAAGAAAGTGATGCTGTTTCTACTTACTAGTTACCTTAGAAATTGTCTTGTTGTCACACTAGTAGCTAATTTTAAGAACCCATGTTCACTTTCCTTCTACTAAGTCTAATCGGGTTTGCACTCGAAAAGCCATTAGGGTTAGTATAGCTATCTAACTACTGCTACGTTCGTAGTTAACTTCGAAGAGTTCCTATAGGATAGTAATCTAATCGTATAGGCGGGTAACTTTTGGTCGGTAGAGGGTCTTCTATGCGGAGGCCGCTAGGCCGAGTTATAACGCCTTACTTAGAAAGTGAAGCTCTTAAAACTCTTGCATCTGGTCGTAGGTCTTGCGCCCTCTTCGACTTAAACTTCTAAGCGAACTAAGATAATGTCTAGATCATTAGTTAATATGTCTTTTATGCTATCATCCTTATCTAAATCTTTAGAGGCTTTACCGGAAATGTGCGTTTTGTGATGGCCGTGGCGACCTATAGATCGAAGGGCAAATGACTAGTAGTCGTCGAGTAGGTTAAGACTTTTTCTGTCGGGTTAAGAGTAATAAGAGCCGAAAAAGGGGATAGACTTAACTAGAGGCTTAAGAGACGGGATAGAGCCGACGATGATCGTAATGCCGGTTTCAATAATTGACTATAGGACGACGTTAGAAACTTTAACTATAGACAGGTTAGTAAGAAGCATGATTTAGACCGGTCGAACTACTAACAAGTAAGGTCCTCGGTCGTAAAGTACGAGTCTAGATACTTAATGCGTACTATTATAGCAGCACTGGCCCTACATGACAGTTAATGAGAGTTCTTAATTACTAAGATAATACTTACAAGAAGCCTAGACTAAGCATAGTAGCCACTATAAACTTAAGTCTCCTTCTTATCTGTAGCTTCTATAATATGACAAACGGTATGACTACGTAAGCAAGATCGGTCGTAATTAAGCATGCCGTAACGAAGTATAAGATGTAAACGATAATTCCCTAGTTAGAATAGGTGCCTGCTAATGGTTCCTATGTCGCTCTAAGTAGTCTACATTGCAGCAAAACTGTCATTATGGCGATAAAACCGTAACTAGCGCTAAGAGCTAAGATAGCGTACAAGGTGTAGAGCAGGCGTCTAGTAACGATAAGTCGGATTAGAGCTACACAGATACTGCTCTTAATAAAGATTAGACTAGCGCAGTAGAGCACTTAGAATGTCATTAGAGCCTAGTCGAGTTAGCTCTATAGCAAAGTCATTGCTTAAGAAAATCATATACGCTTAATCTTCGAGTAATCGTCTCCGGAGAGGTTATAGTTATGCTAGCCTAATCCTGTTTTGCATCTACATAGGACGGTAATAAAAGTCATAATCCCGAAGACCTACACATGCGTTAGTAAGGATTAAACTAGTCTCTTCGAAGATATCTATACCGTTCTAATTAGCATAAGCTAATTATCGGACCTAAAACCTCTAATAGATATTCTTGTAAAACATCGCAGTGTAATTATAATGAAGCACAAGATATAGAAAAACATGGTAACAGCGAAAAGGATAAGGCATTAGCCCTCTAACGTGCTAGAAGCTATAGTTTGCCGTTAGAGATTACAAAAGGAGGAAAGAGTAGAAAAGACGACTACACATTAAGATTAGAAGCCCTACCTTAACTGTGTAGAGAGACCTATTCTTAATGGCGAACAAGTTTAAGGTTTCCCGCCAAGTGTCATGTCCTTTAGATCCTTAAAGCGTCGTAGACCTAACTTGTATATGGCGTACCGGATTAGACATACGAAGCTCTAGCGATTAATGTCATTAGTGTATTTAGTATGTTATCCATCTATAGTTGCAATTTAAGCATGAAAGCTAACAGTTTTTAATAGGCGTCATTACGACAGGACGCCGAATTAATGGAAGCTTCGAACGCTACTAGTCGTCGAGAAAGAAGACTAGTTACCTCTCGCGTAAGATCGGGAGAGTTTCGAGAACAACCTAAGCTTACATGTTAATGTTTCGAGAAGGCGGGTAGGTGCGTTCCACGATTTAGCGCGTTATAGAGAAGGAATAGTTAAAGTCTAGTTAAACGAAGCTCGGGAGGTTTGCCGGTCCTTGCAGCTACGAGGGTTAAACTAGGGGAAACCATAGGGCTTTAAGGCAACCTATTAAGCCGCGTTAGATGCGTTACGCAAGATTAAGCATGAGATGGTGCAGGTTATCTAGAGAAAAGCTTAAGACCTAGACTGCAATGAGATGGGATCCTAGCAAGACCGCAGGAAAATTTCTGATTGCAAAGGTCGAGCAATTCCCGTCACTCGTGGTGTCTAGTTAAAAGCATCACCCGCGTCGCACCTTAATCACTGAACGTCGGAAAGTTACATGCTCGCGACACCTAGGAGACAGCGCCAAACGACAACTCAGTTCCGATGTATTGCAAAGTTGAATCCGCACGAGTACCAGAGACCATTCGGTTGTTCTCTACGAGTGTTGGTGAGGAAGGAGCTCATACTCCTAGCTGGCTTATCGCTCCGGTATCGGAATTCCTGCTCGCCGGCGTCGCGCAATGTGACGAACTTCTTGGACCTTCCTTACTTCATGTTCCAAAGACAGAATATTGCTCGAACGGATCCTCAGGGGACGTTTTGTGACTATTGGCTCTTCGAGCAAAATGTCAATTCTCTCGGGTGATATCAGCAGCCTGTTGAGAGCAACTTTAACATATTGCCATTCTCAGCCGGTTCCTCCACACTTTGAGGAAGGTACAAGCGTCGCGCCGATCCACCTCGGGCAACTAAGCGGCGATGAGGTTTGTATATAGGCAGAACATCTCAACCGACACTGTGAACTCTTGACTCCATTCTAGACACATTTTCGCACATTCACAATGACACAAAAAGACCAGAAGATCTTGATCATCGGTACAGGCACTTTCGGAGCCAGTACTGCATATCACTTGGCAAAGAGAGGTTACACAAACATCACTTGCATCGACAAGTGGCCATATCCCAGTCTCGACTCTGCAGGCTACGACATTGTAAGCCTATTCGTGCTCTCCCATTTGGATAGATGCTCATTTTGAAGTAGAACAAAATCATCAGAACAGAATACGATGAACCTCTCTACGCAGAAATGGCCCTCGAAGCCATCCAAGCCTGGCGAACCCCAATGTACACCGACATATTCCACGAGACCGGCTGGATTTTAACCACCCTCGGCGACCCAAAAGCAACCGACCACCTCAAAAAGTCATACGAAAATCTCAAAAACAAAGGTCAAGCTCACAATATCGATTTCGTTAGTGGCAAAGACGAAATTGTCAGATATGTGCCACAGCTGAAGAACGCCCGCAATATCGATAATTGGAAGGGATTGTGGAATGAACAGGCTGGATGGGCGCATGCGGCGAATGCGATCAAGAAGGTTGCGGATGAGGCGGCGAAGATGGGTGTGAGGTTCATCTCTGGTCCGAGTGGTGAGATGGTCGGACTGGAGACTGAAGGCGATAAAGTCACTGGTATCAGGGTCAAGTCCGGTGAAATTCACCACGCGGACAAATACATTCTCTCCACTGGCGCCGCATCACCCGCCCTCCTCCCGGAACTCCACACCGAACTATGGTCGAAATGCTGGACTTATGGACTACTGGAATTGACAGAAGAAGAAGCCTCACAATTCAGAAACATGCCGGTCGTCTTGAACCACGAACTTGGTTTCTTCTTCGAACCCAGTCGCGAAGGCAGACTGATAAAAATCTGCAACGAGTTCCCCGGCTATCAATGGCGAAAAGGCGAATTTACCGATGCGAACGGCAAAACACACAAATATTCAGTACCGCGATACGCCAGCGAGTACCCCGGAGATGGGATTCCAGAGGAAGCCATGAACGCCATCAAGCACTTCATCTCAACAGTCATTCCGCAATTTGAGGGCAGAGAGATCAAAGGTGCGAAAGTGTGTTGGTGTACTGATTCGCCTGATGCGCATTATTTGATTGCCAATCATCCCAAGTATCCTGGAGGTGAGCTGTTGCTTGCGACGGGAGACAGTGGACATGCGTTCAAGATGCTACCGATCATTGGCAAGTACATCAGTAATGCTGTGGAGGGGGACTTCAAGCCAGAGTGGCGATATGGTAACCGCAAGCATTTGGACAGCGGCAGACCAGGAGACGAGGTGAAAGATCTCAAAGACGTCGGTATTGGTGGTCCTCAAGCAAGACTGTAGATTGTTGCTCAGCTCATTTAACAAGCCACGCATCAAACATTTTCCAACTGTCAACTAAACGACTCTACCCAACTCACATGAACACTCCTGCTCAAACTCTCCACCTGTACATCTACAAAGTGTACCGGAAATAAGGGTTCTCAAAATCCGTCTTGTCCTCCTCCCCCATCTTCTTCGCCCTCAAAGTTCTCTCCTCCTCGGTCAACCCATCGTTAGCAATAGCTTTATCCAACCGCCTATTTCTCAACACCAAAACAATCCTCCAGCAAACCAAGACCGCAAATTCAAGGCCGAAACAGATAGCGCAACCAATAACCCCAGGAATATAATATGGCGCATCTTTAGCCTTGAAGATCTGAGAGCCAGCCATATTGCCAACGCAATAACCTACAAAGGTGAAAGAAGAAGTGAACGTTCGCTTTGTGCGGCCGGCTGTGTTGGAGGGGATCAAGGACCAGGCGAGGAAGAGGGAGATGACGTATGGAACTGTCATGAAGTACATGCCCCATTTCGTCCACTTCATAGAAGGATTATTGGGGATGAACGCCATACCGAGGAACCCGACGAAAGGTGGGATGGTAGAGCCGATCATGAAAAACAGACGCAAGCCAGTTTTTCTGCTTGTGATGAGACCGACAGCGACAAAATAGAGGACGGAAAAGGCGCTGCGTGGGATATCGAGGAGGATGACTTGAAGATTGGTGAAGCCGAAGGAGGTGTTGATGATGTGGGCAAAAGTCGTAAGACCGCCGTTGGGGAGGGAGGAGAGGAAGGCATTGATGCCGGCGAACCAGAAGCAGGGGTCGATAAGGCATTCTCTGACTTGCTTCCATTGCCACTTCTTGACACCAGTACGGTCGTGTCCAGTATTGTTGCCAACGATGCGTGCATTGGCCATGCGCTTCTCCTCGGGCGATAGCCATTTGACCTCTGATGGCGTGCCAAGAAGGAACAAACATGCGACACCGACGAGGATGGTCATGGTACCGAGGAAGTAGCTCATCCATCTCCAAGGCTCCGAGTCTGGATTCTTTGCGCCACGCTTACCAATACCGTACAGTGCCAGACTCGAGATGATGCCGAAGCCGGCATTAGCGGATTGGAAGACAAGTGATCTTGAAGCGTGCTCTCTGGTCTTGTACCAGCTGCCGACCACCAAGATGAATCCCGGAGAGATACAGCACTCAAAGAGACCCTGAAGTGCACGGAGGACAACCAGATGTGTGAAGTTCTGAGCTGGACGTTGTTAGTAAAAAGCGATCGGAAGATGAAGATATTACTTACCAAACCCGATGCAAAGCACAACAACTCCCCAACAGATCATATAACAAGACAGAATCTTTCCCATCTTGTAGCGTTGCAGAACGATGTTGCTAGGGAACTCGAAGATCATGTAAACGAGATCTGCAGATTGTCAGATGTGCTCCTTCATAAGCTCAAACTGAACATACAAAAGACTGTGGTCAGCCAGCTGTACTGTTGACCATGGAGGCCAGTGTCTTCGCGTAGACCAAAGGTTGCCTGTGTGCCCAGAGCTGTTTTGTCGGTTTGTTGGATACCATAGCATAGCCACATGAGCGGAAGCAAGTATCGGTCGATCTTCCTTCGGAGCTGTTTATACTGCTCCTCAGTATACTCGCCCTCGGCAGCGACTGTCTACGTCAGTTATATACTCATCAGGCAGTGCCAGCGAGATTACCCACCAATGTCTTGCTCACTAATCTCTGAGACTTCGCCGACTTCGATGGAGTTCTGTTTCTCCATTGTCGCCATCTCCACGGCCGGAGACTTCTTGTCTTCGGCTTGGACTTGGTCTGTCGACATATCGATGTTGGTGAATGAGTTTACGAGATTCAGGATGGAGTCTTCGTCTGATGGAACATGTGGTGAGTTGGTGATCTATATGTAGTGGCCAAGACTGGTATCACGTCCATCTGTATCGGACGTTGCAATGAATGCGATAGATTGCTTTGGCCGAGACTCGAAAGGCATCGCAGTATGATAGGCCTATCATCGCGTTTCTTTGCCCGCTGCAGGTGATTTGAAGAGCATGTGCAATGTAGCGTGCCCAAATCACCATCAACCCTTCGGATCTGAGGTCTTATCGAAGACCGATAGGCAGACGAACATGCGACATCATGTTCTGCATATACCAAGACCCAAGCATGTAAGATATGGCATATTTCGCAGGCATGCCCTTATCTTATGCCACATCCTGGCCCTTTGAGTGGAACGTTACAGCTCTATCGTATATAGCGATTGGGTGCCTCTCTCTTGGCAGTCTTGGTATGACTGGGGTGCAGTAGGGTCGCTGAACTCCAGATAGCGCCTGCCGATAAGCAATGCCCGTCAATGTACACATTGTTTGTTGCATCTTCTGATTTCGTATGGCGACCACAACAGAATATTCCGCATTCGTCAGGGCTCGTCTTTCTCAGTTTTGACTTGCCTCAACAGCTGCTCTGCGTCTGCAAGCAACTTTGACAACCGGTCGGTGGGAGGTCGCCTTGACCGAAGTATGATACACATTCGAATGACCAGCTGATACAAGCTGAGAGATCCCATCATTTCCTTAAAATCGTGCGATTCGAGTCAGAACGGATCGTGGGTATCGTAAACTTCGTTTACATCTCGAGGAGTGGCAGCGGTCGCAGCGTCTGAACGGGCGGGACTGCTGGTCGAGAAGATGTCATGATCTTTGAGCCGCTGTGTCAATATGACTGTCCTTGGTATCGGAGAAGCGGGATCTAGACGGCCCTCCGCAGTCTTTTTGATTCTCGACACAATATCAGTCATCTCTACATCCTGGAGAGCAAGAGCGTACGAGTCTTCAAATATCGGAGTGCAGCCGAACTTGGAGGCCACCACGATGTCTAGCGCAGAGATTGCTTTTGTGACACGTTCACCGACAGCAGAAGCTTTCGCGATGGAATCCAAGCCACCGCGTGTATTGACCATCTGTCGCAGACCTGGTTGATGAATTGTTGCTGCAATTCGGTGATTCCCAGCCATACTCTCGCAGAATGAGATGAAGGTTACCGCGATCAAAGTGCCGTCGCTGCATGCGCGAGCCGGATTCGCGAGAGACTTATTCAGGTACTCGACACACTTGGATGAAAGCCATCGGAAGAAGAAAGAGTTGCTCTGAGGACTGAACTCATGCGTCTCGGGGAGATGAACGCATGACATAGCTAGAGCGGCGAAGAACAAGGCTGGATCATTCGTCTGCACAGACAAAGCCATGGGCCATTCAATGTCTTCCAGTGCTTCCTGCCGAGTTTTGCCTTCCGGCTCGAAGCTCTCTTCAACGATAGCTGGAGCTATGGCATACTTGACTAAAATTCGGTCAGATACAGCGAAATGACAGCCAGGCTTAAGAGCACTCACAATAGCTTGTGATGATTCCATATGGAGGCTTCCAAGGTACTGGGAGGGTTGAAAACGGGTCGCGCTGTGATCCGATAGACAATCGAAGTGGCGCGTCAGCGAGAAGGTAAGCATTCAATAGAGGAGCTCTAAGTTGTCTTTCGCCAGTCGATGTTATTCGATATAATTTTGATTCGCGATTGACCTCAGTCTCCTCATCATCCACAATACGTGTGCTTGGCTCTCCGCGGGATCCGGTTGGGCCTTGATTAGGGAACTCTTGAATCCATCTGATGGCCACACGTTGCTGTTGGTTCGCAGGCTTCTTGCGAACACCTCCAGGATTGTAGAAGACTGGAGGTGGAACTGATCGATTCATGGTACGGTACCCAGAGCGTGTGCGATATTAATGCGGGGATGTGGTTAGGTGGAGATCAGACCTGTCCTTCCATGTTCAACTGATGATCTGCTGTCCAGTCACTGCTCGTGTAGTACTCGTGTTGATGCCCTAGGGTTAATTTCGCGAAGGAGTCAGGATAGTAAGCAAGAGAAAGGGCGGTCATGACCGTGTTCCGCCACAAGTTTCTTGCTGGTCGGCAGATGGATTTGATTCAACGAACGCGAGCTGTGGGGTCCAGACTCGATTTGGCTAACGACAAATACAGTTTGATCTTGGCAGTCCTTCGGTGCATTTTGGAGCGAACTTATGATAGGAAGTAATGACTCCCTGGTTATGCTTGTCCGATCTACACACGAAGAGAAGTAATACTTCAGCCTTCATCTCGCACGACAGGAACCATGATCAAATGCTGAAGCTTGAGGAGTTGTTGAGTGCTCTCGGCCGGTCGGGCTTGCCGAGGAAAGTCTCACCACGACTTTTGTCCACGGGCCCAAGTACTTTGTCACACTGTCACGCGTTCTGCCATGCAGGTGTCAACGTCTCGAAGACATGGCGCGAACTTTCGTGCAGCTCCTCTTCTGACACGGCACGATTTCAATAATCGCATGCAGGCGCACCAGTTGTGGATTCGTGATAGGTAATGTTGATCTGACTGCGAATCCTGAGGCTATCAATCGCCTGCTGGCAGTGGTCAGATTGATGTCGCGGTCTTTCTTTCGCTTCTGTCAGGATGCCAGAAATAGAGCGCTTTTTCACGGCCCGCGACGTTATACTCGCCTGTACTCTCGAATACGAACTTTGGCTTTCTTCTTCGGAGCCTCGATTCTTTTCTGGACCCCACGTGCCTACGCCAAATACTTCGAACGTGCAAAGACATGTTCTTGAAAAAGAACTATTTTCGGTTCGAACTGCCACAAGACTGAACTCAGTTGAAGAAAATGCAGTGGCTTAAGCCCTTATGACGGCCCATTCTGTCTATTGGGATAAGTGGTATGCGGACAAGACCGAGCACCGCGCTCTGCTGCGCTTTGGGTCCACTGAGTACTCCGCTAGAGGCACGTTGATGCCTCTAGGTAAGGTTTCTGCGGGTCCCAGATCTGCTACTCAGAATAGCCACAAGATGGATCTGAGTCTTGGGATCCATCAAGAATGCAGTCCCCTCGGCCGAGGTCTCCAGATTTAAGACGCTGCTTCGCTCTTGGTGTAGGTATCAGATCACCTTCATCATTCCCAATATCTCCTTTACAACGGGTACTGTTACACCCTTACCACACCTATCTGACCATCAATTTCTTTCACGCCTCAACCTTACTCATTCGAAACACATATCAACATGATCGGATCTCGTATCACACCGGTGCTGCTTAGCCTTCTACCGTTCACCCTTGCGGCTCCTATGCGAACAACTGGCAACACTCATCCTACACAAGTCATCTCTGTCGACTTTGCGGATCCTGATCTTTTGCAAGATGGCAACCAATGGTGGGCTTTCGCGAGCAACAATCACAAGACTATCGCTGCCGTGGGTGGTAGTCTCATCAACGTTCAGATTGCTCGCTCTCCGGACTTTAACTCATGGACCGTGACCGGCAGCGATGCTTTGCCAACGGTCGGTGCTTGGGCCGACCCTAAGGCTGGCAATCAAGGTGCAGCCGTTTGGGCACCGAGCGTCAGCAAGAACAAGAAAGGGCAGTATGTTCTAACTTACTCCGCTGCTGTCAAGGGTAGCCCTGGCAAGCACTGCGTAGGTGCTGCTGTAGCTTCTCAGCCTCAGGGTCCTTACACCCCACAAGCTACACCTCTTGTATGCCCCCTTGACCAGGGCGGCGCTATTGATTCCGGTGCATTCAAGGATGCCGACGGAACACAATACGTTGTATACAAGATTGATGGCAACTCTATGGGCCACGGCGGCGTTTGCGGCAACACCAATGCTCCCATGGTCAACACGCCTATCATGATCCAACGTGTGGCAGATGATGGTTTCACTCCCGTCGGCAGCCCAGTCAAGCTCTTGGACCGCAGTGACCTTGACGGTCCTCTGATCGAAGCTCCTTCGCTTACGCGTACCTCTAATGGCAAATATGTGCTCTTTTTCAGCAGTAACTGCTTTGCGACCTCCAACTACGATGTCACCTACGCATTCGCCGATAACATCATGGGCCCGTATGTCAAGCGTGGCCCCATGATGGTCACTGGCACCAACAACCTCTACGCTCCTGGCGGTCAAGCCATAGCCGCCGACGGCAAGCACATGATGTTCCATGCTGGCGATGTTGGCTCTGCAAACATGGGCTGGAGAGGCGCATACACTCAAATCATCAACATTGACACCGGAAGTCAAGTTGTCTCGTCGTAGTAGACTGGTGGAACATTAATGTCTCTCTTTTGTTTTGCATGATCCTTCTTGTTCTAAAGCGAGGCGTTAAAGCGGTTGGGACTTTTATGTAGCGATCATCTGTCCATAAAATATAACGATTCCTATTTCAACGTCGTCTGTCTGATAAGCTTTTGTGAAGACCTGGAGAACCCGTGGGGTTTGTTTCAACATCTGCATTGTTGCATCAGAGGCGGCATAATCAGTCAAATATTGGGAGGAAGCATTGGATGCCAACTTGGCACCACGATCATACCGGGGTGAGGATGGACAAACAAGGAAGCGGCTGAATCAAGCCAATCACAAGCGCCAGTCCCGCCTTCAACCTCCATATCAAGAGTGACATCCTGCAAGTCACCGGGATCTTCAACCATTGTCCGAAACATATATCCCAGCGATGCGCATCTTGATACTTGAGCTTTTTCGCTTCAACTTCCACACACTCGCTACAATCTGTAAAGAAAAAACCAAAATGATAACGACGAGCACTCTTGTTGTTTTGCTCTTGGCTTTGTGGTCAGGGTTGGCTCTGGCGCAAACAGGACCTCAAAACGCGTCAATCCCAAATTGCGTACGAGCATGCGACACACAAGCGATAAAGGCATCCAACTGTACATCGGAAGACCAGTACTGTCATTGCATAAGATACACCACCATTCTCGACAGCATCGTACCTTGCGTGCAACATAATTCGACCTGTTCGAACGCGACTGCAGACTTGCTGAGTATGCGTCATCGCAGCTTTGATGATACCGATCCTTGCTGATTATTCTAGCTTTCGAGACATTGTTCGACGACGTCTGCCAGAAGTTCAACTTGTCTGTTCCGACGAATGTGACAGGAAACTCGACTTTTCTCCCAAAGCCTTCGCCGTCGCCTTACACGAGTCAAGCTTCGACAGACACGGCTTGGCCGCTCGAGACAACCTTTTCCATATACGCTTTTGTGCTTACCGCTCTTTACTTTGGTTTGTTCCTGTAGAGGCTGGAGGAGTTAAATGATAATGTATAATCTCCTTTATCCTGCATGTAAATGAGTTTCGAATAGTGGCACTGCGACAACAGAAACGCCAATGTTAGACATCAATGTCCAACATTGGCGTTGCCTGTGATTTATGGGGTCGAGACCGTGCCCGAAGCTTGCGACAACAGTCATCGTCCACATTGCCGATGTCCGCCCGGTGCTGTTGACCCCACCAAGCAGGGCTCCTTCCCTCTTCCACCCCTCTGTTTCTCACAAGGATTCAAGATTGATTGAGGAAATGCTACAACATTATTGGATGATTACATGATTAACCATGGTTGACTCATACTTATATGGCGTTAGAAAACAACGACGTTCGGAAAGCCGTCCGGTATCTCCTTCTCTTCGTTAATATGCGACAAGAGTCACAAGTATAGACTGGCCATGGACAAGTATAAGAGGTCGCACAGAAGGTGTACTTCCAATCCACCTTCTCTCGTTATTCCACTCGCATCTCATCATCTTCCACTTCATCACTTCATCACTTCACAAAACCTCATTCCTAAACATTCTTCGTACTCCAACACATCCATGGCTCAACCAGTCAGAGAAATCGCTCTAATTACCGGCGGCTCTCAAGGCATCGGCGCAGCAACTGCTCGTGTGCTAGTCGACAAAGGCTTCTTCGTCGTCATCAACTATTCGAACAACGTGCAGGCAGCTAAAAAGGTCATCGAGGACCTTGGGCGCGAAAATGCCACGAGCATCATGGCAGACGCCAGTCGTGTTGATGAGATCGAAAACATGGTCAATACCGTTGTGTCTATGTTCGGCAGGATAGATGCGCTCATCGCAAATGCTGCGAAGCTAGGATTGCAGGACATCTCCGAAACCACCGAGGAAGGCTTTGATGCTCTCTTCGCTATAAACGTCAAAGGGCCTTACTTCCTCGCTCAGGTAACACTATGATGCTTTGAGTGCGAAGCCACTTGCTGACAACATACAGAAAGCCGCTCCGCATATGCCACCAGGCTCACATATCGTGCTCCTCTCAACAACTCAATGCCACGCCAGCACCGTCACATCCAACTACCTCTTATACACCATGACTAAAGGCGCTATCGAACAAATGGCTCGCGTTCTCGCCAAAGGACTTGGTCCGAAGGGTATTTTCGTCAACGCAGTGGCTCCGGGACCGACCTCTACGGAGTTGTTCTTGAACGGTAAGTCAAAGCAGCTGCTCGACACTCTTGCTAGCCTCAGCCCGCATAATCGTTTTGGGCAGCCGAGGGATGTTGCAGAGGCAATAGGGTTCTTGACGCAGAATCAATGGGTATCTGGCCAGGTTGTGAAGGTCAATGGCGGTATGGCCTGAGTATGAATAGGCCTAGTAAGGGCGGTATATCGAGACAATTTCCTATGAGGTAAACGATCCCTCGTGAAAGCTTTCATAGCCTTCGATATATCATTATCCTTCATCATTTTCTACCACTTCTTTACTTGACGACTGGCAGTAAGAACTCACGCATAGGTAGGAGAGCATTCGCTCTGAAAATCCTGCCGAGCACCTGGGCATCTCTAAGATCATCCACGAATCACAGGAAGCCACTCTGCTGACAAGTCATGTTGCTCATGGAGCTTTCTCCAATCACAACATCGATTTGTACTGTAAGCGCCATGCAGACCCCGCTCCATGATAAAGTGCACCGCCCCCTTTCCTTCTCAAGATGAACTTGTCCCCTTTGAGCCTGCTTCTTTCCATTTCTGGCTTCTCTCCCGTCACGATCTTCTCTAAACAGCAACTAAATCTATCGTTTCTTCCCCAATTTGGCGATTTTTTCATCATGGCTTTCGAGATGGGCTTCGATCCTTTCAACTTCGCCATAGCAATCTTGACTTTGCTTGTTACAGCTGTACGGCTATACCACACAAGTCACTCACTTGTCTTCTCGCAACATCGCGGTTCGACCTTGGCTTCAACCGGTCTTCGCTCACTACCGTCTCCTGTCACAGCCCGAAAACGCCGGATTAAACAATACAGAAGGCTTTTACACTTACTTGAAGATCGAAGGCTACAAGAGTGATACCCAGCATACAGTAAAATGTTAGGGTCCATCGATCCTTAGGAGCAGCCCTATGATCGATCAGCTTCTTGCTCCAGAAGCGATGGGCTATCATAGAACGAAAGACCTTGTCAAAAGTGACGCACTGCGCGATCTTTGCGACCGATCAGCTACGTGTTCTTGCCGCTGCAAAGACGAACTCGTTGTTTCTTGAAAGATTGCTCCAAGCATGTCTTCGAGGAAAACAAAAACAATGGGTCAATTCAACGTGAAGCTTCAAGTGCGTCTTCCAAGCCTCTTTCTTGACTGCCCATGCTAACTTAAGTACGGGATAGTGCAGTTGCCGCTATTAGCAGGTGTAATTCTACATTGAATAGATTGTCGAGAGTAGTGAAGAAGTCGTGTTGTTAGTGCAAGATGTTGAGAAGCACTTGTGGTATCAACCAGAAATCCGCGAGAATAGATACTTCCTTCGACATCCTTCTTTCACAGCTATTGATGTTTGTAGGCATCCACTAGTTCACACTCGCAAAGCGTAACGTCGTTGTCTACCGTCACCAGCGATACGTGAACATTCTCGCCGACAGCGTTGTGCCATGGCGAGTTGGGGTTCGACCTGGTCACTCGACTGGCTCTCTTGGCTGCAGATGGAAATCCATGTTGAGACGCGGTACTGCGCCACGCCTCTGGTCGGGTTCACAGGATGGCGTGGCCTATTTTACTCCCGATTGGCGCATTGCCAACGATGGCTTTTTTACTGCTTCTTGATTGACTGGGCTCGCGGCTTTACACTTCCAAGAGGGAGGGGGCCAGCGGTGATGGTGAGATGCACCAAAGGTCGTTTGCACTACCACCTACGTAGGGCGAAGTGAAGTTTCCACTGGGCCCAGATTGACGTTTAGATATTTTGCAGAGCAGCACCGCCAAACGTCGAAACATTTCCACCGAGATTCCAAGACGGTTCTCACATTTTCAACCCTCTCTTTCGCTACATTTTCTGACCATCCTATATCGTCTCAACAACAAACACAAACCGTTGCAAGAAGATCATCTCATCAATCGCGCTCCCTCACAGTGCTGCCATGGATATCCAGATCGATCCCCTCGGGAGTTCCATCGCATTCTTGGCCCTCGCTCTCACTGTCGTGCAATTCTTTTGGAACACTACTCGAGCTCGAAACCAGGTTTTTTAATCCAGATATTGTACTCAAGACATCTCTGATAACATTCTCACAGAATGGCAACGGAGTATAGACTCCCGCTTCTGCTGATCTTCAGGCTTCGCTTGTATGTTACATCAGGCCATGCCCGTTACGGCTCCCATGCGTTCGTTTATCTGTTGGTGTGGTTTTGTCAGAAGGGCTGGGATGGGTGCAAGCATTGTGAAGTTCTCAAACATGTTCAGACACCCATGCGAAAGATGGACTTTGGCATTACCGTCACAACAGATTCCGGTGGCCGCCCGAAGCCTTGTCGCTACTTCACGCTAATGCAACGGACCTTGTTGACGGGCTTCCTTTCTTGTACCCCTCACGTTCTTGCGCCCTCACTTTTTGGTTACTTCTATGCAGCTTCCAGAATCTTACCAATTTTGTTCAAGAATAACAATAGTGACTTCAAAATCATGAGCACAAAATGTCGAGTCCCAAGTCATCAAGACATGCAACGAAACATAATCCGCTTACTTCTCGGTTCCAATCAGACTTCTCTACGGATTCTAAAAAACCCCAGACTCTCTGAATTCTGTGATACATTGAGTCGTACCAAGGCTGGTGAGTCGAGCATAGACAGTGTCGTTCGATCTTTGAGGATTAGAATGTGGATATGAGAATAGACGTTTCTGAGCAAGATAATCAGACAAAGACCTCGATGAACATGGTTCCCGAGGTCATCATATGGACAATAATATGATTGCTGTGCTCGGTATTGGTGGTAGCAGTGTCGATGGAGGAGAAGTTGTTGTCTTGACTCTTGAGCTGAGACCAAGCTTTGGGAAAGCGCGCTCGCGGCACGAACCGGAAGTTTGCTCGCACAGCGACTTCCCTCGTTCGTTCCTTTTGATCTCGATGTTTTCACCTTTCGATATGAACACCCATTCGAAAGGCACGGTTTCACTCTCTATGTCTATTTGACACTATGATCGTAGATTGCTCGATACATGTAGGTAAGCCAAGCGGGTGGTAGATTTGTGCAAGTCCCGCGACCAGACACGCTGGACAACTAGGCAACATCTTTTCTCGTCATCCATACTACCTGCAATCATGGAGAATGGTTCAAGAAAAAGGAGATTGCTTGTCGCGGCCAGTCCTCCAGACTGCCTTGTCCGACCTTGACTCGCAGTGCTGTGTCTGCAGGAAGTTTGCGCGGTTTGCCAAGGCTCAGCGTTGCTCACCAGACAGCCATCGAGGGTTGACACCGACTAACGCTCAAAAAATACGGGACGGTAATGCACGCTCAACTCAGCCTTGTCATATTTGTGTGAATCGGTCCCATCTTCGACATAGTTGTAAGTCAACGTCTTGCTACAAAGTCTGGACCATTTTCACATTTTCATTCCGTTCGTTTCCTCTTCACCATCTCTTCTTGTTCAACTCGCGATCTTCGAACCTTTCGTTTGCCAAAACAAAAGACTTGTGCCGGAAGATCAAATGGACATTCAATTCGACCCTTTCAGCTTCGGGGTTGCGACCTTTGCCCTCTGCGTCGCGATGGTTCAACTTTACTGGAATCGACCACAACACCGAGCTCAGGTACGCCACTGGCTTGCATATGTTGAATCGCAGAATATTCATGAACTCCAAGCAGATCGTGGAAGAGCTCTATATGTTTCATGGTCAAGCATAGAGATATATCTTACGAACGACGATCACCTTGAATACGCCAAGAGTCGCCAACGTCCATCCATGTCCGACACTTGTCTTGATTCGGCTACGATGCGCCTAGAGGATTGTTGCTACATCATCATGCATGTTTTCTAGAACATCGATTGTGTTGTGGGATATCTCTTCTGTTTCATTCGTTTTTCGTGTTCACTTCCTTCTCTTCTGTTCGATGTTCTCTTTTACTTCGCGCATCTTAAGATTTTAGATTGCTTCAAGCTGGCTCATACGAATGAAAACATATTTGTATTCATCAGCTGTTGCTCATCAGACGACCATGCTATACCGCCTTTTGGAGAAAAATGCTGGTGAGGTCCGTGTAGTCTTGTCCTCTGACACTACTATCATGAAATTCTCACGCTTTCCCTTGAGCCCAACACGTAGAATGTTCAAGTACTGCGTCGCCATGGACAAAAACGTGTTGCATTCGCTGTTCGAGCGGAGGTGTCCGCAATGTGAATACTCTACTCTGGGTTGTATGCAAGCCAAGACAAGGCAAACTTGTACTGACTGGTCACACGGTGAAGCATTTGCTTGTCGCGTCTATCGGATACTAACATCAATCTCGTCTGCATTATACTCTTCCAGCTTCTGACAGTCTCCGACCAAATCATCGCTTACCAAAGTCAGTCTCTGCACACAATCACTGTATCGACGTTAGATATACCTGCCCTACTTTATCCGTTTGAGTTCCTTCTCCATACCGACGCCTCGACCTTGATTCTTTTCCGAGATTTCAACACAACTGAAGTTTGCAATGATGCAGATCCAGTTTGACCCTGCCAGTTTCTCCATCGCAACATTGGCTCTTGCTATGGCAGCTGTTCAGCTTTACTGCAACAATTCCCGGCGTCGTACTGGGTATGAACTCAGTGTACTCGGTTCCCGTTTGGTACATTTCGACAGGAGTTTGAAGCGACTGGGACATCTTTATAGCTTCACACTTTTGGCCGCTAATGTGGAAGCTGTTGGGGGTTGGTTTGGAGTCTGATCTAAAGCCAAAGACTGTAGAAGAGGAAAGGTTTCAACCAATTGAATTCGATCTACTGTATTGTTGTCGGTCCAGTGTAAGGGGCCAAGTTTCGAAGCGTAAGAAAGGATGTTTGCAGAAGGGTAGGGAGCAGATACCAGACAAGGCAAGCAATTATTTTGACACCCCCACGGCATGTGGGGCAGAGACATTTACCAAGTTCATGGGTCAGCTTCCAGACATTCTCGGCGCTTAGATCACGAGCATCAGGAATTTTTTGATGCATAAATCGTTGTTCCCAATATGAGATCAGATGCAAAACCAGAACTCCCGCCATACGTCACTCTCCCTGATTCTAATCATGATCATGTCGCATCGGACTCCCATTCTCTTAGGTACATGCCACTGCAAAAATTCTGAATGAACCAACATCAGCATATTATACAGCCAGAGACTTGAAGAGTACCCAGAATATCTACCTCAAGGTTCATGGCGCACTATCCTGTTCTCAGGTAATCTTGATCCATACGAGCACCACATTTTCTTCGTCCTAGGCAACCACTAAGTTGGAACCCTTGACAGTTCGATCAGGGGTTCAGGATTGGTATGCTTACTCGATGCTGAGGCCGCGCCCATGTTCGAAACAACTGAATGGAGGCGACGACGACTGCAACGATTGCGACAATGGTTTGAATAGTGTCGAGAACAAGTCCAGGGTCCATGTTCGAAAGACTGGTATAGGGTGCACTCGGCTAATGTTGCTTGAGTAATGCAATACAAGAAGCACAGATCTCCGAGGGTTAACTTTGATGGGGAGTTCGATGTTCAGAGAAGTCTGAGAAGATGTTATATGAAGAAATAGGTATGGCACAAAAGACAGGTTGCTGCTGTTATCGCTGTCATTTAGAGAGAGAAAGTGCTTGCCTTTTGTCTTTCGCGACTCTTAGGTCACTTCCAGGCGCAGAGTACCTTCTTGCTTCTCGCCTAGTCGGCCCCAGCGAGATTGGAATTGACGTGCACACATTACTTTATTTTCTCTCGAGCGGGAACTGACGCAGCCGGCACAGCCATGCGCCTGGGCAATTGCTATTTGGCGCTGGTTCAAGTCCGATTTGATGCGCGCAGCAAGGGCGGCTGATCCTGCAGCTTAGATTAATTGACCAGCCCGACAACGGCACCAATAGTCGACTCCCAACAGCGGCAAAATCTCGAACCTCTCCGCAGACGTTCAGATTTGCCACAAATAACGGGCATATACGTGTCTGGAAGTGCATCACCGCGCGGTATGTCTATCGTTCGATATACTGTGACGAAACTGTTGCTTCTACGGTCATAGTAGTAAGACTCACTCCTTACAGCAGAGCAGCAGAATTGTAAGCATCGTTTGCTGCGCTTCTTCCTCATATGTCTCTCCGACATGACTTGCCGTGTGCGTGCAACATTGTTAGAGCCATCTACAGTGAATATCGGTGGATGTTTCATTGCTAGGACTTTGATAGTCAGCTTTAAGTCGTATCTGACTGGCAAATCTGTGTGCTTCCATGCATAACCACAGTTCTGAACAAATTGAATTTCACATCCATACCCTCATCATGTTGTGGTTTCATCACTCGTCGCCACTCACTGAACGGATGGATTAGTCCTATCAAAACAAAGATGCGTAAGAAATTTTCTACATATATTCAGTCCCTCAAGATTTGCCTTGATATCCTAGCGACCTTATGCTGAACGAGTTTGTCCTTCTTAGAGGATATCAGTATGAAGTCCGTGCAGCATGGCCGAAGAAAGAATCCATGCCTGAGGTTTGATGTTGGGCACGTGCTTGAAGAAGTTGAGCCGCGGCTATGCACAGCGATAAGGCGGCCATGATAAAGTTGATCGGATCAAAGCCGAGTTGGAGATCCATGGTCACCCGAAATTGGGTCGTCGAAACAGGACGAGTGTGTTCGGCGGTTCGTCGATTTCGTAGAGAACGCCGAAGTTATCCTGCGCTGGGATGGTAATGAGAAAGTAAGGGAGGATTGGTTTCGAGGATGGAAGTGGTAACGCTGCGGAGATAGTTGTCTTGACGGGTGTGAAGTGTCAATTGTCGAATATCGAGTGAGGAACTCTATCCTTTATGTGTCGTCTACCGATCTGTGAGACATGTAGCTGGAGAGACTCCGTGATGGAATCTGGTGTGAATTACACGGTTATGCAGGGCAAAAAATCGGGAATGGTATCGCTGCCCGCAGTAAATGATTGACACTAAGTCATGCACGGAGAGCGGATCAAGCCTCGCATCCATCCGGCAGCATACCACACTCATGCACTCATTGGTGTACGTTATGCCCAGTCATGCAGTAATTCCCGAACAGGTTAACTGTATTTCTCCATGATGTTGGAGCAACTTCTGGTGTGCCAGCTGTTACGCGGCGAGTAGCCCTACGACCATGTTCAAGCTCGTTCAGATCATGCGCCTGTTGTTTCGTTGTGGCCGCTGGCACTGCTGTTTTGCTCGGCCACACTTGTATCGGCCCAATGGGATCGTGGATTCTACTTCCATCCCGAAAATTCGTGGCGCAGCCTGCAAGATCGCAGTGGCCGGTTTGGCACAAGGGACAATGGTTGAGCCATGATGTTCGTCGAACGGTGTATTCCTCGTCTTCGGTTGAACATGTAGGCAATTTCCTGTCAATCGCAGTCCGCTCCGTTCTTTGTGGTTTATTCTGACGTTCACCTTCACGGTAGGATCAGAACATATGGTAGAGCGCTACAAAGATACTATGGCGGGAGCTTGAGCATGCATGCATGGTTTGTCGGCGTAGTCGGAAGAAGTGTGCCAAGAGAAATGTGTTGGTCAAATCTCGTCCGCACTTCCCTTCCACCGTTACTCAAGAGTCTGATAGCAAAGTTATGAGAAGCGGAGTTGACAAAGCAAAAGATACCCATGAATTGCACGAGCATAAAAATCTCCATCTAAAACTACACCTAGCTAATATTCTCATCGAAACCCTGTCATTCCCATGTACCAGAACTCCTTTTCGGTATGCATTGCTGTCTTCGCAGCAGAGTGTCGTTATTGAGAACCGAGAAACGCCGTTGAACATGCTCCCGAGATTTCCCCTTTGTTTTGTCTCCTCGCTATGCAGCAAACCCCCCTCAAAGCAATTCCGAACTCCCTAGAATGAAAAACAGAAAGAAAAAAAGAAAACATCCCTTCTCTCAGTGGTCGAATGTTCCACTTGTCGTGGTGCGTGCATTGCATCAGGTCACGTCTTCAAAGTCGTCTTCGTTGAGATCGCTCAGAGATCCATCAGATGCCATGGCTTGGTCGTTATCTGAGTCTTCGGCGGCGTCAGCTTTTGCTGGAAAGTCGAACAAGCATGGTCAGAATTGCTAAGACTCACCATCGACGAGTTCGTTGCTCGTGTATTCGTAGTCACGCTCGTGCTTCCATTCATCGATTCCAGTACGGCAAGCCTCGTGGCGCTCCACGAGGGCATCGATACTACCGACTTCGTCAAGCAACTCTTGCAGTGCCGTCTCGAGTTCGGTGTGCTCAGAGTCAGGTGCAGCGCTGTTCAGCCAAGTCTCCAGTTCGGCTTCGAGTTTGACTGCCATCTGTTTCAAGTAGGTGGTAGAGTCGTGGTATGCTTCGCGGGAGTACTTGAAAGCATGGTACGCTTGTCCCTTAGCAATAGCGGCCTGCATTTCTTCGCCAAGAATACCGAGCAGACTCTTAATCGCTCGCACCTTGAGGATGAGATAACTGACGTCTCCAAGGGTGTAGGGCTTTGAAAGCACATCCTGGACAAACACATGAAGCCGCAGCCAGTTTCTAACCTGCTCCTCAACCTGGGCGTTGTCGCATACCAATAGACAGCCTGTCAATACAGCCATGTGCCGGAGTATCAGCATCGGCTGAAGTGCGTATACTTCAGTAAGAACGAATTTCACCGAAGATACCGCTTCATCGCCATGTGCGCGCAAGAAGTTATGTTGCACAATCCTCTCCAGCTCCACAAGGATTTCTTCTTCAGTCTGCAACTTCATGGTGCGTCCGACTAGACACAGGGTAGCAGACTCTGCAACTTGGTCAAACGCCGTGGCGCATGACAGAGAGGTCAAAAGAGCTCTGGTAGCATCTTCATAAATATCAGGCGGGGCTTTTGCGGCATTGGTCAGCAATACGGTCAGCTTGTTTGGAAGCCAGTCAGTCCAATGACTGTTGAGTATGTTAGCTCTTCTCTGACAGTTTAGGAAGTCTTGTTAGTACTAACCTGTTGCCGGAACGTCTCAGTCCTTGAATGATATTCTCTACCAACCAATTGTTTCTTGTTTGAGACCGAAAGCGGAGACGATCATACTCGTCAGCATTCAACAACAGCACTCCAGGGTTGTAGCATCGTGCATCTCCGTCGTTGTTCAGTGCAATTCCTCCACGTAGGTCGACATATTTGTGCAGCAAGCTGTAAACACAGCCGACAATTGACGCAAAATCTACTGACCTAGCGCTGTTGGCAAAGTAGTACGCGATGCTTGAGTGTTTCTTGTGCAGAACTGTGTCTTCGTTGATGTGCAAAATCTCGAGGCACCATATGAGCAAGTCCTGGTCAAGCATGATGTAGGTTTCGTTGAACCCAAGTTCTGCAACCTGGCCTAGGAGCTCAAAGTATTCTTTCCAGACAGCGATTCGGCAGTCTAGAAGCGTCTCACTGAGACCCACCAGTCCGCAGACGTAGCTCCGCATCCTGCTGTCCTTTGAATAGCCTTCCTCTATGCCGTAGTAGATGGGATAATTGTTGCGAAGGAACTTCAGGCAAGCCAAGACCAAGCGGTTTGTGACGCTGCGAACCATCTGCTTCCTGTGCAGGATGAGGCTCCTTCTGGTGACTCTGGTAGTAGTGGTCTCGGGGTTGGTCTCGGGGGTGGTCTCGGGGAGCAACTGGTCCAGAATCCATCCTGCAAAGTTTTGGTCTGAGCATGCAAGCTTTTGAAGAACCAGAGACGTATAATCGATGGAATCTTGAGAGAAAGAACATGCAACGACACGAGTGTAATACTCGAAGAGTGTTGTCATGATCTTGCCTGCAATTCCTTTCCGTTCGGAAGGCTCTGCTCCCTTGATCATCTCAAGTCTACCGGGCAAGTCGCGGACAAAATTGACATGGCTGGAAGAAAAGAGATGGAGGAGGTAGATCGTCCGCTCATTCTCTTTGGCGATTGATGCCTCTAGATCTTGAGGCAAATGAGCCTTGGCTTGTGTCGTGCAGGGAGGCATTGGTATACCTGAAGCCACACATTGTGCAGCTTCAATAACGGAGGAAGCGCGCTGGTAAAACAACACATATGCATTGTCTGACCGAAGGACTGGAGATCGATCGCGTACCAGAGGCGTCATTGAGGGCGAGACAGGCCCGCCGCGAGTCTCACGCAGGACATCTTCGATGCTTGAGGAAGTGACCACACTGTCCTCAAGTCTGTACCAAGGCAGAGATCCGGAGGTGGCTCCACGCTCAGCAGCATACGACCAGTAATGACCGAATTGAAGAGTACCTTGATGAACCACCACACCGACGAGTTGGAAAACATCTGGTTCGCTTGGTCCGTCAACGCCTGCTAGACGATTAAGCTTGTACTTGCTCATGTCAATACGCTCGGGAAAATCAAACCGATCGTTGACTTTCGAGCCTCCGTCATACGTTTCGTATCTGAACCGTCTCAGTCCTAGGACCAAGTTGTCGGGGATGTGTTCCAGGGCAGTTCTCTGGACTGCATCGACTGAGACGCCTTCACCAGAGCCACAAGTGGTGCACCTGAACTTGTCACTTCCCTCGAGTGCAGCTCCCTTGGTGTATTCTTCCAAGCTCTCTTCAAGTGATGCTTTGTCCTTGACGACCAAAGACAGGTTGAAATACTCGTCGGTACTCTCGGAGACATGCTTGCAGCTGCCAATGGTCTGTGATTTGTTGACACCGCGGAAGAATTTTTTCAGTGCATTCTTTGCCTCATCATCAGGCATACTATCCTCGAGCTGCCCGACGAGAGTCATGAAGAAGATATGCGCATCATCCTGCATGGTATGATCAACATTCAAGGCTTTGACCAGCGCCTCGGGTCGATAAGAAACATCGTGGCTGTTCTGCATCCTGGCAAAAGCCAACTTAAACTCAGCGAGCACAGCTTGCTTCCGATCATCAGCAACAGGAGTGTCGAAGATGAACTTTCGGAATTGAATGTTCATAAAGAGCTGTTGGATCAGAGAATTGAGATAGCAAGTCTGGGCCAAATTTTCCAGACCTGCATAGCTTCCTTCCTGACGAACGAACTTTTCAGGGCCCAGAAAGTTGAACTCATCATCCTCGTCAGCATCACTGAGGACACGGTCACATTCAGCAGCCAGAGCTTCCACTGTCTGGACATCGTCGCACATGAGTCGAAGAAGTTCGTATATATTGTCGCGTGTGTTGAGTGCGATGACAGGCCTCGCCACTGAATCCACGTTAGAGACCGGAAAGAGCAGCTTTCTGAGAAGACGCGGTGCGAGGTCACTGAGGTTCAGTGGCTTTTCGAAAGATATGATGTTCTGAATGCAGCATTGGAGCAATAAAGTCAAACCCTGGACCCTCTGGTCAATGAAACGGTTTCCGTAATGTTCAAGGTGTTCTAGATCGAGCAGGTTTGTAGAGAACTTATCGATCAGGGATCTCAAGTACATCTCGTCACTGATTAGGCTTTGATCGGCAGACAATATTTCGAGCGCCACAAGAAATGTGCTATCGCAGAGAACTGGTTCATGCATGGCCGCAGGTATGAGGTGATCGATAAACAACCTGAAAAAGAATGCCTTGGTTTCAGAGGCCATCTTCTCGTCTCGCACAGCGTTTACGATGATGCTAGGAATCGTAGCTCGGAGATGGTCGTCATTGGTGAGAAGCAGGCGCGAATGGACCTCCTTGTTGGTCTGGGACGCAAAGAAAGCAGAACGTACGTGGGCACTCAGTAAGACCCCTTCCACCAAGCATTGATACAGTGCCCGTATCGCTGCAGACATCATGCCACTAGCCGCGATCCTGTGTTGGAGGTTTGACATGATACCGAGAATGACATCCGTAAACCTGGTAGCATCTTCGAAATATTCTTCCGCCACATTATTGACGGGCCGCTCTCTCAACAACGCCAGCAAGGTGTCCGCGGTCTTCAAGATATCACCAGCGTCTTGTAGAAGGTCGGGACGATACAACAGAGCAACCAATAGATGGACTCCTCGAATCAGAAACTTCTCGTCAGCGACGCCCAGTGAGACTTGTTCTCGCAATTGGACATTGAGCACCTCGATTGACGTTCGCAATCGCAATGACCTGCCCGAGGGGAAAATCTGATCGAAAGGTGTATCGGTAGAGGAAATCATAGCTCTGATGGGACCGGGAAACTTGAGAAGCGCGAGACTCTGCAAGACCGAATGTGCTTTGCCATTCGCCTCATCAAGCATGCTGTACAAGACGTCCAAGTGAGCCAGAACTTCCCTTTCAACGTCTGATCTTCCCACAGTGTTGTCAATGTCGTCCTGGATGCTTTGGAAGGTACTGCGTCTCTGCACGACAAGGACCTGGCCTTCTTGTACCCCCAAATGTGCGATGGGTTGCTCTGGCTCCTCAGTGAAATCAATCTTGTGCCCTGCTGATACAACCGTGTAACTCTCAAACCCAGTCTCCGAGACGATGGCAGCGTCCAACTCGGAGCAATTGGCTGTCTTGTTGATAGTCACCATCTTACTTTGGGATTGCGCACCGCCTTTGTGAACACGGATGGGGATTTGAATGCTGTCGTCGGGGAGTCCTGATTCGACAGTTGTGTCACTGGCGATAACACTCTTTTGCGACTGTCTCAAGGCTTTTTCGAACTCGATTGATCGGCTCAGGATCATCAGCAACATTTGTGGAGCTCTCGTGTTGTCGTCTTGCTGGACCATTCGAGAGATGCATTCCTTGACTACAGAAACCTGGTTCTTGATAGCCAAGTCTGGATATCTTAAAGCCTTGCCCTTAAAAAGACTTGTGAAGAGCAATGATCCAAACTGGTTAGCAACACTATCTGTTGGAACTGATAGTGCGAATCGAATCAATTGCTCGCCGAGCGGTAGCAGTGCAGTCTCATTATGCTCTTGACGTGCACACTGTAAAGCAAAGATTCTAGCAGTGCCAATCGTGACGAACTGGGGCGAAAGATCAGGAAGATACTGATTGATACACCGTTGATAGAAGGCTTCGAGTCCTGGCTGATTCGTTTGGAAGCGGGCAACGAGCATGTTCCAGGCAATCTCCCTGAACACTGGATCGAATGCATGTTCACCTACGGTATAATCCCAGATCTCTTTCTCCGTGGCTGTGGTGTCGAGGTAGGGACTCGATATCGAGAGAAGGTCGAAAACGAGGTCCAGACGACAAACTAGTGCTTGTGGCGCGAGCGCATACATCTCATTCTTGGCCTTCTTGAAGTAATGAAGCAGCTCATCGGCACACTGTTTGAATGACACATGAGAAAGAGTGTCCTGTGGCGAAATAGCGAAGTTCTTTTGGCGCATGATGCACGACATTGCCGAGACATAGCCAGTGGCCTTGCTGGACAGCGATGTGATGTGACCTGCGCAAAGCTCGATAAGAGCAATGGTCTCAGATTTTGCGTTTGGAGAATGGATGGCCATCAACAAATTTCTAATAGAAATCAACAAAGTGTTTTGCTTTCCAGTTGTTATTTCGGAATTCTCGAGCTTGCCCAACAAGCGGACACAAGTGACAATGGCATGACACTCACTGCCAGGCGACTTGTGAAGTAATTCCATGGTCAGATTGTGTAGGAGAATGTCTGCATCTTTGGTATACTGCGAGAGAGGCATGTCTCTGAATTTCTCGCAAAAGTACCTCAGCGTGAAGGGTGGTATGCGCTTCACAAGGTTGAGAAGGACTTGACCAGCGTTCTGAGCGTTGTCCGGTTGTTGGAGATTGGTAGCGACAGTCCAGATGGTATCGGCATCGCGCTTGGTCAAATTGCTTGTCTCGCCCAGAATCTGAACAATTGGATGGGTTCTAGCAATGAGAGTTGCATGGGTCTGAGGTCCATAGAGATAAGCCACAATGTCCTTGGCCGGGAGGAACCTGATTGCGAAATCCCTCAACAGTCGATCGAGACAGGTACCCACTGCATCTTCGTTCGTGAATATAGATATGAGTTCGATTCCAAGTTTGTCCACGCCTCTGTTTCGCAGATCTACGCTGCTGCTGCGGATAAGAGCATTGAAGAACTCCAGATTACAGGCGTGAATACCAGCTTGGAGTACGCCTTCCTTCATCAACGAGGACCCAAGACTGTCAACGGCTTCCATAAGTCCGATAGTGGAAAGTGTTTCGGTACTGGGGGCCTTGAGCAACTCGTCGCCGTTTATCTGGTATTCTGCAATGTCCTTGAGCGTAAGGAGATGGATGTCTTCGGGCAGGAGGTGCTTTGTACGAGACAGAGTCTTCAGAGCGTCGATCAAGAACAGTCGGAAGTTATCAACGACGGCCTGCGACTGGTCGTCGAGGTGCTGCTTGGGAAGCATTTCGGTTGCCATTATGTGGATCATCTTGAACAAGTGACACGACTTTCTGAAGAAGGTTTCCAGCTGGCCATCGGAGTTGCGTGGATCTACGCAAAACACACCTCGGCAGAGGGCTACGTAGTGACTGGCCGTACTGAACGGTGACTGGATATTATCCGGCTTTGAGACGATGTGTCCGAGAAGCTTGATGACAGCGTCCATAGGTCGGCCTTGGAAGTTCGAAATGGCTGTTCTCTGGACAGCCTTGGTGTTGAAGTGATACGTGGAAGACATTGGTTCGAGAAAGGTCTTGGAACGTACGGCAAGCATTGTGAAGGCATCTGCCCAGTAATGAAATAGCAGCTCGTGCTTTGGCGAAGTGGTCGAGCTGGGGGAGCTGGTCGAGTCGCGACGAGCTTCACGCTGTACCAAGACAGCCAAGTCGGTATACAGGAGCCTCTCTCCCAGTCCAAGAAGAACGTTAAGAATGTTCTCGAATACGCCGTATGCATCACTACTGCGAAGAGAGTCGTAGCCGGTACTTAAAGAGCTACAAAACATTAGAGGCTGGTAAAGGCGGTTAGAGATGAGCGACTCACGTGTGTCTGTGCAGTCCCGCAAAGCAGGCCACGACGTTGATCCAAAAGCCACTATCATCCGAGTACAACTCAAAGACCTCGGCGGAGCTGTGATCATCTCGAAGGGCGGCTTCGAAGTCGGCTTTCGTGTCGTTCAGATGGTTGGTGACCCATATGACAAGATTTTCTACGACCTGCAGAGATGGAGCTTTGCGCATTGTCAGCGGATATGGTCGATGTTTGAAAGACAGTGAACCTTACGTGTGCCCTTCTTCCACAAGAGATCCATCATTTTGTTGGCCGCACGGTGAGGGGTATCCCAGTCGACATGAGGTCTGATGAAAGGGAAGCTGCCGATGTGACGATTCTCGCCTTGCTCTTCTGCCGGCATGATGATGGAGATTTCAGATGGATCTGTCGATTCGTCTTGGGGAATTCCAATGATGATTGGGCTCTCGGGTGAGATGCTTTGAGAGTCGGACAGGTTGTCAGAGTGGCCGCTGGTAGCTGGCGGAGTGTCGAGCTCGTGGCTCAAACGCGGTCGCTTTCGAGCGTGAGTTGAGTCTGCATCAGCGATGTGATCTCTACCGTGGAGCGGCGTTGGTGAATGCTTGTGGTTAGAAGAATACGCCGGTGAGGCGGATGGCGGGTCCATTATCACCGAGTTAGATATGCTGACTGCCTGCCGTCATGAGCAAAATAAAGCTATACGGCTTTTTATGATTGCCGGGTGGTTGCCAGACGAGCAAAGCCGCATGAATCAAGCTTTGTGATAGTGAAGATCGGATCGATGTAGGGGAGACGTTGTACACAGGCTGAAAGAAGGCTCCAAGCGCACAGCAAACGCCAAAACGCTCTCAAGAAAGACGCGTTGGAATAAGCTCCCAGTTCCTCAGACAGTATATTGAATACACCTGTGGGAGTGTTTCAAGTGAGAGGATGGATAAGACTGTCTTTCTGCGAATTCTGGTGCAGATATAGCTGATAATGACCTTGTTTCTCAAGTCTGCTTCCAGCACTCTTCTCCAGCAGACGCGACTTTCGCAAAGTGGAAGTTACGAAAGCTTGGAATTACCTCATTGGTCCGCAGAATGGCATGTTTACGCGAAGCCCGGCCGGGTTCGCGTCGGGTATACCTGCCGATGGGAGTGATGCTTACTCTTCGAAGTTCAAACACAGTCTGCCCATCATTTCTTATCCTGCATATCAACAAAAGTTCATACATCAGAACATGGCCAGCAACAAGAGCAAGCCCGCAAGACCTGTCATCAAAGCAGATACATCGTACAAAAGCCCATCGATGTTTGTATACCTTTCTTCCTGCCGTATATTGTGAAACAAGCTGATGGATCTCAGTCCAGAGCTGAGCAAAGACAAGAATGAAATCATTCTCGGTCTTCTAAGCAGGTGAGACACGCGGTATACGTTGGTTTCTAGATCGAGATTGCTCATATCAAACAGTCTCCTCGAGCCGATAGGGAGACATCGAGCGGCGCATACTGTGAAATCTTCGGCCAAAAAATCGAACAAACGGAAGAGGACTTCTGAGCAGGATACAGATCCAGCCGTTAATCCACAACCTCAAGAACCGGAGATTCTGAAACACCTCACCGTGGGCTTGAATTCCACAAGCCGTCATCTTGAGGCTGAGGCGGCGTTCTCGAAGTCCGAACAGACATCTGTCCCGGACAAAGAAACGAAAGCAACAGAGCAAGCAGCCAGGAAACGTATGGGCGTCGTGTTCCTTACGAAGCCAAAGGACAATCTGGTATACGCCCATCTTCCTTTGTTGTGCTATGCATCTTCTGGAGCAGAGAAAGAGAAGTCACAGCACACTCGCCTTGTTCTTCTGGATCCTGCATGTGAACGCACTATTGCAACGGCCATGGGTCTTCCTCGGGCTGGTGTGGTTGGTTTGTTCGACGATGCTCCAGGTGCTGCACCTCTCCTGGAATACATACGAGACAATGTGGCTCTTGTTGAAGTTCCTTGGCTGGAGCAAGCACTCTCTGGGAAATGGATGGGGATCAACGTCGAGACCTACCTATCTGGTCAAGTTTGAGGATATTGGTTGTCTGATTGAGGTTGGACAGAGATATTCCAAGGCCGGCAAAGTTCTTGCATGTATGCACGCTCCGGTTCGAGTGTTCTGAATATGCGTCGACCTCTGAGCAGTCCGGATTACTCGACATGCATTCGCTACGCGTCATTTCGGGACGGCTCAAAAACTTTCGCACGAAGTGCTGGCTCTTGGGTGCGTGGTGATCAACGTCGAAACCCTTCTGAGAGCATTTTCCGTTCCAGCAAGTTCAGACAGAGGAGCGTCAGGGTAGGCAGCGGTCTTACATGAACACACGACCACGTCCGAATGGACCGCGTACGTATGGACTTGTGGGTAGTTCGGGCTCCTCGATCTCGACGCCTGGGAGGCGTCAGTCTGGATCGACGTACGGTACAACATCTGCGGCAAAGACTAGGCCTTGGACGCTCTGTGGTGCACATGCCGCTAGAGCATCGTGTTTTCTGGATGCGTCTTTCGTGGTTGATTCGTTGTGTGAAAAAGAGATGGATGAGAAGGCCAGAGATCTTGTTCTGCTTGATACTAAGGAGATGCTCTCGCACCCCGGGTTCCGCAAGATTCTACGAATGATCCGCCAGCGCTTCGTGGGAGCAAAGTCCAACAGAAAGCTTCAGAGGACGCTCTTTCATAGTCCTAACTTCTCGTGCCTCAGTTCGATTCACCTTGAATAGCTCTACATCGTGCCCTTCGCCTACAACCAACTCTCGACATCATCCGTTTCCTCAAGTCACGTCTCCAACCACCCTCTCATCCTACATACATACAAGCTCGCACGCAGCACCCATTTCCTGCTCGTCGCTCTCGGGTCAGTAACGGTTGCCATGGGCGCCTCCGTTTCTCTGCACACGCTAACAGACCTAGTCGGACCATGTCGGACAGCACGACCGAAGCCCAGGTGGTTGATATCATCATCAACCACACCATCTACATCTACTACCCCGTGATGTACCCCGAGGGCTACCTCGAGGGCTATCCTGAGGCCCCCGTCCTCCCCGAGCCCCTCCCCGAAGTCGACCATGGCGAGGTCGTCGCTCTCATCTACAACGCATGGGGCCTGGAGGTCCTGATCTACGTCAGTTTGGCAGTCATCATCTTCAGCACCATGATGACTATGGCTCTCTTCCGTTAAACTCTGCTTTCCAAAGATGTTTGTGCATTTTCACAGACGGATTGCACGATAGACCCGTGCCCTTGAGAACATAAGGGCTAGAAATACACTTATCTGACCCCGTATCATTGTGCCCCTTGCCTTTGTGATGTACATTATCGACTTGACTCTCGTACTGCCGACGACACCAAACTATACCTACATAAAAATGCACGATGTTTTTGGTAAAAAGCACTTTGTCCGAAGAGAGGGTGCAGCATGAGAGTCGAGGTGAGAACAAAGGATGTCCGACATGTCGAGGCGAGAGTCAAAATGTGGGGAAATACATGAGCTTTGACCAGATCGAAGTGGTGGAAGTGGGAGTCTCGCTGTCTCGATGCGACATCCGACATGACAAGTGGTGAACGACAAGGACCATCACACGACTACATCTAAACACACAATGGCAGCAACGTTAGCGTCGCTGCTGGGCCAGGCCTCCATCACCGACCACCATCAAGTGCTCAGCGCATGCGAAGCCGCTCTTTCCAAATCAAAGAACGACGTCCAAGCCCAACAGGTCAAGATTGTCGCGCTACTGAACCTGGACCGCTTCCAAGATGCCATTGCTGCTGTAGAGGCTGGTGGAGAGGAGATCAAGCAAAAGGCGCGCCTGGAGTATGCCTATGCGCTGTACAAGAACGGTCAACCCGGCAAGGCTGCAGAAGTCGCCAGACAAGACGCCAGCGAGTCTGACAGAGGTTTGAGACATGTGGAAGCCCAAGCCGTATGTTCTGGACGGTCCAATTCTTAAGAGGAAGGAGTCGCAACTAATTCCCAGGCAGAGCTACAGACACCAGGACTTTGAGCGAGCAGCCGAGCTATACCGCAAGCTTTCAGCGCAGAGAGGAGCAGTTCACAATGAAGACATGGATCTACGCATCAACACAGGCGCCACATATGCTCAACTCGAATGGGCGGGTCGCGCATCGGCAGACGCTCCCCAGAAGCCAGCAAGAGAGGACATGGAGGCATTTGAGACAGCATACAACGCTGCATGTCAGAGCATTGCGCGTGACGAGCTTGGCCAGGCCGAAGTTCTGCTGAGAAGAGCAAAGGAGTTGTGCGAGGCTTCGGAAATGGATCAGGAAGAGAAGGATGCCGAGATTGTGCCCATTTCCATCCAGCAGCTCTATGTCTTGATCCGTCAAGGCAGGCTGGAAGATGCTCAATCGCTCGCTGCCACCATCGACTCCAAGAAGTGCGTATCTCTCTGTCTCGACTCTATCAAGAAGTCGCTAACAAGGCTCGCAGCGTCCACGCCTTCCACGATTCGTCAACGCAATTCATCGCTCAAACAAACACAGCAGCCACTTCTACAGAAGCCAGCAACCCCTACCTGACACATCGCACCCTCTACAAGGACCCTTCGAGCATTCTCCCCGACAAGCCTTTCACTTACCAGAGCGCCGCCATCCAACGAAACAACTACACTCTCGATCTGCTCGCCAACAAGTACGACGGCATCATCAGATCTACCGCAAACCTTGCCGCTAAGCCCACCCTCGACTCTGCCACAAACTCCCTTTCTGCATTTGGCGCTGCCGCTCATGCCCGTAATCAGGCCGGCAAGGACGCCTTGAAGACTGTTTTGCCAGTGCTGGAACGCAAGCCTAATGACATTGGCCTCCTGCTCGTGTGCACACAACTCTACATCACCATCTCCAACCCTGCCGCCGCAATCTCGTTGCTCGAGAACTTCTTCGCTCGCCTTTCCTCATCCTCCGAGGCTTCAGCACAAGATGTTCGTTACGCACCTGGTCTGATCGGCGTCTTGGTTTCCCTCTATACCTCCCGCGGTCAACTCAGCCACGCACGATCGGAACTAGCAAAGGCAGCAAGATACTGGCGTCAACATTCCAATCCTCCGATTTCAGCAAGATCTTCGGGCCATCTCTACAAGTCAGCCGGCGCATTGTTGCTTGACTCCTCCGTACCAGCTGACCAACAACTTGCCGCCGAACTCTTTACCTTCTTGCACGAAAAAGACGCTTCAGACCGCTACGCAGCCGCCGGTCTTGTTGCCGCTCTCGCCCGCGCAAACCCCTCCGCCATTGATGCCGAAAAGCTGTCCACCCTGACACCATTAGACCGCCTCATCTCAAGCATCGACGTCTCCGCCCTCGAATCCGCCGGCGTCGCAAAATCCACACCCACCGTCACCTCCACATCCACGAAACGCGCAGCCCCTGATCCAACACCCACCACCAAGCCCAAAGCGAAGAAACTCAAGAAGAGCAAAACGCCAAAGGACTTTGACCCGAGCAAGAAGATGGATCCGGAGAGATGGTTGCCTATCAAGGATAGGAGCTCGTATAGACCAAAGGGTAAGAAGGGAAAAGCTAGACAGGCTATGTTTATGCAGGGAGGTGCTGTTGCTGAGGACAGCGGTGCTGGGTCTGGGGCCAGTACGCCTGCTGCTCAGGTTGTGGAAGCCAAAGGTGGTAAGAGTAAGGGAAAGAAGAAGGGCAAGGGTGGGAAGTGGTAGATATGACTTCTGCATGTTTTGAGAAAGAGTAAAAAACGGAAAGCAAGCGAAGAAAAACAGATTCAAAAGGGGGGCCTTTAGAGAACATGTGGTTTTTTATAGAGAACATGTGGTATGCAAATATCTCGAGATCTTTCCTCGAATATACATCCTCTTTCTCGTTTCTACTATTCTGCTCTGTTTCTTCTTCCTTCTTTCTCTCTCCTCTCTATCTTCTTATATAATAACCCTATTAGTTGTGACGGAAGCGATTATCTAAGCTAACATCTCTACTTAGTATTTAAAATTGCTATCGAAAGGTGTAAGGTAATGAGGCGCGGTTATATCTATTAAAAAGCAAATCTCATATAGCTCCCGAATCTAGTAATGATAGTCGTAAGAATTCAATGGTGGAAAAAGGTAGCAGTTCCTATCGGCTACTAGAGTGTAAACCCCTAGTAAAGACAAATTGTAAAAGTAAGCGTAGCTATAATAAAGTAACTGTCTTAGGTAAGTAGATAAGGTGTGTTATATAGAGAAGTGGTAGTCTTTTGCAATTCACAACTAGGAAATATATAGGCGATTTTTGTTGACCACATGTTCTCTATAAAAAACCACATGTTCTCTAAAGGCCCCCATTCAAAAGATGATGAAAGAGCCATGAGATAGGCTTTCTGTATAAAAGAGATATATCATGATATCCTCAATCCCAACATCCACCTTCTCTTCAATCCTTGTTCGACAGCGGTCCGTTCACACGTTGAACAACATATCTCAAACCCATACCTTTGACACTCAAGGCATCTCTTTGTGGAAACGACATTGGCTTTTTCCTGAATGCGAGAGCTCAGGATGTGTATTGTAGCGATGGTTCGCTTTGTGGTGTGTGGCGGACAGGACAGAAAGATTGGAGAAGTGATATGAACAAGAAAAAAAGATTCATGGTATTTGAGATGGTTTGTGGAACGGAAACATGCATGCAATCGACGAGAAGCCAAGGAACCCAAAGTAGAGAGATAAACCCCCCAACTTCAACTCCTCCTTCCTCCTCTTCTTAATGCCCCCATCCGCAAACAGATGCGAGAAAAAGAACTTTCAACTCCCTTATATTACAACCCTCGCTTTGTCCTCAAAACTTACGAGCTCTTCTCCTGCTCGTAGTAGAAGTTCTCCTCGGGGATACGGCCGCGCAGGAACTCGGGCTCGGAGCCACGGACGTAGATGTCCTCGTACAGGATCTTGGGGGTGGCGTCCGGTGGGGGCATGGCCTCGGCCTCCTTGACCTCGGCGTCGACGCTCTCGCGTGCTTGCTTGTCGATGGACTTGAGCTCGGATTCGGAAGCGACTTCCCAGTCGAGGATCTTTTGCTTGAGGCCGGCGATGGGGTCCTGGGTGCTGCGCATACGTTGGATCTCCTCGCGGGTCTGGAGAAACAGATGTTAGAGAGATGTGGGTGAACAGGGTGGGGAAAATCGAGGCAAAACTCACTCTGTAGGTGGTACCGGGGTCGGACATGGAGTGACCTCCGTATCTGTAGGTGACGAATTCGTAGACGAGGGGACCGTTGCCCTCAGCGGCCCACTGCTTGCCGAATGCGACGGCTTGCTTGCAGGCAAGGACGTCCATACCGTTGATCTTGAGACCAGGGATGTACTGACCACGCTTGTAGTACTCGGTCAAGGCGGAGGAGCGGTTGGCGGCAGTACCCATACCGTACTTGTTGTCTGAGATGGAAGTCAGTGATGTGTAGCAGGTGGCTGGATATTCATGTCAGGGCACTCACTCTCGCAAGCAAAGATGACGGGGAGGTTCCACAGCTTGGCCATGTTGTAGGCCTCGAAGACCTGACCCTGGTTGGAAGCACCGTCACCGTAAAGGGAGATGGAGACGTTCTTCTTGCCCTGGTACTGATCGGCAAAGGCGAGACCGGCACCGACGGGGACCTGAGCACCGACGATACCGTTACCGCCGTAGAAGCCCTTGGTGAACATGTGCATGGAACCACCCTTTCCGTAGGCGATACCCTCTCTTCTGCCGAGAAGCTCTCCAATGATGGACTTGACCGAGGCGCCGCGCATCATGGCGAAACCGTGGCAACGGTAGGCGGTGATGACAGAGTCCTCCTTGGTGATACCGTGCTCAATACCGACGGCGACGGCCTCCTGACCGGTCGACAAGTGGCAGAAACCGCGAATCTTCTTCTCCTTGTACAGTCTGTCGGCGGCCATCTCCATGCGGCGCATGGCGACCATGTCGTAGTACATTTGCTTCAGCTCCTTCTTGGTGGTCTTGAGGGTGAAGGAGGGAGGGTCGAGCATGTAGGTCTCGAAGCTCTCGTCGGACAGCTTGACCTCGAAGTCGGCGTCATCCTCCTGTACAATTGGTTAGTCCACTGCCAATTCTTCTTTCTCTGTCTCAAGATGTCCATACGCTGGGGACGTCAGCCTTCTCGGCGTGGGCGCTGGCGGCGTCGGTGGTGACGGTTCTCAGCACTTGAGGAGCGACACGGATGGGCTGGAAGGCAGCACGTCTGACCGACGAGGTGAAAGACCTCGGCGCGAATCTGGACAGCATGACTGGAGGTTGTGAGGAGAAGAGGGTCGAGGTGAAAGGAGCGGACAACTTCTAGTCAAGTCGTCTGTTGGGACTGAGAGCTGCAACAATCCACGAAGTTTCTACGGACTCCGATTTCTTGCCGCCGAGACTTGATACGGAACATTTGGTTCCTGTGTTATGCAGCACATGCCAAGCACTTGCATCTCTCTTCTACCGTGCTCACTGGGGTGCACGCAGATAGACTTGCACTGATAAAGCAGATACAGATGGATTGAATGTATCAAGAGCTCATGGGCAGTATGTATATCGAGATTTGAAGGTGTTATGCCGCAGCTACAATCCGGCGTGCTCATCTCGGGGATGGCTTCACGCTGCATAAGATATCGGTACGCTCGTTAGCCACTTCCCCTACTCGGGCCGCACCCATGGCCAAGACTTCCGTCCCGATAAACATCTTACCACCGCCCTCACCCCTTCCAATCTCACCATTGAACATGTCGGACAATCTTGTTAGGAGTGATATTCTTTGCTGTGTCATCTATACTGCTCTATTTTCCGTGTATGACACTAACATTGTCGGCCAATTTTCCCTCTGAAATCGCTCGAGCAGTATCCGTATTGTACCATCCTTGTGTATTCTCGCTCCTTCGAGAGCCCCTCGTTGCATCCACATAATTATCTCTCTTCCATCTTCCTCACAAAATCCTCAACGCGCATTCCCTCTGTAACTCATGTACCCTAGGATCCCTCGGGAGATATAGTACTGCAACCTTCAACAGCCTTCTCGCCTCATATTTATCGTCCAACTCTTTATACGCCATCGCGACACGATAGTAAATCTTGCCCATCTCAGGCCCTGCCAGCCATTGCTGGCCAAAAGCTTCCTCTTCAGGTTCTAGATTCTCCTCTCCTCGGCGCATAATACTGATCGTTCTCATGCCAACATGAATAACCGTATCCCAGTCCTCGAGTTTGAGATATGCAAGTAAAGTGTTGGCGACGAGTCGTATGCGGAGAACAGTGCGAACCATGCTACCATGTTGATTCTCAAATGGAGGTTCCGTGAGTACGTGTTCAAAGTATCTTTCTCCATAGACTCGGCGGGTGCGGCCTTTAACGATGATGAAGAGTGACTCCCAGGCTTTGCGATAATGTTCCAATGCCTCGAGTGGTTGATTGGCCATCAAAGCCGTGTTTCCAGCATCCTTATGAGCCGTAGCGTCTCTCAAGCGTTGGACTGGTGAACCCAGTGGTATAGCCATGAGTCTCTTCATCTCCGCAACAACTGACTCTTGTGGTTCTGGAATACCAGTAACATTCACTCGCATGAGGTTCTTAACTCTGCCGAATGGGTATAGAAGTCTTTCCTGCAGTGACTTGAGAACATTCTTCTCCGCCGGTGTGTCGTCTAGGGGTGTTGCAGACAACGGATCCCGCAATGTGAGTTTGAGCGTCAAGTTCTCATTAAGCTCTGGGTAGTCTGCGGCCGAATAAAACCACGAGTCACAGAACTTGTGCAAGTCGTCGATGTGTATAACAAACGTGTCTTCTCTTGTACGCATGCCCGTCAACGGGAAAGCGATCAGGACCGAGAGCCTATGCTGGGTGAACTTGGCTGCGCTCAAGTCGGCTGCGACGATTGGAACACCATCCTCGGCGACTTGGTGTTTGGACTCGGGGAATGGTGTGGTTATCTTGACGAAAGTGTTTAGTTCGAGGAAGATACGGCGGGCTTCGTGATAGACTTGTCGATTGACGCTGAGGAGGTTCTTGTGCGAGTAATTGTATACTGTGCTTCCATCGTCGGCGGTGTATCTGTTGGCATTAGGGGCCAGGAGAGTGCTGTAGATGTGATCACGAATCTCACGAGGGAGCTCCAGGAGGTTCATATTCACGATAGGTATTTGGGGTGTCTCTGAGAGGAAGGAACCAACCTCGATTTGCTCCTTCTCTTTATTGCTTGCTAAGTGACGACACGGGCTTAATGTGCCGAGGTCCATAAACTCCGGCTGGTGGTATGACCCGGCTCATACCTTTTCAACAGCGTATCGCTCCACCACTGCCATTTATGTGATTTTTTTTCTGGCAGTACACCTTCGATAGGAGGTAACGAGAGCCGTGAACTATGGTGGAGAGCTTTCTATCCATTACTCGGGTGTATGGGAAGCACAGAGAGTATTTCTCAGGCTTCGCGCGAAGATGAACAAAAACTCGATGCATGGACACACAAGTATCGGAAACTCTGGCAGACATTGCAATAGAGAGCAAGACTAACAGTTGTCTTCCGACCATGAGACTATTAGAAGACTGTTCAACCCGATGAGAATATGATAGCAGGTATGTGATAGAGCGCTCATTGATTTGCCAATCTTCGTAGCTTCACGGTCCCAGAACCACAACCGCACAACTCCGCTGTAGTTCACTTTCAAACTCGATTGTGAGCAGACACAGCCATGTAAAATTGATGAGGTATCAGAGAATATGCATTCTTTTTGAAAATATACAAAATACCATCCCCAAAACTAAACATAAACTTTCGTACAAGAAATTTCCCCAGAATGTACAGGTATCATTAGAATATTAAACAGAAGCGAATGCTCTCGAGCAGGTGTCATTCGAGACGTCACTGCTTTACAGAGCAAGGGCACCAAGGGCCAAAAGACCGAAAGGAATGGCAGAGGCCATGGCACCACCAGTAGAGGTAGGGGCAGCTGAGCTGCTCGATGAGGCAGCACGGCTGGAGGCAGAGGAAGTCATCGAGCGGGATGCCGATGAGGCAGAAGATGAAGCCGAGCCGGAAGCCGAGGAGGCCGATGAGGACATCGAACCAGATGCTGAAGAAGCGGACGAGCTCATTGATCCAGAAGCACTCGAGCGAGAAGCAGAGGCGCTTGAAGAGATTGATGAGGCGACAGAAGAGGCCGAGGAGCTGGCAGATTGGCCAATGTATGAGGTGCTAGAGGCGACGGTGTTGGTGCTCTCAATGACGAACTGGCCGGTGTAGTTGACGTTGTCGGGGTCGGTGTCGTCGACGATCTCGAGAGCGTAGTCGGTACCACGGGTGATGTCGCTGGGGACAGACCAGGTGTAAGTACCAGAGTTGGTGAGGCCCTCTGCGAAATTATATCAGTATTTGCTAAATGTCCGTCCTCAAAGCAGCGAGCAACACTTACGGGCAACGTAGACTCCAGGGGTCAAGTTGTTGTTGGCACCAGAGCGGAGGATAAGGGAGACAGTGCCAGAGGTGGTGGGAGTCCAGGTCAAGTCAACGGTCTTGCCAGCAGTGGCAGCAAGGTTCATGTTGGTGAAGGGGTTTGCGTTGGCAGCAAAGGCCAACAGAGGAGAGGCCAGGAGGGCAGCGAGGGTCTGAGTAGAGAAACGCATCTTGATGGTTGTGTGGTTTGGTTATGAGAAAGAGTGGTATGTGTTTTGAGGAAAAAGATGGTATGCAAGCTGTAGCGATCGTACAAAGGGTATGAGCAGAAGAAGAGGGAAGGCAGGATACGAGAATAGGCCAGCCCTTCTCTTTATTTAAAATGACGGTGGTCCACAATCTGGAGTCAAGTCCAGAGCTATGCTCAGAATAGGGAGAAGGGCAGCCTGGGCAGGCAGGCGAACATCCACACCATCTAAACATGGCGCCGTTTGATACAAACGACGGCGCGCGGGTGCTCCCAAAAGTTTCCTACCATACAAACGCCTCCCGCGCTAGTCGAGCTTGCCACTTACCTTGTATGTAGCTGTCGTTTGTCCCTTTTCCCACATGGAGACAGTCCACTTGGCTCGGTTGCCACGGCGGTTCCAAAACCCAATACCAATTACACTCGCATCGCCACGCCTGAACTGCTGCGAAAAGAGGTAGGTATTCAAGTACCTACTTGTCAAAGTCACTTTGCGGCTGGTTGGATTGGAAGGGCAGAAGCAAGCGAGATTTCCCGCCCAGCCGGGCCTCTTTGCGAAAGAGTTCGTGACTCGGTGCTCTAGGAAGGCGGCGGAAATTATGGGCGTGATGATGGCTCCGATCTGCCCACGCTCCGGGGAAACCAAAAGACGATCATCGTCCGGTGGCTATCGGTGTCGGTCGGTGAGTCTTTTTTGCTTCGCTGTTTGTCCAGAACCCGTTGCAAGCGTGTTTGGGACAAGAACCAGAAAAGACCCCTGGATGCTTAGCATTTCCTTCGTTTTGTTTGCAAGGGGCATGCAAGATGAACATCAGCAGCTTCCACACATCTGCGCCTTTCACGCATCTCAGCTCGAGCATGCACTGCACATGTCACTGCAAGATCGCACAAGCAGCGACAAGCGAGCACTGAATCGCGCAAACATCGCCCAGAGAACGCATTTGAGCCTTTGGGAGTTCTGGGCATTGGGGTGCACAGATCACACGGTCCGGCTGCTGCAGGAACAAGAGTCTAAAATAGAGTGTTGGGTAATTTTACTCCCCTTCTTCGCCGCGACCCGCGGGAAATCTGTTCACGTGCTGCTTCTGCTATTAGAACGTGCTGCAGGAGGCGTGTGCGATCATCATGCTTGGAAATCCTTCAGACATCATCGATGGCTTTGAAGTTTTCTGTGGTTCACCGGTTGCTTCATGAGGAAGGCCAGAGTCGCCGTGCCGAGGTCATGTGTGGACTGGCGATCTGCTAATAGCAAGACATATTATTGTGTAGGTGTCAGTCAATGGCCAAAACGAATGTGGTAAGGAAATACATTTCGAAGGTATTGTAGGCATTAAACATTTGTACGTAAGGTGTTTGTTTACCCTGATTCCATATTATCGTCGAGACCGTCCCAGTGCAAGAGAAAAGAAAGAGCTTCGTCTTGGGTGTATTTACTGGAAGAAGAAGACAGCTGCGACGGCGAACAGTGCAAGAACAGGAGTGCTGGCTTGGGCCAAAGTTGCTGCAGCGCCAGTACTTGAAGCGCTTGCTGCTGCTGAGGTCGATGAGCCGCGAGTTGATGTTCCCGAGCTCGATGTTGCACGAGAGCTGCCACTGCTGCTCGAACTTCCGGAAGAAGAAGTCAAAGTTGGCGAGACGATGGTCGTGTTACGGTGAATAGGCGAGCCAGTTCCGACGCTAGGTGCGACAACCACTACGGTAGTGTTGGCAGGAGGTGTAGGGGGCGAGGTCTGGATGGAGACGATCGCAGTCAGGTTGGTCAAAGACGAGTTGTAGCTTGCAATGACAGACTCGATGCTGGAAATGGCAGAGGCGGTCAAGGACGATGCAGCGGCTTTGGCAGATGAGCTTGCTGACTTTGCTGATGACACAGCGGCGGCATTACCACCAGTCAGGGTGATCTGTCCAGAGTAGTTGACCTGGTAGCCCTGTGCGATCTGAAGAGCATAGTCGCTGGCATTTGCGAGAGACTTGCTCGGGATCCATGTGTAGGTTCCGTTGATAGCGTTGTCTTTGGGATGTCAGTATAGATCGTGAGCTGTGTTTTGCAAACCTGAACGACTTACTGGTCAAAGTAGTGACATCCTGCAGGTCGGATGGGTCACCCTTTCTGAGTACGATAGTGGCAGGCTTTTGCTGGTCAGCACGTGTCTTGACGTCTCAATCATATCTCACTACTTACTGCGGTCAGGATTTGCGAGGTGTATTGAATCGTGACAGGCTGCCCAGCAGTGACCTCAGTGGGTACACTGGTGAACGACAGACGAGGAGTCTGGGCGACGACAAGGCTCGCAAGTGCAAAGGCACCAAAGGCGGCGGTCTTGAGGAAGTGCATGGCTGTTCCAGGTACTGCCTTTTGTGATGAATAGGATCAAGATTTGGGGTGAGAACAATGGTCGTTACGCAGGCGTGCGAAAAGGAAAATTGACTTGAGACGAAAACACGAGAACCCAAACAGATGAGAAAGCTTCAAAAGCTTGAGTGGCAGATGGAAAGAGCGGTGGAAGCACTTGCCTATTATACGAACAGCGTTGTAGAGGACAACCCGACGTTTACTGTGCAGGAACTGTCCTTCTTATAGGTAAACACCTCGCGATCGACCGAACAACAAGCTCACTCATCACCTCACAGACGGCACTATCGATTCACCATCCACCCTGCATATAATCACGCGATCTCGAAAAATAATTGCTGCATCAGAGCAAGGAAGAATTTGACCTGCGCCATGGCTTGAGGAAGGCGGAAGATTGACACTGCGAACAAAAGACGCCTACTCCAAAGAAGCAAGTCGTACAGTTTCATACTTTCAACTAAAGTTGTGTCACGGACGGGAGAGGCTGCAGGCAGGGGTCGATGGGATGCGGAGATTGCAAAGAGGAGGATAGACGCAGCCAAGCTCGGCTATCCAGCCTGTCAGGTTGCTCATATTGGCAGAAGACAAGTACCTAACGTTGACAGGTTCTGTGCATGCCGGAATACGAGAGGTCGCACAAGACTACTGACCGTCGGTTCCTTCTCGTGACCTGTCGAGTCTCGAGATGAGTCTCTTGACTCCATACCAGTCTTCACCCTTGTTATTGCTTTCCAGCCCACCAAGATCATTACCAACTTCAAAGACGGTCGCAATGCCGTCGAGACCACCTACAGCAACCCTCTTGCCTTCATTGTGTTCCCAAGCAAGTCGATTCAAGCTCTTGACACCGAACACGTCACCTTGGGTATGACTTGGCTGAGCACGTGCAACAGGCACCTCAACATCAACGTTGATATCAAAGACCTCCAATCTGCCTGCACCATCAACGCAACCAAAGACACCAGGTTTCGTGGGCGACCACTTGACATCGTAAATGACGTCCTCGCGCATGATTTCAAGTAAAGGCTTTTCGGGAGCTCCAGAAGCTACACCGACTCCAGCAGTGGTGACGGCTGTGCTTGGAGGCTTGACACGCCAGATCTTGACACTCCAATCCAGAGAAGAGCTGATAGCCAGATCACCGAGATCGACCTTTCCTTTACTCGGATGGAAGTCCAGTCCAGTGACAGGCGCAGCGTGGCCGGTGTAGTACACACGCGGGTCGACGCCGGCCTTTGCGCCAGCACGGTCATATCTGTGGACTGGTACAATGGCACCCTCCTCAGTACCAGCCAGGAAATACGTGGGATCGGCCTTGGGGAAACTGATGCACGAAGGCGCAATATCTTCAGTACGATTTCGGCCCGGCGGTGAAGTCAACTCAAGGTATTCCTGAGGCTTTGATAGCATGTCAAATGACCAAGCACATGTGGTACCATCGGTGCTGACACTGACAATACTGCTGGCATTTTGGGTGCCAACCACAGCGACACTGTAGATAGGATGGGCGTGACCACCCTTCTCGCCAGCCAGGGGGGTACGTTGTACCGGTGCACCGTCATGAGAACGTTGGCGAATGTCCCATAGACAGACTTGTCCAGAGTATGTTCCACCTAGTACAAGACTCGGATGGTAGGGAGAGAAGCGAGCAGTCAGGATGTCACTCGTCGCAGTGAAGACATACTCGGGCTGCGAGGGCATATGTGCATTCCAGACCAAAGCCAAGCCAGGGGCACTTTGCGAAGAGTTTGAAGCTTTGGTGTAGGAGGCTAGCAAGAGTTCTGGGTACTAGAGTCATCTGTTAGAACGTGCAGCCCAAAGCACAACCAACAGGAGCACTTACCTTGACGGAATAGTCGAGGTCACTGATCATGCGGCGTTTCGTCCAGCGATCGTCTTGGAACTGCATCAATTCGCGCACACGACGGCCTCTTGTAGTACGAGTCTGTCCGCCCTCTTCATCGTCATCCAAGCCATTGGCACCACGCATAGCATAATCTGCAAGCACATCATATTCCTCGTCCAGCGCTCTTTCGATGACCTTTGTTGAACGATCGATAAAGTCCAGAAAGTCGTCTGAAGCAGTCACTGCACCCAGTTCCTCATGGGTCAGGGTACGCGCAGGGAAGTTCTGCTTGCCGTTGGTGATGGCAGCGTCCTCGGACACTTTCAAGGCTTGCAACTCGTCCTCGATCTCTTTACGAATGTTCTGCCTCAGCTCTTCATCTCTTTCACGTTCTCGTCTGCTCAATCGCTTCCTCGTTCTTGTAGGCGAGTAACTCGACTCATCGTCGGAAGGTTGGCGATTATGCGTTGGTGACCAGGGCTCAGTAGTCTGTACGCCCTTGCTGTAGGTGATGACATCTGGCTTGGGATCTGAGGGCTGGTTGAGGACAGTGGAGACGGCGGTGAAGGAGAGAGTTTGGTTGGGCACCGAAAGAGGAGCAGGAGTTGAAGCGGCAGAGGGACTGTCAAGCGAGATGGAATTGGGACGGCTTACACCGAGGTGTGCAGAGGTAGTCGGCGAGTCCTGGTCGCGAGGAGTGGAGCGTCCAGGGCGGTCGACAAGAGTAGAGATGAGCTGGTCCAGGTCTGCGCGGCTGTTAGCACGCGAGGGAGAGGGAGAGATGAGCTGCGTGTGTCAGTTTGGGACGTACCTTGGTGTAGCCTTCTTCAACGTACCTCTGCTGCATCTCCACTCTGTCGCGTTGATGTAAACTCCTTTTGTCGCTGAGCACGCTGTCTCTTAAGCTCGGCGAGTTTTGCGCGCTTGGCTAGAATCTCCTGCTTGCGAGCTTCGAGGGATGAGGACGAAGACATGATTGCGTGTAGTAATTAGGCGGTCAATCGGTTGGTTGTCCAGGAGCTGGTTTGGGCGTGATGAGCGGGTGCGACAGACCAGCTGAGCGCAGGATAGCTGAAGTCTGGCACAGGTAATCCAGAAACCAAAAAGACGGCCAGGAGCGAATGTGATATCGACCGAGAGATGGGTGTTATTAATTGTTGCAGCAGCGGATAGATAGTTTAGAGTGTTTAGATTGGCATGCGATGGACCGGGGGACGGAAGAAACCGCGTCGTGGCCGACGTTCGCTCATCGCAGCTCTTCGCAAGCAGCGACAGCATCGACACTCGACGACAAGTTCAATTGCCCGTGCTCCACCCGTCTCCAAAGTCGCCCCGGTCCTCTCTCGAGCCTTTGATATTTCGCTCTCCATATACAACTCCGTCACAATGGCTTCATCCGGTGTCAACGTACGCGCGCCCATGGCCCAACTTCTTTTCCTTCCTGTCCCGGACGCTGATGGCTGCTCTCACAGGTCCTCCGCTTCTCAGCACTCGGCCTTGGTGTCGCATACGGTTTCTACCACCAATCCGCCATCACTGCTGCCGACAAGCTCCGCGAGAACCAGAAGTTGTACGAGCACAAGCAGTCCCTCATCAACCAGGCCCGTCAAGAGTACCAGAAGAAGACTGCTCCCCCGAGCAAGTCTGGTGGTATGTTGCCTCTTGTGTCTCATCACCTTGTACCAACCAATCGCTTACACGAACAACCAGTTGTTTCCGACCCCAGCGACCCCAAGTTCGACCTGGAATCTTGGCTCAAGTCGGTCCAATAGACAATTCACCCTGCATATTCTCCCCTATAGACCCGGCGATACTTCCTTACCACGAGCACACGAGGAGGATGCCTGTTTTTTAATTCCGACAACAAAAATGCGATCTTCAAAATATCCTCGAGACTCGACATGATCACATCCACGTGCCACCCGAACGACCATCACACGAACGATTTGAAAGACAGAAGAAACAGAAAGCTCTCATCTTTACAGCCACCTCCGCCTCGTCCATGCCGACTTTTCGCCCGCCTGTCTCAGAACTTCACTACAAGCGGTTTCTTCATCTTGTTTCCGTACTCCCTGTTTCCTTCCTCCAAAGTGTATCTACTCTGTAAAAATAGGCCGCGCTTTTGCTCCATGCGCCACTTTCTAGCGGGTATAGACGAAAGTTTTTGTTTCTCCGTCTCCAGTGTCTTTGCATAATCGAAGCTTGGTAAGCCGAGACAACCGCGTCACTAACTCGTGCCTGCCAGATCTCCATGTTTGAGCATTGAACGAAGACTAGCCATGCCAAGAGATAAGTTGAACTCGAAGAAGGTACCTCCGTTTCATGAACGGAAAGAGCACCTGGAGTACGATTACACAGTAAACTCATTCTCTGTTGCTCCGTCCTCATCACACATACTCGTACAACGACTCCAATTGCATACACTTTCAGAGCACTTTTACCACATTTTGCTTCCAATCCATCCACACACCTGCATCAAATTCTCCATCTCAAGCATTCCCAATTCAACATGATCTCATCCATCTTTCTGCCTCTGGCTTTTGCTGTCTGTCAGGTCTCGTCGAGTCCCATTCATCAAAGAAGAGCACTTTCCCAAAACGACATCATCGGCCTGCAATTGGCTGGCTACCTCGAGAACCTGGAACTAAGCTTGTACACCGGTGGCTGTGAAGGCTTCACCGATGTAGAATGGATCGCAGCTGGCTTTCCTTCAACCTTTCAACAAGACATATGCGCTATCGCAGAAGTAATATTGCCGGATCTGTCCTTTACACAATTACTGACATGACTGTGTAGCAGCAACAGAATCAGACAAGCTTCATCGCCTCTTCTCTCGAGTCCAACGGGATTTCCGCCCCTCAGGCATGCAGCTACAACTTGTCGTACGACTCACCCACAAGTTTTGTTCTCCTCGCGAACCAAATCACGTCCATAAGCCTCGGCTTCTATCTCGGAAGTCTGAATGACTTCTCACCAGCGCTTCAAACAGTTGCTGCTTCAATTCTTTCGGTAGAAGCTCGTCACGATGCTATTGTCAGAAACGGAATGGGTGCATCTCCTTTTCCCACCAACCTCGATGTACCATTGAGCTCCGTCTGGGCATACAGTTTGGCACAGAAATACATCTCGTCTTGTCCACGACAGTTGCCCATCGATCTTCTACCACCACTCGGCTTCAATGGCATGTCAGGCAGCAGTCTTAGCTTTGGCTAGAGTCCAAATGCCAACAACTTCTCAGCCCCGACTGAAGCGGGTCAAGCTCTTTATCTTGCAATCGTCCACGCCAACGCCACTGATCCGAGCTATCAACAGGTATTGACAACGGGGCAAGGTCAAGGTACAGCACAACTTCCAGAAGGTCTTGGAGGAGTGGTTTATGCTGCTCTTACAGCTTCCTCGGGAGACTTGACATTTCACGAGCTCACAACTACTGGCACTTTGGCTGGCCCGGCGCAGCTTGTACTTTCATGAGATGACAGATTCTCGCAGCCAACGACCATGTCCTGAGGTTCTGAATCAAGCAAGAGGATTGCCAGATTCGCAAGCTAGAGCATGAGGTGCCAGGAAGTCGATCAGGGCAATTTTCGAAGCATGAAGCCTAGAAAGGAGCGGCGGGCCCCGGAGGTAGGCTGGTCATACGTGGCTAGAGTGAGGACATGATTCTTCTTGTATGATAGAAAGCAGTAATAGTGAATCACAAGACTTGATCATCAGACGTGTTGAGTTCGTTCACGGAATGCAGCAACCTGGGGTTCGGGAGTTCAAGGAGAAAGAAGGTGAAAGCAACGCCAAGCGCGGTGACGAAGGGCTTTTGGGGGAGGGCGTGGAGATCGGAAAGTTGGTTTGGCTTCTGAACAACGGGCACAGTCGCAAAAACAGCTACATCGACCCCCTCAACTCGTAAAGTGTTGGTTTTCTATCCTTGCGCTCATTCTATCATCCCTCTGCCGGATATCCCCCTTTCGCATCTTAGCTCTCGCTCTCGAGTAGCACTTTGCAGCCTCGCATCAACACACGACTCGGTTGGCAGGCCAAACAAGCTTTCTCAAACACAGAGCCTCGTTCAGGACAGAACACACCAACACCACCACCACCACCATGGCCTCTCTCGGTGAAGACTTGCTCGGAGTCGTCAACAAGCTCCAGGACCTCGTCTTCAACACGATAGGAAATGACTCGCTGGACTTGCCACAGATTGTATGCACACTTCTCCAAACCTCGGTACAAGAGGCTGACAGGTACAGGTTGTTGTAGGTTCGCAATCTTCAGGAAAGTCGTCGGTACTGGAAAACATCGTCGGTCGCGACTTTCTTCCTCGAGGAAGCGGCATCGTCACCCGTCGACCTCTTATCCTGCAACTCATCAACGTCCCCAGCAATGCCGATAGACCGGAGGGCGATGAGATCCACGTGCCACACACCCCAGCCTCTGTCGCTGGCCAAGACGAGTGGGGAGAGTTCAACCACATTCCTGGCCGTCGCTTCTACGACTTTGGCGAGGTCAAGAGAGAGATTGAGAACGAGACTGCTAGAATCGCTGGAAACAACAAGGGCATCAACCGCCAGCCCATCAACTTGAAGATCTACTCGCCCCATGTTCTTAGTTTGACTTTGGTCGATCTGCCTGGTCTCACAAAGGTGCACTTGTTTGCGTTTCTGAGTGGAGGCTTCAACTAACTGTCGTCTAGGTTCCGATTGGCGACCAACCTGGTGATATTGAGAAGCAGACACGCAACCTGATCACCGAGTACATCGCAAAGCCCAACAGTATCATCCTCGCAGTGTCTCCCGCAAACGTCGATCTGGTGAACTCGGAAGCTCTCAAGCTGGCCCGCCATGTCGACCCTATGGGAAGACGCACAATCGGTGTCCTGACAAAGCTGGATTTGATGGACCACGGTACCAACGCTATGGACATTCTCTCAGGTCGTGTATACCCTCTGAAGCTGGGCTTTATTGGTGTCGTCAACCGTTCGCAGCAAGATATCCAGGGCAACAAGTTGCTCTCTGATGCCCTCTCTGCTGAGAGAGACTTCTTCCGCACTCACCCCGCCTACCGCAACATGGCCACTCGCTGCGGTACTCAATACCTGGCAAAAAGCCTCAATACTACCCTGATGGGTCACATCCGCGAACGCTTGCCCGATATCAAGGCCCGCTTGAACACCCTGATGGGCCAGACGCAACAAGAGCTGGCCAGCTACGGAGACGTCGCTTTTGCTGGAAAGGAACACCGCGGCTCTCTGGTTTTGCAGCTCATGACTCGTTTCGCTACTTCGTTCATGTCATCCATTGACGGTACGTCTTCCGAGATCTCGACCAAGGAACTCTGCGGTGGTGCCAGGATTTACTACATTTTCAACTCCGTCTTCGGCAACTCTCTGGAGACCATTGATCCTACAACGAACCTTTCTGTCCTCGATATTCGTACTGCCATCCGTAACTCGACCGGTCCTCGTCCCAGTCTCTTCGTCCCCGAACTCGCATTCGACCTTCTGGTGAAGCCTCAGATCAAGCTGCTGGAGATCCCCAGTCAACGTTGTGTTGAGTTGGTTTACGAGGAACTGATCAAGATCTGCCACAGCTGCGGCTCTTACGAATTGTCAAGATACCCACGTTTACAAGCGAAGCTGATTGAGGTTGTCTCGGATCTGCTAAGGGAGAGATTGGGCCCATGCTCGCACTACGTCGAGTCGCTCATCTCTATTCAGCGCGCATATATCAATACCAATCACCCCAACTTCCTCGGCGCAGCAGCTGCTATGAACTCGGTCATCAACGACAAGCAGGAGAAGGAGAAGGCTATTGCAGCCGCAGAAGAGAAGAGAAAGAAGGACGAGAAGCGCCAGAAAGCTCTCAGCGGTGCCAACGGTACTGGAGAGCCTGAGGACGATCAAGAGAATGACGCCGCTGCTGGAGGCAAGGCAGCAACACTCCCTATTCGCAGCCACCTCAGCAAGGCCAGCCGTAGCATGTCACCTGCTGTTGGTCGTGCTGGAATGAGCACAAACGGTACAAGAGCTGGCTCACCGCCAAGATTCGCAGGAGCAGGAGGCACTGCTAGAGACAGTTTCCTCAACTACTTCTTCGGCAAGGACGGTGGCCTGCCGCCGTCAAACGGTTTCTCTGGAAACCACATGTCCCCTTCAAACATGCCTGCTGGTAGCAGACATGTTAGCGCAAACATCGAGCCCAGTTTCGCAGGCAGCATTCGCAGAGGCGACACCAGACTGCCCGATCGTCCTGTATCATCGCACGTTTCTGTGCCCGGCGAGTACGACTCGGAAGAGGCAGACAGTGGCTACGTAAGTCTGGCCAACCCTCTTAACCAGTTTCTATTGCTAACATCAATCCACAGCCGCTAGCAGACGAAGGCCCGGCGCTCACTGAGCGAGAAGCACTCGAGACCGAACTGATCCGTCGCTTGATATCATCATACTTCAACATTGTACGAGAGACGATTGCCGACCAAGTCCCCAAAGCAGTCATGCACCTTTTGGTCAACCACTCCAAGGACGTTGTCCAGAACAGACTGGTCAGCGAGCTGTACAAGGAAGAATTGTTCGGCGAACTCCTTTACGAAGACGACGCCATCAAGAGCGAGCGCGAAAAGTGCGAGAAGTTGCTTTCCACCTACAAGGAAGCTGCCAAGATTATCGGAGAGGTCTTGTAAAGGGGGAAATAAATGATGGGTGCAAAAAGAATGCTTTTATTACGATCTCTACTTTCTCTTGTTTGATTTTTTGTCCACCCTCTCTCTCCTTTTCGTTTTCCAGCTTGCGCGGTCTGGTTGTATTGTAACTCTAGAGGGAGGCAAGGAAGGGATAGGACAGAACAGACCTGTGTTTCCTTGTTTGACGGAGATTTGAAACTCTGTCCAAGCTTTTTGTATAACACGAATTTGTACCAAAAAGACATAAGTCTATCAGCACAAACGCTAATCGAGTATATGTGTATCCTTCACAGGAGACAAGTTGTGAAGCCGTCAGTGGATTGAAAGTCTAAGCAAGACCACTAGATCAATGTTCCAGGATGCATCACGAATTGTCTCCTAACAGATATCGCTGTGAAGGTGGGTAACCCTGTCCGGGATCTCTGATGTGAAATCAAGAAACCATCTCGCGACTCGCGAGGGTACGGATTCTGAAAATGCCGGTGTGCGAAAGTGACAATTATCTTTCGTACCTCGTAGCCTTCTTGTAACTTCTGTAATCCACCCGTCATGATCGGGGACACGGAAGCAACAAGCAAGGCGAATCAAAAAATGCAGGTGCCTGAGAAGAAGCTTCCCCCGCACTCTTGAAGCGACCAACAGAAAGTGGCGAGTCCGCAACGACAGTCCACGATTCATTGATCATCTTCTTTGAGCTTCTCGCGTCTCTTTTCTTTTGCTTACGAGACAAGGCGGCAAGAATTGAAACACAATGATGAGTCAATGGCAGCAAACAACCGCCTCTGCTGCAGGGCAAACAAGTGAGAGACATGGAGGGTTTGTAAGTGAAAGCTCATAGGTAGAGACGTCGACGGTGCGGTGTCCGAATAATGACCACCTTTTTCTCTTCACACTCGAATTCCCTCCTTTCTCCACCAAGACCAGACACCCCGATTCCGAATTTGCCCTTGAAGTGATTTCCGGCGACGGCTTGGCTTTATTCAAAGTTTGACTCCCGGGACAGTCGTGTGCTTCTCGACCCTGGCTGACGTTGAGGAGGCCGAGCTTGGCTGTTGTCTTCTTTTTGTCGTTATCTTCACTTGCGACCTTATCTTCACAACTCCCAATCTCTCCCTTGCCGCAACCTCCAACTCTCCTTCACACCTTGACCACGCGACTCGAACACGCGACACACACCTCGACCTCACCAACAACCTTCAAAATTCCCTTCCTCGACTCTTCAATCGGCCCACTCTCGGCCGGCTACATGGCACCAAGCGCAATCGAAGTCGAAGAAATCAACGAGCTTGCTCACACGATCAACGACCCGCCTGTCGAACACAACCTCGAGGATCACGTCGCATTCGGCGGAGACGATCAATGGTTCTACCACATCCCCTCCAGACGCTTCGATCTCTCTCGTGGCTCCAAGCGCAAGCTCATCATCGACGCTGATGATGGTATCCGTAACCATCGGTGAGGCTACATTGCGCCCTAGAGTCCTCCAACCCTGTAACCCTTCATGGACGAAAGGCTAACTTGCTGCTTCTTCAGAGGCGTGGCAATCGATCCTTCCAGCACCGTCTTGGTCATCATTGACATGCAGAACTTCTTCGTTCACCCCATGTATCACGACCACACCAGTGGTATCGCCACCATCGAGCCTCTCCTGAAGGTTATCGACAAGTGCAAGGGTCTCGGAATCCAGCGCTGCTGGCTGAACTGGGGCATCTCCGACTACGACCTGAAAGTCATGCCTGCAGCTGTTACAAGAGGTTTCAACAGAAACTTGGCTCAGGACAAGGGCCACGGCTGGCACGTCGGCTTGGGCGCAAACATCAAGGATGACAAGGGCAACACCGAGCGTTGTCTCTTTAGCGGCACCTGGAACGCCGACATCTACGACCCTCTCAAGGAGGTCATGACTCCCGAGGACGTCCGCTTCGACAAGGCCCGTATGAGTGGCATGTGGAACCCGGACTTGCCTATGAACAAGTGGCTCCGCGAGAGTGGAAAGAAGACGCTGCTGTTCGCTGGTGTCAACACCGACCAGTGCTTGCTGGGCACGGTCACAGATGCCTACAACTGGGGATGGTACGTCAGCAAGCTTGCGCTGGCTCAACCGGACAATCGACTAACATGCGCTCGACAGGGACTGCGTTCTCGTTGGCGACTGCGCTGCCACCATGACTGGACTCAACGCTCAGGAAGTCTGCGACTACAACATCGCAACCAACATGGGCTTCGTCACCGACAGCAAGGCCTTCTTGGAGTCCGAGGTCGTGTACGGCCCCTTGAAGTGAATCCATGATCAACAAGAGTCCTACTTTCTTCCGTTTACGACAATTTCCTTCGCTTTGTTCATCAATGATGCTTCCGTGGTCGTTTCAGCAGCAGGTACACATGGAAAGCGTTGCCGTCTTTCGTTTTTCTGGGACAGAGGGTCATCCTCTCATCAACGGCGTTTATCACTGCAGCACAACAGGGGATTCTTTGCTTTTAGATCCATGGCTTATGTATCACGAGATACCCTAGACGTTTTGTCTTTCTTAGCTTCGTCTTTTAACATACAAACAAATCAAATGCAGGAACAGATGCAGGTCTTCTGTTCTCTTCAACCAATGACTTTTTCCGTATCATCCATTTCACATGTGACACCTCGATATCTGACACTGCAGGAACAGCTTTGCAGCAGATAAGGAGCCCCTCTCTAACTGACTTTGCACTCGCTTACTGGGAGCATGTAAATATTCCCGAGAAGCAAAAGAAACCAATCTTCAATCAATACGAGGCTCCCATGGGGGATCTCCTCAAACAATCAATCTCATTAATTTCTTCGTAAAGTGATTTTGGTGTCGCATGTCAAAAAGAACCGAGGCGAAGGATCCAAAGCACATCCCAAAACACCGACGATCAATAATATCACACACGGCCAAGTCGCATCAAACGGAAAAGACAAGCCTTTTTGCTGTCTGTCCAATGTCCCTCGGGTTCTTTTTCAGGCAGGAAGAGAAACTCAGGCCAACCTCTAGTCCTTGAGCAAAGGAAGATCGAAGTGTCTGGACCGTTGCTGTCTAAATTTCCTCGGAGCACCATGTTCACACAGACGGTCAAAGTATCATGTTAAGCAGCAAGACAAAACAACACGCACATAGAGAGAAAAACAACATCGGAAAGAGTTCACAGACATGTCGGGCCGGACGGTATTCTTTTCTCTCCTTCACATGCCATTCCCGAGGTTTCGATCTCGAGGGTAAGCACAACAAAACCACATGCATCGGAATCGTTCGCGTACACCGACTGTTCTTTTAATGCATGCCCTGAGTGAGGAGGAGTCAGGATCCGCGACGCCCAAACAAACTTCGCGAGTCTACGAGAGTCAAGACCCGCAACCACATCAACGCCGCTGTCGCCATTCCTAAACTCCACCGCGAGCGCTCTGGTCGAATCAATGAGCAGTAATAAACATCGGGCTCGTGATGATCACACTGCCGTCAACGTGTCGCATCGGCCGGCGCGGCAAGGGCCCTGAACGGATCCCTGTGCAGCCGAGCCTCCCTCAACTGCAGGGGAGTGGAGCTGCAAGCAAGCCTCAAAAAAACGCCACCGAGTCGCGCGACAGCAAAAGCTGTGCTTCCTGTTCCTCGCAAGCCCGTTTCAGCCTTTGCTGCCATGCTGCAGGTAAATGGGTGCCTTTTCCGTTGAGCACGCACAACGAAAAACATGTGAACAACGTCCATGCAAGGTACGGAAGAGATAAAATAGCTACACACCTGTCAAAAGGCACGAAAAGATTGCGACAAGAGGGCGCAGCAGCTGGAGTTCTATTGCTTTTTAGAAGCTCGCGAACCCTTGCTCGATCTCAATCTGCTGCCATCCCACCTTCTCCAGTTGAACGCGAGATAGGCTGTACCGTAAATAGAAAGGATCATACCCAAACACAGCAGAGAGAACGCGCACCAGGGGATGGCGGTTCCACCTGGCGGTTGAAGATGATGCAAGTTGAAGACTTGGCAGTCTCAATGCTTTCGCATCCAGCACAGCTCCCCTTGCCAATCGCTTGGTCGGGAAGCGTCTCATGTCTGCATCTGCACATCTTTTTAATTATCAATTCGCAGCTCTTCCTTGTTCCTGGATCCTGTGCTGATCTGATTAATTAGTCCAACGACTCTGCTTACTCTCTTTCTTGTCCTTTTTCTCTTCCTCCTCCCATCATCCAATACCACTCGGACAAGGCCTACACTCGTTGTCCGAAAGCATCCTTCAGTCGTTACCACATCGTGATTTCCTGGTACGGCCTTCCGGAGACCGGCCGAGCTTGCGTGGTAGACGCACGTTTCGAACAAAAGCTAAACTCGAACACCACACACGTCATTGAATGAGCGAACTTTTAACTGTCTGGCACTGCTCTACCGCTGTTTTCTGAACATTTCGCCAAAGGAGAGATTTACACCATGTCGACGCCAAATGACGAAAGGCCAGAGCCTACATATCACCAACCATCATACCACCTACCCTCGTATAACGTCAACCCCCACGGCGAGCGATCTTCGGATGAAGAAGGCACAGTCGTCGGAGACCACGGAGAACACAGAGACCACAGCAACCACAGCAATCACAGAGATGATTATGGCGATCGATACCACGACGACGAGCACGAGGGACCTATTGATCCCCGCGTACACCGCATGGGCAGCCACCTTACCGTCGACACTGCCAACGACCCTCACTACCACCCTCGACTCCACGACATGACCTCGCCCTCGCAATCGCGCGAAATGGCCAACAGACTTGATGACGACCTGGAGTTGCTCAAGATTGAAAGACAGATTTCGCACGACAACGACGTCGCGACTCGGGATGGTGCTTCCCACATGGGTCGTCAGCGTTCCAGAAGAGATGACATGATCGACGAGTTCGACATTGCTACAAACCCCATCCATGAGCAAACGCAAATGTACAAGCCGCCTCAAGATCCGGTCGGCAAGTTCTCCAAGTTGATCAAGAAGATCCACCACTCGAGTTTCTTGGTCCGCTATCTCACATATATCCTTCCCGTGGTGTTGATTCTCCTCATCCCGCTGTTGATCGGCGCACTTGTCAGCCCTGCACAGAGTGCTAAGGTTGGAGGTGTTGAGCTCATGTGGTTCATGATCTGGTTGGAGATTGTCTGGCTTACACTGTGGGCTGGTAGAGTAAGTTCAATCGCGACCAATACTGCTTTCATACTTGCTAACGTGAACAGCTTCTCGCAAAATGCCTTCCCTACCCGATCGGTCTTATATCTACTATCTTCACCAACAACAGCAAGAAATGGCGTGACATGGGCAAGCAGCTCGAACTTCCTGCTACTCTGTTCTTCTGGTGGCTTGGTGTCGAGGTTTCTTTCTTGCCGACCATGAAGAACCACCAAGCCAATGGCAGTCGTGCAACTCAGCCCTGGATGGGAACCATGAACAAGGTTCTTGTAGCCCTTTTCGTCGGAATGATTCTTAACTTTGTCGAAAAGATCATTATCCAGCTCATCGCCATCAGCTTCCATTTGCGTACATATGCCGACCGTATTGAACTGAACAAGTTCCAAATCGGCAGTCTTGTCAAACTTTACACTTTCTCCAAAGCAAAGATCGCCATGGAGGACTCCGAATTTGAACAACCTTCTGGAGTAGATTCTGGTGCCCGTACTCCTGGTCGCTACCTTCAGGAAGCTCAGAAGCAGACAAAAGAAATCTTCAACAAGGTCGGTGATGTTGCTGGCAAGATGGCTGGTGACTTTACTGGAAAGTCTGTTACTAAGAGCACTCACCCTCACCAAGTGGTTCTGACGCTTCTGGGTTCAACAAACGGCAGCCAAGTCCTTGCTCGTCGTCTTTATCGTACTTTCGCCAGACCTGAGACTGAGACGGTTTACAACGATGACCTGAAGAACGCTTTCGATAACGACGAAGAGGCTGAGGCTGCTTTCTCCATGTTCGACAAGGACATGAACGGTGACATTTCTATGGAAGAGCTGGAAGCTGTCTGTGTTGAGATTGGTCGCGAGCGCAAGTCTATCACTGCCTCCTTGAAGGATCTCGACTCCGTTGTTGGCAAGCTTGATGACATGTTCATGTTCCTTGTTGCTGTCATAACCATTCTGGTTTTCATCTCACTGATCTCAACTTCCGCTGCTGGTGTTCTTACTTCTGCCGGTTCCACCGTCCTCGGTCTCTCTTGGCTTTTCTCGGCTACTGCAACCGAGATCTTGCAGTCCATTATCTTCGTCTTTGTCAAGCATCCTTTCGATGTCGGTGACCGTGTTACCATCTACGGATCTACTGGTGCCACTCTGACTGGTGATGACTACTTTGTCAAGGAAATCGCACTCCTTTACACCGAATTCAAGAAGATGGAGGGACACGTGGTGCAGGCACCCAACAGCTATCTCAACACTCTTTTCATTCTCAACCAGCGTCGTTCCGGCGGTCTCGCCGAAGCCGTTCCGGTCGTCATCAAGTTCGGTACCACCCTCGAACAGATTGAAAGTTTGCGCAACCGCCTGCTTGATTTCGTCAAACAGGAGAACCGCGAATACCAGGGCAATATTCTTACCGAACTCCGTTCAGTCACCGAAGTCCACTCTCTCACTCTCAACGTCGTCTTCTTCTACAAGTCCAACTGGCAAAACGAAGGTCTTCGTCTCGCACGCAGAAACAAGTTCATTTGCGCTCTCATGGTCACCATGCAAGAATGTGGTATCGAAGGTCCCCGTATGCGCTTCCCTGGTCAGAAGGAGTCCTTCCCTGTCTACATGCAGAACATTCCTCACCAAGCTACACCTGGTATGGGCCGCAACGGCCACCCCGACAACCCGACTGGCTGGCAAGAAGGCGAAAGCCAGGATCCTCCCTTCGTCGCTCCCGCTGAGGGTCCTATCGGCGGTCGCGCCCGTCAAGGCTCAATCCTCCGCACTGGCTCTACCGCACGCCGCGGTCACGAAACTCTGGCTCAAATGAACAAGCGTGTTGACTTCTCTCTCGGCATGAGCGCCGAGGCAGCAACAAACTACAGCGGTGATGTCTTTGAAGACCGCAAACCTCGTCTACCCATCAGTGTTACCTCACCATCGCCCGACAATCGCAACAGAACGTCCAACGACACGCATAGATCTACTGATACCGGCCGCTCGACCTCCCGCGATATCGGACCTGGTCGCCTAGCCCGTCGCTCCACTGATGCTTCCACAACCTCTCGTGTCACACACCGTAACCGATTCTTCGGCCGCGCCCGCGGCAACACCATTGATGAGCAAGCGATGATGGAGAAGGGTATGGCAGACATCCCCGAAGACTCGCCTGGTGGTGCCGGCACTATCGACCCACGCAGTGGTCTTGTCTCTGGCGCAGCATGGAGAACACGCACGAACGAGAGTAACGTCGTGAGGAAGAGTCAAGAAAGACCCAGAACCGGACATACCGCCGACACAGCAGGTCATTCGGTCGCTTCTGGCGGCCTGGATGGCCCACCTCAATTACACCCCGGAGACCCTTCGACCGAAGATTTCGAGATGAAGAGGTTCCACTAAACAGAAAAACACAAAAACTAAATAGACTAGAGGTTGGGGATCTTTTTACTTTCTTGCTTTGCGATTTTAGCGATGTTTCGACTAGATGGGTTTTGCCGTCCTTTTTTGGGTGCATAGAAGAGGACTTGGACGTTCCTTTTGGAGTCTTCTTACTTTATCTCTGGATGAGAAGAGATCTTGCCTGTTTTCGATGTTCGAGTTTTACACTCTCCTTGTCGGGGTTGACATGTCAAATTCTACTTTTTCGTATTTCTGAACCATCAATTCCCATGTTCCAGCGCGGTGACCGGTTGCATTGGCTTGTCAATGTCCAAGTGGCCAGCCAAGCTGTGTTGTTCGTCCCATGACTGCGTGCAACTCCGCAATTCTCCATCTCCGCATCTTCTTCTTCCGACATATGCTCGTAGAACAGCTGACCGGTAGGTTTGGGAGCCTCTGCGAGTTTGTCAATCAGGGCAAGGTCATCCTCCTTGCACCATTTTCCCAAAGCGAGTCGCCATTAATTCCGGTGCCTTACAAAAACCACTTTCAACCCTGTGTTTTCTTGCGACATCGCAGCGTACGTTGAAAAGCAAGAAGGACAGTTAATTTAGTTGCCTTGTGGACTCTGCAAGGAGAAGAGAATGAATCCGGGTGCCTTGGAGAGTGCAGCTGCAAGCCACAAAACCGGGGGAGCCGCAACTTCCTCTCATGCCTTTGACGAATCACAGCACAGCTATCTTTGATGCCTGAGTCACTGCATCTGCAGACCAATTGTGAAGCCTGAAATCCACTGCTTGTAGAAGTTTTATTTTGATGCCTTGACTTCTCATGAGTTTGGGCAGCTGTTATTGGTTGCGTGGGCAGCAGTCAGGGAGTCAACACACAAACGTCAGATGTGGCTGGCTGGGTTTTGCGGTGTCTGGTTTGGTGTGTGCGGGAGGATCCATATTCGCAGGTGAGCGGTTTTTGGGTGACCTACTCCTCCATGCATTGCGTTGTTTATGTTGCGGCCTTGTGACGAGGGGAGCTTGAGGCAGAAAGATAATGCGTAAGCTGCGAGTATAAGTATTACTTTCCTTCCCTTTCCTTTCTCCAAAAGTCAATTCAGTGCACCATTCTTCATCACAAGCAATTGCATCTACAGCAAGATTCATTACAAGACTACATCTACAACACTCTAAACTGCTTCAAATCATCTCTGTCTACCATATCAACATCAGTATCCATCGTCATTGCATCTCCATTCGCAATCAACATGACTTCCTCATCACCAAACCACTTCGATCTCTCCGATCCAACGACTATCTACCACCTCTCCCAAACCAGCAAGACCGATACGAGAAACCCACGCCACGCAGCTCTGGCCTCGCAATTCCCTGAACAATTCTTCGGCAAGAATGTCGCTGCTTCCAAGGCCACCTCGCCATCTGCTTCTTCCCAGCAAACCACACCGACCAAGACAACAAAAGCACCATCGCCACGACCAACCACCAAACCTCGTTCCTCCTCAACCTCTTCCTCCGACATTGACATTTTCGAGAGTTTGGTCCACGGCTATCTCTCTCACCCTCGTAAACCCACAAACCCCACCACGATCACGGAAAAGGAAATCAAACCCACCTTCCACCAAACCCGCAGATCTTCCATCTCCAGTCAAGCGACCACAGCAACCTCCTCTAGTATCTCCAGTACGGCATCCACACTTGCCGCCTCCAAACAGCACCACCCAAATTCTGCAAGAACCGACAACAGAAAAAGTGGCGAGATTGATATATTCGAATATCAAGCGGCTGGTTACCTCTCCATGCCTATGAACGATTCTTCTCAACCTTACCTCCGTAAACCCTCTGCCTCTGCCTCTTCTTCTTCTTCCCGCCGCACCTCTTCCTCTGCTTCTTCAACCTCATCGTTGTGGACAAAGGCGAAAGGCAAATTGTCGAGAAAGGGCAGTGCTGGGAGTGGAAGTGAGACGGAAAAGGAAAAGGAGGAGAAGAAACAGAGGAGGGAGAGGCAGTATAAAGAATTGGGATTGGAAGAAAAGACGAAATTTGGACAGAAGGGGGGGATGAATGTGGTTGGTTGAGATGATAGAAAAACAATTTCCTCTTGTTCAATTTCTTAAAAACATATTAAAGCAACCAGGAAATGGGAGTTTCAAGGATTATATAGCAAAGCTCGATATTTACGTGCAGTCTTTTTTTCTCTTCTCACTTTCCGACATGTGTGGTTTTTTTTTTTTTTTTTGGTTCATAAACACCCTTCTTGTTTCCTATGAAGATTTTATCTACCCAGTATCTCTGTTGAAGTGGGATTACATGCATTATTTGTATCTTTCTTTCGTCGATGAGAGAATTATTCTTCCGTCGACGATGACACTCCATAACCCAATCCACACAAAATAAACGTAACATAAATAACCTCCCTCCCTCCCTTCCCTCCCTCTCGTCTCGTCTCCACAAGAGCTTCTACGAAATCGACGCGCGACGAGCACCCGGATAACGATCTAATCCACCTAGAACAGAAACAACAGATGTCCAAGACGGGATGACCGTCTTTCTCCTCATTTCTAATCTCTCACTGCCTGGTATCTCGAAAAATGTGCCAACTCAATAATAGAAGGTGTACAAAAACCAGGTTTTGCGAAAGAGGCGAGTTCTGTATATCATGTTCTGGTGGAAAGAGAAAGGGAGATGAGTGAAAGTGCGAGATTTAGTTGTATAAAACTAAAGAAAAGGAGAGTTGTACATGAAAATGGGGGCTTCCGAAGTAATGAATCGTCACTTGTTGACACGAATTTGAAAAGTAAAAGTGTGAATAGCTCTCCCGGCTTTGATGAGAGGAGGCTGGAAATAGCTTGGGCAAATGCAAAATTGTTTTCTGTCGGGGTGGGTGCAAGGTTCAAAGAGAGTGGCATAGGGGTACTTGCTTTCGGTGGTTGTCTTTGATGGTTGGTTCATAGAGAGCTCTCGGCAGGCTGAGAGCTTGAAGGAACACTTGCTCTCAATAGACACGCACTCAGTGCTGAGAATCATTGTCTTTTTACGGCTGATTCTCGACACACATTTGAAGTCCCGAACAGACACAATTTGAATGTGATAGGTAGATGCGTTTTGAAGTCTTTTTGTACAACTTGGAGTTTCTCTGTACTGAAGAAGTACTTCCCACTCTCTTTCGATGGCTTGATATATGCCTGATATCCATTGAACTCCCAAGAACGCCCCTTCGTGATGTGGCAGAAGCCATGATCCCATGCTCTTTTTCGCTGCTTCCATCTCCAGTGTGTGATGTGTATTTGTACAAGCTTCCGCCTCGCCGGTGGTTGTAAGGGGAGAAAGAGAAGATATAGAGGTTCGCTTGGTGCGAATCGTTTACCTCTTCTTCTTGCCGAACTTCTTTGATTCTGTGGATCACGAAATGTCAGCGTGCGGTTCTCAGAGACATCCCCTTCCTCTTGATCTTCCTGCTCGTCCCCATGACCTCGCACAATCCATCTGTTCGTCTTCCTCAGTCTTGCCTTCCTCCTCTTTCTCATCCTCTCCCATCTTCTCTTTCGCAAACACTCACCAGCAGCCGTCCTCTTCTTCTTAGGAGCACCCTTTCCTCTCGACTTTGAGATCTGGACATGTTCCACACGATCCTCCTCGTCGTCATCGAAAGTCTCAAAGCCAGGATAAGCCTTTTGCAAGTCCTGGAATCTGACGACGCGGCGGGGGTAGTATGCAGCCATTGCGGGACCGCGAAGACGTTGACGCAGCACACTGTTACCGGTGCGGAAGGCGGAGGGGTTGTAGGTTGTGTTGAAGATTGCGCATTGTGTCTGGAAAGGTGGGAAGTCAGATGGTGTGTTTTGCGATTGGTGATGCTGGTGCGAGGAGGGAGGGGATAGAATACCTCCATGAGCTTGAGAGCTAGCGTTCTGGGGACTGCCATGCTGAGATGTGTGGTCGCGACGGCAGCGATATACAGAAACCCTCGACTCTGGTGCTGGTGATGTTCAAGATGCGCCTGCGTTGCGGCGCGCTGCGGGAGACGGGAATTGCCGCTCCTGCGCAACCATAAATATTTTTCTGCTGGAGAGCTACAAACTTCGCAGCCAACATCGCGAACACAGGAAAGAGCTATCACGCTACTCTCTCCTTGTTCTACGCGTTGACAGCGCATTCGTTCATCGACACTTCCTCGAGAGACCGGTGTGATCTATACTCAAGGATACCCGGTCTCTCACCAAACAGTAAGGTAAGCTTCATCCTCTTCACTCCATCACAACTCCTTCTCTCTATCGGATGATTATACGCTTTACACATGCATGGCTTTCTTACGCACCTTGACCGGTGCATTCATGGTGAAACGGCACCAGATATATGACACGAATCACACAAGAACACCTTTTCCATCGCATCTCAAATCTGTCTAGAGTATAATGCTTACTTTGTGTTTACAGTCCAATTCACGACGGATTGTCACATGTCCGACTACGTGCGAGCAGGGGATAGAATGCGAAAGGATAGCTTGGATGATGGTGTTATTGTTGATATTTATATACACATCTGCGAATCCGTACTCATATCATTTCTCCCTCGTGCCTCAAGGGACAAAAGTCTTCGCACCTTCATCACCCGTCCCATGCTTGCTCCATAGGAACGATCATGCCTACCGTAAAACCCCATTCCGGCAGTTGAAGCAACCATGATCCCACCACACCCTCCCACGCCTAGACTGTCACCCAATCTACCGTCCATCGTCGCAGATAGCACAATCAATCTAGCCCACAACCAGCCATTGCACCACGCTCCAAAATAGCAGCAGCAAAGATCTAGAAACCCCCGGCTAAAGCATTATGCATACAGCACTGACTAGACACTCAAACCAAATCCTCGGGAAACCACAGATCTCTTGGACAATATCCGAGATCGATGTGAAGCGTTCGTGGTATGCATGGGCAAAACGTTTGCGCAGGAGGTATTGCAGTATGCATACAAGCACTGACTGAACAGCTGAGTAAAACCTGGTTAGCGGGATCTTTGATGCGAGAGGATGCCACACACATACCCTTGATGCCAAATTCTTGCTTCCGTATGGGAATGCCGAAGGATGGTGGTTAGTGTTCTCGTGTGGTAGGTATATGGGAGGCCTGAGAAACGTCGTTGCAGGGTCGTGCATACAGCACTGATATTCCACCATGAACCTGGCTGCCGGAACATGTATCCCCGAGACTTAGATGCAATCTCTACGATGTAGTTGTGATGGGATCAAACAGACACTGGCTGTACTACTGTCCGTCTTCCACCCTCTTACCACACCACCCCTCCTACACCGGCACCCAAATTCTCCATCACATCTCTTCCAACGCATTCTCCACCACATCTCCAACCAGCGATGCCGCAATCCCGTGCTGCCATGCTATACGAAACAGACCCTACAACCGTCCCTACACACAGCAAATCACCCACAACCCAATCGTACCCAAAAAGCGCAAAACCTCGTTACCCCAGGAGGTTCGCCATGCACCTCCCAAAACGGCATTGCATGAGAACACAAACCCTACCTCTTACTCTATCCACTGCTGCGCGATAAATTGCGGGCAAGGTTTTGATACGGGCAAATCGAAATAACACACCCGCGATCATCACGAAAAGATCCACTGTATTTCCAGCCTTTTGGTTCTGCCTTTGGTGAACCAGATATACTAAGATAATGAAGAAACTCAAGTTGCAGCTGTTATCATAACATGAGGAGTGTTGCACCGAGAAGAGAGAAAAGTCAAAAATCAAAGACTCAGGTCTGCTGACGTGCGTGCGATCGAGAAGGGGACCGGATTAAACGGGCGCGCAGAGGGCGTCTGGAATCTCAAATATCGATTGACGCAGAGCGTTTTGACTGTTCGTCAGCTCTGGACATTTGTTCGCAACGGCTTTGCGCGCAAGGAGGAAATTTGAAGTGCGTAAGTGCAAAAACAGTACAATCAAGGCTGAGTCGAGGCGAAGGATATCACAACAGAGGAGAAGGAAGAATTGGGTTGTTTGAAGTGTTTTGAAATATGTGGTAAAAATGTTCGTAGATACAGAAGAGGGTGATTAAAAAAAAAGAGATCATCTTCGAGAAATGTTGTAAAACGCCGCATTGTAATCCCCCTGTCCATTTTGCCCATGGAAATGTTTGAACAAAAGAAATGTTGATGAGAAAAGGAAAAGAGATGGAAGAAAGAAAAATGTGTCGGATCGAACTCGTCTTCAAGCGAGTGATCCATTAGTGTCGAGAAAGGCTGAAGTCCAGCAGTAACCCCTCGCGCCATGATGTGCCAGTCTATAATGCTCCTGAGATGTTGGAAAAGGAAAAGAAATCTTTTTGGTCGCAGAAAAGACGAAGAGATGAGATGCGCTTAACATGTCAACTCGACGACGGCAACGGTAGAGTCTCCCTTGGTAGGGTTGAGCTCGGGACTGGCCTTTGCTGAGTCGACTTGGCTCTCGGTGACGGGATCCTCCATAATAGTGTCGGCTGGTGAGCGAGGAGCAGAGGCAATGGAGAAAGTACCACCGCGAGGAGAGACAAGATCGCTGGCAGAGTCGTCGATTTCGCAAGCGCCCTCCATGCTGTGCAGACCGTGGGAGGCAGGGGCGGAGACAAAAGTGAGAGGAGCGGGCTTGTGGGCTCTTGAGGGAGAAGCCATAGACATAGATCTGAAGGCGACAGTGGGAACAGGAACAGCCTGGTCTGCAACACTGGCTCTGCGGCAAACCTCCGCCTTCTCATCGGCACTCAGAGGAGTAGTAGTGCGGAGGAAGCTGGAAGCAGCGTTGCGAGGAACATAGCTTGGGCGGCGAGAGGTAGTAGGCGAAGCCATGGGGGAGGTGTTCTCGACGTCTGAGTCGGGGTTGTGGCTGCCGAACAGAGAGAACTTGCGGTCAATGGCAGGAACGGCAGGGACCTCAGAGTCCATGTCGGGGTTAGCGCTTCTGAACCAGCTGGGACGTCTGCTGCTGCTCTTGGAAGTGCGGCGGCTGGAGATGCTGAAAGCGCGGGTCTTGGAAGGCGAACCTTCGGAGCAGCTGCGAGTGTCCTTGACCATCTGGGTAGAGACTGAGGGCTTGCGGTTGTAGGCCTCGTTCTTCTGGTCAATGGCAGTCGAGACTGAAGCCATTCTGGTCTTCTGGATGGAGATAGTAGGGCTGAGAAGGCCAGAGTCTCCGACAGGCACGATCTCCTTGCCCATCTTGAAGTTGCCAAACATCTTCTCCCACATGGAGGCTCTTCTGACGGGAGGAAGAACAGGAGTAGGGGCGAGGACAGTGACGCTCATTGTGAATGTGTCGTGTTGTGAAGAGATATTACTCGAGATTAGGTATTAGTTGTCGTGGTGAGATGAAAGACCTGTTGTTGGAATGCTGTTTATCTTGGAATGGAAGTCGTGTAGAAGAGTCGACGAAGAAATGCGAAGATGATGAAACGAGCGCTGCTGAACAAGGTACTGACCCAGGATGCGTGGCCTTACTTATATCAAAGCACAACGTGCAAAAACGCCCGTATCATCAGGCTTGCCGGTTTCCTGGACGTTGAATTCCAGCAAGCCCGTGAAAAGCATCTCGAAGCACAGGCGGAGCGTTTGGTGTGGAACATGTCTATCAGACATAGGTCGTTGTACTATTAGCAAATCCCACAAACGGTCAAACAACGACTGGGCATCGTTCAAGTTCTCCCAGTCGACACGGCTCTGGACGCCTAGAGACACAACCTACCCGCGTCGTCCTCCGCATCCGGAAGTGTACACGAGGAGATCTGCGCTGTCCATTGTGCAAACAGGTCGTGGGTCTATCCCTTAGTTCCTTCCCTCGTGTTGGAGGATCTCATACCTGCCGAATCAGATTACGGAATTCTCAAGCTACGCAGCAGGAGTCAGTGACGACGTGGCCCAGTCCTACCCGTAGACATGCGAATAGCAACGGTTGACTATCGAGCGAATAAATGAAAGCCGTTGCCAAATCCCAAATCCCCGAGCAAGAGCGAGTGAGGGTGTGAGGGAAACCGTTGCAGGCGAGGCTTCCAGGAAAGGGCAGGGTTGCAGCGGCCATGTGTTTTGACCCCCTCGGGTGCGTCCGATCGCAAGTTATGACAACGAGTTTGCAGCCGTTTCCCCCATTCTCGACCACCACGACCACCCCCTTGGCTCCCTTCCCCAGACATTTGTTTACAACTGCCGTCCCATTTGCTGTTGCAGAGGATATCGCGATACAGGAGAAGACGTTGCAGTACACCATCAGTTTCAGCCCAGTGGCTCCTTCCATCTACATATTCAGGGATGCATGTACAGACTGCTATGTATCATTAGGCAAAAGTAAGCAGCGTGCGTCGGGCAACGCGATAATGTACATTTCGCATGGAGCTGAGCGCAATCGCTGCCTCATCATCACGTGGAGTTCCAGGCCCTTCGTACAGTACAATGTCCGTGTAGCCTATTGATAGAAGCCTACGAGTACGCACACGAAGACTTGCGGATCACAAGCGCTGTCGCCGTGCTCATAGCATGCACGTCTGCCTTCTGCGTCTCGGCAAGTATTCAATGTTGAACGTCTCCCTGGAAGTGACCTCTCCTGAGTCAGATCAATACTCGAATCTGGCTCTTCTTGATGGCCTCCGGTTTATGCGGCTGATATCTCGACGCGTCTTTGTTTGCCGTTTCTGTTTTGCTTGCCAGCTTCTATCAGTGCTCTTTGGCCCGTTAGAGTGCTCCGTCTGAAGGCCCTCAGACATTCGCAATATTTCAACGTCATAAGTCTCAAATCCTTCCCTGTTCGAAGCTTCAGGGTAAAGGGCTTTCTACAAGAGCGGCCAGTATACTCCGCTGAAAATGGAGGGCCGTTGCAACGGGTGTTATCGAGTCCCTATCCGGTAACCGGTCGAGGTCGGCCATTCTTCAGTCCGACGTTGACGAGCTGGAGACCGCCGGAGTTCTGCAGACAGAAGTTTGTCCAGACAAGATCTGAGATCCACGTGTACGGCCGCAGTGTGATACTGTGACAGCTCCGCCACCATCTAGAGCTGCGAGTGTCTCTCTGACCCTTTTTCTAGACTCGGCAACTTCTTGCTGATCATACGGAGGCAAGATAGGGATGTAGACAGTCCCGAACATATCTCATACTTCGGCGAGATATGCCTCATCTGTTTGCTCCGCGTCCTCTGTGTCAAAGTTCTTCTCCATGGTCTGTGTCACTGACATCGATATGTCAACGGGTGGTTGTGGCTGGAAATATCTGGACGACCGAGCTTCGTGTCCATCAACAATACACGAACATAGCAAGACATGCATTCTGGTCGACCACTGTGAAACTCGTCTTCGATGAGAAATCTCGGCTCTTTTGTCTAGAACACTGCATCATGTTCACGAGAGACAATTCACAGGGCTGTAGGGATAGACAAGACAGTACAATTGATCTAGGGTATTTTGAGGTTTCCTGACTATAGAAACGCTAATGATTTTAAGCACTGCGGGCCGAATGGTAGGCGCCGTTTGACTCCACTTGTAGTGAAGGCTATCTACAAGATCTCTCGTGGCTTTGAGACAGTATGTTGAATATTGCCAAAAGCGAATAAGGTCCTGTTACTTCGATAGATCTGTCGGCAATCTTTGTTGACATTGTGTGCTAATATTTCTCCCGAGAACACCGGCTGTGCCCTCAACCGTTGAGCTGAAGGCAGTTGCTATGATGCTCTCAGTACAGGAGTTGCTGTATTGGATAATATATGAGAAGCCACAGAATCATGATATACAGCCATGACCCAAGTATTGGAGCAGCCAGCCAATGAACAACGAAGCGAAAGCGAACAAGGTGGATGCACCTATAGCTGATGTCGCTTGACTGCACTGATTCGGACGTTTCTTCGCATTCACTTCAGATGGCTAAGTTCGCAAGCATGTCATCAAACTTTTGTGGTCGGAAAAAGTTAGTCGATACCTTCACCCTTTCCGACTCGTCAAATCATCAAACTTCGGGCATACACCATGCTTTGCGCTGGAGATGTCTAAATGTCGCGCCGTCGGACCGCTTTGAGAAGCAGATCTACCGGGGTCTGTTATGCTCCCTCTACTTCGACCACTGCCCCGACGATCGCGATTCTATCTCTAGAATACGACGAAGGTACTCGGACCAGCTTCAATCGTAGCTCTAGCCAAGAAAGTCCTTCTCTTTCATGCAAGCAATGCACGTATCATTCTCCGATGACATAGGTCGCACCGTCCTTGCCAACCCAGACCTCGTGTCGTCTATTTGCATCGACATCGAATCTATCGCCAACACGGCAGAGCTCTTTCTTTGGACTTGGATCATCAGGATAGCTCAGTTCAAGGCTGCCTCGTAGAACCAGGTGTGTGGTGATGCCGGAATGCGTATGAGGCGGATAATGGGCGCCGCTTTCGACAGGTCAGTCGTGCCACGCACCAAACGTCCAGGGCGACTTACGGCCGGTCCGTCCACGTAAATACGTGGTTGAACCCCCACCCTCTGACCTCAGCTTCTGCTTCCTTCTGCGTTTTTGGTGCCATCTTCGACTTGTCTTCTCTTGGTTGATGGACTGAAGTCGAAAAAGTGCTGACCTTTCTTCCGGCGACGAACTGACATGACAGACAATGACGTAGAATCTCCAGCTTCTTGGCAGTCGAGACCCTGGAAGATCGGCCCGCTTTGACCATCTGTCATCCAACCTGTTTCAAGATGGATTGAAACAGGACTTCGTGCGGAAGGAGGCACTTGACACGCCATGACATTCATTATTCCCAGCTTCAACCATCTGGCGACTTGAGCTTCTGAGCAAACCTCATACCTGGTCTTTCGGCTCTTCCTACAACCATCCTTCCACCACATCATTCATCCTATCGCATCGTAACGTGAATATTACACAACGACCACCCCCTGAAAGCCATCCTTCACTTGCAGCATGACTACCACGAACCCTCCATCTTGGTCTCCAGCCGTTCTGAACCAAGTGAGATCTCTCACGAATGAGTTTAATCAAATAGAAAACATCGAGGGCGACAATGTCGACTTTCCCGGCTCCCAGAGTTTCGACACATCTACCAACCGTCTACTGAACTATCTTGCTTCAGAAGAGAGTAATGCCATGGCACCAGTGGCCTTAGATGCTACGCACCCCATCTCGGACTACTATATTTCAAGCAGTCACAATACTTATCTGTGGGGTAACCAGCTCTACGGCAAAGCCACCACCAAAGCTTATCAGAAAGTCTTGGAGAGAGGCTGTCGTTGTGTTGAGGTTGACGTTTGGGATGGAGATGATTCTGATTCTGACACATCGGACTCTTCGGGTGAAAGTGGCAGTGACAATGAGAAGGAAGGTGGCATCAAGAAACTGAGCAGACGCTTCAAGAACAAGATCGGCTTATCAAAGTCCAAGGTTGAACCCCAACCAAAGGATACCCCGGTGTCTTCTTCCAGTCCACCAAAGGGTGAAGGTGTGGGACCGTCGGGACTTCGCAGGACTGTGTCCAAGACCGAGCCACGCGTTCTTCACGGGCATACAGCAACAAAAGAGGTCTCCTTCAGGGCTGTCTGCAGCACCATCCGAGACTATGCGTTCGTTACAAGGTACTTCAGATATACCATGCCTCTAGACACTCATTTGCTCACCATTGGACAGTGATCTTCCTTTGATTGTCAGTCTCGAGATTCACACCTGTCCTGCCCAGCAAGAGATCATGGTTGATATCATAAGAGATTTGTGGGCTCCATACCTGGTCGACTTGAATGCAGCAACTGGTCATGACGTGTCTTTGCCGACTTTGGAGTCCTTGCGCAAGAAGATACTCATTAAGGTTAAGTACACTGCACCAGAAGCAGCAAAGGGTACAGGACCGGTCGTGGTTTCGTCCAACGCAGATCCCGAGTCTGGTTCAGAAGATGAGTCTCAAGAAACTGCCGTCAAGAAAAGTCACATCATCACAGCGCTTGCCTCTATGGGCGTCTACACCCGTGGCTGTCATTTCAAAGACTTTGATCAACCCGAGGCCAAGCTTCCCAACCACATATTCTCTCTATCCGAGTCAAAGATTATCGATGTGCACAAGCGTGATCACTCGGCGCTATTCAGACACAACAAGGTATTTACATGTCGTCCATACGACCGGAAATAACAGCAACTAATATGACATGTCAGCGCTTTATGATGAGAGTTTATCCTAAAGGCATTCGCGTATCCTCGAGCAATCTGGACCCTGCACCTTTCTGGCGGATGGGTGCGCAAATTGTTGCCCTCAATTGGCAGTATATCAACGCGGCAACCATGCTCAACCAAGCCATGTTTCACGCAACGGGCGGTTGGGTGCTCAAGCCTGAAGGCTACCGGAGCTTCCACAAAGCTCAATCTCAGATTACGGCACTTGACCGAGGTACACTTGACTTGTCAATCGAGCTGCTGGCTGGTCAAGATATCGGTCCGGCGGACAAAAAGCTCAACCTGTATGTCCGTTCTGAACTGCATATCGAGGACATGGAGGAGATCACAGGCGGGTCGCTGCCTGAGGGAGGCAGCACTAAAGAAGGTCAAATCAAGGCAGCCAGTGAAGTTGGATCGGCTGGCAGGTCTCCCAGCTTTGGTCGCCAAGTGCTCCAATTCAGAGCCGTGCCTGGTGTGTCCGAGGAACTAACATTCGTGAGGTACGTGGTCATTTGCGCATCCTTCCTGAAAAAGACATGTCCTACACTCAGCACTGCTTGTATCCGTCTCTTTCATATCACTAGCTTCACCGCCATTTTGCAAGCCGAAAGAGAGCCGTGGATCGAGGTCATTGTGTCCTGTGGCGAGAGTGTGGCATTGCCCAAAGCGCTCAGATACTTGACTCTTTGAGAGCCGCACGCGCTCTACGGTTATATGCATTCTCAATACGCTACCATGGTGGTATCATCCAGGCGTCTGGGCTCACACCAGCTGCGTGGTACCGGGCGCCACACAAAACTTCTGAACCCGTCAGCCAGGTTCTTCGATGCATTCCCGCCCTGTCATCTTTACCCGATTTGATCATTTTGACGTTTGTTACTCATACCGCTCATTTTTGCTGACCTGTCTGTTTTCACAGGTTCAAAATCATGGACGACGATACATTCAGTCGCGATAATCTTGTGGCATGGGCATGCTATAGACTCTCCAGATTACAAACCGGTATCAGGACGATGCGTCTGTATGACTGTGAAGGTCAGCCGACCAGCGGGATGCTGCTGGTGCGCATAAGCAAGAACCTCGAGATTCAGTAAGAGATGCAGACGATCCACAATCGACAACTTCGTGTTGAGATGTGAGTCGGAACATCTACACACTTCCTAACTGTAGCAATCCGATATGAAATGAGGACCACCTGTGCCAATCCAATAATTCATCAACGCAAACTGCCTCTGCCCGTAGGGTTTGTGCATTGAGTGTACAAGAAGATTTCTCGCCCATGGATACCATTGCAGCGCCACGTCATCTCGATTCTCGTATACCGTATACTGACGATTAGGAAAACATGACCTACGGAGGTTAAGACCACAGAGTCGAAAGTGGACAACGCTATCTGTGTTGTATCATGAAAGGTCTGAGCGTACGTATGGCATGTTTCATGGTGCAGGCGTTCGTATGCGAACACCGTGACAGATCGCAAAGAAAATTCCAGGCATTGGTGCATCTCACGAGAAAAAATCCCGAGCATCTGGAACCGATTGACCGGGGATGAGGGGAGCACAATCGAAAAATGGCACGCACACATGACGAGCGAGACGGAATGAATTGCCGGCATACGACCACCTCTTACACAACGTGCTCTTTCTCACATGTCACAGGAAGAAAACATTCGATGCAGGCTTCCAGAGGCGCTTCTTTCGCATATATTGATTGACATCGAAAAACAGAGTCGCCAGATAAAGATGATCTACTGGCAGTGCTGCAGTTATTGAGACTTGACCAGAACAGATGGAGAAACATGCTTGGAGAGAAGAGTTGATACATCAGTTTTCTCGTCTTGCACAATCAGTCGGTGAAGCTCATGCCATGGCACCTCGAGAAGTTCAACAGCAAGGGCGATACCGTTACTGGTGACATGACTCGAAGGTCAAGTTGTCAAACCGGATGTATCTCTCAGAACCAGGCCCTTGGGTCAGCGCACTGATGTTAATATACCGACCTCAACACAGCAATTCGGGGATTAGCATGACACTAAACCTGATCACTTTTTCCGCCTTTTCTCTTGTTTCCACTTTCTCGAGTATAAATCTTTCGGCGATATAGATCTGGTTGTGGCAGGTGACGGAAGGGACGGGGCGCACGCCGGGCGGGCGTACCACATTGTCGGGACAGGAAATCTGTTCCTGGATGACCAAAACCAGGATTTGTAAGGTGCACGGAGGGAAAGCTTCGGCGGGCGATTGAACGAATGAAGATCTGGGTTTCCTTTGATGCCCTCACTCTCAATCGACCAGGAATGTCAAGCTGCATGTAGTGTAATGGCTGTCAATGTATGGCTAGCGTGGAGCGATGCCGAGTGGGCATAATTCTTCGTCGCACGTTCGACCCTCGAGGGTTCCGCAAGCTGCTAGCCGTGAGGACAAATTCGTTTCTCCTGCTCAACCGCTTGCACACATCTTCTTCATTTAAATTTCCGACTTTGTTACTCGTCGTCTCCCTCTCGTTACCGAAGAACCCGAATGGCACCCACTTGAGTGAGAAGCCGGACCCGCTTTGGCTTCGCAAATTGCCCAGATGGAAGTTCCTGGTCGTCTGCGGATGTGAGTGCGAAACGCTGCAGGGTTACCTATGCGAGGTGCTTTATCAGTCGAAAAAAAAGTCTATCACAAAGTCAGGTCATGGAGTGGTGCATTGTGGTGCACTGAAGGATATATAAGGAGGGTGTTGTCCTCCGGTCTGAGGCACCTCTCCATCCATCAGCATCACAAGCACTCAACCTCCATCTTCTTCACCTCTTTAAAAAGGACACCTCTTCTTCAATACCTCCATTCAGCAACCATGCCTTCCAACACTAGCCACATCCAGAAGCGCGACCAGCTCAACCAGCACCCTGATCTTGTCCTCGGTACCAATGATTGGCAAGAGCCTGACCAGCACCTGGGCTTCCCTACCGACTTCGAAACGAGACCTGCCCCAGTAAGAGAGAGAGCTGTTAGCACACCCCATTCCTCATTCCAAAATCCTGACAACTAAACGAAGGTCCAGAGTCGCCAATGCCTTTGTGGTCGCCTTGTCATCGCTGGAAAGAGATGCGGCGGTTGTGGAAGACAGAACTAGCAACTCAAGCGAGGTATGTGCTTCTTTGATATCGAGAATCTCGGTCAAGTCACTGACATGGTTGTTGCCAGAGCGTCGTCAAAGGTCGTCGGATTCGCTGGAGAAGCAGCAGAAACCACCCAAACAGCCAAAGATCGACTTCGAGCACCTCCGACAACGGTTCAAGAAACTTACAACTTCGACGACTGAGACGGTGCCTCGCGGAATGGCAGCTGAGAACACCCTGCCCCGATTCCGTCCTGAGCGTGTCTACTACACCGGATGCCGACCTTTCCTTGAAGGCTAATCTGGAGTCCTGGACCGCGACTTGTCCTTTCCTTGTCTCATTTGCATTCATTGATTTCTATCGTTTCTTTTGAGCGTGATGCATCATTGCTGGCGTTCTTCCCTTTCCCTCAGGAGCATTTGAGAAGAAAATTTCCGAAAATTGTTGACAAAAAAAAGCGGAGGCCCGAAGAAGAAGAAGAAAGTCTCCTTTGTCTCTAACTCCAGCATTTTTTCTTACCAGAGCATTTGGTGTTATTTGATCGACCGAGGAGTTTGAAAAGCATGCAAGAGACCACAGAATCTTACCTATTGTATATGCAGTTCGCACACATATCAGAATTTACATTACGTTCTCTTCAATCACTACTTGTCTGATTTTGTCCCGTTTTGGATGTCTATGATGACTTGAAGTGAAGAGAATGTTGAAAATACTTGAGGGTTGTAGGCAAAATAGCGAGATCTCGATCGGCAGAGGCTCTTGGCTCGATCTCGAGAGGCTCTTGAGCGTCACCACCTTCCTAAATTCTGGGGCAACGTCCATCCTCAACTTCTGACAGACGTCATGTTGAAATCAGAATACCCATATATTGCCTGCGTAAGTCTCGGTGTTTCTGTAGGTAAAAATCGAGAAAGAAGTACCCACGTCGTCCCTGCCACCTATAAGAATATTCCCAGACAATCAGCACAGCTTTTCTTCCTCTTCACCATGTCCATTCAATCTATCAAGAACTCTTTCCGTTTCATCAACACCACTTCAAGACCTTCATCTCTTTTCGCTCGTCAATTCCACGCAAGAACAACAATGTCTGCTCAGGTCCCCTCTTCCCACGACATCTCAGCCGTCGCCAAGGACGAGAATGGTCCCGTTAAGGGATCTCAGTCCGCTCAGATGCAGAGCGAGGTTGGCAAGACCCAGGTTCGTTCAAACGCCTATGTATATGCTCGGCAAACGCTAACATTTCCTTCAGAACTTCGAGAGTGCCGCCCAGGATGTCCTCAGCAAGATGCAGAAGGACCCCAGCTCCATCACACCGGAAGACGCCAACTACCTGAAGTCTCGCGAGGCTCGCGCTACCGGTCAGGCCCAGCCTCCTAAGGATAGTGTTTCTGCCGATGCTCAGCGTCTTGCTTCTGCCAACGAGCGCGGTACTGCCCCCAAGACTGGTCCCTTGGACCCCGCCGAGCAGTCCCAGGTCACAAGAGAGCGCAACTTTGAGGAAGCTGTCAACCAGGTCGGTTCCAAGGACCCTACTCAGGTCACTCAGGACGATGCAAACCTCCTCCACAGCCGTGAGCAACGTGCTCACGGTCACACTGAGAAGGGCGGCGCTGCCTCCCAGGCCCAGTCCATCGCCACTGAAAACCAGCGCTCGTAAGCGTCAGCAGGTTTACGACCACGACTCTTTCCATTCGCATTCACGATTTGCATGAGCATCGCAGCCTGGTTGCTGCAGGGCTCACAGGGGAAATCTTACGACCACACAAAAGCATAATTGTACAATAGCATAATGTATGAATATATTCCAGATGGCTCTCGAGACTTGCCTTACCTTCGTCTTTTGATCCATCTTCTTCCGTGTGTTGTTCTCAAATGGTCCGTTGTCAATGGCGTGATGGCTGCCTTATCGACAACCACTGTCCAAGCTCGGTCAAGTGCGGGGAAACAGCTATATGCATGATGATCATGACATCGGTCAGGCACGCGAGTTGATATACTCTACATGCAGCACTTCTCTTCACCATATCGTCTCATTGTTCTCGCCATCACGCCTCAAGATGTTAATCCACATGTTGATTCGTTGCTTCGTTTTCTCAGTGCTCGCCGAGTTTGTAATCAGCTTCATTGTCCCAGACCAAGAAGTACTCACCTCTCTACCAACAAACAAAGACCCAAATGCAATTCTCGCAGCGTAAGCAACACATCCCTACCAAAAAACAAACCCTCTCATCACTGACCTCTCCACAGCCTCCGCAATGCAGATATCATTCCAGACGTGCTCAACACTTTCTCCCCCCTGCTTTCCCTAACACTCAACTGGTCCTCCACCGCCCACACAAACCTAGGCAACACACTTCCCCCTTCCTCCCTGCAGCAACCCCCTTCCGTCATAATCAACAAGATCCCCTCTGCCTATCTCCCGTATAACACTCAACTCGTCCTCGCCCTCACGGACCCGGATGCTCCTTCCCGTGACGACCCAAAATGGAGTCAAGTGTGCCATTGGCTGGTCACCGCGAAATCTGGACGCGTGAAGGAGCTGGTGGAGTATAAGGCGCCGGCGCCGCCTGAGGGGACGGGAAGCCATAGATATGTGGTTGTGGTGATGGTTGCGAAGAATGGGACCACGGAGGGGTTGGAATTGACGGTGCCGAAGGAACGGAGGCATTGGGGTTACGAGGGAGAGAGGAGTGGGGTTAGGGAGTGGGCTAAGGATAATGGGTTGAAGGTTGTTGGTAAGTCTTTTTGTTTTCTGTTTTCCCTTATTGTTTGGGTTTCTTCGTGATTGGGAGATGGGAGTTGCTTGCCAGATGTCAGAGGGAGAAGATGACATGCTAGCATCTTGCGTAGAGATGACACTTGGGGTATCGCTTGCTGACTTCTTTTATAGGTGCCAACTTCATCTACGCACAGAATGACAAGCAGTAGAGCAGATCTACGCATCCAGAGTCTGTTAGATGACCTTGTGCGTCGAGAGCTTAGCTCCACCCAACACCTTTCTTTATACCTTTCTATATCAAGCATGTTATACCTACACTTTTCTAGATCTCCACATGGTCCAAAAACAGTGTGCTCGTTGTTTCGAAAGGATGGTCGTTTTGCTCGTGGATTTTGGTGGCTACATGTGACAGGGTCATACCCCCAGCCACGGTTTTTTGCCATCAGACGATGATATGAGCCGACACGGTGATCAAAATGTCCTCAAAATCTGCCATATCGTATTCAGTACTAATAAACGGTGCCCATAGATATTGTGAGCTGGTATGTGTATATTTGCGGTCGCGGTAGAGAAATATCTGTTTGCACAAGGTCCAAATTCACAAGTCCGTCAAGTTCCCGATGTTCTTGTTCGTCAAACCAGAGGCATTGAGATAACGACATACTCGATAGTGGGGTTTCGATGGTCAAGGCAGAGAGAGCATATCAAGTCTTCAATACACGCATACCGTCTTCCCAATAAATATCCGAAGCTGAGATGCCACAGGCGAATGAATCCAAGTCGCGATTCCACTCAACGGCTTTCCGCACAAGAAGCACAGTACTTCTGCAAAACATATCGCGATCTTCAGCTACTTCAAACGCACAAAAGAGATTGTTCGGAAAATATGGTTCAGAGATATTGTAGAGCCCGACGATAGATCACACTCCGAATCGAATTCGACCACGCTCGAGGATTCGAAATATGTCTAAAGAGAAGAGCAAGGCAAATGATTTTTCAGGGGCATTGTGACACAACGACAGTATAGATACCGCGTGAGATATCAAGATGCGTCCGTCCCATAGGCATCTTGTTTCGCAATCTCCAACCACCATTATCAGAAACCGGCAGCTGCAATGATGTAGTCGGATCGGAGTAAGAAGGAATCAAGCGCTGCACACGGAGTATATCAGAAAAGTGGAAAGCGCTTTGAGGAAGAAGGAGTGAGTTCGCAGAGAAAGTATGAACGCTCACATAGAGTAGAAACAAAACAGTTGAAGAAGATGAGAAGCAGAAGAGATTGACCCGGAAAAAGATACTGTGTCTCCGTATACGCTCTGTGAAGATGTTTGTTTACTCAAAGCTTGCCTGTAGACAAGAACAACCGATACAAGAGAGATGACGAAGTGATATTGGCGAGTTGCTATACCATTGTTGCAAGGAACACGCGTTCGACCTTACAACTGCCGCAAAGCAATGACTGCAAGCTCGAGAAGATGTCACCGGGATCAGCAGTGGGACGAGAGAAAGCTGTTATGTACACTCTGATATTATCAAATGTCTGAAAGCTTCAGCAGAGGTTAAGTGTCTGAACGTGATTTGAGAGTGATGTATCTCTCGCGACCTTTAGAGAACTGCTATCAGGGCAGGATGGACTAAGGCATCATGACAGGGAGAAGCAAGACCTGACAAATGTACTCTTTCCAGGCGGTGGATGGTCCGCCATCAGAGTGGAGTTGAATGTGTGTTGCAGTCACGATCCGGTGTTCTCTGCATCCAGATTCGGGTCTCCGGTGGCATGGCTTTCTGTGGCCGCATTGTGGTCTCAGCCGTGGAAAGCCATGTTGACAGATCAATTGGAAGACTGTCAGTATTGCGGCCGAGAAATGGCTTGAAACAAGCTGGGTGGCATGTCGTTGAGGTACGCAGCCAAGGAATATGCATCCTGCTGGTGAGAAGCCATGGCTGACGGTGGCTGCCTCGCGCAAGGATGTGAAGGAGTGAGCTCCTGCTTAGCTTGTGCTCGCGAAGGATGCGGCGGCAATCAACGGATAGAAAGTCCGCTTGCATGTATCTTCAAGATCTGACCACCATGAGCGGAGGTTCTCGGTAGCACACCCTTTTGCCTTTGTTTCGGGACCACCTCCGCCTCCGCAAAGTTTCGCAATTCGTCTGCTTGGCCGGGGACTTCTGGGGTACAAATTGACCTACTCTCTTGGCGTACATCTTGAAGAAAAGGTACGTGTAAGCCGCAATCTCGGTATTGGAGCTTGATGCTGTGAGAGTAGCTCAAGATTGGGCGTGTAACACCTTCGGCTTCAGTAAGATGTCTGTGGACGTGTAGTGTCAGCAGTATAAAGCTCGACAGAGCTGTCCTTCTGATCTGACAGACGCTTTACCTACGCACGTATGGAACTTTCCTCTCCTCGACAGCACATCTACAAAGGATTCTTTGGCGCTTTGTTTGCATTGTTGCGCTGGAACTCTTTTGACAAGTCACATGTGTGATACTGGCAAGTCCCACACTGACCGACCACACATGCCACGACGAGCGCTGACCTTTGCAACCCAAACAGCCAAACGTTGCTGTCGAGAGACGTACACGCAGCTTGCCAGGAGAGTGGGTGGTGATGAGGCATGCTGCAACTCGAGCGGGGCTGCGTCCGGCGGGGCTGTCGAACATGTCCAGCATCGGATACAGCGTGATGCTTGTAGAGCGTTGCCTCTTCCACCCACATTCCACTCTGCTGACGCACCGTCTACGTCGACAGATATGGGATTGGCGGAGGTCACATTGCGATGCTCTGGCCATGGGCAAAAGTCGTTGGGTTGGAAATCGGCTTGATCCTTCGTATCGAGGTTGGACATGAGCCATCGTGGTGCAAGTCAGCGATTAGATACCGGCCGTAGAACTTGGAGAGTCCACAAACTTGGGAGTCTCGAACAGATTCTCGATTCCGATGGATTCGCTGCATGCGTAAACCTTTGCGGATGATAAGATTCAACAACGGCAGAGCCTCAGCCAAGCTGTCGATGTCAGATCCTTGAGAGCTTCGGGAGTTGATAAGGTACTCCGGCTGTGCCTTGACACCGCAGTGACGCCAGCGACAGTAGCGCACATGGATCAGCATGGAAGGCAGATGTTGTTACCCGAGTCCTGCGTCACATAGGAATAACGGTGTGATGGATAGTCCTTGAGAATGAGGTGATTCGCATTCACATCATTCAATGTCGATGTGTCTCAAAGACCCTGTACTCTTCCGTTAAAACTTTGAATCAGGAGTGAATTGATAAGTGCATCACCCCAATGGTTGGACGGAAGGACGAGGTGGATTTGACAGCTCCAGCGTGTTGTATGTTTAGCATGTCCTTGCAGTTTCCGAAGATGGATCGCGCAAACCCAACAACTCGTAGCGATGCGGTAACTGTGACGTTATGCGACATTAGCGGGTCGGCTTTACTTTCACTGATCCTAATCGATCAAACTGCACCCGATCAGTCGATGGGAAAGCTTCCTATTCCCTACTTTGCAGCATCGAATTGCTAAAAGAGCTTGAGTTAGTCTACATGTCCTGAATAAGCGAGGTCATTTTCTGGGCAACTCGAGGCTGAGTTGAGTTCCACGTTTGACTGGAGTGAATCCCGAAATTCAGTTCTGATACATGATATGGGCACCAAGCTGGTAGGCTTGTCATTCAGCTCCCAGTCAAAAGACTGCATCCTGCTACAGGGAAGAGAGGCAAGCAGAATCTTGTACAACAAGTATGAATTATTCACAGACTGCTGGGATTCGTGCAAAGTCACTCACAGTGCCATTGGAGCGGATTAGCGATATCGCACATGCCATGGACAACCGAGTTGTAGGTTTTGGGGAGGGGCAGGCAGCTGAGATGACCATCTGGTACCGCATTGGTTTGACTTTAAAGATATCAGCTCAAAGGTCGACAGACCATTCGTCGCGAGTCACGAAGCAGATGAATGAATGACTTGTGTTATTCGGTGAGCAAGAGGATATGATCATGTGAATCTGGTGCGTGGTAATTGATCACTCAATATAGACTTGGGAGCATGCAATCTGTATGGCGGCAGTCAAAAAGTTGTGGTTGAACAACAGGAAGCATCCAGGAATGCAGGACGATTCGGGGATATCTTTTAGATCAAAGTTAATGTTGTGGATGCATGCCCAGAGGCGCGTGTCGAATAGAATGACGGCCTTGTTCCTTAGGCGCGTGGACATTGGATCGTTGGATTTCGGGGGAAGGAGCATACGGAGAGTACGAGGTCCTTTTTAATCAAGGGAGTCAAGGATTTCGAGTTTATGCAATTGGGCAAGCCACTGATGCCATTGGCGACGCGGGAGGTTGTGACTTGTCGCGTGGCATGCTTCATTTCATGCAGCTGGTCACTGTTGGAGCACCACCGTCTGTGATTGATGATTGTCGTTTCACATCGATCGCGAAAAGCAGGTGGTGAAGAGTTCGTGCTGTGGAACAATTTAGAGAAAGTCCGAACGGGAAATGAGGTTGGACTGGCAGGCCAAGTCGTCTTGTGGATACTTTTGCAGAGGCTCTGGCAGGTGGAGCCCGTCTGCACCCCAGTCTGCCAGACATGGACTCGGAAGCAGAGCTGTGTCATAGTGTGGGTGTAAGACAAGGTGATGGGTCAGGAAACGGGACACTTATCGGATGCCACATCGTCGATGTTTCGACAGCGACCCGCCATCACTCGTCTGCCATTCGCTACTGCGGTTCGCATCGCGAGCGCGCGCGCAAACGACGATGAGAGGTCTGTCTGTCCACGGAATGCGATCGGAGGCAGCATTAGCGCCTGGTTTGGGCGATGGTACTCAACCGCGAAAACCGCAAAACGCACGTCGTCCGCGCAGCACCCGGAACAGTGGTAACAGGTAGGCGGGCACCGTCTAGCCGCGATAAGCTAGGGAGCCTCCTCTGCCGTCTTGGTCGCTCCTCCCTGGCCCTCGCTCGCCTGTGTGTCTGTTTCGATAGGGCCGGATGGGATTGGTTGGCCTTGCAGATCGGTCACCCTGACATCATGCCCCCATCGTTCCCCGCCAGACACCGGGCTTCTGCTAACTTCTGCCGCTAACATCTCGATCTACTCACTCTGCAGCTATCCCTCTGTATCGACCAGCCAGTTATGCGGCTCGTCGTGTGTGTTGCCCCGTCTTGGGTTGTTTCCTGGTACCCACCAACCTTTCGTCATGCGCCTGTCCATCCCACGTTTTTGGCGCCTTTTGGGTACTGTACGAACTGCCAAATCCGATAGCCAGGTCTTTAATTGTACCTTTGCTCCCGCCTCTGTCTCTATTTGTCCCCATTACGTTAGAAGCTGCTCCATGTCTATTTCATTTTGACTGTTATACCACCCATTTCTTCTTTTTTTCTCCTATCCACATCCAACATTCTTCTAGTTGATCCAGAAGAAAGCTTCTTTCAGCCTCGCAGTCCACTCCCAGTTCCAACAACCCTTCCACCTTTTCATATCTCCACAGCAAACTCACAACTTCTGCAACATGGCCGCTGTACATCCCCAAACAACTGCTGGCAGCTTACTGGGTCGCCGTCGTGTCAGCAACGCTCAGTACAGTCCCAGCATGATGTCTTATATGCCTACCTACAATTTGAATCTCAAGGACCCAATGGCACAACACCAAGGCCAGATTCACATGTCAAATTCTCATTTCATTCCTATTCAGACAGCTCCGGATATGGACGCCATGATGGACATGAACGCATACTCACAACCTAGCATGGTACCCAACGCCATGGCATACCAACACGGCCCAATGGCCATGGATACTTCATACACAAACCACTTCAACCTCGCCAACAACTTCAACGGCAGCATGCCGGCCATGCCTCCTCTTGAGTCCGTTCCCCAATGGCAGACTTTCGACCAGATGCAGATGCCTCCAATCAACATGTCGCACATGAGAAGCGAGAGCCAGTCAAGTATCGAGAGCTGCCCGCCTCTAATCAAGTCCGAGGATGAGCAATCACCCATTCTGCCCAGTCAAGTCTTCTTCAACACTCCTGCCTACATGCAAACCGACAACGCGAGCTCAGCTGGATCGGACGACATTCCGACCACAGCCACATCCACTGACATCGATGCACTGATGAAGGCCATCCAATCCAAGCACACCAAAGCAGCAGAAGAAGCGAGCAAGGTTAGTCTTTTAATGGTCGTATGATCTTGTGCATGATGGCTAATGTACGCCAAGCCAATGCCTAGGGAACAGCCTACAGAAGCTTCAAGCCCGCCCAAGCCCAGAAAGAGGTACCAATGTTCAATGCCGGATTGCAACAAATCGTTCTACCAAAAGACACATCTCGAGATCCACACACGGGCACACACTGGCGTCAAGCCTTTCGTCTGCAAAGAGCCTAGCTGTGGTCAGCGTTTCTCTCAGCTTGGAAACCTCAAGACACATGAGCGTCGTCACACTGGAGAGCGTCCGTATAGCTGCGACCTATGCGGCAAGACATTTGCCCAGCGAGGAAATGTGAGAGCACACAAGATTGTTCACACTGCAGCCAAGCCTTTCACATGCCGTCTTGACGACTGCAACAAGCAATTTACCCAACTCGGCAACTTGAAGAGTCACCAGAACAAGTTCCACCAAGAGACTATCCGCAGACTCCGACAGACCTTTGAGAACCTTCACGAGGGCGACCACGTCAGCACGTGGGAGAAGGTGATGTGGGAGTACTTTACCGGTCTCTACAAGAACTGCAACAAGGGCATCAAAGGCAGAGGCAAGGACCGCCGCATCAGCACCACCGGCCTTGGTCTCAAATTCGAGAATGATGACCTCGACACCAGACGCAACAGCTACGCAAGCGTCAGCTCCGCATCGAGCGGATACAGCATGTCCAACGGCATGGAACATCTCAACATGGGCATGGCACCATCATTATCGTCTTCATCAACGATGCCGGAGCAACCGACATTCAGCTCGCCCGTCTACATGGTCCCCCAGGAGCATCGCGCATCCTTCTAAACACGTGTAGCCGGCAACGGTGCAAGACAACGATCCTTCGCGCGCGACCACCACCACCACCCCAACTTTTTACTTTCTTACCCCAGCACGACGTTTACGAATATCGATTATTTCCTATCTAGCGGTTTTACACGATGCACCGGACTGGTTTTCTTCGGGATTGATTTTTCTGCGAATGGGCCCATTCAGGTGTTATAGATGTGAATTTTATTGCCTTTGTCTGCAGCGCTTATAGGATTTGGGAGTTTAGATGGGCCTGTTTTTCTGTCTTCTGTTTTCTGTTCATTTGAGCGCGGTTTCTTGTCCTGTTTTTTTCTCTGTTCAACCTTTGTATACATGTAGATATCCGGACTATCCTCCTTTTGAGAGAGGCGAATTGTATGACTAGTTTTACCATCATCATCCTTCCCAGAGTCTCTCTCTTACTGCACTTGCCCCTCCGCTCTCTTGCTCCCGAATCCTTCTCAGCCCTTTCTTGGAAGGTTCTTGTCAGGAATACTTCTTAGCTCTGTTGTTTTTCTTCCATGCATGCATTCGGTGGGCGCCATGAAACGTGTTGTGTACGGAAAAAGGGCACACACACAAAACACTCTACCTGCTACGCTCCCGCCGCCGTCCTGACTCCTGCCCTGCACGCTTGCTCGCCCTTCTTCCTACATCCGCTACTTGCCATCTTTCGCGAGTGCGCAGAGGGATTCGATCCGATGCAAAGACGATTTGGAACTTCTGCCAGGCTTCTGCACGCCGTCCATGCAGTGACGTTGCGACTATTTTAGGGCTATTGCAATTCACACAAAGGCGCTTGTCAAGGCACTTGTGTACTATGTACCGCGACTGGGTTACCAGAATATGGCATGGCATGGCAGGGCAGGCAAGGTACAAATTCACTTTTCCCTCCCAAGTCTTCTTGATCGAGTCGCTGGGAAATTAAACATGAAAAGTGAATCGCGCATCGTGGATGCGGGATTGACTCGGTGTGCATGCGAGAGCTTGCAAGTTTGGTGAGTTGGGTCAGTGGCTTCTGGACTCTCGCGATGGGCAGAGCTGGGCGCGGAGTACCGTCCGAAAGCATCGCGGATACTGACGACGCCGGCGGTCGCGGTCGCACGGAAGCTGAGTGTCTTGTATGATGATGGGCGATGGTGCGGGTTTCGAAACACAACACACCTTCCTTTCTGGTTTGTGGATTGTTTGATGGACACGAGAGATGTGCTGCTTCGTGTGCCGTGGCTCATAAGGGTGGCTCCTTCTCCAGTCATGAGCATGTCATTCGAATCAGCGATGAGCGAAGATGATGATGCAAGTATCGACGGGACCTCCGACGGGGCATATTATTACAACAGAGCAGTTCCAATAGATTGAACCCCCCGGCCGAGAAAGGACCATTCACGGAAAAGAGGTTCTTTCGTAAAGGATGTGTGGGCTGTGATCTCAATTGACTTCTCACCTACTGCACCTTTGAGAAGAGGGGAACAAAAAGGCTGGCACCATCGAAGATTGATCTGATATCTGCAATCTCAATTCCCCCTTTGAAGGAATGCAAAGCAGCAAGCTATGCAACCTTCGTGATTCAAGAGCATGACTCGGAGAAGAGAGATGGTTGGTGTCTGGGAGATCTACAAGACCATTCATTCCAAGATACAGATTTCTTAGCGAACAGCCGGCGCCGCGTAACTTGAATTTAGTGGAATGACTGGGGGCGCGTCTGTAGATCAGGGACCGGCACGAGGGAAACCTGTCGCGGCGACGGGCTTGCCCAAAAGCCCTTCGCGTCGGCCGATGATACGTCATTGATTGTTAAGAAGCAGAGCACCTTCGAAAGAGGTGATTGACAGAGTTTCTAACACGGCTCGCGTCGAAGTGCCTCCACTTGATTCAAACGATTCGACGATCGAGCAAATCCCCACACACGGCACTGCACTCTTTACCTTAGGTTGGCAAGGCTGCGTGAATCGGCAAGGCGGCTGGACCGCTGGAGAGGAGGAAGAAGATGTTTGAAGCAGCTGCAGCAGTGTTGCTGCACCTCCTGTCGTACATGCCGTATCTTTGCAGGAAGAGATGCATACAAGCATGCAGGGTAGTGTATGCCCGTCTAACCTGATGGATGACAAGGATCGCAGATTCCAACGACCAACCTGCACGCGCATAATAATGTCGAGCTTGCGTGTTGCGGTCGATCCTAAACTCAAGTCATTCGTATCCTATCTATGAGACAATCATCATACACGACAACCATCTGAGGTGATTGTTGCTTGTCCAAAGGCCGAGAAGAGGAGGAGCTGACGGTGAGTGTGAATCCTAAAACCGTCAGCCTCCACGACACCTCTATCTCCAATAGCGTTCAACTGCTCTGCCGAACATCTGCGCACGTAAAAAACGGGTTTCCTTCGTACACGTTTGGAGAGGATCGAGTGTCTCCAGGCTTTCCTCCTTCAAACAAGATCTGAACTCTGGCTTGCGCGCTCGCACAGTATTCCAGATATGGCGCAATTGGCAACGGGGATACGGGGATGCGTACTGCTCTGCCGTGTCAACGGTATGCAGTCTGGTGGATACGACGGTCATGGTCGAGACATGTCTTTAGAGGAGGTTGAGAGCATGTTGATCAGATAGGATAGCGATCGGAGTATCACCGTGATGGTGCTGCTGACAGGAGATAAACCTCTCGCTCTAAACCAATGGTCTAATCCATGAAGCAGGGTCGTTGTTTGGAGAAGGCAGACTTCCTCTTGTCTTCAACTCTCACTTCCCTTTGCCCTGTTCCCGAGGCACTTCCAATTGGCTTCTCCTCCCACGTGTCTTTGACGCATGACAGGCGCCTTCCCAAATACATAGATAAGTTAAGCGATATCAAACCCTCATCCTTCTCATCCATCGAGATAGCCAATAAACTTTCCAACCACCCACGATCGAAAGACAGAATCAAAGATCCATTCACACGATTCGGCCCAAGAAAAGTTGGCAGAAGTAGGCCCAGTAGATTTGCGGAGTCCAAAGTCTCGCCAAGGAAATGTTTGCGAGGTTGATGCTCAAAGACGCTTCCGCGTTCTGAGTTTCCTCGTAAAAAGGCGGAGGTGGCTCCCAGTGATATGGAGACTTTGCTTAACTTTGCGATGTTTGGGACGTGTCAAAGCTAAGGTTTCGTACGTCTAAATCTAAGGCGATGTTCGGTAAAAGTCAAGGAGGATATACGGGGAGCTCAGTTCTGCTGTTTTGCAGTGTTAGATCCGTAGGTAAGTTTTCGGAGCCGCGGATGCTTTCTTGTTGGATTGGATGTGTAGAGCGATTGGAGATGATTGTTGGCGGTAGTGGACATCACGGTACGAGATGAGCGATGGAAGACACGGCATGCGAATGGGGGCCGAGCGAACATTCCAAGATGACAAGGTGTAGATAGTCGCATGTCAATCTCAACAGACCATTCGCTTTATGGTATGCTACGGGACGGCCGGCTCTGGGGGATGTGAATTCTACCATAGTGATCCAAGACAAGCATCAATGCCCCGAGACACAACCACTCTTGCAATCTATATAGATTGATGCCAGCCTTTCAAACTTCCAAGAAGATTCGAAAGCGATTTGACAGGGGTCACAATCCTGGTTCTTGGAACTGCTGACCACACATTCTCGCTTATTGCCCTTGTCTTATACCATAATGGGACGGCAAAAAGCAGGTTTTTGGAGCGTACACTGCCGTCATAGAGTGATGTTGTTATATTTGCTCAGGCTGTGAAGTGTTGATGAGTATTACGGAAAATTGTGATTTCGATAATGGTCCATTTTTGGTTGTAGGAGAGCAGGGTGACCTCGAACATGTGCCGACAGTGAAGTTCAGAATCCATCTTGATGGCATGCAGTTGGAGCAAACGGCCAGTCTGTATTTCGTATTCTGAGAAGCTCACAGTTCTGCAGCAGTTTCAGTTGTGTCGGCCTCGGGAAATGGGTTTGGTTCCTGTGCCATGGCCAGACTGGAGATGCGATAGATCAGGGCAACCCCTCGATGATCAAGTCGTACTTTTGAGAATGCCAGGATCAAGAGAACTAAGCCTACGGAAAAGGAACACTTTGTTTGATTCCTCTACCTTCCCCACCCTGTCGACCGACTTTAGTTACATGTCAAAGAATGAGTTGCTCGCGCTCCAGGAGGACGACTCGAGGGTGAGAACCACTCAGGAGGCGCAAGGCAACGACACGAACAGTATTATAAAGATCTGCCAGACCATCCTACGGTTGCCCTGGAGCATCATAACCGTGGCATGATTGCCATGAATGTGGTAGGAAGAACCAACCAGAGTCGAGCGAAAGAAAGAGGGAGGAAGGGTGGAGGGTCACAAACGGTTGCTTCAGCAACGCAGAGCAGTTTTTGAGGGGAAAGATGTCATTCTTTCGCGCCCGCAAATACCCTGCAAAGGAACCTGAACACTCTTACAGCACCAACCTTTCTTCCTCATCGCATCATACAACATAGCAAACAGTAACAGCCAATACACCATCAATCGCCTCTATCGCAGACAAAACATAGACAAACATCGATTCTTCCGAAACAAGACATTCTACCACACAAGCAGCGACAATGGCCTCCAACCCTTTCAACTCGGCCGAGAACACCAACACTGGCGCAAAGTCAGAGAAGATGAACGTCCACCGTCAGATGTTCGAGAACAAGCTGCGTGAGAACGAGGGGTGAGTTTCGTTCCCCTACCCATCCTGGCGCCGGTCCACCTCAGTGCCGCGCCTGCGTAGGCAGCACCAACAAGAAAGAGCAAGGCTAACAATGCAAGCAACAGCCAACCCAGCAACGCATACGTATCACCCTCAGACGCAATCATGAGCCCGGCCAGTCAAAAGCTCTCGGGCTTCAAGCAAAGACAGATGAACAAGTCGTGAGTGCTTTCCTCCCTTGCCACAGCTAGCTCTACATTGAGCTTCTCGATCATCGAGTCTGTGACTCTCCATCGAACCGTCTCCATTCACGGAAGAGTATCAATGAACCACTGGCTAACAAGGCTCGAAACAGAAACCCCGTCAAGCCTCGCACACTTTTCGCAAAGACCGCCGCCTCGAAACCCGAAGAGGAGAACACCGAGAACAAGAGCGAGAGCGCTTAAACACACCGAGCGTCGATCGCGCTCTTTGAACATCGCGGTACAGCGCCATTCTCGCATGACTCCTCTGCCTTCCTAACCAAGAGGCCCAAGAGACACATCTTTTTCGTATCACCAGCGCCCACGGACTCTTCCATCGTCTAGGCACACACTTTTCTTCTTCTCTTATGTCACAAATGTCTTTTTTTTCTTGGGAAGGGATACCAGTTCACAATGGGGAGGACACGAATACACACCAAATCAGGAGCAGTCATGCAAAATGCTGACTGACCCTTCTGGTCGTGTTCTTTAGGCGTTGTTGGCTGGAAAGGAAACTTTCCTCTATTTTTCTCTACAACTCCACTTTCATGGCTTTCTTCTTTACTACTACCATTGCGCATGCTCTGTTCGTCTCGTTGAGATGTGCAGGAGAGCTATATCATGATACTACTACTTTACTTTTACTCTATGCTTCTGTGCGGCTTGATACGTGCAGAAGTGACACGTCTTGTTTAGTCGAGTTCGGAAAGACAGTTTGTCAGCACATATCACTGTTTACCAACTAGACTAAAAAACACTCATCAAGGAGGTTGTGGTACAGAGCTGTCATACAGCACACTCTTTTGCTCTTTGCCCAGAAAAGGGTATCGAATCTAAAAAAAACCTCTCTTATATACCAAAGTCTCCACAAGTTTCTCGACAAAGTGTAAACGCCATTTTGTTGTCCCATTCGAAATAACGCCATTGCATGCTTTGAAAGTCTCTTTTCTCCTTGCTTCCTTGCCAGCTTCTCCGCGATCACCGCGTGCCTTATGCGAACAACATCTTCTCGTCCAGCTCGTCGACCTCCTTTGTCTTTCCACCGGAAGTGGTAAGGCCGAGGTCACCCTTCTTGGCCTTGCGCTCAATGACTGCTTCGGCGCGGTTGTTGTATTTGGCGCTACGAGCGACGCGGACCTCACGTCTGACTTGGTTGGGAGAAACAAACTCCTTGTTCTCGTAAATGATGGGGCCACCGAAACTGCCTTCTTGGATGATGATGGGGGTGAGGACGAATCTGGGACCAATCTCTACCAAGTTGAGTTTGGTCTCTGAATCCTTCTTGCCCTTTGCCGATGTGACTTCGGTAGCGGAGGGCATGGGGAGGCCTTGCTCTGGGATGGCGGAGGTTTTGCCGGCTTCGGTTTCGTTGATTTGGTAGACGCGGGTCCAGACTTTGTTGTCGGCGACTGTGAAGGCCATTACGTGGTCGACGAAGGGTTTGGTCTTTCTTGCACCCTTGGGCACGCCAAAGGTCTGGGTCAACAATTCCTTGATCAACTTCAAATGCGGCGCCGAGTCGAATGTGGCATCGAAGGACAATACAGGTCTTGATCCCTTCAAGCAGTTTCCAGTAAAGTGGAGTTCTTCCATGGTGTGCAAGTTTTGGAGATGGAACTTTACGGTGGGTCCGTTCGGGGGCTTGCTCATCCAGATGTAGAGATCCTTGCCTTTGCGGGCTTCGAAGAAGAAGACGTTGTTGCAGTTGTAGAGGTCGGCTAGTTCGTTGAGTTGGTAGAGTTTGGTCTTTGTGTCTAGTTTTGCGTCTTTGCGACTGTGAGGGAGGAGGGAGTAGAGGTCATTGAGAAGATGGCGGTGACTGTGATAGAACGTCAGTTTCAATATTCCTTCTGCGCTCTGAGAGCTGGGCAAGAATGCGCATACCGGTAGGTGATACCGCGCGACGACAAGATCAGAACTCTTTGACGGTTCTTGGGCCCGGTGGACAGCGCATCCTCCTTGGAACCGGAGTTCTCTGATTTCGACAGCGATTTGTATACAGAAGCCATTTTTGCAGGGTTGTGGTATGTGAGGATGAAATAATTACAATGCGCTTCTTCGCTGGGCAAAAAGTTTGGGCTTGCGAACAGGAAAAGATGTAAGATCTGTTATCTTATCCGATCTTGAGGGAAAGCTTGGACTCTCCGCATTCCTTCCCGGAAGAACCACTCACGCGTGGAACGACCTCTTTCTTCTGTGGATGGTCGAAGAAGTGATGATTATGAGGTGGACTAAAGTCTCACAAATCTCGCAGAGCTTGCTGACTGGATTCGAATCACAATAGTGAAAGGCACAGATTCAAGGAAGGAGCAAATACGAAAAGGCCATTCATGACGCCAAGCACCGACACTCTCGATAGCGACTTCCGTTTCGACGCGGAATCGCGCTTCGCTTTGAGCGGCTGCCGGGCTGAGAAGAGTCGTGGATGCCAGGCCACTAATTGCTTCGACAGCATTTTCAACGAACAAGTTTGATCTTCAGCTGCGGAACGAAATGGATAACAGAACAAAGCATTCTGACTCGCATGGAAATCACAGTGACTGGTATAAAACATGTATATAGCAGTCTTGGCGAAACATGAAATTAGGTGCAAGGGAAAACAGAGTTGACAGTCTCCACGCAACGACAACTTGGGGTTGCGAACAAAGCCTGCCTTGCCCCGGTCAAGTGATGAAGGACAGAAGGCCCCAACAAGCCAGCTCGCTTGGCTTCCACTGCTGATTGAAGGCGTAATACCACACTCTCCCCCTCCCATCCATCTGTATCCATCATCAGGACAGCTCCACATCCCACACGTCGCCGTCTTGTACCGAGCTACCGCAGACCGGTACACGCGAATTTGCCCCTTCGGAGCAGCGCAATCCAATTGAGGCCACCACTATCTTCGTGCCGCCGACATCCATCTCACCATATTTCCGTCCTTGGTCGCCAACCCTGTGTCATTAATTCATGCTGTCGCGCCAACCTTCGCCAACCTCGTAACAAAGTGCTGCCGGCGGGTTTCGCGCAAGCTTCAATCTCAGCGACAGCATGCAAGACTACCCACAAGGCCCCGGAAGGCCACCATACTCTCCCCAACACCAACGCAGCCATCCTCCCTCGCCATCCATGCATCGAAACCCGAGTCCGACAGCTCAACGATCTGCATACTATGATCCTTTGTCCGACTCAATACCTGTTCGTCCACCATCTCCAACCATCTGCTGACGGCACCACTAACTCCAAGACAGGGTCGCAACCATGCGCCAGAGTCTGCAGACAGACATCGCGAGAGCAACGGATACCACTACGACACACCTGGACGTCCACGAGGTACCAGCCACTCTTCGCATCCAGGCCCTCAGCTGGCTCCCTTGACCCCGATGAATGCTCCACTACCTCCTTCATCACCATCATACCACTCTCGTCCTAGTGCTGCGCCCGCAGACACGCAAACACCAAACGTTCGTTTACCACTAGATACCACCATCTCTACATGCGCTTACACAGAACAGCCTCCAGCACGCTCCTCTAACCCCATGTCGGTTTCCAACATCCTTTCAGATAGTGGCCCTTCAGAACCTCCGCCGCCTCCAGCTCCTACAGCAACTGCTCCTTCGAGATCACCAGAAAGAGCGCGCGAGCCTGTCAAACCATACCTTGCTCCTCATCCCGTACCTGTACCTGAAGCCTACCCTGCACCCGCCGCTCCTGCAATCGACTCCAGCAACATCAAGCGTGAGCGTAATGGCGACGTTCCTTCAGCGCCTGCACCGGCGACCAACTATCCGACCGGTCCCCCAGGTTTGACCATCGAAGCCACTGAAGAGGCATACGCCGAGATTGAAAGAGCCGACATGAGCGATGTGGACGCACCTGGATTCGAAGGTCCTCAAGTCGCTTGGGTTCAAAGGTCTGCCAAGCGCATGGTCGAGATTGAACAAAAGGAAATGGGCAAACGAAAGGTCTGCCGATTCATCCTTGTTGGACGAGACATTACTAACGATAAACAGAAACGCAGACAAGCTTCCACCAAGATGTATCTCGAAATCTTCGACGCAAACGCAAACCTAGCCAAGGATCACTTTGTCGCCGCGCACGAAAAGCAAGCCGAAGAGGAGGTGCGTGTCAAGGATGCCGAAGATGAAAAGGAACGCAAGAAGGACATGCAACGGAAGCGCCGGCGCGAAAGGACCCTAGCCAACGAAACGGCCAAACGCGACGAAGCCATTGAAAAGCTCAAAGACCTCGACGATGATGAAGAAAAGAACCGCCTGCTCAAGGACGTCCAGAAATATGGTAAGAAGATACGGAATACCGAAGACCTCCTACACGGCCGCCTTCCTAGCAAAGCTCTCCTTGGAGACTCGCCCGGGCCTCCCGACCTCGAAGGAGGCTTCATGTCGTCTTTCCAAGCTAATGACGACCTTACAACAGACGCGAAAGCGAAGAAAGGCGCTAAAGGATATCGTCCCCGAAAGAGCAAGGCCCAGAAACAAGCCGAGAAGGACAGCGCCGCTCAAGCACAAGCCCTCATGGACCGCGGCGAAGACATGCCCCCGATTACCCCGAGAGAAGAACTGCGACTCAGAAGCCTGCGGGGTACCTCTAGTGATGGTATGGAAGGCACTCCTATGGAGGACATCGAGCCGGGTGAGAAGACATACGAACAACTCTATCGTGAAGCTTGGAAGGACATCTCAGTAGGCGCGTCCAAGATTGCTCGCACCAGACTTCAGGCTCTTGAAGTCAAGCAAGGTAACATGCGCAAGACGGCCCAGCTGGCTTCCAAGGAGGCCCGTCGTTGGCAGCTCCGTACCAACAAGAGCACCAAAGATGTACAAGCTCGCGCAAAGCGTGCCATGCGTGAGATGCTGTCCTTCTGGAAGCGCAACGAGAGAGACGAACGTGATCAACGCAAGATGGCTGAGAAAGCAGAGCTGGAGAACGCCAAACGTGCCGAAGCCGAGCGCGAAGCAAACCGCCAGAAGAGAAAGCTGAACTTTTTGATCTCTCAAACCGAGCTGTACTCACATTTCATTGGCAAGAAGGTCAAGACGGACGAAGTCGAAAACTCGACAAACGACACCTCCGTTGCAGATCAGACCACGAGGCCTGGCCCAACCAATGCCAACACGATCGATCTGCCCGACAGCGTTGCAGACCTCAGTACCAAGGTCACGAACTTCGAAGACCTCGACTTCGACGCAGAAGACGAAACTGCTTTGCGACAGGCTGCTATGGCCAACGCTCAGAACGCAGTTCAGGAGGCACAAGACAGAGCACGCGCATTCAACCAGGACCCCAATGGAGAGAACAAGATGTCACAATTCGACGACGGCGAGATGAACTTCCAAAACCCTACCAGTCTGCAAACCATGGATGTCTCGCAACCGAACATGCTCACCTGTCAGCTCAAGGAGTACCAACTCAAGGGTCTCAACTGGCTGGTCAATCTGTACGAGCAAGGCATCAACGGTATCCTGGCAGATGAGATGGGTCTTGGAAAGACTGTCCAGTCCATCTCGGTCATGGCATACCTGGCCGAGGTCCACAACATCTGGGGACCCTTCCTTGTTATCGCTCCGGCTTCAACACTGCACAATTGGCAACAAGAAATCGCCAAGTTCGTACCTACTCTCAAAGTCTTGCCATACTGGGGTAACGCAAAGGACCGAAAAGTTCTGCGAAAGTTCTGGGACCGCAAGCACATCACATACAATCGCGAGTCCTCCTTCCACGTCTTGGTTACATCGTACCAGCTTGTGGTGCAGGATACGCCATACTTCCAGAAAATCCGCTGGCAGTACATGATTTTGGACGAAGCACAAGCCATCAAGTCTTCTTCAAGTTCAAGATGGAAGGCTTTGCTCGGCTTCCACTGCCGTAATCGTCTGCTCTTGACCGGTACACCTATCCAGAACAACATGCAAGAATTGTGGGCTTTGCTCCATTTCATCATGCCGAGTTTGTTTGATTCGCATGATGAGTTCAGTGACTGGTTCTCGAAGGATATCGAGAGTCACGCGCAGAGTAACACGAAGCTCAACGAGGATCAGCTCAAGAGATTGCACATGATCCTCAAGCCTTTCATGTTGCGTCGTGTCAAGAAGCATGTCCAGAAGGAACTTGGCGACAAGGTAGAGAAGGACGTCTACTGCGACCTTACATACCGTCAACGAGCTCTGTACGCCAACCTGAGAAACAAGATTAGTATTCTTGATCTCATCGAGAAGGCGGCTGTTGGAGATGATCAGGACACTGCAACCTTGATGAACCTTGTAATGCAGTTCCGTAAAGTCTGTAACCACCCCGACTTGTTCGAGCGCGCAGACACCACGTCACCACTTGCTCTTTCGTATTGGGCGGAGACAGCTTCCTTCAGCAGAGAAGGCAACTTTGTAAACCTGGCATACTCGGTGCGCAGCATGATCGAATACTGGCTTCCCAAACAGCTTGGCACCGAGGGCGGTCGATTGGACTTGGCTGGACCCGACAACTTGCGTGCTGGCTGGAGAAACAAATGGCTGAAAAACATGATGAGCATCTGGGACTCCGACCACATCAAGCAAAATACCAAGAACGCTGACGCTTTCTCGTGGTTGCGCTTCGTAGATCAGTCAGCAAGTGAGGTTTCCAGAGCAGCTCGTACTGGCATTTTCGATCGAGCAGTTGAGCTTGAGCGTCAATCAAAACGCCGTACCTTCTTCCAGCAAGGCGACTATCTGGATGCCGAGGAGCGATATGTACCTGCGCACTCCATGCTCAACGTGGTTCAACACTCTAAGCCAAACTTGCTTCCGGATGTGTCAGGCGATAGCTATCTGAGCAATCTGATGAACGTCTCTCGCATGGCTGTCAAGGAGACTGGCTACAGCGACATTGAGCCATGCTCTCTTCCAGCAGCAGCTGCACCTCCGATCGAGTTGGTGTGCCCCAGCCAACATTCAATTGTAGAAAAGGAGACTACATTCTTCAACACCTCCATCCGAAGCACGCTCAACCCTATCACATTGGAGACCGAGCAAGCTTTACTGTCAAACAAGGTCGCACCGTCTGATTACCCTATCACCAACATGTTGCCTGAGCCCATCAACAAGAAGCAAGGATACACCACCATCGAGGTCCCGAGTATGCGTCGCTTCGTCACAGACTCTGGCAAGCTGGCACAATTGGACAAGCTTCTTAGAGAACTCAAGGAGGGCGGTCACCGTGTGCTACTCTACTTCCAGATGACGCGTATGATTGATTTGATGGAGGAGTACCTCACATACCGCAACTACAAATACTGCCGTCTTGATGGTTCGACAAAGCTGGAGGACCGTAGAGATACAGTCGCAGCTTTCCAGTCGACACCCGAGATCTTCGTCTTCCTTCTCAGTACCCGTGCTGGTGGTCTCGGTATCAATCTTACCTCCGCGGACACTGTCATCTTCTATGACAGTGATTGGAACCCCACTATCGATTCGCAAGCCATGGATCGTGCTCATCGTCTCGGACAGACAAGACAGGTCACAGTCTATCGTCTCATCACACGTGGCACTATTGAAGAGCGTATTCGCAAGCGTGCTTTGCAGAAGGAAGAAGTTCAACGTGTGGTCATCACCGGTGGCGCTGGTGCTACTAGTGGCGACAAGGGTGTTGACTTCAACGGTCGCCCTACCAGAGAGAATCGCACGAAGGATATCGCTCTGTGGTTGGCCGACGACGACCAAGCAGCTGAAATCGAGCGCAAAGAGGCCGAATTTGCCGAACAAGAGGCCAAAGAACCCAACAAGGCCAAGAAGAGAAAGGCTCCTACGAAGAAGAAGGAAATCAGTATGGACGACATGTACCATGAAGGTAAGCAGAACCTCGTTTCTTATGATCTGACACTATATGCTAACCAAACTGTTGTAGGCGAGGGCCAATTCGACGACGATCACAGTAACAAGCCATCCGGAGCAGCTACACCAGTGCCTGCAGGGGACGGTCCTCCATCGAAGAAAGCCAAGAAAAACACTGGCAAAAAGGCGAAGACTGTCAAGCAGCGTCTTGCGATAGCCGACGGCGAAGTGGATGGCGGTATGGCTTCATAAAAACACTGACACCACGACATATGAATTATTCTTGTCAGCAGCAAGCTGCATCTTTGGACCTTTTCATCACACCTCTCCGTTTTTCTTTTTTTGAAGAAAGTTCTATCAAATCGATTTTCTATGTCCGGTGTTTTTGGGAGTGACGAATTGGCAGGGGAGGAAAGATGGAACTTTGAAACCAGAGAGAGCTTCCTCGAGCTTCGCTATTGCTTCTACATCCTTTGTGAGGATAACGGGGAAAAAAGTTGCATCAATGTATACTAAACACAACCCTTGACAAATTCTTGCTGTTGAATTCTTCTTCTATTTGTTCCCACATCGATATCATAGAAAATACATCATCATACCAGTGAGGCGCAGCAGAGAGATCGGAAAAAAGTGGTTCCTTCAACTGCCATCTCGTCATGCTGTGATTTGCAGACGAGAGTCTGGCCAAGCCTTTTGGTCGATCTTGCGTTTTACAGCCTCCCCGCGGGTGACCACATGGAAACAACATTATTGCCATAACCCATGACTTCTTTCGCAACTTCGAGAGCCTCAACTTATTAATTGCGCTCGACAGAGACCGTTTTACAGTTGCACAGAAGGGGGTTTGAAGCTCTGTGAATCATCTCACTCGCATTCCAAGCTTTCACTGCACCTTTATTGAGCAAGATCAGCGGCTTCCTTCGCAGACTACCCGCGCTGGGCATCCTTGGTTTCTCGTAATCGCATCAGATGAGCAATCATGTCGAGCACCAAATCATCGCGACCGACAAGCACTTCTAGCAGTCTGATGCAAGAAGTGGTTAATGCACTACCTGGCGGATACCCCGAATCGATTCAACCTCCGACGTCGAATCAACAGTCACTTTCGCAAGCGGTTTATTCCAGGAGGTCTGAATACACGAAACCGAAAAACATCAAGATCAAGGTATGTGGATATGTTGAAAATGTTATGGATGAGTGATGAGTTGACGTTTGTGATTGAAGGTTGGAACTTGGAATGCCGCTGCTTACAAGGGCGCTGAGAAAGATATTGCTTGGTTTGTTGACGGCAAAGGAATTGCTGAAGGCTTGACCGATCTCACTGTCGAGGATGAATCCGAATCAAAGGATGATGCGGCATCACAAGACCGAAGTTCACTGGATGATCGTGAAGGCGTGGAAGATCAGGAAGCCCGATACAAGAAGAAGAAATCCACCTTGCCAAAAAATGACCCTGGCCTATTACCTGGAGGCGAAGACATCGGACTTTATCTCCTAGGACTTCAGGAAATCGTGGACGTCAATTCTGCCGCGGAAGCACTGAGACCATACACGGATCCTTCGGTTGGCCAGAAATGGAAGAGCGAGATGGAAGCCCATCTGCCCAGAGGATACAAATTCGTCGCCGAACAACAGCTTATAGGAATGCTGCTGCTAATATATGCCTCTCCGGACGTGGCTGCGGATATCAAATCTGTTAGCACGACTAGTGTCGGTACAGGACTCATGGGTTATATGGGCAACAAGGGCGCCGTGACTGCCCGCATCGTCCTCGGAGAAACGACTCGTCTAGTCTTTGTCAACGCTCATCTGGCTGCTGGAACGGACAAAGGTGCTGTCGAGCGCAGGAACTGGGATTATGGACAAGTTATGAGTCGCACCAAGTTCGAGCCCATCTCCGATTCAATGGGCCTCTCGCAGAATATTGGCGAAGGCATCGATGATGCAGACTTTGCTTTCTTTGTTGGCGACCTGAACTACAGACTTGAGGGCATCCCTGGCGAAGACGTCCGCCGCTTGTTGATGCTGCATACACGAAACGAGTACGATCTATCCAAGAAGCAAGGCAAGAAGGTCGACAAGGAAATCGCGCGCAACCAAGCTTCGATCGAAAGACGAAGGGAGAACAGAACTTCTACGGATTCTGGAGTTTCTCAAGTGTCGACTGTGAGGTCACGCGAAGATGACGACGTCCAGGACGAAGACATTGACGCAGAAGAGGCACTCGATGCAGTAGATGATCCTGCTTCATTACATACCACTCTGTCATCTTTGTTGCCCCACGATGAATTGCACCAACAACAAAAGGCAAGAAAGGCCTTCCAGGGCTGGCAAGAGGGACCAATCACGTTTTTACCCACATACAAGTACGATGCTGGAAGTGTCGGCGTCTTCGACTCTAGCGAGAAGAGGCGAGCACCGAGTTGGTGTGATCGTATCCTCTGGCGGACACGGCGCGACATGCTTTCATACGAGAGCACGATTGCCGAAGAAGAAGAGTCCAAGAGGAAAGACGAAGAGATGAAAAACAATGGCATGGACGAGGCAGCCAAGGACGAGGAAATGCTTTACGACTATGATCCTGACGAAGATGCTGACGAATCTGGCTCATACGATGAATATGACGATGCACCTCCTGGAACAGTCATCACGAAAGAAGGCTTCGCTGACGAAATCAGTTTGGAAGCATATGTGGCGCATCAGAGAGTTTTGTCTTCTGATCACAAGCCACTGGACGCTATTTTCTCATTCAAGTATGATGCTGTCGTTCCAGAGCTGAAATCAAAGATTCATCAGGAAGTTGCACGGGAGTTGGATAGGGCAGAGAATGAGGGTCGGCCCAACGTGACAGGTTTGTGAAAAGGCTTTACATGCTTGAGAGGTCTTCTTACTAACAACAGTTGCTTGCTAGTTGTGGTCGATCGTCCTCATTCTAACGAAGAAGGCACCTCCGATGACGATCCCCTCAAATTCGAAGGTGTCTGGTTTGGCGAAGTCAGGTATGCAATGCACAAGCATCGAAGCCTTACTGTAGCAAATACAGGTCAAGTACCGGCAACTGTTTACTTTATTGATCGCCCCGTCGGCCCCGGCCAACATCCCGGAACATCTCCAAGTTGGGTAAGCATGAAGATTGATGATGGTACCGGTAAACTATCCTCCGATCTCAGCAAACGCACCCTCGAGCCCGGTCAAGCCTTCAACGTGGAACTCGAACTCCGTATTCTCGACGTCAGTCTCGCCCGCCAATTCAATGAAGGCATAAAGTCCATGGAAGATATCCTCGTTTTGCGAGTCGAAAATGGCCGTGACCACTTCATCCCTCTCCGTGGCACATGGCTGGAATCCTCACTCGGTCACTCGATCTCAAAACTCATAAGGATCCCCGAAGGCGGCATCCGCAAACTTCAACGGCAGCGACCCGATAGTAGTAAAAGCACTGCATCTGCGGGCTCGGCTATTGACGACGAAACACCGGTAAAGTGGTCGGCGCCCCGCGAGCTATTCCGGCTGACGGAGGTGATAGAGGAATTAACCGTCCGCGTTACTGCTGAGTGGGGCATGCTGCATGATCCGTCCACACAGCCGCCGCCTTGGGAGCGCTTTGCTGGCTGGCCATTCGTGCCGCAGTCTTGGACTTGCAAAGATGACAAAGAACGACATGATCGTCTTGCTGATATCGTGGAAGCGTTGGATACAGATGTTTCCTTTGACTCTGTGTTTCCTTCTGACATCTCTCATATCGAAAAATTAGAGTCGTTGGCCGAGTTTTTCATCATGTTTATGAGCGCCATGGATCAAGGCATTGTGACCAAGGACATCTGGACGCAATTGGATGTCGGACTTACCAAACAGGAAAAATCCAAACTTGCCCAATCGGCGGAGGAACAACGCACATGGGCGCAAGAAATTCTGTCCTCTGCTCCTTCTCACTCCATCTCCTTTATCCTGATCACCTCGATGCTGGATCGCATCATCAGCGAGACCATCACGGCTATTACCCATAACCACCCTGCTTTGTTGGCAAAATCTCCACCTCCAGCGACGTTCTTGGTTACGATACCGCAAAATTTGAGAAAGAAGAATTGGGCAAAGGATGGAAAGGAGGCTTGGAGACAGGGTGTCGGAAGGGCATTGGCGTGTACGTTCTATGGTGCTATGATCAGGGGAGGAGAAGAAGAGGGGCAGAAGGAGAAAGAAAAGGCTGCGGGCAGAGAGAGGAAGATCAGGTTCTTGGAGCTGTTTTTGCTGTAACGAGATGGGCAAGAGAGGCTAGGGTGGACCAAAGAAGTAGGCATCGTTGGACTGGGCAACAAGCATGACACCCGAGGCCAAATATGGTTGGATCCAGGGAAGAGCATAATGAAAAATGGAGGGAGGAGAGGAAGGAAGCATATTTTCTACGAGAGGATATAGGCCAGCATTAAGCGTCGAAGCGTTCTTTGACAATTCTATCGCTTGACATGCCGGTTTCAAGGGTCGCGAGCGCCGCGTGTTAAGGCGTTGACGATACGAAACCTCACCACAAGGCGTTGCCTGAGGTCGACTGGGATGACAAGTACCTACTGACATTCAGTCGAGCTTACAGCTTCTGTCATGCCCATATGCTAGGTCGCGATGCAACCCTGTCCTACTCCAGGAATATCGAGTTCTCGGAGTATTGCGATGGACTACTGACACGACACAGCAAACCCTGGCACACGGCAACACGTCTTTAAATACCAGAACAGCCGTACTTCGAGTTGCGACGAGTGAACCCTGATCACATATTAAAGCAATGAGTCCACTATCGCAACCAGCATACCCCGCATACCCATGCATGATCGCCCATTGGCAGGATAAGCTTATAGAGATAAGATAACACCACCACAACTCTCGAGGTGCGTACGTACCTCCACCAGCCATGATATCGACCACAACTCCTCTTGTGGCGGAAATGATTCCGTCTGCCTATCTGGTTGGCCGAAGTTCCACTTGCTCTTTATTGGTTGCGGGATACCTTCCATTCGCATGGATATGCCTGTTGCGATGTAGTACACGCTGACAGACTTCAAGCCTTACTATGCCCTTATCAGAAAGCAATAGTACTGTATCTTGCTTGGTATAGAAAAGCAAATCTAGACCCGTGGGTGTCGCGATTATCTATACAGACGTCTTTCCAAGCTGCAATCTCACCACCATCTCTCTTACATTCTTCGACAGACGATCATTCTCTCGTCCCAACCATGTCGCAACGCACTCCCTCTACGCGCAAAAGCGTATCTCAAGAACCGGTGACTTCTGTCCTTCCAGATGGCGATATACCCTATGATCCAAAGCATAGCTGGAATCAAGATGAAGAGACCCTTGCGGCATTGGGTTATAAACCGGAATTCAAACGTGAATTCAACCTCTGGACGACGTTTTGTGTCAGTTTCGCTGTCCTGGGACTACTGCCCAGTTTCGCGAGTACTCTCTATTATGGCATGGGCTACGCCGGCACTGCCGGTAAGTTTTCTCGCCTTCCACCTCCTGACAAATTTGTCTTTGGAATGTCCATGGCGGCGATCTATAGCTAACGCATGAACAGGCATGACATGGGGTTGGCTAGTAGCTATGATAGGTATCCAATCCGTCGCCGCCTCCATGGCCGAACTCTGCTCTTCCATGCCTACCTCTGGTGGATTATACTACGCTTCTGCCGTCCTTGCCCCTCCTGGCTGGGGTCCTCTGGCTGCCTGGATCACCGGATGGTCGAACTGGCTGGGCCAAATCACCGGTGCACCTTCTGTCAACTACGGCACCGCTGCCATGACCCTCGCCGCCGCATCCATCGTCAACCCCTCCTTCGTCCCCCAGAACTATCAAGTCTACCTTTTGACAGTATTTTTGATGATTATCCATGCATGTATGGCTAGTTTACCCACCAAGACCATTGCTAGAGTCAACAGTTTTGGCAGCAGTTTCAATATTGTGGCTTTGGTTGTTGTGATCATCTTGATCCCTGCTGGAACCAATCGTGAGGAGCAAAATCTGCCGCGATTCGCGCCTAGCAGGGAGGTCTGGGGCGATATCTATGCTGGCACTGCTTTTCCCTCTGGCGTCGGTATCCTCATGAGTTTTATCGGTGTCATCTGGACGATGAGCGGGTAAGTCATGAAGCCTTTGCGCTACTCTCTGGCTGCTTCCTTTCCCCGTTATTCTGCCATACTGACAAAGCAGCTACGACTCCCCCTTCCACCTCGCAGAAGAATGCAGCAACGCCGCCATCGCTTCCCCCCGCGCAATCTTCCTCACCTCAGCCGTCGGCGGCACTTTCGGCTGGTTCCTCCAACTCGTCGTCGCCTACACCGTCGTCTCCATCCCCGACGCTTTGGAATCCGACCTGGGCCAACCATTCGCCGCATACCTGGTCCAAATCCTGCCCCAGCGAACCGTCCTCGCCGTCCTCTCCCTCACAATCATCGCGGGCTTTTTCATGGGCCAAGGTTGCATGATCGCCGCGAGTAGGGTCACTTTCGCTTACGCCAGAGATGATTGTTTTCCGTTTTCCAATGTGTGGAAGAAGGTCAATCAGAGGACGAAAACGCCGGTCAATGCGGTTTGGTTCAATACTTCTGTTGGCTGTTTGATGTTGCTGCTCATCTTCGGCGGCAGTCTGGCGGCAGGAGCCATGTTTTCCATCGGCGCTATTGCCGCCTTTGTCGCTTTCACCACACCCATTTTCATCAGAGTGTTTTTCGTCGGCAATCGGTTCCGCCCCGGCCCGTGGAATTTAGGGAGGGCATCTATTCCTATTGGTGTAGTTGCGTCTGCATTTGTGGTGTTGATGGTGCCGATTTTGTGTTTGCCCAGTGTGGTGGGAGCGGATCTTACAGAGGCGACGATGAACTGGACATGTTTGGTTTACGGAGGACCCATGGCTATGATTCTGGTTTGGTGGGTTGTATCTGCGAGAAAGTGGTTCAAAGGGCCAAAGGTTAATGTACAGCATATGATGTTGGGGAGGGAGGTTGCTGGGGAGGATGTTTTGGTTGGACATGAAGTCGCGGAGGCTGAGAGTCAGAGTGGATTGGAAGGCAAGGCTGCAGAAGCGGCAAAGGACGCTGAATCTACCGAGGTTAGATAGTGAGATACAGGTAGTGTGAATGTTCAAAGGGCGATGGCGAATTGGGCTTCCGAGCTGATTTGAAAGCATTGCAAGCGACTATGTATTCCATTGCGAAGAGAAGAGAGCAGAAAAGACGATCTATTTAGAACCAAGAGCCTTTCAAACGACCAAATACAATAGCGCCCTCGGGAGGGCCCCCAGGTGGTGGATTCGCTACACGTTCCTTGTGACTGTCGAGCTTCTCAAGGTTCTGCAAGACTTGAACAGGACATGTCCATAGACTGTGCTTATTTTGCGGGTCGAAAGGCTGTCCTGCAAGATTGCAGGCCAGCGGACTCCTCGATAGAACACGCCGCAAACATTTGTTGTGGGCTACGAGATAGCCTTGACCATGAGGTATTTCAGAGCACTGACAGTCAGCGACAGAAGTTGGCGGTCCAGATGGTCCATTCGGGTTGGATGTGTTGTTAGAAGGACAGAGAATACCTGCGAATCCAATGGCCTGGCCAATATTCTTGCACACGAAGAGGGCATCTACATGATTGATGATGTCAAGCCATGCTTTGGTGGCAGGCAGCTTTGAGGTTTTGAGCACTCTCAATGGACTACCACCAGGCGGTTGAGTCACCTGGTCCATGAGTTCCGAAAAGTAGAGCTTCTTGGAACCCACAATGGTTGGTGTTGGCGATCGTTTGGTCCTGTGTGTCTGCATGAAGTTGGCGTTCAAGGTCAGGAGGACATTCTCAAGCAAGACCTTCTTGTGTGGTCCATGGCTAGTGACCACGACCTCATTGCTACCAGAAAATGCTTCAAGGGCAGCTGAAGCGCCGTCAGAAGAGGGTAATGCCCATGGTATCGGATCCGGTTGGCCGGATGTACCATGATGCATGGCGTAATATACATGACACAGATGCAACAGAAGGCTCAGTTGAGGTACGAGCCATCCAATATCGGACTGCCGATCGTACACCAGTGCGACTTGTCTAGTCAAGATGTTGAGTGCAGCAGCGTAGCAGGTGGCTTTTTCGAATTGTTGGACATGGCTGCGGAGCTTATACACTGCGGTCCCCTGGAAGATTGGCTGCACAGGACCAGCTGCGCCTCCGAGTGCTCCTGCGAGCTCAGCTCCTTCGAAGTGTAGAGCCTTTGACAAACACGGAAGATTGCTTTCACCCAGGGCATACTCAGCACCTTCAGAACCTAGGAAGACCTCTGCCTGCGGCCAAAGACCAACAAAACATCGCTTGGTGTGAAGTCGAGTGGTGTCCTTGATTGGTACCCAGAGTCCTTGTGTTGACTCTAAGTCCAAGGGGCATAGAAATTCAGGAGGAGCTGTTTGGTGATCCAATTGTATGGATTCAAGCACCTTTGGGTAGTTCGACTCGAAGTGCCATTCGATGGCACCAGACGTATGCATCGATACAGGTACAAGAGCCGTGAAGAATCCAAGAAGTATGAACCCAGCAGTATGGTCAGTCTCAAGCCAGTAATATGATGTAACCGCGGCAAGGGATACCATGAGCTGAAAGTCAATCTCAATGCCCTCGAAATCATCAAGCGGGACAAATTTATCGTCAGATATCTCTGCTACGATGCCAAGCTTGAACAGCGACGTCCAGCAATCAGCACGAGAAGGGTTGAAAGGCATGAGCGGTTGAAGGAGGAAACACAAATCTCCAGACCGCTCTTCTCCGAGGAGGCGATGGTCAAGTGCGATACTGCGTGATATTTGCAGTCCTTGATCAATTTCCTTCTCCTCCGTCTTGGGTATCCGGAATGTCTGGCAGAACCATTGAGCTATCTCACAGAATCGCGAATCGAGATACGTATCCTTGTATTCTGTCAAGAGCAGGACGTGAGTGGGGAAAGCAAATACCACGAGGCCGTCCTTGTCATCTACGGGTAGCGTTATAGTCTCGCCCTTATCCCAGTATACTTGTGCTGCTGCGGTTAACAAGAGCGAAGCTATTCGGACACCAAGGTTGCCCCAATACTTTCGCAAATATGTGTTGCAATCTAAGGCCTCAAAACGACCATCTCGTCCGGAGATGGAGATGGAGTCCAAGTAGTCAGATAGCTGTCGACTAAGATCCCAGTCCCTCACCGCTTCTGGCAATTCCCAACTCAAAAGAGCGATTTTGGTACCGCCAAAGTCGACACTTTGCGGTATGTCAAAATCGCGGCGGATATTGGCGTTACACCAGAACTCGCTTTCGATGCTTGAGCAGATATCTATGCGTTCTGCGAGTGTGTCCCAAATTTTCCAATCGATGGACCCATCCAAATGGCTCGAGCTGATTCTGCCAGCCTCCTTTGTCGCATGCCATTGAGCTAGATGCAAAGCTTCCATGATATCGTGGTCGGTCAATGCTTGTCGATTGCTGAGCACATATTCGCTTGGGGAAAGGCCTGATCGAAGCGCATTGTGAAGAAAATCACCCTTTCCGTCGAGGTTCTTGATTAGATTCTGAAGTTCTTTGATGAATAGTTCTCCAAAGTCCTCAAACACAGACAACGGTGCGTGGAAATTAGCAGTCTTCTCATAGAGCGAATCCAACGTGGGCTCAAGCTCAAGCCATTCCCTCGTCAGGGGACCCTTGTCACCCTTAGGCGGTATGCCCACAAGCATAGCACCAAAGAAACAGGTAGCGACATTGCCCATGGGCTGAGGGTGAGATACGATGGACGAAAGTGCCTTTACTCAATGTAAACGAGATTGCCAAGTCCAGACTTCACACGAGCATACCTGCAGAACTACCAGACTGCCTAGTCCGTCACCCACAAACACGATGTGTTTTAGTGAAAGCTTTGCTGGCATCAGAGGCGTGACTGTGATCATGAGAGCTTGGATTTACTCACATGTATTGCAGACCCAGAAGCCTGTATGAGTCGAATTCCGTACCGCTCAAGTTCGGGTCCAAGTCTGCCCAGTGGGTCGAGGTCGCGACAAGTCCATTTCGCGGTAGTACACTGTTCCAAGGCCTCATCGCCTAGATGTTCTACAGTCCAATCAGCATTGTTGCCCTTCGAAGGTTCAGAACCCGCAGGATCTGGGGCTTGAACAAAGATGATTCTGGGCGGATTAGTAAATGCTCTCAAAACTACACGGACTGCTTACAGCACGCTGCCTTCAGACCATTGCAGAACTTCTATGCTTCCGAGCCGCTTTATTAATTCGTTCATGATGAGGTGCAACCGATCCAAAACCAATCTGGACAATCAAAAGGGGAGGCCTTTGGCTGAAGTAGAGAAAGCTGATCGCTTTTGCAAGGCTGAGTCGATATCGGGGCTGAACAGATCGTCGACTTGGAGACCACAATGCTGCGGTCATACACTACTAACTAGCTTGACTGGCCGGTATCTCTAACGTCAGTCAGCACAGCTATGGCTATGGCTGTCGTAGCTCTAACAAATGACTGCTAGGTTCTGAGCTTGAGCCTGGAAGTTTCTGCAGGTCATAGCAAAGGGCCTGTGTGTGTCAGTCTCACAAACCCTTCGTCAATTCGCGACCGATTCTGAATGTGTTCGAGTCCTGGGTCATGTGTTTGTCGTGCGGTTCAAAGATGGCTAGTGCTGACCGGCTGCATGCACAAAGCCCCGAGGTGACTGTGTGGTGGAAGGAGCGAGGCTGGCCCCACCTACTTAGTTGACATCGGTTGACATCCTGAACCATAACAATGACAATAATATACCTGAGCCTTCGGTCATTCCAGTGGCTAAGTCGCGGGACGACGCCCAATTTCGCGAAGAGAGCACTCCTTTAATTCAACATGCCGAGATGAAAGAAGCTCTTCTTGAAGCGAGGAAACAAAGTTTTTGCCTCACCACAAGGTGCAAGGCTCCATCTCTGATATCCAAAATCATTCATATTTCCAATCGGTGTCAATAAATGCTCATACCCTGATCACAACCTTCCCATCCGCATCAAACCAATGGGATTCCACGTACTTCACCTTGGTATTACTAGCCACATAGCATAGTAACCAAACATGTCTCACGACCTCGCCCCAGCAAAAGATCTTGACTGTACCCAGTTCCAATTCGTCGTCTGCCCCTTGATGCTCAGTATCATCCTTTCCGCCATTTTCTCGTAGACACCAGATGCCCCATCCACTTGCACCGCTTCCGATGGTTGTCTGCAAGAAGCTCCAGAATTTGATTTGTATCTCGGCGTTCCAGCCTCGGGTGTCAATTTGCCAATAACCTCTTTCGCTGCGCCTGAGTTCTCGGTTGGGAGGATAATGAGGCTTGTATATCTTCTGAAGATCGGGATTGCCGAACTGACTTTGCAATTGTGGTGTAATATGTGTTGCAAATGAGCCTGACCCGGTTGGAGGAGGTGGGGGATTGATTTGAGTCGACAGTGTTTTGATAATATCACGCTCTTGAGTGTTGGGCTTCGCTTTCGGGGTTGCCAAAGACGCCAGTTTGCGCTTCTTAGCTGCAATCACGGTCTCTGGTATCCGGGCTGATAGAAGCGTGCGTTTGTCTGCACGCACACTACGGAGCGGAGTCGACACGTCACCAGCATTTTCGGACAGTGCTCGGTGAACGACAGCGGAGCCGAGTCTAGAAACGGAAGGCGTTGGATGCCACGGATGTGACTTCGTGTGAGTTTTGTTGTTGGTCATGCTTTTTGAAACATCTGGAATAGGGGTTTCCGCTGCCGAAGACGAAGGAGCTTTGGTTCTTGAGAAGAACTTCGTTCCCGGCTGGAAAAGATTGATTTTCGATCTTGGTGAAGACGAGAGCTGGGCACGATTTGCTACTTGGTCTTCGCTGCTAGGAACAGGTGTTCCCTGAGCTTCCGGACTGGACGAGAAACGAGATTCGAAAGAGGTCGGCAAGAGTTGTCCAAGGCTATGCTGTCTCGATACGGCAGGGACATCGGTGTTGCTCCTATAGGTCGATTGAGTACCTCGTGCTTCGGGACTTGAGGAGAATTGAGATTCGAAAGAGGTTGGTAGGAGCTGTTGAAGAGATTGCCGCCGGAGCATTTGAGGAGCAGCTGTATCACTGCCGCCAGCTAAGTGGGAACCCTCACCTTGCGGTGCAGACGAGAAGCGTAATTCGAATGATGACCGCGAAGCTGAATCTGCAGAATATGCTTGCGTGGCATTGCTTGACGGAGCAGGATCATACCCACTGATAAAAGGCGTCCCTTGAGCTTGTGGAGCAGAAGAAAAGCGAAGCTCAAACGACGAAGAGAATGTCTGGCGCACAGGAGCTGTCTGTTGTCGTGTCCGTGGTACGACAGCACGGTCCAAGGAAGCTGAAGAGATTTCATCTTGTCCAGACGGAGCTGAGGAACGTGCAGGTCGGACATGAGCAGACATGTTTGCTCGAGGGGATTCAAGAGACTGGGTTTGTTTGAGTGGTGAAGATGTTTGAACTCGTCGTTTACCCAATGATCTGATGCCCTTCAAAGGTGATTCGTCCTCGATGATGCCATTCCAGGGCTGGGGAGCACTTCCTCGAGGCAGGCTACCCCATTCAGAACTCGGGGGTGCATGGTGCTGATCGCTATGCACAGTATCAGAGTTGATATCACTTATCGAGTAAGTACTCGGCAGCTGAGAAGGAATGTCATCGCTGGGTGATGAGAAGTTTTCTTGCGGAAGGGATGATTTCGAGGCCCTCAGCAGCGCAATTCGAGGCACAGGTGTCTCAGCAGGGTTGAAGGTCGAAAGGCCATCAAGGTAGCTCGGCGTTGGGTGCTCGTCGATATGCGATGATCTCGAGGGTGTGGGAACATGGCTTTCGTGTCCGTCTGGTTCAAATCCGGGAATAGCGGACGATGGTTGCAGCTCTCCAGCTTTCGGGGAATCTTTGGCGAGCAATGCAGATTCGTCCGGTGGTAGGGCAGTGCGTACTCGACGTGGCGGCATGGATGGGTCGACGGGAAATGGCAGTATCGTTTCGTCTAGGTTTCCCTCATCATCGCTCTCCAGATGACTTTGATAAGCCGACTCTTGTGAAGCAGAGTAAAGTTGTGAATCTAATGCGGTCCAAGCATCCTGGGTGGCATCCAGATATACAGAAGCGTCTTGGTTGGCCCTTGACATGGTCGAGAGATTCATAACGGCTGGCACTGATGAACCGGCATGATTCTGGCTCAGATCAAGGCGAACTATGCTCGCAGACTGGAAGGACGAGTAAGCCTTCGCCTGGCGCTTAAACCTCTCATCATCCTTTCGAGAGCTGGGTGCTGAAGCGTGCGCGAGCAGCTCCATCAACGATGCTGGAACTTCGAGTGGGAAATCCAAGTTCCATGTCCAGAAAGTATGCAGAAGTAAGGGCAGTGATCGCCCTCGCCAAATAAATGCCCAAGATGGATGAGTGAAGGTTCAAGAATTGGAAGTCTTGTCAGAGGAAACACTGAAGCACGTGAAAGGCAAACACAAAGAAAGTCTCCGGACGCCAATCGCGACGCTAACCCAAAAGGGAAGGCTCTGGATGATGTCAACGCTATTTTTCGAGGCGACAGAACACCTTTGGATGCACCTGCCTCAAAACATCAATCTCAACACTGTTTCGAGAAAGACATACAAGATACAATGCGCACATCACTATCGAACATGGCCCGCAACAGCGCGGCTCTCGCCCTCCGCACACCCCTCAGGACCTCAACACCGCTCTCCACCTGCGCCCGCACCTTCACAACCACAACCACTCGAACAATCTCAACAACCACACCACGCCGCCATGACGAACCCAAAATAACCTCCCGCGAAACACTCCTCCCTCAAACCCACTACGACTTCTTCCCCTCCCTCGGCCCGGACGCTCTCCCGCCAAAAGGTCCCTTCACTCTCGACCTCTCCCTCCTGCGCCGCGAGTTCCTGCAGCTGCAAGCAAAAGCCCACCCGGACCTCGCACCACAGGAAAAGAAACGCCAAGCAGAAGCACTGTCAGCACGTATAAACGAAGCTTACAAAACACTTCAAAACCCACTGCTGCGCGCGCAATACATCTTGGAATTACGCGGGATAGACGTGGCAGGGGATGAAACCGCAAAGGTCGAGGATCCAGAATTATTAATGGAGGTGTTGGAGACGAGAGAGGTTATTGAAGAGGCGGCGTCAGAAGAGGAACTACAGCCGCTGAGAGAGTTGAATGAAAGGAGGATTGCAGGCAGTGTGGGGGTCTTGGAAGAGGCGTTCAAGAATGATGATATGGATGCTGCAAAGGAAGAGGCTGTGAAATTGAGGTATTGGATTAATATCAGGGAGAGTGTTGATGCCTTTGAGCCTGGCAAGCCTGTTGTGTTGATTCATTGAGCAACGCAGGGCAAATTCAAGCATGGCATGCATGGAGGAGCATTGTATAGATATCTTGATACCCCACTTTGAATGTTCACCAAATGTATAAAAGATGCAAATGCACAGCTACTGTTCCAAGCCAAAATGATATGCTGTGATATAACGATGCTATGCTTTCCCAAATGGTATGCAGCCAGAAGCCAATTCAGATAACCATCCCAAGTGGACGTCCCTCCTCACAGAGCAGCACCAAAACCCTTGCCTACTCAAACATCTCAAATCCCTCCACTCAATGCATAGGCAAACTCTCCGGTCCAAAGCTCATGGGCAACAATTGCTCCAACGTAAGAACCGTAGACTTGCCATCCTTGTCATACATCAAAACCGGCATCGAAGGCTATAAATCAAAAAGTCAGCACAAATCCATCATCATCCCCCCTTGTCACCCTTTCCCCCACCCGTCGTTTTCCCCAGCACATATCACTCACCTCGCAAAACTCCCTGATATACTGCCTACACATTCCACACGGAGAAGCCGGCGGCGAGATATCAGTGGCGACGGCCAATGCGCGGATATCTCCCCTTCTGGCGCCTTCGACGACCGCAGTGCCTAGAGCTGTTCGTTCGGCGCAGGTGCCGACGGGATAAGCTGCATTTTCGACATTTGCGCCGCGGATGATTTGGCCAGAGGTCAGGAGGAGGGAGGCGCCGACGCGGAATTTGGAGTAAGGGCCTGTGGGTGGGAGTCAGATGGATTCAAAAGGTGAGAGGAGGTGTTTGGTGGGAAGAGGTTGATATCAGGAGGGAATTTTGGTCGGAATTGTGTCTTGTGATTTTTGAAATGGAGTCAAGGTCACTGTTCATTCTCATCCTCCTCTTCCCTAGTATTTTCCCCAACTGTCATACCATTTAAAAAGAAAACATTGCTTTCAGATCAACAACTTACAATAAGCTCTCTCCTTTGCTTCAATACAAGCCTCGGACAAAGCCTGGACCTCCGAGGTCGAAAGACCATGGATCAATGCCGTATCATGGCGAGAATGTTGAGGTTTGCTAGGAACACTTGGAGCTGACATTCTGGAAAAAGGAAGGGAGAAAGGGAAGAAGGGAAAGAGGAAGGAGGAATCGATACAGATTTGATAAAGCACAAGGCGCAAGCAACAAGGCAATTTAGAGGTTCGTCGGTAAACTCCGCTTGCGGTATTTTCGTGTGCAAAAATCGTTGATCGATCGACGCGTTAAGGCGACCTAACATAGCTTTAGGCTATGTTTATATAGCTTTTTAATTACTTACATAATAATGTCTTCCTCTAGTAGTGCTACGTACACCTTACTAAACATTTTAGACGTTTCTAATACTTCTAGTACTACTAGAGAGGCCTCTAACGATAACGTAACCCCTAATATATAATCTAAGCTATCTTTACTACTACCCTTATAATAAACTACCCCTTACTAGTTATATAGTAGTAAGTATATATAATAGGAAGATAAGCGTAGAGATTAGTCTTCTAGAAGGCCTTATTAAAGTACGCGTAGTGTTACCTCTAAACGACTATAGGAGTACGTTATTAAGATAAGGATTTCTATACTAGTAAAGTAAAAGAGGGCTACCTAACTATAACTATAACCTCTAATTATTCTAAAAAAAAAGTAGGACTACTCTTAAGGCTACCTCTAGTAATTCTACTAAAGAGTCTACTATAAAAAAGACTAATAGTAGAAAAGTATAGCGATTAACCTAGAAAAAGCTACCTACTATAAAATCTCTTATCTAGCCCTATAGTATTAACTAACACTTTATCTATTATATCTAAATTAAAGAGAGTTAAAAAATATTGCTTAGTAGTTAGAAGCTAGAGCTCTAGAAGGAATAGGTATTAAGGGGTAGAACTAATATATATGTTATAATAAATTAGTTTACTAATACTATAGTATAGGAGTTAGTTAAATAGTATCGCCTAGTAATTAGAAGCTAGAGCTCTAGAGGGAATAGTTATTAAGGGGTAGAACTAATATATATATTATAATTAAGTTCGTTAACTACTATTATAGTATAGAAGTCTTTATATTACGCCTTCTCTATATTACCTAACTTCCTCTTACTACATCTATTACCCTAACTACTATATTATAACACTCCTCCTTAGTCTAGATAGTAGATGTTAGTAAGACCTAGCTAGTTAATAAATCTTATAAAGTCTAGCTTAGGTAATAGCTTTATAAAGCTATCTATAACTATATCTCTTATTCCTATAAACTCGACATTAATCCTATTTCTCTAGTATAAGTCTCTAACATAATAGTATATAATATTAATGTACTTTAACCTCTTATAAGTATAGGCATCTCTAACTAATGATAGAGAAGCTTAATTATTACTAAATAGTTTAACTAGTAATCTAATAACAAAGCTTTACTCTTCTCTTATAGTTAGCTAATATTAGTTATAACTAATGTACTTACTATAGCCTATATCTCTTAGAAGTTAAGCTAGCTATTATAACTACTTTGTAGCCTAATATATAGCTATGTATTTAGCTTCTATAGTTAAGGTTATAACTAACTTCTACTTTTTACTAGACTAGCTAATAGGGTAGTTACCTATTATAAATACACTTCCTAAAATAGATATCTTGTCTATCTTGTCTACTACGTAGTCTAGATTAGAGTAGCTAACAAGTTATTATATGCCTTCTACATTAAATTCTAGGCTAAGGTCTATTATTAAACGTAGGTACCTTATAAGGGATTTCAAAAGTTTAAAGTGCCCTTCTAATAGATCTAATAGATATTAGCTTAGCCTTCTAATTATAAATGCAATGTTAGGTCTCGTTAGAATTACTAGGTAGATAAGGCTACTAATAATCTTTTAATACTCCTTCTAGTCTACTCTCTTATCTTATAGACTAGCTAGTTTTAATAGATTATATCTATTTAGTAGAATACTAATTA